AGTGTGCTAGCGGTCCCCAGATCTGCTGCCCATTATGCACCGAATTCAACATGGAGCTAATGAAGTTCATGAATTGCATGATTCCATGCAGAATGCTTCATGTATATTTTTTAGAGGACGTTACCATAAAGATATTTTTATTTCGCCGGCATTTATTATATGGCAAGAAGAAAAACGGGTGAAAAAGCGCTTTTTCTTATTTTTGGGTTTTTGGGAAAAAATGGTCCAAACCGACCGCTCATCTTGAAATGGTGAATGCAATGGGATGAATTGCAATGCGATGACCGGGATTTCGCGACAATGTAGAGAAGAGACTGTACTTTTCATATAAAAAAAATTCGGACGATACATATAGTGAAAGCCGCCGTATGAATAAAAACATAAAAAAGGGTATAGGTTTGGACCATTTTTTCTCCCATTGTACAATATCAACCTGGCATCAAAAACACTATCCCTGACCTCTTCTCTCATGTCAGTGGTCCATCATCTGATCCCGCACCAACCGACCTTGAATCAAAGTACCTACAGTATATGCTATACAGGCTGAAGAAAGCTACATTGATCCTTGCAATGACTGGCCATGCTTTTATATCAAACAACCAGATCAATTGCCCCAAAATATCAAAGATAAACTCGAGCAACACAAGAAGCATTTTATTGTTCATGACTGAATGGTGTATTACAAGCCGAAGCTAAATGAAGCCAAAGAATTACACTACATTATCTTTGCCCGCCGTGCCGATTTGATGGAAGATTACAACAAGGGATTTGGCCATACTGGCACCACAACCATGTATTGTACGCTCTCATGAAGACACACTGGTAGTGGCCCGGTATGCAGGAAGACATCCAGACATGGATCAAGACATGTCCCCAGTGTCAGCTCACAGCCAACAACGACCGTCACACTCACAAGGCCCAAATGCATAATCTTGACATTCCTGCTGCATTCTCCCATTGGCATCTCGATTTTATTGGCGAAATACCCACCACAGCAGATGAAAATTGTTCGATTCTGGTCGCCATCAATTACACCACCAATTGGCCAATCGCATGTGCTGTTCCTGAAGCTACAGGTGACGCTATTGTCAAGTTCATATATGAAGCCTTCGATTTGGATGTCCCGATGAAATTCTTATGGACTGCGGCACTAACTTTATATCAAACATTGTTGCTAATCGAGTTCACTGCTGAGTTACGATCTCTTTGTTCTTCCTGATCGCCAAGAAATTGGCAGAAGCACACTTCGCCGTTAGCCCAGACTGGTAAGAGAACAATTCGATCTCATCGCAGACGCTGCCAATGTTCCCCAAACACACGAGTACTTAAACCATTATCAACATGCCGTATACCACGCAATTCTCCAGAGTGTCACGCATGGAAGTAACGAATCAGCCCGCTTGTTCTTTGTTGATGGTTCTGGTGGCGTCTTTACCCTTATGTTGTTGTTTTTATTATTCGTTTATATTTTACTGTATGTATTTTGTCTTATGCTCCTTTGATTTCATCCTTTGCTATGATTTTTCAAGTTATTCTTCACCTTTATGTTTTACGGTATGCTTTTTGTCCTTATGTTCCTTTTGATTTTATCCTTATGCTATGTTTCCCCAAGTACGATTTTTTCTGTTATCTATTTTTGTCTCTCCATTTAATATTATACGATGTCTGACTATTTCTGTTCCTAACTTTGTGTACATATTGTTGTTCCTCTGTCGTAGATGAAGAAAATGATCGCTATGTGGCGGTAGGTAAGGGGGGCAAGACCCCCAGGAAAAAAGAAAAAGAGACTGTACTACTCTGTTGTCCATTGAATATGCAAAGATTTATGCGCACATCAACTAAAACTTACCGAAAAATCAACTGCTTATTGACAAAAGATTAGAGTACCATCAAGCGAGACCTTTGGATACACAAATTCGAGTGCGGAGTTCTGAATATTGCAAATGGAGCATCCCATTCCAAACGCATCTTTAATCAGCCACTATTCCCACTAGCCTCAGATTAACAACAAACTACAGACCGAAAGAGCATAACTTTGTGATCTTTAAGATCAACAGGCGCTACTAGTCTACATAATTAAAATCTTTGGGAAATTAGTGATTTGTAAATCACATGATCTACACTAAGTTATCAGGGCCTGTTAAACCTCTTTTTTTTATCTTTCAACCATGCCTCGCTGCCTACTTCCACATAATAGGCGAAACAATCAGCAGCAAGATGCCATTTGTGCCATTTATAGTCAAACAGAGCATCGTCATCTTTCGAATAAAAATGTGAGTAGAGCTCTTTTTGAAGAAAAGTGGTTGATGATATGACCGGCGTTCTTCTGTAGCATCATTCAATTTGTTTTTTTATCAGTTATACGTATATGTCCTTTCATTCTCTTTCAATTTTCAATGAATCGAATAATACATAAGCAGACGTGCTTCGATCTATGAATTCATGCATCAGTGGGGTGACTATCGTTTCATCTATAGAGAATCATATATTTTTGTCTTCAATCTTATCTTTTTTCTTTTGCTTTTCTCTCTCTCTTTCTGTTTGCTTGATAAACCCTCACTATCATTGTATCAAGATCCCATCCGCATCCATCATCCAGACCATTCTTATCCCGTGTATACAACTTGGTTGAATCGACTATAATCCTCAAAAAGGTAAGCGTCGAGTGGTCCACCATTGATTTTGCTCCGGCAAAACAGAGTCACCTCTCCTTCACTTCCATCCTTCTTCCAGCTTCCAGTTTCCGTTTCTTTTCGCCTGACAAGTTCTGGATGCTACAAGTTGACTTTCTCTCACCATCCATCTGGCGAAACTGGATGATGTCAAAGGCCATCGTTGGTGGTGTGACTCTCTTTTTCATCAGAAAACGCTTACGTGTCCTCTTCATGTTCCTCTCCTTTAGATTGCTTCTCATCATATGGTATTTGAGATGTCTTCCCGATTATTGTATTTTTAGTTTATAGTTTATAGTTTATATTTTGTATTTTATATTTCATGTACATATTCTTTTCGCAGTCTTTTCCTCTTTTTTTCCCACAGGGTTTTATATGAGGTTTTTACTGACACGACCATTTTTTTTTATCATTATGTACTTTATTTGTTTTTCTTTCTTTTCATTCGGGGGACTCTCGATATCTGGAATCCAACTTGAAATTACCGTCACTTCTGGCCACGTCAATATTTTTTGCCTGCTCAAGCTGACACCACTGATCCATCGCTTAAGTGTCACTGGAAGCAATTTTATTTTCCGCATCGAAGAAGAAGCTTACATGGCGGTCCGTATTCATCGTTTTTTTTTTCTGGTACACCGTTTGGTTCAAAGACAAGTCCAATTTCTTTTCCTTTGCTATAATGTAATAAACGTATACTAATTCAAAATTTTTTCAATGTCATATAATCCAAGTCATGTTAAGCGATCAATGGCTATCGAAAACTCAAATAACAAAGGTAAAATATCTTGACGAAAATTTGAATCAATCAAAGAGCTTACTAACTCATTTTTTTAAATATCCAACATCCCCACACATCTTTCTAGATCTATCATAGCCTGGGCGGGATGGAACTGAGAGGGTCAATCAGTGCTGCCCTGCGCGTGTTCAGAAACAAATCACATTGCAACGTATGCCATAAGGTTGTCATTAATATACCGAAGTTCCGTCAAGAGTTCTCGCCCAGGTTATGCCGTATATGCGTTAGGCTTTTTGTCTGACGAAAGTCGCTCAATGTAAGAGGGCGGCCTCCGGTGGCAGGCGGCATCCATTGCACAGCGGGTGTACGGCTTGTTAAATTCAAAACATCGGATTGATATTCTATTTTTGAATATCAAAATAAATATTGAATTTTTTTCCCCATGTGAGATAATGATCGATAATAATTATTTTTCCATGTAAAGGTGAATGGAAAGAATAAATGATTGATAAACCAATAATAGGCTATATTTGCAGTATGAGTTTTAGATGTGAGGTTGATTCACATAAAAGAAAATGGATATGTAGATCAGACGTTTTGACGTGACATAATGACATGATCCAATTGGTATAGTAGTTATAGACTCATTGGTAATTGTTTTCTCTTGTAGATCGGGTGATATAGATTATCATGGATGACTAAGTGATATGATGGAGTGGTATCATCCGGATGAAAGGAAGGGATGGTATAATGATATGTACAAATACGACACTCGCACTGCTATCAAGCTAGCCTACCAAGCCTTTGTTGCACATGCAGCTCGCCTCTTCCCTCCATGGTATGCGTGACTGTCGAATTTTTCATAATAAGTTCTCTTGTGGACATACTTCCTCCCATCCTCTTCTTTGGATTGCTACCCATGGTATCGTCTTTCATATTTCTTCCCGACTATTTTATTTTGTAGTTTGTAGTATATATTTTGTATTTTAGTTAATAGCCTTCTTGCAGCCTTTTCCTCCCTTTTTTTCCCAGAGGGTTTTTAGGGGTTTTTTACAGACGCACCTATTGTGTTTTTTAAAATTTGTATCGCTTCTTTTTTTTCTGTCGGGAAGCTCTCGATATCTGCTGCATCGAATAACAGATGTAAAATATTCAAACGACTTTCGAATCAATCAAAGAGCTTACTAACTCATTTTTAAAAATACCCAACATACCCACACATCTTTCTAGATCTATCATAATCTTGGGCGGGACAGAATGAAGGGGGTCAATAAGTGCTGTTTGTTCATTAGAAGTGTTTCATGGTATGTCAGCGTATTGACATTAATATACCGAAGTTCAATCAAGAGTCTCGCCCAGGTTATGCCATATTGCGTTAGGCTTTTTTGGCTGACGAATGTCACTCAATGTAAAAGTGTCACATCCCAGTAGCAGATGGCATCCATTGCACAGCGGGTGTACGGCTTGTTATACTGAAAATAAAGCACGGCTCAGAGAGCAGTACCACATCAGAAGTTGGAGCGGAGCCAACCAGGATTATGATAGGCATGACCCATAATCAAAAAAATTGAAACTCAAAATATTTTGAAATACTTGCTGCGAAATAGCAAGGGGAGAAAGGGTCGTCATACGTATGGGTTACTATAGTTTTAATCACTACATGAATCATCATCATCATCATTATCTGTATAGGAAGCTAGCATAGATAAAGCTGATGAAGGTTGAGTTTCTACTTTTTTTCGTTTCACCGTAATGCCAAGCTTGTTTGGTTCCACATCCTTTCTCTTTAACTGAACCTTTGTTAACGTTTGGAACGAAGGTAGAGTTTTGGCAGCTTGAGATCGATTCACTAGCGAAACAGCATCTGGTTCGGAATCACTGTTGAGTTTACGAACTCTTTCACCATCTGCTGACTGAAATGCAGCGATTGCTTGTTCTTCGATCTCTGTTTCTTCATCGTCCAGGTATTTCTGAATTCGACTCTTATCTTCAGTTGAAAATCGTTCCAAGACTGCATCAACATCTACGCGCTCACTCCGTGCGTTGCGAGTTCGGATTTCGTCCAGAGCATCTAAAATCTCCATTTCCCGTTTAGAGTCCAAAGTCCTGTTTTCCAAAAGTTTCATGGGATCATCCGCAGCTTCTTCGTCCTCCTCAGCTTGTTTTTCTTCTTCCTCGGAATCGCGACGCCATGGTTCAAAATTACGACTCGCACCATGTTCTGCAACATAATCGGTATTTTTCGGATCGGTTTTGAAAGTAATTTCTGCGGAACAACGTGGGCATCTACAGAAAATGAACGTTAGCAGCATGTTAGAGCGAATTAAAGAACTCACTGTACCTGATGTAAAAGCGGAAGATCTTAATCGTCAGGTATGTTTCTCCCTCTACAGTTTCTTTTCGTGCATTGAACTTCTTGCCTTTGTAGATGTATTCACCGCAGCTTTCGCAACGCATAGAAAAAGGAGCCATCAAGCGTACTTTATGTTGAAGATCCTTCGGCTTTTTCCTACCAGCAAAGCAGTTATTAGAGACGCATACTCAAAAATCCTAGTTTACCACTTACTGCCGAGGGATTTGAGAGGGATCGAAATTAGGAGGGAAGTATTTATTGAGGACTTTACGCTCGGACATGGCGGATTAGGTTGTAACGACAGAAATGACCTCTGCCCATATTCTTCGTCAAATGGCGATTTTGCAAATGCATATAGAGATTGCACATAATGGGACTGCTAAATTGAATTTAAGTGACATCACTTAATTGCTGTGCATTTGCGATTTTTATGCACATAAATGAGACCCGACAGTGACAGTATCACTTTGAATATTTATTGTCAAAAAGAGCTATGATACATGATGTTAGTCGAAAGGTTATGGATTAATTTTAGTGGGCAATAGTTACAAATTATATGAAAAGAAGCTTATGACCGGTTAGATCATAGTTTTTGCATATGTCTTTATGGCCGATGTACAGTGGCGGGAGCTTGGCTCTGTGTCTCTGTTTTGTTTGAATACCAGCCTAGGATGGATAATAAGACAAGTAGTAAATGTACCACGCGTGCGTCTACAATGTTGGATACTGTCCACTCAAGAATAATATACCTTTACCGTCAAGGACGTACCAGGAAAAAAATCAAAACAGGGCTGATATTTATCAAGATATCTACCGCTTGATGACGAAGATGTCGTTAAAGAAGATGTCGTACAATCTATTCCCAATGGATTGTTCTCGTCAGAGCTTATTGCCGCGTAGTTGACTTGCAAAACAAACAAATATTCTTTGGTGCATTTCTTGGAAATGCGAGACTTTGTTCTATTTCTGGTTAAAATATAAAATGCGGCAAAGGAAGAGTGGTCAAATTCATCGTCTGATCTGCCAATAGCGTGATTCTTTCATGATGATATGCATACACCTGAGCCATCACGTGGTTTCTTTGTTCCATGGATAAAGTATATAAGAAACACAGAAGAATAACCCACTCATAACCTTCAATTCTCCAACTACAAGTATTTTAAAATTAATGATTATGCCACAACAACGCCACCCTCTTACGCTTCAGAAAGGCCATCATACGATTTAGCAAGACCATTCTATTATAGCAACTCGAGCCAACGATTCCGCTACAGCCGGATGCCATTCTTTCACGCCCAGCGAATTCAAACGTCGATACAGTCAAGTCGAATCACCAACGCCGACAACGTTTGCGTGGTGTTGCAAAGTTGACAGGGTACACACAAGATATGCTATTAAATTGGAACAAAGATACAAGAAGTCGTCAGTTGTCATCATCTTCCGCACCGTGCTGCGCTCATTGTCAATCTCAGAGATTTGACCACCCGGGTGGCATGGCTCGTACTCGAGAAGAAGACTGATCCGGAAAGGATTCTCGTAGCGACCTTCACCAACAAAGCACCGAGGGACATGAAAGAAAAGTTGGAACAGCCCGCGCTGCTTGGAAAACGCGTTTCCCGTTACCTTAAGATGGGCACATTCCATTCCATATGCGCTCGTATTTTGCAACGATACTACAGCTTCGTCGGATTAAAGAGCAATTTAGCATAATCGAGCGGGCCACTCGGTAAGCTGCTATTGACAGCTGGTCTTTGGCTTTTCTCTGCCGCATTTGTCGATAGCATCCGCAACATTGGCAAGCTCCAAAAAGAGCTCAAGGATCGATTAACAGATTTGGTCAGGAAGCCAAAGCGGGTATGTATGGTATTTAAGGGAACTGCTCGATAAAGCGACTAAATCATGGTTTGTAGGCTATTTCTAAAGCGAAATATCCAAAGCAAAGAACCAAGGATTAAAATGCGCCGAATTTGCAGCCACGCTGGGCCACGAGTTTCAAATATCAAGATACGACCATTCTCTATACAGTAAGTAGGTGACCCGGTAGTCTATAAAACTGGATATTCTCTTATTTATTGTTAGTGCGTATGAAGAGTAACTATTTGTCGTATAGATAGGGCTTATATGCCACTACATAAGAATTACCTCTGTCGTGTTTGGTATAATAAAAATAATGTATTCCCCATACATACATCCCTCTCTCATCGCATTATGTACATGTCTATGGATAAATCTCATCCTCAGAACCTTCACATTTAAATATACTGAGTTGTACCACAGTCAAATCATAATCAATGAAGATGAACCTCATGACCATCTTTATTCAGGAACCTACCCGCGGTATCGTTTTTGATATTTCTTCCTGACCATTTTATTTTTGTAGTTTGAAGTATATATTTTGTATTTTAGTTATAGTCTTCTTGCGGTCTTTTCCTACTTTTTTCTTCACATGGTTTTTAGGGGGATTTTACAGACGCACCTATTGTTTTACTTTTTTTTATTTGTATCGTTTCTTTTTTTTTTTCGGTCGGGAAGCTCTCGATATCTGCTGCATCGAATAACAAAGGTAAAATATCTTGACGACATTTTGAATCAATCTAGCCGTGACTGTACGGTGCCAGAGTATTGACATTGATAAACCAAAGTTCCATCAAGAGTCTCGCCCAGGTTATGTCGTATTGCGTTAGGCTTTTTGTCTGACGAATGACGCTCAATGTAAGGGGTGACCTCCAGCAGCAGGTAGCATCCATTGCACAGAGGGTGTACGGCTTGTTATAATAAATAACAAAAGTTTTTTGTTACTGTGACTGTGTTATGCTTATACCGCCCATCGAACGTTGATCAATTCCATAAAAAAAATAAGCATACGCAGCATATACTCTTAAGAAACTTGTAGGGTGTAGTCAAATAGACTGTACAAAGCAACTAACGGTTAATGGAAAGCGAGACATTAAAGACAGATATCAAGACAGAAAAGATAACAGGAAAACTAACAAACTGTACTGACTTTGGAGATGCAGGGAACAAACAGGGAACAAAAAAAAAGTAGAAGAAGGAAGGATAAAACGTATAAACGGGATTGTTGCCGGTCTACCCAAAGGACCTGACTGTTTCCACCGCATGGTCAATTATCTTGGGGTTTAACAAGAAGGATATAAAAAAATTGGTATACAGAACGGAATTGTTGCCGGTCTACCCGAAGGCCTGACTGTTTCCACCGTGTGCTCAATTAATGGGGTTGGTCGTTTTGGTCAACGATCCATCTCCTCATTGTCGCGAAATGTTCGGCGCAATGCTTCCGGGCGGGAATCCAATTGACGTCCGGACTCGGTGTAACTGGATCAGAGTCGAGCGGATGTTTCGTCCAGCATTGACATCTCGATTCCAAATCTACGAAAAAAGGGGGTTAGAAAATGTGATACAGCATGTCAAAGCGCATATAAGATTTACCACCGGGCGGTTCTGCATCATTTCACATTGCTCGCAGCGTCTGATAGGATAAATGGTCCTTCGATAGTTGCGTCGTGCTTGATAAAAAGTAAAAATGTAAGAGCCGTACTGTATGTTTCAAGGGTGAGCGTGATTAAATCGTACTTACCGACTAACTGGCGCTCTGGGATTCACTAGTGAAATGCAGAATGATGCCATCATCATTGAGCATCGATGTCGCGAATGATTTTCGCCACGGAGACGGATCTTCTTGGTCCTGTAAAATAGAAACGATAATATTAACCGTTTGCGTTATTTACATAGTTAATTTTTGACTTACTTGTGCGGGCATCGTGTCACCGTTTCGTCACGCACTTCAAAATATATGATATTATATATTATGAAGATGAAAATTTATCGCTTTTCCTTAAAAATAATAATAATAAATCCGTAAAAATGGTGCGGTTTCCGCAATTGCTACACATGACACTTGTGCGGAACTCATCCACACACAAGACCGGAGCTTTTCTCGTAAGAACCTAGCGGAACGTCTAGCAAGAAGAAATTGAGTTTCCAGTATACGGATATGTCTCAAATAAAATATATTGTACCTTCACCGGCAATGGGGCATGACCTTTGTATGACGGCTTTAAGTCTGCATCCCCGTATGCCACCAATACGGGTTGCAGATCCGCTGGTGCCTCCGTAGCCCGCCGCTTGCGTCGGCGTTCCTGCTTCCTCTGACGGGATGTGTTCTTGTGCACCGATTGTAGAGGCTGAGAAGACTCTGTATGAGAGATATGCTTACTTTTCACAATATACTTGTACACTAACAATCGCCGCTTGCGGATGCATACCCACCAGTTTGTCTGCCATGACATTCAGGGTCATGTTTCTTGCTCGGTACAACGTGCATCGGTTTTCGCGATGACGATAATGACATTTAAACTGAAAAAGCCTGGAATATAAAAGCACTATCAGTGATTAATAGCAGTCGCCGGCCGGTTACGAAAAAAAATGTACCAGTCATGATTAAGGGTCACTGTACCACTGTAACGGAAGAAGTCATGGACGGTCAACGCAGACGGAGTTGGTCGTAGACCTCCTGCATGTTCGCGGCGGAACGGTTCATGAGTTCCACCTGCGCGGACCAACGGAGCATGGACGAACCTCTGTAGTAGATACAAGCTTAGTTTTACTTACAATGTACGATCCTCTGGAAACACTTGCTGGTAATACCCGTTGGTGACGGAGTACGTATGTTCTCGACGCATGTTCCGGTCGTGCAAGTTGGCATCGGTGTCCACGGCAGAGACGACGGAGCGAATGCCTAACATCCATACCAAGGTCAGATATTCCCATCAAGCATATAGAAAAGAAGAAAGTAACAAGTACCGGGATCGATGTCAACGACGCGCGACTGGTGGAGTCGCTCCACGGTGAGGCCTTGGGGTTCTTTGTTGAGAAGGTAAATTCCCTGCGTCACAGTGGACAAATCTGGCCGCCGTTTCGTGAACCGAAATTCACGACGGGAGGACGGTGAAAGATGAAAATAACATTAGACAAGTCAATAAATTTATTGGTATTACTTAGAATTTTGCCAGGATACTGTACTTGGAAAGCTGCACCCACGACGGTATTCATGTGTTGCTGTTTATGGTTGCCCAAACTTTCAAAGCTTTTGTATAACTTGATATGGGAGTCATATTGCTCCAGTGTCGGTGGCACCGTGACAAACATCGCGATAAAGGCCAAAATCCAGGCCGTTGAAACCAGTTTCCGATTCTGAGGGGACCTTTTTAAGCGACTAAATGTCAATGTTATTGTGGCAACCACAGGTGAGACCTCTCTGGACCAAAATGCTCGAGAAGTATATTGGTTGATGATGCAAGTCTAGGAAGCTACCCTTCAACTTTGTATATTACAACATCATTGAACAACGATCACCCATAAGAACATTTGAAAAGCAAAGAATTATTGAAAAGAAAAAAGCACACTTATCCAAATTTCAGGAATTCGGCTGTTTTTTTTTCCGCGTTCATGAGGAAACTCCAAATTGGATTTTTTTCCCGATTTTGCTACCTCGGTTTAGTTTGAAAAAGCGCGGGAAAACTGTCACTGAATCATCTTCTCTCGATAAGCAAGAAAAATGTCTTTAATCGCCCCCAATAACCCCCCTTTTCCTGCCTATCGCGCCACAGATAAAGAATGTTTTGCCTATGACAGCACCATTAGACGTTGGCCCATTATCTTAGACAGTGTTATTTCTGATGTCGAACAAACACTAGTGGAAGAGACGAATGAAGCCAGCCAAGAAGAAGGACGGGTTATCTTGAAAGCTGTCAGAATTTTGAAAGAGGAAATCGCGGCAGACAAACCCCTCAGGTAAGAAGATTTGTAAAATTGATAATTACTTATCGGCTGACAGTATTCACAATTATCTGCAGATTACTCAACGATTCAGAAGACGATGTCGACACTTGGAACGGTCATATCCAGAAATACTTTCCCGATGTTACGTGGTTTACCGGCACTTGGTTATTTAATGAATGCTATTTGTACAGACGGCTGCGAGAATGCATCAGCATGACAACTCACTGGCGCGATTATGATCCCTTTGAACGTCAAAAAATTCAAACCTTCCGTGGCTCCCATGCATCTGTTTTCGAACTTGCACGAAAGATGTCGGCAATGACTTACCCTATGACCGAAGAACAACTGGAAATAATCTACGACGAACTTGTGCAAGTGTGCTTATGGGGCAACGCTACCGACCTAAGTCTGCTAACTAATATGACGGAAGAAGATATCAAGCGACTGCAAGCGATCGAAAAGGAGCATATGGCAGCACAAAAGAAGCTGATCGTGGTGGATGACATTGACGTGGTCTGGGGCAAAATCAAGACGTTGCAAAACAGCCGCGTCGATTTTATTCTGGATAATTCAGGTAAACTAAGCAGTAAAAACATGTATTCAAAAAATAATAACTGATGCACGGACTTCTATTCAGGTTTTGAAGTGTTTGTGGATTTCGTGTTTGCTGACTGGCTTTTGCAGTCTAAGAAGGCCTCGAAAGTGGTATTCAACTGTAAGACGATTCCTTGGTTCGTATCCGATGTGATGCCAAAGGATGTCCCTATTCTTTTCGATTGTTGTTTCGACCGTGATTTCTTCCCCCAAAAAGAAGAACGATCGGAAGAAGATTTCGTGGCTTTGAAAATCATGGCTCAGCGTTGGAAAGATTATATCGCCAATGGTCAACTAATCATTCAAGCGCATTCATTTTGGTGTAACGGGTTATCTTATTGGTATCTGAAATCCGAAGCGCCCGATCTTTTTGAGGATCTCAAGAAGTCAAACCTTGTTATTTTCAAAGGTGATCTGAATTTCAGAAAGTTGGTTTTCGATTGTGAATGGCCTGTGACGACATCATTCCGCAAAGCCATTGGAGAGGATATGGCCGAAAAGTTCACCAGCATCGTCACGTTGCGCACAAACAAAGCTGATACCATCGTCGGTTTAAAGGAAGGCAAACAAGAGGAAATTGAAAAAGTAGCTACCCCTTATGAATGGCGCTGTACCGGAAAATACGCTGTCGTTCAATACAATGAACCCCAACAAAAAGGGCAAATGTAAACTAGAATAAACCACCTTCATAGACTGTGCACTGCTAAATGAATGAACCTCCAAATAAACGCAATGTATTAAGTATGATTGCGAACTGTGCTCAGCGTAACGGCTGCTACAGCAGTAACCTTGGGTATTGATAGTTGCCGACTTTAAAGAAAGGAACCCAACGATCAATCACACGAAAATTGAGCAATAGATGGATATTTTTATCATTCATTGCAGTTAGCCGCTTTTTGCACCATTGCTTCTATTTCATATTACAGTGCTGTTCTGAAATAGTGAACATTCAATCGAGCGGTCACCATGACACTAAGAAAGAAAGCACAGGCAAACTGAACGAGCAACTTCCAAGGAAGGCTGCATGCCTTAAGCATTGAGCTTGTTGCCACGCATAGATAGATGGTTTTGTCAGCCCGATCATCAGCAGTGTAAAATAGAACACATCAGACAAAATCGGTATAATTGCTTCTGTCGCCATAAGGGGAGCACAGTGCTCTGTTGGGCCAGTTTGCTATCACTCAACGCAGTTTTTGAAGCCTGGCATAACTTTGATCAAAAACTACAGACTCAATACCGGTGAAGCCTGACCCAGATGTGCACATCAAACCCAATATAACAAATGCTGACGCAAAAATAGTTTACTTCGCTCTTGCCTCATCCCAAAATGAGAGACATCTTCCCTTCGAGCTGCCTCCATGCACCTAATGTGACTATACGAAACTGATTTACATACAGAGTCCGCCCAAAAAAAAGAGCACACAAATAAATAAGTGGCATCTGATAAGACTCACCAACTGTAGCCATCACATGTTTTTACTACGTGGAAGATGTGCGGGTGAAAATTGTTGGACCCTCTCGGCCATTGGCCAAAGTAGCTGCGATCAAATGAATATTGCGACTAGCGTTAACGTCACGCTACCATAGTGTGTTACAGCTAGTACAGTACTGCACACTATGCATCAATCCGCCGCCGGGAAGTCGCACTTGTTCCAATGTCTTTTGTCCACACCGCGAACACACCTAAAGCTTTATGTCAGCTGTGTATCTTTATCATCTTCATCAAGCGGAAAGCCGTACTTTTGAAGTATATATTCACTTATATTGCGGTGACCAGCGATCCTTCACGTTCCGCCCGCCGCAACAAGGTCCGGTGTCTGTTGGCAAGACCTGTTGGTTTTCCTCGCATGGACTGTCTGAATACCGCGTCTTCCATGGCTATTAGAGGAAATCTTGTGAGCGGCCCATGGTTAGCTTTCGCCACTTGTTGGACCTAGAAAAGCCCTCGCCTTGTGAGTTGCAACTGTGCAAGAATCGTGAAAAAGAATGGGGTTTCAATTGATGTTGTTACCTTACTATCTTTTCTGTCCTTTTTCTTCTTTTCTTCTTGCTTGCGTGCAGTGTATTCTTTACCACCGTTGAACATGGTGTTCACGAGCTCGCTTTCCGCCTTTTGCTTGCCAATGTAGTTCAAGAAACCGAGCGAGGAAAAGCGATCATTGTAAAAATTCAGCATGGAATCCAGACCCTGGGATAATTCTTGGGCATAACGGGTAATGTTTGCTGTATGAGACGACTTTCGTGACGGCAAATCCCGCTCAATATCAGCAATGGTTCGTCCATCAATCGCTGTCTGCTGTTTCATCGCAAGCATCGTCGCTGCCGATTATCCCCGAAATGTGGTGTGTTTGTTGGCCATGTCCATCGCTGGCGACGAACATTTCCGTGATCCCTAGATCGACTCCCCATAGATGGAAAGGGCTGTCAAGTTCAGCGGTAGTAAAATCTTCTATGGCTAGTTGTGGCAGGCTTTGAAGCTTTCGCATGTGAGAATACAATCCACACCGTACCCGTCTGTTCGAATGGTCCCTGCAAACAAAGGTCGGTTGTCTACCTTGGCCTCTTCGTGACTAATTGCATCCATTCTGGTTATTTATATGCTCATACATTTCCCCAGATTCAAACTTACCGCAACTTGGCAAAATTGAATATAGCGCTAAACTGTGCGAATGCTATTTCACGAGCTGGAAGGAGTGGAACGCGTGCTTTGAGCAATAACGCCCTCAAGCTTGTAAATCGACCGCTACATATTGCCTGCGAAAGTGTACATCGGTATCAATGGAAATACTCGGCTTTCTTTGACGAAAGCATATGATTGGGGGCAGAAGCAGGTGCTGGTATCGATCGCAGTTGTACTGCGTTCCTCAATGTCCAGTAAATATTTTTTTTTCAATTCGCAATAGCACTTTTGGCTTCGTTGATAGTGGTCCGCAAGATTTCAATAGAGCGTTCGGATAGATATGTGAAAACCAATGGGGGAACTTCTCCAGAGCTTTTGACTTTTGCAACTATTTGACGCACCAAGCAAGAACGAGATTGGCGGGGAAGAATGGAAAATTCCTCGAGAGACGTAATGAGCGTTCGCACCCATCCGTTGTTGGCTTTGGTTTGTACAACTTCAGCGCTGTTGATCTGCTCGGTATTGAAATTTTCATATTCACGCAAGATAGTGCGCAAAAACGGCAAATGTTTTCCTGCATGCGCCGAGAGGGTCTTCACATTGGTTGGTTTTGGGACGTTATCAAAGAGCTGGCGAAAATATCGCCGACTGCGGAATTGAGCAAGTCTGAACGTTCAATGGACGATGGCCATTCTGGCGAGTTTGCTGGATTATTGCACGAATCATAAATGTAGCAGGCAATTTTTTCAGCATTTTTCTTGGTAAGTTCCTGACAATATGTGATATAGTGACATGTTGAAATAGCATGGTAAGTAGAGCTTACTTGAACAGCACGCTGCAATTTAAAGCGAAAAAATCGGATGGTTCGATGCTCAAAACTTTCAGTGACCGAGTTAGAAAAATTGCTGTGGATTGATCGGCCAAAGAATCCAATGCGTGCTTATAGCCGGGTATATGTGTCAAAAAAGATGCTTGTGGGCAATGTCCAGCGTATTCCTGATAGCGTTCGGTCATGCTTTGCTTGGGTATCTTGATGTTGGTATTGGTGATATCCTCTCCGTGGATGAGCTGTATGCATGCGTTAAAGAAATCTTGCGAGGACAAAATGGGAGGGACTTCATGCTGGGTATCAAGCAAATCCAAAATGTAATACATTGCAAACGCTAGTGATTTGAGAGCTGCTGATTGCCAATAATCAACAAAAACGGTGACCTTGCAATTATTGCTTTCCTGGTTCTTCTAAATTCAGGAAAGTGGCGAGCCCGATTTTCTTGACAAAATTACTGCGATCTCTTCCGAGTAATAAATCAAGACGCTCTTTCGGTGAGACGAGTGAAAGGACAGTATCGCGGTATTCGTGAAGAATGGTCCCAAGTTTCGTTGCATTTCTAGTGCTTGCTTTTCATCCTCTAATTTTTTCCCCCTTTTGGCCGGCCCTGGATCACACCAATGTGTCTATTGCAATCGATGTTCTTTGCTTCATGAAAACCAACAGCGATGACAGTATTACTGTACCTTTTCTGTTATTCCTTCTTTTCGGCTTCAGCTTTGAGCTGCTCTTGCTTCTGTATCTTCTTCTTCCGAATAAGTTTTGCCGCTAATTTGAGGAAGTGCTGATGGGGCTTTTGTTGCTCTTTTGGAACACTGATCTTCTTCTGGCACCCGTGCTGCCAAAGGCAATGCCTGTAAAGCACGACTGAAGTTTGAAGGGCCCGCTGCGCCATAATCTAAGTGCCTTTGTAAACGTTGGCGACTTCCTTCGATTGCTGTCTGGATCAGGGCTTGCTCATCCACGTCCTTTTCATCTCTAAATTGTTGGCTGGGAATGGCGTATGTAGCTCGTTGCTTCCTATTAAAATATTTAGCGACTTTGCACCTATTTGCTATATTGTATAGTGCCCTATGTCTTTTCGGTTAGACATGGAGAAGAAGAGCGATAAATAGACTCATGATTCTTCATGCGAGATATTTAATAAAATGATCAATGCCAGTGTGATCACTAGAAGTATGTTGATCGATCCAGCATCACTTTTTACGATCATCATTTGGGGACTTAGACCCAAGTTCATTAGATATTAGAAAGCTTAGTCTCACGTATAACGCCGTCCAGCGTTTACTCGTAGATGATGCAGCTCAAAGTTTGCTTGGTGGTTTTTGCTATAAACTGACATCAAAGATTACCTCAAGAAATACATCGCAATCAGGAACAATGCTCGCCTGATTCAGCTACTGATTTTGCATCGCGTAATGATATTATTGATGTAACATCAACACCCAAACTAACATTATGATAAATTATATTTCATGCGAATTTCTTGATCCACCCTGCGGAACATGTAATCTGATCATACGTATATCTCCTTTAACAAGCCGTATACCGGCTGTGCAATGGATGCCACCTGCTACTGGACGTCACCCCCTTACATTGAGCGACATTCTTCAGGCAAAAAGCCTAACACAATACGGCATAATCTGGGCGAGACTCTTGATGGGACTTCGGTATAGTAATGACAACCTTAGGGCATATGTTGCAGCATGAGTTGATTCTGAATATGCGCAAAGCAGCACAGCACACCCCCCCCACCCCTTGTTCCTTCCAGCCCAAGGTTATGATCATTTAGTAAAATGACTGCGAACAACTTCTAAACATCGCCAGCGAATAAAAATTCCAGAAAAAAACAATTGTTTCCTGATCTTTTGTGAGTTACGGTCGAAAAAGGTAATCATTTTCGACCCTATTTCCCTATTTTATTAATAGAGAACCGTAGATACATTTGACCTTTCATCAGTGATTACTGTGTTTCACATATTGTAGGGTATAGGAATCAGGCATTAACGCAATCACAAGATATTCCAGTCTTTCGTCCATCGCTGAACCACTAATGACTTGCCATACTCAATCTAAGCACCCGAGAAATCGAGAAATTTTGTGATCTTTGTTTATAGAACTTTCATGCTAAGGTTTTCAGGGAGGGAACTATGAACGCCTCTTGTAAGATAGGAATTAGTACGGGTCATATTATATTGAATAGTATAGCTACTGTAAAGTTATTGTAATGGGATTACAATTGAGTTGTATGGCGCCTGTCTCCTCTGGAGAAGGTACTCGTTTTGCTATTTGGAATCGGCCTCAGGACAATGCAATGGTTTATCTGTCTGTCTGATATCTATCAACATCTGTGAGATCTACTACAGTCAACTCAATCCCGAGTTTGAATTACATGAAAGCATGAATAATTTATAAGATATTAGAGGTCAGTAGAATGCGTAGCTCGCAAGCTCCTCTTCGTAAAGCCACACAAAATGTCGCTGGTTATGTCCATAATAACACTGTGGGCCGTGTTCTGCAGGGAATGGAGTAAATCTTCACAAGTAGCTCCGAGAAAACCGCATCTGACGTAATTTCACAAGTGAGAAAGGGTGCAATTAGCTAGAAGCTAGAAAACATAAAGACTGGACCATTGACGACTGGAAGAAAGTCTTATGGACCAACGAAGCGACTTTCGAACTGGGAGAGAAGAGCGGTCAGATTCGTGTATGAAGAAAGAAACACGAACTTAACAATTCGAATTGCTTAGCCCTTACCTTCGATAATGGGCGATCTACACAGATGATCTGGGGCGGCATAATCCACGCTCAGAAGACTGAAATGTCCCTTTTTAAGAAAATACAGTCGCAACGAAAGAAGTTGCAGAACCAAAAAAAAGGGCTTTCCGTTGAATTTGTGTATGAAGGTTCATTATCATTCTTTTTTTGCCACAAGATATGACACTTCTCTACTAATGGAAGGTGGTGCACGTATCATTAGAGTGTCGGCTCCAAAAACTGGATTCAGGAGCGCGGAATCCGCCAGCTGGATTGGCCAGCAATCTCAGAACTTCAACCCTAATCAAGCACTTATGGCAAAAAATGAAGGTCAAAATAGGATGACGCTGGAGCACTTTCGGTGCGTAATCTTGGAAGCCTTGGACAGCTTGGAAGACTGGAACAAGCTGATCGAGCCATATTGGCCAGATATGAGCAGCGCTCGATGCCAAAGGTGGTAACACCCGGTGGTAATTGTCAGTTTGGCCAGTTGCTCTACTTATTCCCGTTTTTCTTTCTTTCTTTTTGCTTTACATATAGTATGTACATATTTTTGAATAGTACAAGTGTCCCATTTGATGCGCGTAGCATTGTTTATCAAGGAGAAAGAACTATAAGGCTGTAGAAGTACCATGAGGAAGTGAGGGAAAAAATCGGGAGAAATTGAAAATTGTCTCTTTTTTTTTTTTTTGGTGCGGCACTGTACTATCGAACTGCGCCACCTTACAAGCAAAACAAGGTAAAACATACTTATAGCAGAGTTTACATGATTTGGAAAAACTCCATAACGATCTGTATTTACAAAGGTCAGAAGGAGAAAAAGGAATAAGTGTCGACATGATGGGGTGTAAAAAAAAAAGCAAGCGGCTACACTATTGTTCACCAGGCCGTTTTGCATTGCAAGCAACAATTTTAACCTTATCCGCTGACACAGCTTCTTGTTCAAATTTGAAATTGGGATTTTCAATAATGAATGTCCAGACATCATCGCAGAAACGGTACGTATGCAAATGACCCTATACATACAAGGTCAATCTCGATTATCATTAAAACTAATATCGTAATCGTACCTTAACAGTAGCTTTGTTTCTCACCAACTGCGCTAAGGATTCAGAAATGCTTTTATCGAATGTAGTTAACACACGCATGGCTAACTGCGGATTGATGTGGCCACTTTGAATTAGTTCATCCAAAGAATCGGTCAATGCCATGCCAATGCTAAGTATCATCATATATTTAGTATCAAAGATTCTCTCAGACGTTGTATCGACTGTCAATATACCTGCTTCGACGATATAATTCATAAAACGGAGTGGCAGACATTTTGGTAAGTGGTCAAAGAACTATGCTTTTTTTGTTTGCCTCCGCTTTTGAGAGGGTTACCTGATTTTTCGTCGAAAGACGGAGTTCGAAAATAAAAACCACCACGCAAAATGAAGTGGCCTTGCCTGTTTATGCCGCTCAAGCCCTTATTTTTTTAATTCGTTCTTTCGATGCTACTTTTACGTTGTCAGTAACTGAAGAATATCTGATGAGATTTCAATACTAAATTATGAAACATTTATCATTTAAACGCGGGGGATTTGACTGACGAAATGCAAGCTACTAGAAAGTCAACTGTGCTAACATGTGGATTATCATAACCTTCTTGTCAGATAGTTTGAGCGAAAGAATATTTATTGAGAAATATGTGAATTTACGGTATTTTGATCAGTTGTTATAGGAATTATGCCTGTTTTCGTCTGTCATATCAGCTCTGCTATCGTATTACGTATTCCATGCAGTCGGTGGCATTGATTCATTGTAAGATATGTTCATCTTTCGATATCCGACTCCATATAATGCATGCCTTTTTCTGTTTCTTTCATCATTTTGATTCAGACAAAAATTTTGTATCAAGTTGTTGTGATTATTAGATCGTGGATGGACAAATTCAATGGTCAATGAAAAACAATTATAGACCAAATCCTCGGCGGCGGGGTGTTCGTATATCCCTCAGACCTGGAGTGGCAATGCGTGCTGCTCTTGTGGTGTTTAATCGTGCCTGAGCTATCCGAGATTCTTCCTCCTGCTCTTTTTCACGAGCTATTTCAACATAATAATGAGTACATTGGATAACACCAAGAAAGATGACTACGTACCTAATTTCATCTCCATCTCCATGTTCAATTTAGATTCCGTAGCAATATTGGCCAATCGTTTCTCCTAAAGCATCATCGATGAGAAAGCAATCTTTATACCCGCTGAACACAAATCAGTTACCTTATGACCGTAGTTTTTATCGCGATCACGAATTGAAAAGAACATCGGACCTAATTCGGCCAACCAGAATGGATCCACAGCTGTTACACATTGCATATATTCTTTGGAGGTCAAGATAAGCTCGTGGTATACGACATAGTCAGGTGTGAAACCAGCACCGAATAGAGCGCTTGTTGGATGGAGATGACACTTCATACCAGATCGACAGTTAATATATTCACCAATTCCCTTCAATCTCGCAGCTTGATGGAAGTAAGCGGAACAGATACATTTTCTGCAGTAGATGAATCAGCATCATATAACTTCAAACGCTCTTCAATAAATTTACAACAATTACCTCACTACATCCCAATCTGTACCGCACGACACATAAGGCATTTTGATGGTTTTCATGATATCCATCAGTTGAGACCGAACTTCTCTTGCTTTACGCATGGCTTTCGCATGAATAAAATGCCTGGTGCACCAGTCATCACGATAACTAGCAGTAAAAAAAATGAATATCCAGGAATTGTATGTCCTGATGATTCATAGTGTCTTAATCGGGACTTACTGATTCGATTTCCATTGGGTGTACACATGCAGAAGCGTCAAGTGATCACTTTCCGGAACAAAGAACTTTTCTCGAGCAGCATCGCTTTCCTCCATACGTTCTTTCGGTCGATAAAATACAGACGGCACAGATAGCATTGACACAATAGTCTTTAAAGAAAAAGAATGAGGGAAAGCCGCTTTTAAGATAGGAACAGGTCGATCCCAGCTTACCAATACTTCGGCAGTACATCCTTGTTCTTCAGCCGTAATCAACATTTTGGCTAGGGAGGGATCCAAGGGAAATTCGTTCATTTTGCTGCCTGCAGGCGTCAATTCGCCCGTGTTATCGAACGCTCCAAGTACCCACAGTTGATACATCGAATTTAGGATATTTTCCTGTCAAAGCGTCAAAGCGTCAGTTGATTGGCATTATAAATGATTGAAACATAACTGACCTGTGGAGGCGGATCCATGAAATCGAACTGTAGCAGGTTTTTGACACCCAAAGATTTCAACTGAAGCACCACACTCGCTAAGTTTGTACGCTGAATTTCAGGAATAGTATTGAAAAACATCTCATTTCGGTACGCTTCTTCCGTATACAAGCGATACGCCACACTAAATGAGATTTGTTTGTCAGTATTTTGCTGCTATTCACTTTACAAGTAGAACACACGACTTACCCAGGTCCAGTTCTACCAGCACGACCGCTTCGCTGATTTCCATTTGCTTGACTGATAGGAGTGATTTGCAAGGCATCCATACCAATCCTTGGGTTGTATACTTTGAGCTTACAAAAACCAGTATCAACAACATACATGATACCGTCGACTACGCACAGAATAGTTACTCATCAAAACGTCATCTTGTTCATTCTTCCTCATCGTACCTGTTAAAGACGTTTCAGCAATGTTTGTTGCAACGATCACCTTTCGGGCATTGTTTTCGGAACGTTGGAAAATTTTCGCTTGTAGATCAGCAGGCAACTGGGAATAGATCGGTAAAATGGCCAATGGAGGCGGAGAATCAAGTTGCTCCATGCGTTCTGCAATATTTCAGAAATTCAGTTCGTACATCCATTTATTTGAGCACCAAACAAACAAAATTATGTTCGTAACTTACCCTTCAATACTTGGCATGTAATTTCAATGTCTTCTTGACCAGTCATAAAAATTAGTACATCGCCCGCAGGTTGTGACAAATGAATTTGCAATGTTTGCTTGACAGCGCTGTCCACATAATCTTCACAAGGTGTTTTGCTGAAGTTGACATCGACAGGAAATGTACGACCTGGGATGTAAAAACAGGGAGCATTACCGAAAAATTGGGAGAACTGCATAATTTGGTCAGACAATAATAGCTCTTTTTACTTGGTCGACTTTCCTCAACTTACCCTTTCGGCATTCATTGTAGCCGACGTGACAATGAGTTTCAGATCTCGTCGGCGGGCCAGCACTTTACGGATGGATTAACAACGCGGCAAACAAGCTGACCTTTCAATACCTACCTTTCTTTAAAAGTCCCATCAGGACGTCGGTGTTTAAAGCACGTTCATGCGCTTCATCCATAATGATGGCACTGTATTGGTCTAAATCCGGAGAGTTCATCGACTCGCGCAAAAGAATACCATCGGTCATATCTACACATGATAATATTAACACCAATGGTTTCACAAAAAAACAATAATGCCAACTTACATCGGATGACGGTGTTTTCGGACGTTTGATCTTCGAAACGAATCGTGTAACCCACAAGGTCGCCTAATTTTGTCTATGGCATGTTCATTCAATTAGATCCGTTCAGCACTCAAAGCGATAACTTGACATGAAATGACATGACATACCCCCATTTCCTCTGCTACACGCTTAGCCACCGACATTGCAGCCACACGTCGAGGCTGGGTACAGCTGACTTTGCCATAGGTCGTATATCCATCTTCGTGAAGATACTGCGTCAATTGAGTGGTTTTACCAGAACCAGTTTCACCAACAATAATGACCACTGCAATCAAAAAATCAATAACCGCTATACGTCAGTCTCTTTTATTCAAGTGAAACTTACCTTGGTTGTCACGTACAACTTTCAAAAGTTCTTCGCGAACGGCAAATACAGGCAAAAATTCTCGTTGTTCTCGCATGGTTCTTGTTCGCGCAAATTCACTGACCGCTTCCGAGGATTTCAAATGTTCAGCAAATTTCGAGTCTCCTCGGGAACCGTCCTCCGATTGGTCATCTGTCATCAAGGATTAGTTTAAAGTATTTCATACCTCAAATGAAGCCAAACACATACCTTCTGTTGGTTTATTTTTAACGCCCATAAGATTACCCAATACCGTGCCTGCAATATCAAGCTTTGTCGCTTTTGCTCGTTCTGATTGCTCTCGCTTCTCTTTAACTAGCCGGCTCCCCTTCCTCGAAATGATAGCCAAATCAGATGTAGGATCTCGAACGTGCTGTACAGCTTCCAATTGTTTTGTGAACACCATCCGTCCGTCAAGGAAAGGTGGTTTGATATCATGCACGAGCACATGAACACGATTCTAGCACACAAAGTAAAAAATCCGGCGCCCTTTTCTTAATTTTCTCGTGCATTTCCTAACATACCTCGTTATCTTCCTCAAAGTCGGTATCCACTTCGCGCCTCTGAGCAACACCACTACTCAACATTCGACTAGCTTCCCACATGTCGGTGTCACGGTTATACTGAGCTTGACGAGCAGACAATTTTTTGAGTTGTTTTTGAGCCAATTCTTCCTCTTTTTGCTTATCATGCGTCTCATACTCGGCAAATGGGTTGTGTGTTTCGTCCATGGCCTAATTTCGCCCAGTGAATACCATGCTGTTACTAAGTTGTGACACCGAACCCCATACTTACTCCAGATTCTTCCATATGATACCAATCCCGGTCCAACTGCGCCTGTTCCTCTTCCCAACGCTGACGATCGTCATCATCTCCGGGATATTCCTCCGGGTATTCCAAAGCTACTTCGTCATAAGCTGTCGATCTCACAGCCGGAGTCATAAAGTCCAAATCACCGCGTGTACTGCCTGTAGCACGCCTTGGCGTCATTCCTCCTGTGGATAACCGAGGCGTGAACGATCCTGCATCTTCTCTGGGAGTCATACTAGCCCATTGGCTGCGTTTGATCAAGCCGCCACGACGAGGGGTCATCGAAGGATCTTGCTGGGGGCTGATCTCCTGACTCTCCTTTTTTAAAGATCTTCTTTCATCATTCCTACTGCCGTCATCACGATCAAGGCGACGATGCGATGAGGACGACGAATGGCGATCACCTCTGGATCGACGCTGACTATCCATGTCATCCTTTGTGGAACCATAAACCGCACCACCTAAGCTATGCGGTCAGTTTTTTCTTACCCAACCAGCCAACTCACCCATATGCTCTGTACCTCTTGATCTTTCTTTGCGTTTCATATTTTCCATACGCTTGAGGGCCACTTCCGAAATACCACCAGGGTTAGACGGCGTTTCCATGCGTTGAGACCGATAATGACCACGGTGCTTCGTAATGTTCTCTGTAGATATACGTACATCAGCTACGCACAATAAAGTTGATCAATGTTAACTTACCCGCATCGTCCACGGTAGAAGAGTCATCATCCCAATTCGATGTGGAATCCAACTTTACTTTCTTTTCGGCATACTTCTCTTTTTGAGAAGCTGCAGATTCTGCTTCCTTGGCCGCTTCTGCCAGACGTTTCTTGCGCGCTAATTCATCCAAACCGAGTAGTGATCCTCGCGCTGGCGGAGCCTTGAAGATCGGTCGTTCCTACAACAAGATCCGGTTAATATCATCTCTAATGGCCATACTCCAGCTACGTACTTCAGCCGAGCTTGACGATTTGTTTCGAACGATAAGGCCGCCCGGGAGGTTGTTGCCTAACATCAAGACTTCGCTTTTGGTGCCATCGGATACCACAGCTTTCTGTGAGCCAGCCGAGCTTTGTTTTTGAGATTGGAAATAGTCGCTGATCTTCGTGTAGATGTTCTGCAAAAATTCAGAGTTGAATCTTCCAAAAGTTTGACAAGCTAAACATAGTCAGTGTTAGTTTAATTATCCCGTTTTGCGTCAGAACAGTTCCAAATCGTCTGAATACCTGCTGCGAATTTCTCAAAATTCCTGTCATTCTTGGCGATTTGGACAACTCGTTTCGCTAAAAGATCGTTCGGGTTGGTGAGATTTAGTGCGCGTGAAAAGTCGATAGCGATTTCATGCACAAAATCAGCATGTGGTTCTTTTTCTTGCGCCATATTCGTTTCTCGCCTTTTCCCGAGTTTGCAAAAGCTTAGAGGACTTTTGGGACAATCACTGCAATTTGCGAATTTTGTGACCACAAAATTTTTTTGGTTCCCCTACAAATCAGCATGAACGGAAATGCCTGAAATACCAATAGTGCCAGCCGAAAAAAATACAAGAAATGCAATTGTTTTTAGAGAAGAACCATAACTAGTAATTTGTGTAAACTGCGTCTGTGTCTACCCAGGCCGACGTTATCTCTGTAGATTGTCACTAAATCATTTTCGCAACTCCATCAGCGACATAACACTATGGATTTCACAAGGTTACGGTCGAATAACAGCAGTCGTACGTTTGTCAGCAGATAGATTTGTAACCACAATATTGTCGATGCTGCTAATAGGCTACATTAACCAAGAGAGCAGTTTATATCGACGCACGTTACGCTCCAGCTCCTAAAGTTATATGATGATTCTATACTCATTGCTCTCCAGCCGTGACCCGGTTTTCTATTCCCTAGTCTGTACAGCGACAAGCAGCTGTTACCGTAAACCATGGAATCCCGCTAGGGCGATGGTTCCCCTATTCGATCTGCACTTACGTCGCATTGCCAGACCTTGTTGCAAGTCTCGCACGTGAAACACGGGAAAAGTGTGTATGACAGTAAAGCGTTATAATCTCGCCACGGTCCAAACTCTTTTTTTTTCGCTGTTCGTCATAGCTGCCAGAGACCCTGCGACAAAACAGCAAAGCTAACACGCTGTTGAAATGCCCACAAAGAGGGGGGCTTTGAGCACGCAGGCATGAGTAATGAAGAGGCTGTTCGATGAAGATGACTCGGAGCGATTTTTTTTTATTTTCTGCGCAAGATAAAATAAGCCGCATTGATCTCATCACGATTTAGAAACACGTGCTGATTTTGTTATGCTCTGTAGTCAATACCGGACCATATCAACAGCGGCATGTATATGAATGTAAATAGGACCTCTGTTTTTTTAGGTAATTGATAGTGTAACAGATTGACAAGGTTAACACTATATTATATGAGTTCTAGCTATTGCAGGATACACAGATACATTCCAATTTCTTCAGAAGGCTCGGAAAAAAATTCAGACAGTTTGCTAAATAACGGATATGATAGTCGTTATAATTCAACTCAAGCATCATCTATTTCCAATAAAAATATGTATCGGACCACAAATCCATTTGAGTTAAATAAGTCAAGAAGTACGCAACAGAAGATGTCCAGTTGCATCACGCGAGCCCATAAGTCACAAAACGGAAAATGGAAAACAAGGGTAGATCCCATTAACCTTCTAGACTAAAGACCGTCCAAAATGGTCCTACATACTTCACGAAAGAAACCCATTGAATGTCCTCCAAGACCCGCTGTAAAGTGATTCTGTTGGAACGACAAGCTTGACTAAACTCAAGCCACGCTGAATCACTATCTTCAAAGGAAGCTGCCAAAGACGTCCACGATGATACACATTTATAAACGAGCGATGACGAAAGAGAACCACATCACCTATCAAACAAGTGAACTTGGCGAAACAGTCCCGATTTAAGAAACGGAAAGGAAACCGACAATACTACTGAGCTTAATGCAAACAATCTATCTGACACTGAGGAACTGCACATGTTGTGGAACCTCTCAGAATCTTTAGTATTAAGTGGGTGAAACCGACTATTTATAAAACCGACTCCCACTGGCCAATGATGGAACCAACGGCCATTTCCTCTCCAGCTCCACAAACACCAAGAAGCTTCAGCGACATGTGCAAGTAAAAGATCGTTCAAAATACAGCAATTGACTGCCTTACATAAATGGGATTTTATTGCTCATGTATCATTCAATAGCGAGATATGTGTATATAATGGTCTGCGTTGTGATTTCGGTGTTTTTCCACCCAAATTCGTTATGCCATAACGAAAATATCGCTCGTCTGTCTTGTTTAACAGTATCGTACACCAGCCACAGTAGCGCCACTTGCAGACGTTTCATTTACTTCACAGGGACTCCTGCAAGTCTGTTACTGCACGTACATATTATTTCTTCCGTCACACTCCTTATGACGATGTTCAAGCTTAAACAGTGATATCATCAATTTCTCGCTGCTCAGCATTGGAGCGCAGCAAATTGTGTTCTTATATTCGTTTCAATATTAAAAAAATTGAGTTTTTTTTGAGAATATCTATCTTTTGAACAGTCATACTCGACTTTGAGAGATATTTGTCGCCCCACCTTATGACAAACAATGGGCATGGTTAAGAGGGTGCATTTCGTGGAAATCCGATTGGGCAGTTCAAAAAAATTTGGCGTCATTTGAAAAATTAGTTCTGATGGTGTCGAACCAATCTCCGATTGAAATATTGACGAGCAAGGAAGGTCAGAATTTTCCCTCTTTCCGCTTAATCTTTTTCTTCTTCAGCCATTCGTTTTGCTTGTGACTGATTGCGGACGGATATAAACGCCAATATTTATTTTTACGGGACGAGCAAACATATCACTTTACATAGATTGAACATTATATCTAAGCTGCAGTTGCAATGTCGAGTTCGACAGAAACGAAAACCGTTCGATTAACCGTCATTGCCGCTGATGGCCTTGTGAAAAAGGATTTATTTTTCAAGCTGCCCGACCCATTCGGTAAGCAACCGAAGCCATACGACCCTACAAAAGAAACCTTCTCCGTACTAAAAAGTTGAATATAGCTGTGGTGACTGTAGATGGTGAACAGACGCATACGACAACGGTCATGAAAAAGACTTTAAATCCCTACTGGAATGAGAGCTTCGACTTGTAAGTGCTGATGCAACACTCTGTATAGCACTTTATCCTAACCACCACTACCCCACTCTTCTCAATAGACAAGTCACTAATAAGAGTGTCATTGCAGTGCAAGTTTTTGACCAAAAAAAATTCAAAAAGAAAGATCAAGGCTTTTTGGGTGTTATCAATGTCCAAATGGGCGATGTGTTCGACCTTGAAGTCGGGGGTGACGGTACGTTTGAATGTCCCACGCTCAGCCTTCCTTCGAACCATTTGTACTAAATCTACTACTCTTTTTTTCCAGAAATGCTGATTTTGGATTTGAAAAAGTCGAATGCTAATGAAACCGTCCACGGAAAACTTATTCTCAATGTCTCCACCAACGTTAATGTCCCCATTCGCAACGGCACCAATACCCTAGCTCCTGGAACACAGCCCTCTCTCCTTAATGCCTCGCAGTCTTCACTCGTCTCTTCACCTCAAGCCGCAACCTCATCTCAATCCTCAGCAGTTGCTAACGAACGCTCAGCCACATCAGGAACCCCATCCGCCACGCCTGCCAGCACCTCCAACGCAACTGAAAATAACAGACAAAATGATCTCCCACCAGGGTAAATTTATCCTTGATGCTACAATCATCCATGAGAACGTGCAATTGATATATAACAATTATAGTTGGGAGCGACGAGTGGATCATTTAGGCCGCCCTTATTATGTCGATCACAATACTCGGACAACTACTTGGAAACGGCCTTCGTACGTGTGATGAAACAATGCGCTGTGTCTTTTTATGCTACTAACACTTCTTTTTCAACGATGATGTGTTAACAGCGCAAGAACCGCCCAAGATCAACAAAATCTCACTGAAATGGAACGTCGTCGTCATAATGCACGTGGACTTCCGGAAGAACAATCCACGGCTGCCACTAGCTCGACGTCTTTGGACAATCGCTCAGCACAACCTTCTGGTGCCGGTGCTTCCACACAGAACACATCCACCAATGCTGCCAACATCTTGGCCGTTCAAAGCAATATGACGACAGCCGGTTCAGGTCCTTTACCACCAGGCTGGGGTAATTTATATTATGAAATGCAAGCACATTTTTTTTTCTTTTGCTAATTCATTATTTTCCTCGTTCGGTTTTTTTTCCTTTCCTTAGAAATGCGAACTACATCCGGTGACCGTCCTTATTTCGTTGATCATAATACGCGCACAACGACCTGGGTCGACCCTAGAAGGCAACAATACATTAGCACCATTGGACCCGGTTCGAACTTGCAAGTACAAGTGCAACCAGTATCACAGCTAGGTCCTTTGCCTTCGGGATGGGAAATGCGATTGACAAACACGGGCAGAGTGTACTTTGTTGATCATAATACGAAAACAACCACGTGGGACGGTAAGTGTTAGGCAGGATACCAGCTGCAAAGAAAATGTAACCTAATCTTCCCGTCAGATCCAAGATTACCCAGCAGTTTGGATCAAAATGTACCACAGTATAAACGTGATTTCCGTCGCAAACTGATCTACTTCCGTTCTCAACCTGCTTTACGCCCGGTACCTGGTCAATGCCATATCAAGGTCAGACGTGATCATATTTTCGAAGATGCTTACGCAGAAGTAATGCGTCAAGCGCCAGCGGATTTGAAGAAGCGACTCATGATCAAGTTTGACGGAGAAGATGGCCTTGATTACGGTGGTTTGTCGAGGTAAACGGAAACGAAGCATTTTATTGTATTATTATTATTATTTTTTTTTTTTTGGAAAATCTCTAACACCGACCTCGCAGAGAATTCTTCTTCCTGTTATCTCACGAAATGTTCAATCCATTCTACTGGTAATGTCATCATTTGCTATATCCTGGTAGTCGAACTGATGATGCTAATAATGATATTAGTCTCTTTGAGTACTCGGCTCATGATAATTATACGTTGCAAATCAATCCTCATTCTGGTATCAATCCGGAGCATCTCAATTACTTCAAATTCATCGGGCGTGTTGTTGGTCTCGCCATTTTCCATCGACGATTCTTGGACGCATTCTTTATTGTTTCATTTTACAAGATGATTCTAAACAAGAAAGTGACTGTCGCCGACATGGAAAGTGTGGATGCCGATTTCCATCGCAGTTTGATGTGGATTCTGTAAGTGGTTTTGATATTTTGATTTTTTATAAACCTTGGGTTTATCTCAACCTTTTTTTTTCTTTTAGCGATAACGATATCACGGATGTGCTGGATCTTACATTTTCCACGGATGATGACCGATTTGGTGAAATGGTTACAGTGGATCTCAAACCCGGTGGTCGTGACATTGAAGTGACAGAAGAAAACAAAAAGGAATATGTGAAGTAAGATTTAACGCATACATGTCAATCACATTCGTACAAAAACGCTAAATCGGGTTATGTTATTAGCTTGATTACGGAATGGCGCATTTCAAGACGTGTAGAAGAACAGTTCCGTGCTTTCAAAGAAGGCTTTAATCAGCTTATCCCTCAGGATCTTATCAATGTGTTTGATGAACGTGAACTCGAACTTCTCATCGGTGGTATTGCCGAAATCGATGTTGATGATTGGAGAAAGCACACCGACTACAGAGGATATACCGAACAGGACGATGTCATCCAATGGTTCTGGGAGGTAGGTCATGATTGCTGGAACGATCTTCGAGTGCTTTCATTACTTAACGCTGGATTTGTAGTGCGTTCGGTCCTGGGACAGCGAAAAGAAGTCTCGATTATTGCAGTTCACGACCGGTACATCCCGAATTCCTGTTAACGGCTTTAAGGATCTGCAAGGGAGCGACGGACCACGTCGATTCACCATCGAAAAATCGGGTGAAGTCACTCAATTACCGAAAGCACACACTTGGTAAGTTTTTGCATGGGTAAAAAAGGATTTGATCTCGCTCATTAACTTGCAATTATGCTTTGTGTTCCAGTTTCAATCGTATCGATATGCCACCTTACAAATCATACGAATCCTTGGTAGCCAAGTTGACTCTTGCTGTGGAAGAAACAATGGGTTTCGGTCAAGAATAGAAAAACTATTCCAGTAACGATTCCCCGATTGGTTTTTTTTATTTGTTATTATCTTCTCTTGCTCCTTTCTCTCATCTTTTTTCTCTTTTTCTTCCTCTTTCCCTTTCTCTTTGTTCTCAACTGTACTTGCCTGATATTTTGTATCTTTGTATGATTAGCTTCCTTTAATGGGTGAAATTCAAATCTACCTATGCCTAAACTATCGTATCATCGTGTGTCTATATGGTGTGAAATTTAACAACTTTGGTAGACAGGATGGAGAGCTCAGATAATGATGCAGGACAGATGATTTTATTTTTCGTATCACCCAACCTCTGAGCACATTGACCCGAAGATTTACATCAGAAACATGCTCTTCATCCTGTGTCATAGACCAACAACTTACCATACCGTATGACTTGAAGCAGTAGATACTTCGAATGCTTCCAGCAAACTGTACAGAACTATTGTACATTGGCTCAGATGCTTATGAGCCTCAAATGGTAACGACAGTCCCATTCTCAGGCTTGGCTTGGCACCCATGCAGACACGACTTACACCCTTGTTTCTCTCTCTTTCCTCGCCCTTCCCACCAATGTTTTTATGATACTGTGAGAAATTACATCAGAGAGATCGAATTTTGTTCAAGCAATCATCGTCCATAAGTCAGCCGCAATGCACAGTCAAATGTTGGGGAAAATGCGAAAATGCGATGCCCACCTCTAACAAGCCGTACACCCGCTGTGCAATGGATGCCACCTGCTACTGGATGCCGCACTCTTACATTGAGCGACATTCGTCAGACAAAAAGCCTAACGCAATACGGCATAACCTGGGCGAGACTCTTGATGGAACTTTGGTATATTAATGTCAATACTCTGGCATACCATGAAACACTTTTAATGAACAAAGCAGCACTTATTGACCCCCTCCGTTCTGTCCCGCCCAAGGTTATGATAGATCTACAAAGATGTGTGGGAATGTTGGGTATTTAAAAAAAATGAGTTAGTAAGCTCTTTGGTTGATTCAAATTTCGTTGAGATATTTTACCTTTGATGTTTGATGCAGCAGATACCGAGGGCTTCCCGACCGAAATAAAGAAAGGATACAAATATAAAAAAAAAAGTAAATACAATAGGTGCGTCTGCCCCTAAAAACCCTGTGGGAAAAAAAAGGAGGAAAAGACTGCAAGAAGACTATTCACTAAAATACAAAATACATACTACAACTACAAAATAAAATGGTCGGGAAGAAATATCGAAGGCGATACCACGGGCAGCAATCCATATGAGAGGAACCTGGGGAGGACGCGTCAGCGTTTCCCGATGAGAAAGAGAGCCACACGACCGAAGATGTCCTTTGACGACAAAAACCGGATTGGCCACAATCTGGTGCCCGAACAAAGTAGAAAGATTTGGAGGGATGGATGGCTTGAATGGCTTGCCAGGCAAAAGAAAACCGGAGAGAAAACCAAAAGCTAAAGACAGAATAGAGAAAAAGGACAGGTAAATTTTTTCTTGTCGAAAAACGGATAGTCGTATCACACAAAAGGTACCTTTTTTCATAATAATCGAATCGACCGGATCAGATACACGCCATAGTCTGGATGATGGATGATGGATGCAATGATAGTGAGGGATTTCCAGGCAAACAGAAGAGATGCAAAACTAAAGAAGAAGAAAAAATTCGGACAAAAATATGTGATTTTCCATGGATGAAACAATAGTCACCTCACTGATGCATGAATGATGAGCTACACAGATCGAAGCATATCTGCTCCATGTATCATTCGATTACTGAAGAGAATGAAAGGGCATATACAGTATAACTGACAGATAACCCAAATTAAATGATGCTACAGAACACCAGATCGTCGTATCGTCAATCACCTTTCTTCAAAAAAGAGCTCCACTCACATTTTATGTGAACGGCGACGATGCTCTGTTTGACCACAACTGGTGCAAACGGCATCTTGCTGCTGATTGTTTCGCCTATTATCGTGAAAGTGGGCAGCGAGGCATGGTTGAAAGATGAAAAAAAGGTTTAACAGGTCTTGATAACTTAGTGTAGATCATGTGATTTACAAAATCGCTAATTTTTCACCCCTTTGTACCGTCGTCGCAACCAAGGTTCATCTTTCAACCATGCCTCGGTCCCCATCTTGCAACGACAACGATTATCAGCGCTCTACAAGTCATGGTTGCCCAAATTTCTCTCCACGAAACACTTCCACGAATAATAGGCGAAACAATCAGCAGCAAGATGCCGTTTGCACCAGTTGTGGTCAAACAGAGCATCGTCGCCGTTCACATAAAATGTGAGTGGAGCTCTTTTTTGAAGAAAGGTGATTGACGATACGACGATCTGGTGTTCTGTAGCATCATTTAATTTGGGTTATCTGTCAGTTATACTGTATATGCCCTTTCATTCTCTTCAGTAATCGAATGATACATGGAGCAGATATGCTTCGATCTGTGTAGCTCATCATTCATGCATCAGTGAGGTGACTATTGTTTCATCCATGGAAAATCACATATTTTTGTCCGAATTTTTTCTTCTTCTTTAGTTTTGCATCTCTTCTGTTTGCCTGGAAATCCCTCACTATCATTGCATCCATCATCCATCATCCAGACTATGGCGTGTATCTGATCCGGTCGATTCGATTATTATGAAAAAAGGTACCTTTTGTGTGATACGACTATCCGTTTTTCGACAAGAAAAAATTTACCTGTCCTTTTTCTCTATTCTGTCTTTAGCTTTTGGTTTTCTCTCCGGTTTTCTTTTGCCTGGCAAGCCATTCAAGCCATCCATCCCTCCAAATCTTTCTACTTTGTTCGGGCACCAGATTGTGGCCAATCCGGTTTTTGTCGTCAAAGGACATCTTCGGTCGTGTGGCTCTCTTTCTCATCGGGAAACGCTGACGCGTCCTCCTCATGTTGCCCTCATTTGGATTCCTACTCTTGATATCGTCTTTCATGTAAGTATTCTTTTCGCAGTCTTCCCTCTTTTTTTCGCCACAGGGTTTTTTGTGAGATTTTTACTGACGCAAGTTTTATTTTCTTTTATTTTTACTCGGGAAAACTATCGATATCTGGCCTCCAGCTCCAAATTACCGGCACTTCTGACCACATCAATATCTTGGCCCTGCTCAAGCTGACACCACCGCCCCAAAAATATTCCGCCGCTTAACTGTTTCTGCAAGCAATTTTCTTTTTCGCATCGAAGAAGAAGCTTACGTGTGGTCCGTATACATATTTTCTTTCGGCACTAAACCAACCGCAAATGTTCCACTTTCTGGCCCATGTGGTTGACCTGATCATCATTCTTGCATTGGCAGAGTGACTATTGTTTCATCCATGGGAACTCATTCATTTTGTCTTCAATTTTTTCTTTTTCCTTTGGTTTTCTCCCTCTTCCCGTTTACCTGAAAAGCCCTCACTATCATTGCATCCTCACCCGCATCCACATCCATCATCCATCATCCAGGCTATGGTGTATCCGGCGTCTATCTGTAACCGGTCAAGTCGAGTATTATCAAAAAGGTACCTTTTGTGTGATGTGACTATTCGTTTTTCGACAAGAAAAAACTCACGTTCTTTTTTCTCTACCCCTTCTTTAGCTTTTGGTTTTCTCTCCGGTTTTCTTTTCGCTTGGCAAGCCATCCATCCCTCCAAAACCTTTCTACTTTGTTCGGGCACCAGATTGTGGCCAATCCGGTTTTTGTCGTCAAAGGACATCTTCGGTCGTGTGGCTCTCTTTCTCATCGGGAAACGCTGACGCGTCCTCCCCAGGTTCCTCTCATATGGATTGCTGCCCGTGGTATCGCCTTCGATATTTCTTCCCGACCATTTTATTTTGTAGTTGTAGTATGTATTTTGTATTTTAGTGAATAGTCTTCTTGCAGTCTTTTCCTCCTTTTTTTTCCCACAGGGTTTTTAGGGGGTTTTTACAGACGCACCTATTGTATTTACTTTTTTTTAATATTTGTATCCTTTCTTTATTTCGGTCGGGAAGCCCTCGGTATCTGCTGCATCAAACATCAAAGGTAAAATATCTCAACGAAATTGAATCAACCAAAGAGCTTACTAACTCATTTTTTTTTTAAATACCCAACATTCCCACACATCTTTGTAGATCTATCATAACCTTGGGCGGGACAGAACGGAGGGGGTCAATAAGTGCTGCTTTGTTCATTAAAAGTGTTTCATGGTATGCCAGAGTATTGACATTAATATACCAAAGTTCCATCAAGGGTCTCGCCCAGGTTATGCCGTATTGCGTTAGGCTTTTTGTCTGACGAATGTCGCTCAATGTAAGAGTGCGGCATCCAGTAGCAGGTGGCATCCATTGCACAGCGGGTGTACGGCTTGTTATATAGATAATGGTATATGAGTTCGACAAAATGTCTCCGCCCACCTTTTTTTTCTTAATTCCCCACTTTGCCCAACCGGGACCAATCATGTTCAACCATTGTCATTTTATCAATACTTCATGAAATTAGTGACACAAGTGAAGAAGGCTGAAGAGAAATATGCATTCCCCGCAAATATAATACTTGGGATTATGTTAGTGAAAGAATGGCTTGCTATATTCTGATCAAAAGTAGGATGTGTTTCGGCGATTAAAGATTGGTTGGCACTGAGCGCTGCATGATAATGCCATAAAATCACACACCGGAAATACAGTATTCCAAGTGTTTCAGTGGTAGAGAATCCCTTGACTATGATAGAGCTGGTGCGGGAAAACTCGATCCTATGGTGCCTGAAACGGTGCTGTGCTTCGAGCTCCTAATCAGTGGTGACTTTTCTGAATCAGGATCATCATAGAACATAGTAGCCCCTCACTTCCAAGATAATAAGGAGGGCGGTAAGGACGAATTATGATCGCACAGGTGTCGGTGTGTCGTCGGATATGATTCTAGGTATTAAAATGAGATGCGGCACATCCAATAAATACGATTGGCTATATAAAAAGAGCAGCACATCATCAGTGTGAAGTTTTCGTTGGACCTTCTGGACCATGAACAACATGCAAACGTATACTGTAAAATTGGGATCATTTGTTGGTATGCCTGTTGTATGCTGCATGGAATGAGTCCTGATTTGATCCATAAACCGAAGAGAACCTGAGACATGTGCCCAATTCTGGCCAATACAAGAACATACTACATGTTGTTTAATCTTTTGGGCATATGAGATTTCGTAATTGCTTTGAGTCATATGCAGATCGGATCATCCTTAACTGCCAGTTATACAATAAACCGTTATTCGAATGATCCATATCAATGGCATCGGCAAACTAAACTGCGACATGATATGATACAAACGAAATCATCTGATATGTGGAGGTTCTTACTCTAGCTAATCAATGTGCATAAATGCAAACTCTGAGTGCTGCTGTCTAATGGTTATGGATAAATTTGATGGTCCAGGAGAAGAAGAACTTTGTCACACCATATTATTCATGGACAGAATAGTGATTTTATATGTTGCAAGCCGTGTGCGGTACCGCAACACAAAAGAACATGCAGTTGTATCATGAGCACATTGAAAACATGAAAAAGATACTTATAGTTTTACTTGTATGAAAAATGCATGCATTACGGGACTGCACTGAAAAAAAAGAGCGCACAACGACATTGTGGAGAACACAAGTTCTTGGAAGCAAGCAACTCCGATAATGTGCTGATCGTCAAATTTGGCATTAGGAAATATATCTTGTCCGTCTTCCATTTCCGTATACGCTTACCATTCTCAATCCACTTTCCTTCCTTCTTTTTACGTTATTCTCTCTTACTATTCTGAACTTCCACTCTTTACTCGTTTAAGCTTACGTTTGAAGTTCTTTACTACGTTACATCATGCCCCTGACAAGGTCTACCACAACGTCGCCCGGATCACGACATGTTAATCGAGACAGACCTGGCCAACGTCGTTCAGGTTTTCGTGCTCGATCCATTTCATTCACACATTCACTTATGCGGTCTAAAAAATCCGATTTCAATCTATCCGCAAACAACGAAGCTCAGGTCAATCAGTCCAAACGACGCCCGAGTTATGATGCAAGATCGCTTTTCCGCCCAAAAAGTATCTCACCTCAACCGACGCTACCATCATCCTCTTTTCTCACCGTTGAGGATTCCGCCATTGTGACTGGAGCGGCTTCCTCGATAGATACAGGATCAGATGACGAGGAAGACTATTCTATTCACCATCCAAAAACTAAGATACCCGCCGTTGCAGAACCCCAACAACTTGTCCCACTCACAGGTAATGCCATTTGCCGTCGGTTTTCGTTTCAATGGCTCATTGCAGAGACCATCATTTATGAACTTAACATCTTACTAAACAGGTGAATATTTTACAGCCGAAAACGATGCTTCGCAAATACCCTCTATGCAACCTTGTGTTACCCAGGAACAATCACCAAAATCGTTTGCCAATTCATTTAAAGACAAATTACATTTGACAAAAAAAGGTGGGCTCCATCTGGGAAGTGCCAAACGAGCCACAGCCGTGTTTGGTCTCCTAAGCCGCAGTCAAGACAAAAAGGATCCATCAAGCCCACAGCTTTTCGACGATGGCAGCAGCCTTGCTTATCCTCCTCCTCCACAACCAGAATCTACGGAAAGGTCAGCGATATCCCAGGTCCAAGGCAGTGTTGGCATGAAAGTGTGCTGATTTGTGTTTGTCCATAGAGATCAATATGGTTTCATCAAATGCACGCAATGGCTAACCACAGAAGATTACTGCAATTTTGACAAATTTTACAAGCCGATTATGCAACGACGGCAACAGAAATGGCGTCAGATCCTCAGCGAAAATAACGGTCAATGGCCGGCGCGAAGCAGCAAATGTAGATACTTTGATTTGGTTATTCGGGTTTTTCATGATATCTGAAAATTTAATCCAACGTATTCATAGTCAAACGCTATATTCGCAAAGGCATCCCTTCCGACTTACGAGGACAGGTATAGACGATACGGGATAGTGAAACGGGATTCGCCATTGATATTGCTGTGCCCGTGCAAGGCATGGTTCCATTATAGTGGCGCCGAAGCAAAGCTACAGACAAATTCAGGTGTTTATCAAGAGTATGTCCAACGTGCAGAAGCCATGGGTTATGAAAATGAACATCTTGAAATCATTGAGCGCGGTAATACAAGAGAAAGGCGGTAACATGATAGCAGGTGACCATCAATAATTGATCAATGCAATTCTATAGATCTCCACCGTACCTTTCCTGATAATTCTCGATTCAAAATGACGACATCAGATGGGCCAATGACCGATGCTGGTCATCCATATACCAGCGATGTTCCAGCTATCCAAACTTTGCGTAGAATTTTACTGGCATTTTCTCTCTATTCACCGAGCATAGGATATTGCCAATCGCTGAACTACATTGCAGGCCTCCTTCTTCTCTTTATGTCCGAAGAAGAAGCCTTCTGGACCTTTGTATCGATGATTCATGATATCTTACCCGCCAGTATCTATGACGTGACAATGGAAGGCGCTAACATCGATCAGGCCGTGCTGATGATGCTCCTCTCTGAACGCTGCCCGCAGATATGGCACAAAATCAGTGGCGGTAAATCTTTCTGGGATTGTGAAGCGGCGGACGGTGTTGGAATGCCTACCTGCTCCCTCGTCACCAGCCACTGGTTTCTGACATTATTTATCAATATTCTCCCTATTGAGGTAACATATCATGAATTATCAGACGAATAGTTATTTATTTATGTTGGATATGTGGATACAGTCAGTTCTTCGTGTCTGGGACTGTCTATTCTAGTAAGTATTTCAGTGCATCGACCTTTTAAAAACGAGGATCACTTTGCTGACAGACGATCAAAACCCAAAGTGAAGGACAACGTGCTATATTTCGAGTTGCGCTTGCTATTTTCAAGATGAATGAGCAAGAGATTCTTTCGGTCGACGATCCTCTGGAAGTCTTTCAAGTGGTCCAGGTAGGCTGAATAACCAGACCTTGCTCCCCCCCAGCTCAGTTACCGAGTAATGGGCCTGTTTTGCTTTGCTCAATAGAACATGCCAAAACGAATGATTGATTGCCATAAGCTGTTGGATGTGAGTGACCGATATTTGATGTGGTATGGCTTGATGACTTATGCTTTGAGGGGGGGGGGAATTTAGACAACGTATCATAAATACGCATCGATCACGCGCGTCAGTGAACAGGACCTGGAAAGACGCCGCAGTATATTCAAAGCTCGAAGAGAAGAACGACGCAAAAATTTACCTACGGGGACTAGCAAATTAAGAAGAGGCAATGTGAGAGGGACTATCATTATGAAAGCTATGGAAGCGCGTCGTCTTGTGGAAAGAGCGAAAACAGCTCGAAGATAATGAGCCAAAAAAAAATCCTTATAATAAACAAAAAGGAACCGACAGTATGTTAATCGCCTCCGATACACAGGCAAAGAAGACCATAAACAACGTCTGTATAATCGCGTATGTCTTACAGAAGCATTTGATGTTTCATGTATACGCGTTTGTGGACATCGAACGAACATCGGGCAGTTGAAAGGATGACATAAGATCCGGAAGCACTTTTCACACAACGTCTGAAAACCATTTTATTATTTCCTTATTGATACGTTTTACTCATCACATTAAACATACACTGCCTTGATCTTCAACTCTTTTAAATCTCGAGAACCTCCGAAGGGGGCGCAAATAAGGCCATAACTCGTCTTCAACCTCCGCTTGTCATGGAAATGCGCGCGGATATCCATATTGCATGCTTTTCCATTAGCTGAGCTTGAAATCGAAGGATGAGATGTCGCACGCTCGTCTATCTTTCCTTTCTATTCTATGAATAGTATATATGATAACAAGCCCATGCCGCTGATGGAACTCGGACTTCTTTCACCCAAGCCTTCTCAAGAAGAGGCCGAGGTCGATTACGAAGATGCTGACATGGCCAAGACTTACGATGTGGATTGGTTAGATACCGACATTTCCGAAGACGAAGACTTCTTGCCTCAACAGCAACATCGCCCTTTTCCATCACCCTCCTTCCACTCTTACGAAGAGGAATGCTCACAAGCAAGGAAACGTACTCGGATGCATTCGTTGTCGAGCCATTCAAAGGAGATCTTATACGAGCTGATGATGGGCGAACCCCAATCAGGAGAACTATCAAGCTGTGAACTGGCACGACGAGTTATTGATGGCATCGTTGATACCGGAGTGGAACGGGTAGACCTGAGGTAAGTCGACGAAAAAAAGCTTTTTACAACAATTTGGAAAACAAAGAGGCTGCAGCGTACGAAATTGTAATTTTTTGTACTCAATGTTTGGGTTGCTAGTCACCTTGAATTGACGGAAATCCCCGATGAGATCGCAGAGTTACGATACGTTACTGTTGTGCAGAAAGATCTGGTCAAGCCGGCTTCCCTTCAGGTGTTTCTTTACGCCAATCGACTAAGCACTCTGAACCCCAATCTTTTCCAGCTGAGCAATCTATCCGTATTAAGCCTCCGTAAGTCGATGGCATGTTCATGATTTATGTTACAAAATATTTGGAGTTGTCGCTGTTGTCACAGTATGCTCACTGATTTATTTATGGAAGGCAATAATCGTTTGACGGAGCTACCTCCTGAAATCGCTCTTCTTGTGAATCTCGTGGAACTATCCCTGGGAAATAACTTACTGGTAAGCTACCTGTACTATTGAATGAGGGAAAAAAAAGGAGATAGCTTAACATGTTACAGCAATGGTTGCCTGCGGAGTTGTTACGCTTACCAAAGCTGACCATCCTATCGTTGTGCCCCAACCCATTTCTGCCACTGGAAAATCATACCCGCCGACGCCAGGTGTTTGCCCAGCCGGTGTGCAGCCTTGCTGAAATAGCTACGAGGCAATTGCTCGCTGATGGAAAATGGACCGATCCATGTCACGAGGGCCATGCTATCCTCCCGTGCGGTCTCAAGGAACGACTCGGTCAAGTGTCTCTCGTCAATATTTGTGAGCAGTGTAAAAAGCAGTATGCGTCTTCCAGTGTTCAGGATTTCATTTGGCAAACGGTCAAGGGCACTCATGACATAGCCGTACGCTATCGCTTCTGTTCTATACAGTGCTCAAATATCTTGCACGCCAAGCTCATGTCTGCCGACAACAGCTAAGCTTCGTCGTTTCTTCTCCTCACTTGCGCTTCACTTAATCCATCCAAGATCTCTTTCACACCTTCCCTACTCTTTCTCTTTTAACATTCCCTTATTGACATTACCTTGTAAGATTTCCATGCTCCAATTGTCTTTTGTATAAACGTTTTCAATATACCATCATTGACTGGATTGAATGGTTTTTTGTTGCCTTTTTGTTGGATTGAAAATGGACCAATCATCGGACGGATGGATGTTGAAGTGCATCCAACCATTCCGTTTGTTTTTTGCCTGGACCCATTTGAGCGGAGATTGTATCCGTCTTTACGGGGTTTATTTTTAGAATTTTAACCAATGAAATTGCTTGAAGTCCAAAAATTTGTTATGATGAACCCATTTTTGACCAGGATGGCTGGCATCTTCCCTTTTCCTTGGTTTCCGTTTTCACATCATGTAAGTTTTTGCTAATACCGGACTGCCGAACATTTTCGGACCGGAATTTTTTTGGGAAAGAAAATTTTTTCTGCCTTTGTATTCCCATTTTCGAAACGGGACTGACCATGGTGATATTAGGGTTAACTTGCGTGTTCAGAAGCGTCTTGCCAGCTCCGTTCTCAAGTGTGGTGAAAGAAAGATTTGGTTGGATCCCAACGAGGTCAACGAAATTGGCAATGCCAACTCTCGTAAGTGATAGAAAGAGTATGCTTAGCTGTATGATAAATCATCTAGATTGCTTACACCGTCAACTTTTGTTTAGGTGCCAATATCCGCAAGTTGGTGAAGGATGGTTTGATCATCCGCAAGCCTGACGTGAGCCACTCTCGTTTCCGTGTTCGCGAACGTAACGCTGCCAAGCGTCTCGGTCGTCACATGGGCTATGGTAAGCGCAAGGGTACCGCTGATGCCCGTATGTCCCGCCAAGTCTTGTGGATGCGCCGTATGCGTGTCCTCCGTCGTTTGTTGCGCAAGTACAGAGAGGCCGGCAAGATCGATAAGCACTTATACCACTCCTTGTATCTCAAGTCCAAGGGTAACGGTTTTAAGAACAAGCGTGTGTTGATGGAACACATTCACAAGGCCAAGGCCGAGAAGCAAAGAGCCAAGGTTCTCAACGAACAAGCTGAAGCCCTTCGTGCCAAGAACAAGGCTCTTCGTGAACGTCGTGCTGCCAAACATGCTCAAAAGGTAATTATGATTTTATAGCCGATTATAAGATAACGAAGCTAAACTATGTCCTTCTCATTATAGATTGCCGATATGCAATAAGCTTCTTACTGTCGCTTAAAACCTTTTTTCCTTATATTGTACAGCCCTTTTGAAAAATCATGGATAAAAGATTTCCGAGTTTTCTCCTAAAAACCTTGTCAAATAACTTATGAATTTCCTTATGCGACAGTGACTCCCATTTCACAGTTTAACCATGTCATAGAACTGCTTCGTATAATAGTATAAAAATACTATAATCAGTACCTCCTTGATTTCTATGCACCAATTGCTCACTCAGGCAATGACGGCGCACAGTTATTAGATGGTTTCGTTCTGTTCAGCACAGAACTGTGGTCAGACATATGCAGCCTACACAGTCCAAATTCGTAAAGAATCCTTTTTTTTTTTTTTTTTTTTTTTTTAAAGGACAAATCAATTCGGTGTATCATATGCATATCACTTTCGTGAAAACCCTTTCGTGTCAATAACTTTACATTCTCACATACAATCTCCCAAGGAATCGGTCAGTTTCGCCTGGGACAGGAAACAATGCCTGCATAGACATGTCCCCGATCGGTCTTAGACGCACCCAACACCCATTTCATGCGATTGATGCCACTATGGGTAATACGGCATAATGCGATAGGATAAGAGACATAGCGTATTTTTCTGCTTTACTGTTGGACAATAGAGAAGACATCTTTATCCATCAGGAACAGTTTAAAGAAACATCACCTCTTTTCAAGCTATAACATACATACGACGCTCCTTCCATCCATTTTTTTTCCACCGTACATCTACACTTAACGTCGATGTCGTGATGCTGTAAGCCGGCGGTTTCTACCAGGTGGTGAAGATGTTTCTCGTAAGTGAAAACAAACGAAAGGCTAAGCTAGGAATCCGTCTTTCATGTTTTTTCAATATTCCGCTGCCATTTGGATCACTTGATCTTGTAAATTTATCCATTCATTTCAGTAAACTTATGCGACTGGGTTGAGAAATACATACAGCATTCTGTATGCACAAAATAGTGTTCCATAGATGTGAGAACAAACCTTCTACGAGTATTATAGGTAAGCCGGAATGCTTGCTATTATCAAGTTGGGAGCTAATTTAACACAATTTCTGATAAAATTGGTTTCGAAAGCCTATTCTGTGTTATTTTGCTATGCAGTTTCGAATTTGAAGACGCACGATTAGGAGATACAGTACGGCACAAGCTGTGCAGGATAATAACACATTGACTTGTTCTTTCTTGGTTGTAGTTTCGTTCTCGTTATGATTCACCCAAAAGCCGACAAATAAAGATAAAGGAGACTTGTACGAGCACTATCAAATCAAAGCTATGGCTGTCATTCACATATTTGACTCGCTTACATGAGGATAGTTGCTCACAGGAATAATGAAGCTCAGAGGTGGCAACGTCTATAGATGAAGGAGATTGGAGCATGTTCATTGTCTCCGTTTTGCCCACCATACTGTATGGTCTAATATATCAAATGAGGTTTGAGAACCTGATATCGTCCCTTCCTCCGGTTTGGGCAGAGCACGCAGGAACGATTGACATACTGTATAATTCAAATGGAATTAAACTCTTATTTTGCTAACAAGCATCGGATTCTCAGTTAATAAAAATAGGGTTTATCATGCTTGCGAATCAATTGGCAGCCTTCTGTTGGTTGTGAACACGGTAAGCAGACAAAGTTACAGCAGTACAGTAGATTCCGTTGTGATGAGAAGAATTCGATTGGTCCTCTTGCTGATGTCCACGTGAACTCGTGCACGCTTAAAAGGGAAGAGATATCGTCGTATATTCTGCTGGCGCAGCAAGCAGTCCAGCACCGTTTCTATTAATTTGATGTTCCGTTTATTAGGATCCTTTGCCATACAAGGCGCGATGGAGTCAAAACATCAGCAAGAAGGGCATATAAGCAAACATAGCACAGTAGGGCCATTGAAGCAACATTGGATGGCTAAACGAATAGCTCAGCTGTGAAGCGTTCGACCGTGGAATCAAATAGGCAAGAACCATTATACAAACAGTTTGCTGGCTATGTGTGAACTTTATTTAGACAGTAATAGCTCAGAGAAAAGTTTGAAGGTTTGGTGCGACGGGAACATGGAGAAGACTTGCGTTTAATGACCGCCACGTCTGACAATCCATATATGGAAGGAAGATGAAAAACAGTTGGATTTTTTTTTTTTTTTTTTTTTTTTTTGTTCGTGCACTGAAGATTACAGTTCTCCCTCTTGTCTCCCTCAATCTCATCCCCACAATTACTGAGCTGGTGATCCTTTCCTTTCATTTATGCCCTTTTCCCAGTACTCCAGATGACTCTTAAAACGTCCGCCACTACCGCTTTAGCGAAGCAGTTAAACTGCTTGGCCCATTTAAACGGGATTTCATGCTTTGCCACTCGCACCACAATCCCAACTATCACGTTGCGGGGCCATCAGCAGTATTGCAGAGCAAAGAATTCCCGGGAAACTACAGCTTCGGTATCCTCTCGAGCCACCCATTATCGTTCGTTCAGCACTCATTCTACTCCAGCACTATTCGAAGCTTCTTGTACACAGCGTCACTACTCAGCTTATCATATCAAAGAGTCAACCGAAGAATTACTGTTTCCTTCTTTACCAGTCGTTGACTTCTTTGCTAACGAATGTACGAAATCCAAGCCATCCTATGTCTTTGCTCACGGAGCTTCAGGGTTTGCAAAGAGAGGCCGCAATGTACCCTATCCGAGCGACGATTACTATTACAGTGTGCAAATAGGCGAAGATGCCTATTTTCGACGACCGGATGCATTAGGTGTGGCTGATGGTGTAGGCGGCTGGAAAGGAACCAAGTGTAAGTCGTGTCATCCCCCTATCCAAGAACAGATTATGCTGATATGAAATGGTGTCACGATTAGCTGCAAACCCAGCATTGTATTCCCGAAATTTAATGCATCATGCGTATTTGGAACTGGAAAAGTTTGAAGACGTCGAAGATCCGCGTTTCTATCAGTACGATGAAGCCGACCCGGTCGATATACTGGAGCGTAGCTATGAAGAGTGCATGCAGCTGGCTGAACAAGAGGTAGGCTATTTTTACAGCAGCCGTCAAAAGGGGAATTGCGCGGAACAAAAGACGAGCAGTCGTTGTAGGAGAAGCAGGACAGAATCGGGATATGTTGTTGATAAGGTGACATTGTAGGGTATTGTCGGCTCTTGTACAGCATGCCTAGCTATTTTGCGCCATGATGAATTACGAATCGCAAATTTAGGCGACTGTGGCATATCGGTGATTCGTCACAATAATTATATTTTCCGCAGTGAAGAACAACAACACTCCTTTAATTTCCCTTATCAGCTTGGCACAAGCTCTCCGGATCGCCCGAAAGACGCACAGGTATAGATAGTGAACGAATAATCGAAACCAGTGATATGGTCTAATACAGAGCAAATCTCCTTTGATAATTAGACTTTCACCATTCGGGTTGAAAAAGGCGACATTGTCATCCTCGGTTCAGACGGCCTCTACGACAACCTGTTTGATCGCGAAATATTATCCATTGTTTGTTCGCAATTGGCTCCTTACACCGTTCCAGCTAGCGGAAGCAACCCGTCCAAGAGGCTTAATTTCGAGCCGCAGCGCTTGTCCGATGCACTGGCTGACAATGCCAGGCTTGTCAGCGAGAATCGACGCCATGTCAACAGCCCGTTTCAGAATCGCGCCATGAAGGAGGGATTTTATTTCCAAGTAAGACAAGACACAGTGTGCATCAAATATGTTGTGGGGACATTCCTTGCTGACTTTGTTGTTAGGGCGGAAAGGCAGATGATATTAGCGTTATTGTGGCTGTCGTTAAAGATTGCGAAGACTCGCCAGATCGACGGTTATGAGCCTTTTGGGTATTCTTGGTCTGTTCCATCGCAAACAAACATTCAATGGACGTATAACCTCTATTCGTCCCTGCATTGTAAATAGCATATTGATCGCTGCACCAAGGGTTTCAACGGATCCGCAGGATTTCATATCCAATGGAACCTCTTCTTTTCTATTCTTCTGTATCTCCTCTTCATTTTTCTCAAGCTCGCCCAAAACACCGACACACGCACACACATACACACCTAATCCATTATCACATCAACAGCCATCAGCCACCATAGAACGATGGGTTTCATAATTTATAATGCATTATGAAAGTAGGCATTACCGATCGTATAGGCAATAAAGCATAAAGGATTCCATTCAAAAATATCATATCATTAGGGGGGGGGGGCAGAAAACACGGAACACTGTTTTAATCAACCTTCAAAAGAACGAAAAGTCTTCGGATCTTGAAAAAATAGTCTGCCACCCGCTGCAAGCTATATTTTTGGGGTGCGCCACCACACGCTGCCAGAGAAACACACACTTAAACCACGGTCGTTCTGTTGCTGTCATGTCGTCTCCGAAACCTCAAGGAAAAGAAGTATCTAAAAAAGCTAGCCAACCTGCAGATGAGGCCCACGATGAGAATGAACACGTAGAAAAAGGTGCCAAAGGCGAAGCGACAAAAGATATGAAGAATGTCACCAGCTACCTCAATGAAGAACTGGCCAATCGTCAAGTGGATGCCGACAAATTAGCAAAGGTTCTTTTTTTTTATCCGAGAATAAGGACTTTTTTCTAACAGAAAATGATAGACTATGAGTTTCCTCAACGAGGAAGCTAAAAAGCACAAGCACGAAACCTTGTAAGTATCTGCAGGTTCAGGCGCATGAACTAGTTCGGTTATAGATTTCTTGCGGGCTGGTTCTGAATGGAGATTGATTGGTAGGAATAAAACCATGGCAACGTCTGTGGACAAGGAAGCAGTTTCTGTGGTGGTAAGCAACATGCAGAGATACGAGCATTGCTTTTTTTTTTTTAAAAAAAAAAAAAAGGAATAAAAACAGAAACTGACATGCATATGTGTAGATGAATCAGTTAGAGGTTAGCAAGACTGAAGCTGAGAAAGCTTTGCGAGAACACAACAATGACATTGTCAAAGCGTTGATAAGCATCATGGAGACGGCATAATGAGCCAAATAAAAAAAGGAATATAAAAACATCAGATGTGACATTGGTTATTTTCTGCAAACGACTAGAAACGAAGGCAGAATGGTATGTATTTTACGACAACGATCACAGTCGTAAGTATATAGAACATGGATATGAATGGATTCATTCAAGTTGAATCATGTTATGTGAACGAAAAGCGTATTTATCATAGATTCGAAGGGTTTGGGCTTTATTTCTGCGAGGCAAAAATTGCAAGGAAAAGAAAAAATGTTATTATCAAAGCAATGTTGTGAAATAAGGTGACAAGGAAGATTAAGGAGGGGAAGGAGGACAGATCAAGAAACGCTCCGTTTTCTCTCCCTTATAACACGGTAGAGAGTGGATCAAAAGCCCCAAAACAAAAAAAAAAAAAAAAACAAAAAACAAAAAATACACCACCCCTATTTGTCGAAGGAGAAGAGGAGGAAAAGCCTGCGCTAATGTCCGGTGATGTTGAGTGAGAAGAAGAATATAGACATCACTCATTCTGTTCCTTCTTTCTTTCAGTAATGTCTTCTGCTTTGACTGTTTCTACACTTTGGTCTCAGCATCCTACCACCAACCACGCCATGACCATGGTCCATTCCAATGACCCCGACGATATGCCCGACGACTATCACGACACTGAGGATATGGATATCGCTGCCGATAATTATCATTCGCCCCACGACGAAGAAGACGTAGTCATAGGAGACTGCGCATCCTCCATGTCATCTTCTCCAAGTATTCCCGATGAAAATATCAACTTTGATCTAGTATATGCACTCCACACATTCGCCGCTACTGTCGAAGGCCAAGCTTCCGTAGTTAAAGGCGATGCGCTGATCCTTATGGAAGACACCAATACATACTGGTGGCTCGTGGAAGTTCTAAAAACACGCGAAATAGGCTACATCCCAGCCGAGAATATTGAGGTATATCACATCAACTCTCCTTTTTTAATCTATGATGTTGTAATTACCACCGTTGTATTGATTTGCTTTTTGTCATCAGACTCCCTATGAACGCTTAGCTCGCCTTAATAAACATCGAAATGTGGAAATCACATCACCCAGCATGACTCACGACGTGATACAAGCCGCGCATTCAAGACCGAACTCTGATAATTCGGTCAATACGATCAACGCCGCCATCAGCAAAAAGAAGGTGACCATCGCTACAGATGGCACCCTAGAAAATATAATTCATTATGAAGTAGAATCCGATATTGAACATGATTCTGACAGTGATACCACCACCGATGACGATCGCAGCGTGGAGTACGGCCAAGATCAAATATCACAAGATGAAATGACCGACCATGAAGATGAACAAAATCCTTTGTTGACGCACCCTTCAGGAACCAGACAGGAAGATGCGGATGGCTTTCGCTCCCATAACCCGGAAATTTCTTCTGCCGACTCCCCGTCCCGCACTCATTGCTCAACGATAACCAAACAGGAGTGCTCCGTGGCACCCTCGCTCGATACCACAGCGCAAAATGCGAATGGGTCTTTCCAGGAAATCCGTGTATTCGCCGGTAACATTGGGCAAGGCCCTTTATTTCATTCCTTCGAGATCGCGTCGACTACTACTGCCGACGAACTGTTGAAAGAAGCTGTTCGACGGTTTAACATTCAGCCTATTTCGGAAAATCAGGCGATGGATACCATAGAATACTACCTTGCAGTTCAAGGGATGGATGGGGGTAAGGATTGGCTTAACCATATGTCTCGTTATGATCGACCGTATTATCGGCCCACAATCATGGGTTCCATTGTAACTAAAGTATAACATACAATTTTACTTTGTCTTTTAGATGATTACATCCTGGCATCTCAAGATAAGCCTTCTTCTATCTTTCGGACGTTGACAGCCTCGTTAACGACCCCCATGCCGCCTGTATCGCATCTGCGCCACTTGCCGACACCTCACGCATCAGAATCAGACATGCGGTATCCCCGCCGTCCAAGATCCAGCAGTTTCGGAAACCACGAACAGACATCTTATGAAGAGGACTCGGTCATTCGGTTCTACTTGCACAGACGTATTAAGCGAGCGAATCAGAAACAAGGTCTGATTTATATCAAAGTGACTCTCTATCCGGATGAAAATTCTATCGAAGCCGCGAACAACTTGGCTGTGATCACCGAGAACCCCACCATGGCTTCGACAAAACCCTTCTCTACTTTCGGAAAACGAATGAAGAAAATGATGGCAGCACCAAGTGAGATTGATCGCATCGATAAGATTATCCCTGTGCAGCAAGATTTGCAGATACGGTCTGTCATCAATATCGCCTTGGAGAAATTCCATGTACCCCACGCTGAAGCCGACAGTGGTTCCTCAGAACCACTTCACCCACTGGAATCTGGCATCAGCACTGATCCGCAAAGCTCTGCAAAATATCGAATGTCGTTTAGGTCCCACAACAGTAAAGGTACTCCATGGACTCTCCTTATTTCCTCAAAACGTTATTGGAAACGCCACCTTTGCGTTACTAATCAGATCATCATTTTACTTTTACTGAACAATTAAGAACTGGAATTGAATCCGGAGAGTAAGCTTGGAGATGTGATCCAAAGGCAAAGGGACAAGACGTCTTCATCGACCGAAGCAATTACCAGCGACTTGTTTTTTATACTGAGAAAAATCGATCCTTCGGTCTCGACCATGCAACGCAGGAAACAATCTTCTTCGGGACTAACGGGGATTGTAAAAGTGACCACGGAGCCTCGCCGGGCTCCATTCCTCACGGCCAATAATGGCAGTCCAGAAGATCGTCGACCCAGCATACTCGATATTTTGATGGATTCACCTCATCCCAGCAGCCGACGTGCAAGCAGCAGAAGTAGTCTTTTAGACTCGTCGCCCACTCCAGAGGAAAGAAGACCGTCATTACTATCCAATTCAGGCTCGTTTCAAGAACAACGATCTGCCAGTGGCAGTAGCAATTCTTCGCCTACTATGGGTACCAGGACCAACTCATCTCTTCTTGCACCCCCTTCGTCAAACGCAGCAGAGCATTCTCGACATTCATCCCTGGTATCGTCTTCCAACCATTCCAACGCCTCATTTGATGATCAAGGAACCTTAACGGACAATCCTACAAGGAACGGTAGCATCAATTCGCAAGCGACCTACAACAAGTCTCCCGATGGTAACCCAGCAGATGCAGCAAAAAAATCCAAAGCATCATTGAAGCAACAATTCAAACGTTTGGTCGGGTGGGGTGTTGTACCCAAAACAAAGAGAAATGAAGAGTCATACGTATCTGGTGGATCTTCTATACACAACAGTGCATTGCAGCGAGGCACGGCAGTTATCCAACAGAATAATTCTGCAATTATTATCGGCCACGCCAACATGGACAAAATGGACAGCGTATTGCAGTCCAACATAAGCCTGGCATCAGCGCCCGTATCGTCGCCACCTCACTCGAATGCTTATACCTCCTTTTCAGCAGATGGCTCACGCGATAACAAGCCAAGCGATAGCGCAAACACAACTGTAGTTCCTGAGCCTTTCGCTAGAACAGACCGCAAAGATGAATCAAGTGACATCTCGGCTCTCACAGCAACGAGCGCCACCACCGGTACAAGCACGAGCGTTGACGATGGTGAGATGGATGATAAGCTGAATATCAACCACGAATTGGATGATGAGTTGACAAGTGACGTCGGTTCGGAATCATTTCACGGAGTTCATACGGGAGAGAATGATGCCTCGATTGCCGCTGCAACAGAGACCGAGGATATCCATCCTCTGGAGCATACCACGATGCGAAAAAGGGAGAGTAAGCATGAAATCATCGATAATGTGCTATCCAATCAAGCAAGCACAACGGGAACATACCATTTGGGTGGCGCTGACCACAGCGGGTCGGCAGTTTTACCACCCCACAATGATGACCCTGCTACACCTCAGACGGACGTTCCATCAATGAACAGTGTACAACAACACCAAGGGTTTGACGACTTGTTTCTTTTGGTGACTCAGGGAGTAGATTATCTCAAAAGTCGTGAAAGTTCAAAATGGGATGATGAAGAAGGTGGCTATCGATATCATCCCTGGAACCGCCCAGAAAGCTCTTTCGCGGCCAGTTCCGGTGGTCGTTCGCGCAGCTTGGATGTCGGTACACCATCGTCTCTACCGTTGGAGCACAATGCCTTGCTGGATTACGGCAACGAAAAGCACGAAATTCCATCAGATATTGCCGAGGTATCAAACCTTTCAGCAAGTTTGACAGAAGAGAAACCATTATCACCTCCCTTGACACCTATTCCTCGCCAACCTCAAGAACAGCGGTTGGATAAACAATCCGCTCCGGCGACGGCTGGTGGAGATGTTGACGATGAGGTAAATAGATAAATGACGCTATTCAAAGATCTTTATAATAATCAATATATTCTTAGGAGTTGAAGCGCATTGTTGCTTCACATATAGTATTTTTCTAGAATATCAACATGTAACTTATTTTAGATCGATAATCTTTTTTCTTTTTTGCTTTTTCTCTATTTATAATGAATCCTCAAGTTGGATAGAATATTTCACGCTGCTAATTAGACGACAGCGATTTCCAACAAACCTAATTCTTTTTTTACTGACAGCAGTTCAACTCACATGAAATAAACGCTTCATCATGATCTAGTCTGTGTGCGCCATGCAGTTGGGCAGCATCCGCTTGCAGTTGGGCAGCATCCGCTTTATCAAAGGCAAAATGGGTAAACTAACATGATTAACTGCGGTGATTGAATTGGATCTTCCTTTCCTCATGATTTAGGCTTCCCTCTTCTGAATGGATAGACCCTGATACATCGATTTTGCTCGAGTGAGCTTTCTCTAATCCCTTTCTTTTCTCCTTTTTTTCATTTCATTTATTGTAATGGCTAATGTCATTCTCAAATTTTTTTTGCGCTTCTTGCAGTCTGCCAGGACACGCTCGCTCCATCTTTAGCAACTGTCCGAACAACCCCGAAAGCCGCCATCAAGCTAATGTTGCTACGACCAGAAATCGTTTCAAGCCCACTGCTCTTCTTGCCAGCAGTCAAGGCATCAGCAAAGTAACCATTCGATTTGCCCATTAAACCCAATAAGACTGATTACGAGGGAAACGAACGAAAACGACACTGCAGAACGCATTCGTAGATTACCCGCAGACGCTGGTAATACGGAACCGCTCGGTCGACATAACACGGGACGTATGGATGCTGTGCGTAGCTTTTACGGGACACACATGTGGCTTAATGAGAGCATGTTTCGGATCGATCTTCAGTCCGCAAGTTCCAGTTTCGCTGTGGCCAAGGTACCACTGACCTTTCGCTTTTGTAGCCTACACATCCAGTTATTCCCAGCCTCTTCGCAGCAACACTGAAGAACGAGGAGATCTCCGTGCGCATTCGCCCCTACAATACGAATCTGAGCTTTACTTTTGTAGGGGCTCACCTGAACGAATCGGTAACCAACGATCGCAGTGGAGGGTTCTGCTTCCGTATCCAAGGAGGAATCTATCACCGAATCGGTGGCCTGCTTCCACCAACCGATAGCCACACTCCTGCATTTGCTCAGATGTATATTTACGATCCTGAAAACCAGCTGGCACACCGGAACGCTGTGGTACCCTATTTGCAATCGATGGCCCAGGTTTTGCGCGAATCAGACGGAGTTGTGGACATCCGACTACTCATTTCTGCGGAGAAGACTCTCAACGTTCACAGGTACAATACACCCACGGCAAGCGAAGTTGGAATGATATTGGTCAATGGTACGATAACACCCAATAGCAGCTGCGACATTGTCACCTGTGCGAGAGAAGCCATAAGCTCCAACGTGTCAGCGAGATGAATCATTATTACGATGCTCTCCATTACGTACTGCTATTCCCACACGCGCTTCATCGATGCCCGTTACGTTTCAGCTGCCGGGGCCGTTCATAGATTGCTTTCGTTTTCAATGCACCGTGGATACCCTAGCACGCAACGTCTAGGTGTCATCTGAAAACGAGCAGACCGTGCAGTTCCGAGAGCAGATCGTCGGCGCGAAACAACGTTGACTGCATGGCTCGCACGAAATCGAATCGGTCCTCAGACACGAGCGTATCAGTAACCCGATTTCCCGGCCCAATACGTTTATCACTACAGATCGCGAAGAGGGGAACCCGACAGCGTGGATTTGGTAATATGGTCGGGCGTGTCTATGCTGTTTCTCAACGCCAAGTAGAGAAGTATTATCGTCGAACGTTGCTGTACAGCGTCCCGAGAGCACAGAGCTTCGAACACCTTCGAACAGTCAATGGAATTGTTAGGCCAACATATCAAGCAGCTGCACGACGTTTAGGACTTCTCGGAGGGGATGACGAATGGGGCTTAAAGAGAGCATGCCTGGATTGAGCTTTGTATTATGTGCGGTGACAAGATACGTGGATGGTCCCACTCAACCTGCTGGAATCACGATGGGCAAACCCAAGGCTAGTTATGGTTATTGAAAGAAAAAAATAAATTAATCTTAGACAATGAAGGCATATATTTGCTTTATTTTATGCAAGGGATGATTGCTGGGCAATAGAGGAGTTTGGATCTCAGTCCGTGTCATGACAACTCCAACTGCTGTCATCGAAACTTTGCAACAAGATATCCAGAATATGGAGCAAAGAATGGGTATTCTTAACGGCCATCCAGTTTAGCTTGCAATTATAGCACAAGCCTGGTTTGTGGTTTACAAAAATCAGGGGACCGCTTATCTGACGGTTCCAGCAGAGTTTAGTCTAGCATCCAATTCAGTTGGTCTTCTTAATGTTGCGCTTTACATTGAAGATTAACACTGCTAGCAGGCTGAACTTGCCAATGAGATGACATTTTCATGAACCCTTACAAGGCATTCCGAGGTGTCCCAAAGCCAGCCTCGACACGCCAACACAACGTCATTCACGAATGCCACGTGATCAAGCTTGGAACTCAATCATTTTTTTCTCAAAAAAAGGCCATCTTTCTCCGGCTCAGCGGGCTCTGTACCAGCTCATTTCTATTACACATCATGGTGAAAACGACGATGATTGGGAGGGTCTCTGACGGCCTCCCTTTGGCTGCAAGTATGGACGATCAGCAGGTAGGTTCACCGTATAATCTCCTCAGTTGTGTAGGGCTATTCTAAGACTTCTTTCACCAGGTGGAGACAGAATTAGCTGATTACAAGGGACAAGCGAAGACTGTCTTTAAACGTCTCAATGCAAACTCTGAACCGAGATGCTCCATTGAATCTGGCAACTACGTTTTACAGTAAATTTTGCGCGTCAATATTCGAGCGATGGTGCAATACCACTGACTATCACCATTTTTTTTACAGCTATATCATTGAAGGAAGTGTATGCTATCTTTGCATTTGTGACAAGTCCTATCCACGTAAATTAGCGTTTAGTTACCTTGAGGAACTTGCTAAAGAATTCAATATGAGCTACGGTAACGAAGTGGAGAAGCCAGGTCTACGACCCTATGCATTTGTGAAATTCGGTAAGTGATATTTTTCAGACGACCGTGGAAATGCCGTGGCCACTTATTATTGGTTCAGATACATTCATGCAAAAGACAAAGAGAATTTATCAAGACACACGAACACAAAGTAATCTCACCAAGTTAAACGAGGATCTGCAAGATGTAACGCGTATTATGACGAAAAACATGGAGGACTTGCTTTGGAGAGGTGACAGCTTGGATCGTAAGTGGATTAAAGGTTCTTATGAATAGTCACAGCATAGGACCTAACAAAATGATGTGTGCGTTGGATCTGCAAATTAGGTATGAGCCACATCTCTGGAGAGCTGAAAGACAGTGCAAAGATGTTCAAAGACAAAGCACGTCACCTTAACTTACAAGCACTCTATCGCAAATATGGACCACCTGTTATTATTGCCTCTGTCATTTTGTTCGTGCTGCTGATTCGGTATTACTGGTTTTAAATCCTGATAGGATGAGGTTTAATTTTTTTCTCGCATATCACATCAATAAGGGACACGTTTTTTGTATATCAAACACCTTTATCATCTGGAGTGGAATGTCGTTATTCTCATGCCGCGACTGATAGCTAGAACCCTTTCTTTTCTTTTTTTTTGCCGGAAGGCGCCATCAGCAGTAGTGTAAAAAAAGATCATCTGATATATCAAACTACGGAAAATCTGTATTCTGCAATGGCGGAACTACGGTTTCTTTGCGCCGATAAACCGATCATACACATTGAATAACAAACATACATATTTTGGTTTTTGGCGATGCGGTGCAAAGAGTATCTTCATGTGGCGGAATTTGGTAATATCAAACTGAAAACAGCAAAAGCAAAGCAGAAGCAAAGTCAAAGGGAAAGATCCAAGCGTTTCAAGAAAATGACACGATCACAGCTGTCTGGTGACAGCATAGTGCGCACGTGAACAAGTCGAGACAATGACAATGCCTCTGTGTGAGGGAAAAACCAGCAAGATAAGGAAGTACCGCTTACGGATAATTATGGAGTGTGAGCATCTTATGTATATCGTTCCGATAAAAGACATCTTCTTTAGCGAAGAAACGAATGCTGGGCAACTTCTAACAAGAGCGCACAAAAAAGAAAAAAAAATGGTGGATTCTGTGGGCAGGACGCTGCATTCCATGTGATTGGAAGAGGATCATCCGACCTTGCGACTTTCCATATATGGTAATCATTTTCTCCCTTTCTCTTTCGATATTCCCTCCCCAGTCAATCTTCTGCACTTGCCTATTGCTCCTCTTTCTACTTATATCCGGTCTTTTGTCTTTTGTCTCTTCTTTTTTTTTTTGGAAAAAAAAAAACTCATTTCACATGTAAGGTTTCCTCTCCCTAACACTTGTTATCGATAATATACTCTTTTTTCCTTATCACATATTCTTTTATGCAGTTGAATTGTTCTTGCTCCATTCCCATCGGAAAAACTCTGTATTATCGACAATGGCCCATGGTCCCATGAGTGGTTTGAAAATAACAGGTACTTTTGAGCTTTGATACATTGGTTGCTAGTATGTTCCTTGAGACAGAGGAAACATATAACACTGTGAAAAAGAGGGAAAAAGGCGCACCTACGTGTATGAAGCTGGGAAAGATGCCCATCAGCAGAATGTAGAAGAGACGCTTACACAGATGAGAGAATGAGTGCCTACAAAAGAAATTTTCCTGCAACTGATTGGGATATTATTTGCATGCACTGGCTTATTCTGTTTATTATGTATTCATAGGCGACGCTGATCCTATGAAAGTGATCAAGGTGGCTGCCAAGGACGGAAAAACTGGTCAAGATTTACAGCTACATTATTCCAATTATAAAGTGGCTGGTAATGGATCTTTTGGTGTGGTGTATCAAGCCAAGCTTCTTCGTACGGGTGAAGATGTTGCGATCAAGAAAGTATTGCAAGATAAGCGTTTCAAAGTAAGTGGTGGTGATGGGGTATTCAAGCGAAAGGAGGACAAAGGCGTGATCCATGCGTGATCGTCACTTAAATTTGTCTGACCCTGACGAATTCCTTTCTTACATTGTATATTGCAGAACCGTGAATTGCAGATCATGCGAAGCGTCAGCCATCCCAATATTGTGTCTCTCAAAGCGTTTTTCTATAGTCAAGGCGATACAAAGGTAGGCTCGCCCATATCAAAACAAAAGCGTGTTTCTTTGACGCGGTGGACTGACAAGGTGGCCTCTTTTACTCCAGAAAGATGAAGTGTATTTGAATCTTGTACTTGAATACATTCCAGAAACTGTTTACCGTGCCACTCGACATTATGCGAAAGCGAAACAACACATGCCAATGCTTTATGTAAAATTGTACACTTATCAGTTGCTGCGTTCTTTGGCTTACATCCATTCTCTGGGAATATGTCACCGAGACATCAAACCACAAAATCTTTTGTTGGATCCGACCACCGGTGTTTTGAAACTTTGCGATTTTGGCAGGTAATTTTTCTGTCTCTTGCTTTTTTGTTTGTGGGCACAATCGTCAAAAGCATGGGATAAACAAATGAATATGGTCTTTTCTCAATAGTGCCAAAGTCTTGGTAGCTGGTGAACCAAATGTGTCTTATATTTGTTCTCGCTATTATCGAGCTCCTGAACTTATTTTTGGGGCTACGGATTACACTGTGAGCATTGATATCTGGTCAACAGGCTGTGTTATGGCCGAGCTCATGTTATGTCAACCTTTATTTCCTGGAGAAAGTGGTATAGATCAATTGGTGGAGATTATCAAAGTGCTTGGAACACCTAGCAAGGAGCAACTGCTCGCCATGAATCCAAACTATACGGAGCATCGGTTCCCTCAAATCAAACCCCACCCTCTCCATAAGGTAAGCGTTACACATCCCACACGGGTCAAAAATGTCAGGCAAAGGAAACGAAGAAAGACTGATCATTAACTGGGTTTCAAGCTTTTTAAATCACGAACACCTCCAGAAGCCATTGAGTTTATCAGCCAGTTGTTAGAGTATGCTCCTGGAAAGCGGTTGTCAGCGATATATGCTATGGCCCATCCATTCTTTGATGAGCTGCGCGATCCAGCTACTCGCATGGCTGAGAACAAACCTTTACCCAAGCTGTTCGACTTTACTGAGCATGGTAAGTACGATACCGTGCTGTGCTTTTTTTCATAAATGCAAGATATTTACGTTGCGTTGCACCATGTAGAATTGTCTATAAAGCCAGAGTTGAAATATAAGCTGGTTCCACCCCACTGCTTCGAAGAATTACTATCCCGGGGCATTGATATTCATAATTTCCGGCCAATGTCGGCTGCAGAGATAAGAAATAACACCATTACCCATTAGAAACCTGTGATGATGTTAGATTGCTTGATCATTTTCCCCCTTTTATACTTGTGCTTTCTTCATACCTTGATTCTGCTCTTTAATTTTTTCGTTAACTTTTTTTTTCTTTTTCTTTTTCATTTTTCCTTTCTATTTTATTCTGATGAAGTTTTCCCTTCTTGTTTGGTGTTTATAGTCGTGTGCAGAACATGTAAAATACAATATGCGTAGTACATAAAAGCATGCACCACATAAAAACGTGTTGATATTCACCAACCATTCACAGTGCTCAAATTTAGATGATAGGGATTGGGTCGCAAACCGGAATGTAAAGTTCTTTAGCTGTATGAAGCGCCGTTTGAACAATGTCATTGCTCTCTCATGCCGAACCCACCGCCCATATCCTTTCATCTTCATGACCCGCCTACGAGTTTTAAACACGGAATGATCTATTGAATGTGTCACACAGATAATCTGCCTTGACCACAAAATGTTCGCCCGTTAGATAGGTGATGTGCAAGAGTAACGCTCTAAAAAATGACTCCCTAAACGAGCAGAAATAAAAGATGCTGGATGTGAAAGGCAACCGAATTATGAATTCCGGATTTGGATAGAACGCAATGGCACATGATGATCTCTGTGGGAAAAAAAAAGGCACCAAGCAACAGCTGCACAAAAGGGGTTGCGATTCCAACGGAAAAATGTTCGTGTTACTCAAGTTATTCTTTCACCATGTTATTTTCCACTATCAAAACGGTAAGCGATTGTGCAAAACTTGTTGCCATCAAATAACTCGCTATTGACAGCTAACCATTGGGTGTAGCATATATCTTATTCTGCCCTCATCAGATCGAACATCGTGCTTCGACCACTATCCAGTGTATGACGCTTCCAGGTGTACCCTCGTCAACTAATGCTAACTCCCTGTCAAAATAACACTAGGCATGCGCGCTTCCGAGTCGATGGGGTGATGTCGTGAAACGGACTCAGGAACAACTAAAAGTGGCCGAGATCAGTGCCAGTGAGTTGAAAAACTACTTATCAAGCGAGTTTCCGAGCAAGTCAACCGATGCTCCCGTCATCATTGACGTCCGAGAAGCATCCGAGTGGCAGAATGGCAAGGTAAATGTGTGCTTTTTTTTTTTTTTCTTTGGGAAAACCTGTCGACTTAGGAATCAAAAAATGGATAGATTCCGCATGCAGTTTGTCTGTCTCGAGGCGTGTTGGAGCTTGGTATCGAAAAGGTGATTTCCCCGGATTGCGAGCGACCAATTATTTTATATTGCGCCGGAGGGTTGCGTAGTATTATGGCCGCCGAGGCATTGGTACGGATGGGTTACAACAAGGATAAGTTGACGAGTCTTAGAGGCGGCTTCAGTGCCTGGCATAAAGAGGGATATCCAATAGAATGCAAATAAACAAAAAGAAAAAGGAAAATGACATGGTAAAGATGCAACCAACTTGAACATAATCGATATTGCGTTTGTATTATTATAGTTTGAGCGACTTTCTTTCTGTCTCAAAGATGAGGGCTCTCCATAACTTCATTACAAAGACTAATGCTTCTTCATCCATTGTCTAATTAAAGTATCAGTTGGTTAGCGGATCTGGTGTGTGTGTGTGTACGTTAATCCCACTTATTGTAAACGGGATCCCTTACCATTTCTAATTCTGTGACCAAAGCTCTGGGTGGTTCTTCATGCTTTCGCACAAACTCTAGGACGAAACCGATGAGCGCCTCTTCCCTTACACCAATCAATTCTTCAATCTTTTTGGATATGAACGGTTGTAACTTGTTGGCGAGGAGGTCCTAAAAAGGATCCATGTTAGCATGGCCAATGATGCGCACAGTATGGAGATATGGGATATTACTTCATCCAGCTCGTCCCATTTCACAGGCCAGTCCCATAACTCTTGTTCTGAACTTGGAATGGAACCGATAAGTTCTTTAACACGCCGTGTTCGTTCTTCAGCATCCATATGTGGCGCTTCATCCAATGTCAATTCATCACCATAGTCCAAAGGAACAAGCACGCGGCGCTTCTTGCCCCCTTCTTCATCATCTTCATCATCCTCTCCCGTGCCCATATTGGTAACGCGCTTAATCGGCATATTAAAGTTGAGTTTGGTGGGTTTGATAGCAATTCTACTTGCTTCTTCAGCATGTTGTCTGGCCTCTGCTTCTTTGCGACGACGCCCCTCCTCCTCAAGTGCTCGTCTTTTTTCCTCGATTTCAAATGCTTCTGCTCGTCGATCCTCTTCATCTCGATCTTCTTCGTGACGCCGCACATTTTCACGCATTTTGCGCCAACGCGACCTGCATCGAAAGGTGAATGAGAACTGTTGCTTTTTTTTTTGCCCCATTTACACGCACTTTGGAAGCTTACCTATCAACATAAAAGTGATCTTCGCCTCGTTGTATTGCCACCTCGTCATCATATTCAGCTAGTCGTTTTGCCCATACTTCTTTGTTACGTTGCTCTCGCTCCTCCTGTTCCTTCATACGCTGCATATAATGCTGGTAGTCACGTATCCGTTGATCTTCACGGGCCTCAAATCGTTTCTCCCTCTGCGCAAAAGATCATATTAGGATTTCCTTGACCACGGACCGTTAAAACTAAAACTGAATCGTGGCCTACCTGTCGAAAAGCGATTTCTACTTCTTTGGCATGCTTTTCGAGACGCTTTTGTTCCTTCTCCTCGTCATCTTCATCGTCATCCTCCTCGTCGAATTCATCCACGTATTCAGAAGGTCCGCGAACAAACTCTTGGCGTGAACTAAACCGATCGCCTCTTCGACCTCTTGGTTCTCTCGAACTGTCACGACTATCTCGTCCAATCGATGAGGTTCGACGTTCTCTCGATCGAGATGGGTCGCGTGGTTTGACATCAGTCTGTCGTGGTGATTCGTCTCGCATGGCGGCTCGTTCTCTGAATGCGGCCAGTTCTTTACTGACGATATCCTCTTGATCTTCTGCTGCTTCCATCTCAGTGTCAGCTGGTGTACCTTCAGTCGGGGTTTCAGGATCTTGCCCTGAATTGATGGCATCTACGATCTTTTCAACTTGTTGCTGTGCTTCGGTATCTCGGCCATCGTCCGTCTAACACGGTGCATTAGCTACCATATCCGGGTAAATTGCAATCGTCAGAAGAAGAAGAAATACTTGCATCGGTTTGCATATTTGACTGTTTGTACTGATCTAAATGATTTCGAACATTGTCATCTGCCTTCACCTGTATCAACAAAGAAAAAGCAAACGGTGAGTTATATTGTAAATTCTGTACGATGAATGGCCACAAATTACGTACAATAAGTTTCTTTTGTACCCCACTACCGTCTTGAGCTGTCAACGTAAGTCCTTCAAACGACTCGCCTTCAGCACCCAGAATCCTTAATGCTCGTAAAACGCTTTCGGGATCTTCATATGTAGCGAAGCCGAATCCTTTCGGATTTCCCGACTGATCTTTGACACGTTTCCAACTTGTCAAGGAACCACATGTCTACAACAGGACAATTAGCATGCTGGAATAAATTGTGCCGCTCAAAGTTTCGAACGGTGTATCACCTTTAACAGTCTTTCGATCCAGCCATCGCTGATACCAGCTGCAATGGCACCAACAAACAAGGTCGTTAATTTGTCGGATTCTTGAGGTGGAGGCGCACTAATAGGAGGAGGTCGCATATGAAAGCGTGGTGGTGGTCGTCCGAAACCTCCTGGACCTCCTCGAGGCGGTCCATAAGGCGGCATGACGCCTGGCGGAACCGGCGGGTATCCAGGTCGAGGTGGCATGCCATACAATCCAGGTGGGGGACCGTACGCTGCTAAGGAATAAATAATTAATTCTACAATGACAAACATGAAAATAGTGAATAAACGTACCATAAGGATTATGGCGATTAGGATCCATGAGGAATGAAGTGATGCTTGATTTTTGGTCGTTCCACCAGCTAGACAGTTCACACCACTTTTCAGACTCGTTCCAGGGAAAGACTGTGCACGTGACTTTTCTTTTTCCAAGTGAAGGTGGACTCCGCAAAGACTTTTGCACTTGTTGAAAACCACACGATTCGAAAAGCTGCAGGTGGCTGACAATAATGAAAGATAGTCGATGTATATAACCTTTCATAATTGTCTATCTTTGAAAATGAGAATGCATAATACAGAAAGAAATTTTCTGGCTAAAGCATCCAGTTGGCTCTCTCTGCAAGAAAAGTTGATATACCATGTAATGGGAACTAAATAACTATCTCGAGTAGAGTGCGATTTTATCGAACCTCTATATCTAATGAAAATTGAAATGAATACGCATGATAATACGCAATATGCTAAATAGGAATGCCTAATTCAAATTTGACAATCAAAAATGTTGGCTTGTGCTTCTTGGCTTGCACTACATCAACAGGCGTCGTATGGATTCCAAGTGGGCATCATGGACTCCAGCATCGGTGGTCAGATAAGCTTGAATATAATTTTTCGACAAGGTAGACATGATACGTTGCTTGGCTACGTCGCCAAGGGAATCGGCCTTGGTATCTTGAATAAGAAAATCGAGGATAGCTACGACAGCCGACACCGTCGCTTCCGGTTTCAATTCACTGTTTAGTTTCAGCTTTTCCAGACGCGGTAACAAGACCTCAATGTAGATCTCCGGGGAAGGCACCTTTTGAGCAATGGTTTGCGCAATCTCTTTGATCTGGCACGTGATATTGTATTATTTTGACTGTGTCTTTCATAAAGAAGAAACGCAGCTTACCTTTACGGACAAAATGTTTTCCGAGGAGCCATTTGCGTAAACCATCACGAGACGGTTGAGTATTTTCTTCAAGCTACGCACAATATCATCCACTGTAGCATATTCCACAAAGAGTCGTAACACCTCCAAAGCTTTTTTTTGTTTCACAAGAATAAACTCTGTGCTTTCCTGGAGTAATTCTTTGAGCGCTTTATCGTAACAGTGATGTACCAAATGCTGCAGACCTTTTGTTCTCAACGAGTTAATCCACACAAATGGAAGACAAAGTGATTGCATCAATACTCACCGACAGTGGAAGCCCCCGCCGCAGGCTGCTCCAGGATCTCGGCTGCAACCAGATCGTCGGTACATATCTCTCCTACCCTTGATAATTTGCCTTGGCTAGTTTCAATTACCGGACTCAATTCGTCAAACGTGCCGGCCATCAAAACAGGTAATAGTTGATCTGCATATGCATATCGATCCCGAGGAGACCACTCGGCTAATAAATCGCCCATGGCCTGAAACAAAGCTGTGCGTACCGCAGCGGATTGATCGAAAACTAAATTGGGTACAATGGCTTGTCGATCGTCTGCTTCGTCATAAATGAATAGCAGTGGTACCCCTTGCGACGTAACGCTCAATATCGCTTTGGCCGCCTCAATACCATATACACGGATTGCAGCATGTTTATGAAGTAGCAATGGCTTGATCGCTCCAATTGCATGGTCACCCATAAACCCCACCGCTTTTGTTTGTCGCTTGCTGAACGTGATGAGGCTTGCCGCACCTTCTTTTTGTACGTCTGGAAAAGGATCAGTGATCGATAGCCGTAAAACCGAAAAGCACAATTCAGCATCTGATTGCATGATCCCATTTTCGGGTATGTGACGCAACAGCCCATGTACGAGTTGTATCCACAAATAGCGGATTTCTTCCGTAGGCTCCACAAACGTCTTATCGACTTGTCGTTTGAGTCGTTGCTTAGCAGCTTCCAAGAGCAAGTGAATGATGTTTTCGTTATTGTCTGTCGGCCAACCGTAACCTATGTATCTATAGATAATTATACTTAGACGAAATCAGAAGGTCAAGCCCACGGCGATCAAAGATTTTACTGCAACATCATAGTGACCGACTGTTCACGAACCGATTCAATGACACTTTGGGCGCAATGCAAAAGACGAGGATAAAGGCAAGTGAACAAAATTGGAAGCATTTTATCAGCATCGGGTTGTTTTGCCACTGAATTTAAGGCGTCTTGTCTTATCGATTCCATTGCACGTCTCTTAGCTGGACGATCCCGAGTGGACAGATCAGACAGCAGGGTGAGCTGATCGTTCAAGGACTAGACATCAAGGACAAAAGTGAACAAACGTATCAAAAGAGAAAGGTAGCCTCGTATTATTTGCTTACATTAACAATAGAATGACATTGCTCTTCAATGCTCAAAGCACGTTGATCACTCTCTGTTATATTCGCCATGTTACAAAAAAGCCGGCATTTGCGATTTGAATGCGTTGGTCTCGGAGGGCAATTTTTTTTTCCTCTTTCAGTCTCAGTCAATATTCCAATGGCATCGTCTGTTTTCTCAGCATTGACTGACTGTTAGTTTGAATCTCTATCTATTCGAATGTCATTGGATCATCGTGAAACGTCTGCTCGCGATAAACAATTTATGTGGCGCCTCGGTGGGTTTATTACATTCAATACTGCACATATGATAGCTTTTTTACAGGGGATATCATGATATCCCTCTATTTCAAGTATCCATATATTTCACATTATTTGAAGTTGATAGAAGAACAGAAAATATAAGACTTTACAGGATAATTTCAGAGGAACAAAATAGGAAGTTGAGGGAGGAGAAAAGGACAATAACCAAAGAACATTACCATCCGTGGAAAAAGCGGTCTGGTTTCGTTGACAAGGCCGCATCGTTTGCATAGCGCCGATGAGAAGATGCAGGGTCGCTTTTGCTGCTGTTGGCGCTACTGATTTCGTCCTTTTCATCGGTTGAAGGGACACCGTTGTCCATGAGAGCCGCCATGGTATTAATTCGAGAGATGTGACCGCTGCTGCTGCTTCGACGTCGCAAACCCGAAGATGTAACGCCCGTTTCCGACGATTTGGCTGTTGTATAATTAAGAGTGGTGTGATAAAGTTCGCCAGGCGAGGTACGGAATAGCATGGGACTCGTTGTTTCCTGATGACTCCAAGGCGCCGTACCACTGACATTGTCCAACTCACTCATCTTGAATACAAGTGAATCGTCGTCGTCCAACATGCTCGTTCGCCCATCTTGCCCACTCGCAGTAATGCTACTTTTTTCGGCAGCACCACTCACTTCCGAAATACTGGTCATACTTTCATCTCTCTCTATGCGCCGGTTGCCCAACGAGGTAGGTTTGGAGGAGGAAGAATGAAATGCGTCCGATAGTACGTACGGAGCTGAGGACGCCTTCCTTGAAGTGTCTTGTTCGGTGTCCTTATTCGTGAGACAAAGGCGCCGTAATTCATCATGTCGAGTATCCTGTGGATAACTTGAAAATGCCGTCATTTCAGGACTCGTTTGAACCACTGGTTCCTTCTCATCGTTTTGGGTGGACCGATGACGACGATGCTGGACCAGATTCTGAGGATAACTGCGGGGTATCGTTACAGGAGAAGCGGAGGTTTGTTCAGCATGCAGAGGCGATGGAATGATGGGCTGATAGGACCTTCCTGTCGATGAGGAGGAGGATCCAGGAGAAATTCCCGTGTTTGCAGCCGAAGCGTCGTTTCGATCTTGAACTGTGCCCATAATACTGGAGGAAAGCGATTCAGAGAGCGAATTATGCATTTCGCGAAGATTTTGGAAATGAGATAAAGCTTTCTAAATCACAATGCACTAATGTCAGTATTGCTGTTGCTCCCCGGAGTTGACTACGCCTTTCAACGTGTCATTGCACCTCTTCATCCCTCGAATACTATGTATTCACTGTGCTTGCGCTCTCTCTCTCTCTCTCTCTCTCTCTCTCTTTCTCTCTCTCCTTCCAGAAGACGGTCGTACTGGATTTTTAGACTGCGTACTGACCTTGGATCGATAGAGGGAGTTGCCAAAGGTACTAGCTTCCATACTGCCACTGCCATCGGAAGTAGGTGAAAGATTACCACTCTCCATCATCTGGCTGGTGGTCGACCGACTGTGGAACATCTTCAGATCATGCCTTGAACCCACCCATCGCACAAATTCTTCCAAATCAGTGTCCTCGGACTCCTAATATGCGCAAAATAAAAATGGACCCATTAATAACATCAAATGCAGCAAGCAAGATGAAGAAGATAAGAATTGGAATATATGAAATACATCAAATAAATGGATTGAGCTGCGATCACTTGTTCGTGACCATCGTCGCATCATGCTGGTCCCGCCTGCATCGTCTCGGTTGGGACTGTTGCGTTCTCGATACTTATCAAAACTCGAGGAAAATTCAATTTTGCGGCCGAAAGATCCGCTTTCCGGCAATTGATACTTTGATGACGAAGCTTGCATTCGGGAAGATGAAGGTACTGGAGGATCACCATCATCAATATCCAATACATATCATCGTTAGGATGAAAATGCTGTTCACTTACAAAAAACATCGGCTTGTGGAGACGAGGATAACGAGGGAGATTTGAATGGTGAGACATAGGGAAGGGACGCGCGTCGAGACAACATCTCATTGGAACTTGTATCAGACGAGACTCGATGGTCCCTGGTGGTAGTTGAAGAGACGGTCGCATACGGCACAGCGCTAGAATGCCGTTGCCTTTGTTGCACAATCTCACGCGGGTTTACAAAATCGCCAACCGATGTTGGAGGACCGGACATTGGCGGGGATACGCCGGTACTTTCTTGTGTCTCTTTTGTCTATCGTGGAAAAAAAAAAAAACCCCCAAAAAGTGAGTTGGAGATCCTCAGCGATTTTTCAAACGCTGCCTAACGATTCTTTTACCGCTCTCGTCCGTCTATCTTCGTGGAATGATAAAGGACGCCGTGGTGATTTTATTCCTCGCTGCTCTTGCTGGTATTTCGCCATGGTGGGGGTAAAATAGTGTTCATCCATGTCGATAAATCGCGCACTCAGATCCTGCTCAGCATCATCCACTCTGAACTCGCAGTTTTTCCGATATTGCACTTGAAGCTTAAACATTCTACAGGAGAGGAAGGGCATTGCCCGCAAGGAATCATTCATTTTCTGTACCGTAAAGTAGGCGACGCTAGAGCGCACGCGTGAACGAAGCTTACCCTAGCGGTGTGAGAATATCGGTGAACTCGTATGTTTTCGTTGGGTTACGTGCATCGCCGTCCATAATAGGCACATCTGGTCGATTCAATCCACGTCAGCGATTTGTTCCACATGCTCCAAAAAAAACCACTTTTTCACTCGCGAGAATGATTCACTTACTGAGGGAAATTTCGTCATTCCGTCGTACGGGTGCTGATGCTAAGCGATAACCGATAGAGAAGCCAGCATAATCGTTGAATTTACGCAATCTTCGCCGCAGGTTATACGTAGGTAGCAATCGAACCAGAGAGTGAAGAGATCGAAAGAAGATGATCGATCGTTTGTAAAGATTCGGCAAATCCACCGCAAATGTAGGAAGTGGATGCCTAAAAAGATGGTATGCAGCCAAAGAAAAGAGAAACTGAATTTTCATTCATGAACTCACAAGAGTGATCACTGCAGTAGTGAATGACTTACCTTAACGACAATTCCCAAGTTTCAATCAAGATCCGTTCCACGCTCTGAGTGTTGTTGATCTGATTTTTACCCAATTCCACTCTGTTTCTCCGTAAATTGTCATCGATCACAATCAAGGCCTGGTTTGGCTTGAGCTCGGATACATCCAAATAAATGTCGATCATCATGGGTGGCGGTTCCTCTTCCGCGGCGTGGATCGCTAAAGATCGCCAGTACTTCAAATCTTCCCGCAGCATCTCCATATCCTCAGTAGCAATATTGAACTACAAGTCGTCGAAATTGAATCCATCAAAAATTATCCAATGGGTCCCTAGGCTTTACCTCAGGACTTACCCATTTATTCAGTTTTCGGGAGGACGTCGATGATGATCCTTCCTTGCTCGGCCCTCGTTGCGAATCCTTTTTCGTACGATCCCTTCGATTCAATGGGTCAAGTTCAGAGGTGTAGCGTGCCTGAATAATTATCTGCGCAGTTTTGGTGTAAAAGTTCTGAACAATTATAAGGTAAGTGGATCTGGTAAAGTGGAAAGGGCCACTCTGGTACAACGTTGTGCGTACCTGTATGATATGATCCAATTTCGAGTTGCGTGAGCTGTGGGAGGGGAGAGTCGTTCCACTGGATGTGGCAGGTGACGGTTGATAGGAACGTGGTTGCATTTTTGCTTTCAATACTGCCTCTTTTGGGTTATTATAGTTTCTGGTTTATTCTCTTCCAACGGTTTGCTAGGTGACTTGGCTGCGTTGCATAACAAAAAAAAAAAGACAAAACGAAAGAAAAGGAAACGCCGCACTCTCGTCTTATAGGGAAACAACCGGTGATCTTTTTAGCGTACGTTGAAAAAGCTCCCACCCACAAATTATTGTGAAATAGTCGAAATCGGGCAAAGATGACGAGAACGCAATGAGGAATTTAACGTAGATTTACGGTCTGCGCTGTAGATAAGGTGATGCGTAATAAAGCACCTGATAAGAAAGAAAAGTGGATAAATAGGAAAAGAGTGTGGCTCCTTATTCTTTCTTTCTAGCTCCTTCTTAATAACGAGAAAAGAAAGAGAAAGAGAGACAGAAAAGGAAGACCAAAAGAATGACGAGATATTCAACGTAAAAGAAAAACTAAAAGCGATGACCTCTCTTGATGTGGAGAGCACGAAATCCAGAGTCCGCCGTAGCCATCATCATCCTCGTGACTGCCCAATGATTCATGCAACGTCGTCTTTCCATTCTTGCAATGTGATTGCGCCATTAGCGAATATCGTGCATAGCACAATTTAACGAAACGCTGTTCCCTATTGCCAAATAATACCAAGTGCTTATTACACGGATTAGCAAAAGTTGTATTTTCGCAAATACATTTCCTGTCAATAAAAGGTTGGTGCCTCTTGTCACATAGGGCTGCATAGAAAATCACATTTTCGCCCTCCGCTTTTATCCATCCATTTCCACAATCACGCAGGAAACTAAGCACAAATTCACTAAACAAAAATTAAAAAGTGAAAAGAATTATTCCATCATTCCTTTGTAGTGTTTTTCAGGAAGAATAATTCTTGTGTGAAAAAGTGAGCAATCAAAGGTTTCTTCTTGATGATCTCATAACCTATGGCAGGGCATTCAGGAACATTACGCTTTTTGGGTGCATGATGCATACCTGCATCTTCCTTGCAGTGTGTTGAACTTCTCAAAAATTTCAAGTTAAAACGAGACGAAAATTTGCCACGTATTTGTCTCAGCCAGATACGTTCGCGTCATTTGTTGTTTTTAAAATCAGTATGTAAGCATTGGTTCTGATATGTCTAGCAGGTATTTCACCCAATTCGTTAGATTTAATCGATCTGGTCCCAGTAAAGTTGGTTATACCTGGATAACAATACCGGCGAGAAATATGTCCTGATTGCGCATGCCGTAAAGGTATGCAAACCTTGTCTACTCAGGACAAGTCGTGATCCATCATCATCAACGTCGATTTTCCGGCCGACAGCAAACGCTTGAGAAATCGGTGTCAAGTACTTTGAAATCACTGGAATTGTATGAGGAGTGCAATCTACCTGGCTGGCGGTTTAAAACACGATGGATACCACAAAAAAAAGAGAGAAATGGGACAAACACTTTAAGGAACGAATTAATCTTAATGGTCGATATTTGTTTGGCGCGCGACTTCCCATTATATGAATGGCCTCCGCAGTCTTTTGTATCCTCTTCACTTTCTGAAAACAGAATGCTTCCGGCATATTTTTCAGTTACACTAAGTAATATTTGGTCTGCCTTGTCAGAACTAAATACATGTCATATAGAAAGCAATCCAACCTCCTCCTTCCAAAGGCAAGAGGAAAACGATCAAAGGCACACTACAACAGGGCCCTCGAAGGGCTCAGAAGCTCTTCCAACAAAATTTAAATGTTTAAGACCATCAGAGCAGAAGTAACTGATGACCCACGAAAAGAATTGCTGCTGCTACAGAACAGAGAACGTAGTCCACCGAGAGCGGAGAAGGCACAACTCTGTTTTAAGTGGAGTTGGTCCCACCAGTCCTATAGGTCAACGAAATTATGCAATGAAAATATCTTTATTGTCTTGATGGAAGTAAACATTTTGTAGCCGTTTCAAGTAGAAACTCAGAAAAAGCGAAAAAAAAAAAAACGTGGTGTTTGAATGGAAGAAATCGACTCCCATCTCATAAATTAATGCATCAGTGCAAAAGCAGCATTTGAATTTGTCCTCGTTCAAATCGTAGAAAATGGGATCAAATCAGATAGTGAAGCAATAAAGGCTGGGAGATGAAATAATATCAATGCTGGGCCGCAAGAGAAGAGACTATGCAAGAGAGCGGTTTTCCTTCGTTTTTTAGAAGCATTATAATCCAAACCAGTTGTGGCTGTTACACGGCCCAGAGGACAAGCAGCGAATTCCAATATAATGCCGCTTGCTGTTCGTCATCCATATATGATGATTAAAGTGACTCTATGACAGTCTTGCACCAACCCTTTATTATCTTTGAATGAGTTGCTTCAAGGAGCTATTGAGTCTTATGCCTGATTATTAGGAGAAAAAATGCGTTGTTACATACTTAAAGAATAAATGCGTGTTGTTTTGAGTTGTTACAGAGTGATCACTTTGACTGGAAACAAATTTATTGATGGAAATAACAAGCGTTATAAATACAAATGATGGATGTGCTTAACGGTGATACCGAGAAAGCATGCTCAAAGATGCTTAGAGGAACGATACAACGAAAAGACTGATAATCGTTACCCAGGTCAAGGCCCCTGTTGCTGTCATGAAACCGTTGGCTCCACTCTGCTTATTTTCGACCTTTTGTCCCGCAGGCTTGCTGCTGTCCTCTTTATAAACCTGCGCTGGTGAGAAATTCACACATTGGCCGACTGTGCTTAGTTTGTAAGCACCCTAAAGAATGAATGACTCAATATAATTATGTTTCGCACAAGTTTCGTAACGAAGAGAAACACACCTTAATGATAGGAAGCACCTTGATTGCCATATCAACCGTTTGCTGACTCTGGTCGTGCTGCAATGAAATGCCACCTTCTGCTGCAGTAGAGGCATTGCCAGCCCTAGATTCAATGAAGCACTGATAAGCGCCCCCAGGATAGCGTTTTGTAAATTTTTGTTTAATTCACTCACCATTGGCGTGCAGCCGCTTCTATACTTGACGCGTCAAAACCAGGGGTATTGATCTGAAATTTTGGGTTTCAGTTGGATCGACACGAATAATTGCCTATACATTATTTTACCTTCCAATCAAAAGTATCGTGGTTCCAGATCACAGCTGCAAGAAAAAAGGGTGCCCTATTTTAGCAAATAGGTTCTTCATAATTCGACTTGCTTTTCATTATTCTTACTTACGGATAAATCCAAGCTGCTTCACAATGCCTCTGACGCGATCATCCATATCACCATAAGGCTAGTAACAACATACACTGCATCAGACGAGTTGTTCCCAAAAAAACCAACTTGCCACGACTTACAGGTCTCATGAATCTCGGAGCCACTCCAATCACTTCCTTGATAGCCAGTTCGGTCCATTTCAACTCCGCCACGATCTGCTCTGTGGTCTGTGATGTTAGCAGGTTGTGCGACCTAGAGTTTTTTTTAGTTATTTCCGTAGCAAGATATGCTATTTATTGCTACGTTACCAGGTATGAATGCCAATTTCATGGCCTGCCTTGTAGATCCGTTGAAGCATTTCGGGGTATTGAATCACCTAAAAATATCAGAAACGATCGTTGGTTACTATAGTTTTTTTTTTTTGACTTGTCCAGCGTTTCGAGATTTATGGGGCTGTTACCGTACCTGTCCACCGATTACAAAAAAGGTCACTTTTTCGGGCATTTTATCCAATACGTCGTACAAGGGAGGACTGGCAAGGGTGGGGCCATCATCGTACGTCTGTGAGAAACAGTGAGTATCAATTAAACATGATCGTATGTTCGCATTCTATAAAGATCGTACCAAAGCCCAGTGACCTTTCTGGCAAGTAAAAATGTCGTCCGGTCGCTTACATCCGGTAAAAGACCACGCACAGTAAGGATCTTGGCCAGGTGGATTGGGATTCACGAGAGAGCCTACCCGACGATGCCACAGTTAATTTAATAATTTTTTTTCTTTTATTTGAGGAGAACAAGTTGTTTAATTTACCATCAGGGGCCTTTTTCACCACAGGCGCATTGGCGATGGTGGCATTTTTTAGCAACTCCATCCATTCAGGTTTCGGCTGTGGTACGGCGCGAGGAACAGGGTACATATTCTTCCAAGGAAACGAGTTGGTGGGTTTGTAAGTGGGCAATCCTGCATCAGGTCCAGGTGGCGAACCTGCTGCAGGTTGTTGTGGATGTGCAAAAACTGTTGTGGACAAGGCCAGGGCAAGAAGGCACCGTTTCAATATCATTTTACAGCGTCGATTTCGAAGAAGAAGAGAACAAGAAGTGCAAAAAACGTCAAAATTCAGATGATGCTTTTTCTTTGTTCTTTTTTTTCTCGAGTAAATGGATTTCCATGGAGTTGTTTGCTATTTATATTCTCCATGCTGGAGGATTAATATAGAAACAACACTAATCAAGCGAAGTGGCTAAGAAGAAAATCACCATGGAAACGATAGAATGTTTAGAAACCCGAGAACGGACATGTTTTACAGAGCCATTTTTTTACACTTCTTTTTCGAGTAACCCAGATTTAAGGATCTTTGGCGGGAGAGGCACAACCGGGGAGTTAGGAGTTTACTACCCTCTGCTGAGAAATAAATGTCCACCCACAGCATGCATCTGTACATGCGCACTGCAGTCGGCGAAGCATCCAAAAGAAAGCAAGGAAGGCTCACATTACATTGGTAAAATCCCTTTGGGAGTGATATTGCAAATATATGACAAAAGACTCACACTACTCAGGAGAAGCACGTAAAAAGAAAGTTATAACCCACTAAAAAAGAAATAGGAAAAAAAAAATCAATGGCGATCCTTTCGCTGAAAGCAAGTCATAAAGAAAATAAGCACGGTTATTTTACCTTTTTTAGACTTTCTTGGTTCTCATCCGATTTCTCCACGATTGATTCTCGTCAGTTAGGAGACCTACTTATTTTTTTTTTTTTTGCCGGAATCCAGGCAATTTTCGGTAAGAAATCTCTGAGAAGATCATAATATCATAAATAATTGTTCCACTAAGAAAAAAGATCGACCTTTTTTCCAAACATGGTGTCACCACTATAATTCGTAGACATGCATTCGCTTTGCTATTATGATGCAGCAATAGTGCTTCTTTTTTTATTTATTTCCGGCTACCGATAAATAAATCGAATACACCATTGGGCGTTTTCTTCGTGGTCTTGCTCGACTTTGTCATGACCTTGATGATGAATCTCAGGAGGGTGGTGGTCGTAATTACGATCATGGATCAGACTTGCTGAGGATGCAGGATTTAGCGTGTTGTTTTGGAAACCAAGCTGCTCATCCAACTCTTGAGGAGAGCATTTCAAGGCTGTGCATATCTCATCATAATGGTGCCGTCCGTCCAAAAAAGGAATGATGTCTGGATGGATAGTGGTGCCCGTGTTCAAATTGATGATTTTGCTGTACTGTGTCCTTACTGGGAAAGATGGAGCATTGTTATCATTACTATGGCTGGTATTTGTCAACATGGGATATTTATGGACTCGATAAATCAGACCCTTGATGATGCCGAATGAAATGAACCGTCTACGGCCGTGGAAAGGAAGAGAGTCAAACGATAAGGATGGCATTGGGATGCGTTACATGCTGACTGGGCAGAGACAAAACTTACCTGACATCAATTGGTAAATTGCTGACCTGATGTTCCTCTATCCAATCCCGAACAGATGATCCGTATTGTAAACCGCAGTACAAGGCAAATACTCGCGAAAGCGAGGGTGGTGGATGATCTAGACACACCAGTACATCAGTCAACTCCGACAAAAGATTATTGAGAAAATGAGGGTATTGCAAAGGAACCTAAAATTGAATGACAGCTTACTTGGTAAAGTGACATAACGTAAGCATTCTTGGGCCAGGCCAGACTTCATATCGATGAGGCGTGTTATATCGGGTTTCACGGCATAGATATTGGCGAATTGGAAAATGTCGGTCATGATAATGCAACCATAGTACCTGGTAGAGGAAGGAAAGCGTTATTTTATGGTATGTGTGTGTTGAATAAGCAATCAAACATAAGAGTGCGAACCATACATGAGATGTTCCATACATTGTCTGGCCCACTCTGGCCGACAATTAGCCAACTCCGCAATCCGTTTTACATGATTCGTGCCGTCAATATGCTGTGCGACCTGCAGTCCCATTCATTCAGTTGATTCAAGTCCCTCCCAACTTTTACCTGTTGAAAGAAAAAAAAGGAACTCACTTTTTGCACTGTAATATCCCAATTGGGGGTCATAATTTTCTTCAGATCGACAGTGCAGACTGGCACCTGATAATCGCTCACGGGTTGCGGGTTGGGATAGGTAGGGAACAACTTGAGGTTAATGGTATTGCAGGAATCTGTCAAAAAGTAGAACCATGAATGTTGAGTTGGTACATGGGTATGAGATAAATGTTGTGAAAAAGAATATTCATACTAATAGGTATTTGGCACTCGCAATAACTGTTGAGATCTTCGAATAATTGCTCAATCACGTTTTGCACCGTTCTTGATTCGGAATTAGCATCTTGAGATAAGAAATCGCATTCCAACTGAATAAAGCCATTAGAGATCATTCATCATTCAATAACAGGAACTCGGAACAATCGTCACCTCCAATCCTTCGAGTACGCGAGATAATTTGCGCACAACAGCTTCGTAACTTCCGGTTTCGGCATCGCGTTCAAAGACAAAGCAACAATTGAAGCGAAATTCGTTACGAAAATCACGGTACTTCTCGTGATCGTGAAGAACAACGGGACATCCCATGACCTTGTAATTATTTGCACATATGGTGACTAGACGTTTATAGAGTTGCTTTTTGGGAATGATGTATTCACTGATGGCTTCAAAGTCAATGAGTGGTTTGGTAGAGGAGACAACGGTGTTGCCATTGGCATCATCGGGAGATTGTGGTGTAATGCTGCCTTCAGGTACTTGATGCTTGACAACGGTTCCCTTGATAATATCAAACACGGCATAAAAAATACTGTGGATACGAGGAAATCCTTGGAATTCCATCAAAAAAGAGACAATGGTTGCAAATTGATGGCGGGGAGATGACCACCAGAAATTCTCCAACCTTGTGACGAGCATCCATCCGATTGGAGTTTTTTTTTTTTTTGCCAAATCCAAAAACGGGTTGCCGAAACGAACGCATGGTGCCTTTTGGGTGGTGTGAGATTGCAGCATTGTAATGCATGTCTCACTGGTTTCTTACATTATGAAGCAGAATACGGTGATGCACACGGTTCACACTGTCACACACTTTTTGTTTCACATGTTCCATTTATTAAAGTTATGTGGTTTTTTATTTTTTTTCCGGTTTTCTGGTTTTTTTTTTTGGATTGATGTACAATATACACAAAAACGAACAAGAGGATGGTAGAAAGAGCTTTGGTAGATGGGGAATGCGGATGGTGGGTTGTGTTGAGGTTTTTTCTCGTTTGTTTGGTATGAGATGATGCAGCTGGTATTACTGAAATGGAATGTGATTATTGGAGCTCCTGCGTCGTCAGTTGGCTGCCTCTTGTTCCTTGATTTACACAAGGCAAAAAGGAAAAAAAAGTCGCTATCGATATCATACAAAAAAAGGCGATGAGGTATAGGAGTGACTACTACTGCTGGAAGTAGGTGATGGTATAATGTCCTCTCGCAAGATGAAAGAATATGGATGCAGGAGTCTGTCCCTGGTGGGTTGTTTTCGTACGTAAGCATTAACGCCTGAATCAAATGCCCAACACCGTGTACAAAACTCTTCAAGTGCCAGAAACCGGTTGCAAATAGAACATTTTGTATGACAGTCGGAGCAGAACCAGTCTGAGGACAAGACTTTATCGCACGAGCCGCAGACGATACGATCAGGAAGAAGGGTGGGTGACATTGGCGGTGACGGGAAACAATCCATGATATTGATAGCGAAAAAAAAAAAAAATACCGTTGTCTAGTGTTTTTATAGATGCAAGAGTAGAATAAAAAAGAATGATTAAATTGGGAAGAGAAAACAACAAGAAAAAGCGTAAAGTGAAAACGGAGAGAAAAAAAAAAGGAAGATTAGAGGAAAGAATGATAGAGTGCACGTATTTATAAACTCCATGCACAGACTTTTTTTTTTATATACCTTAACCTTTTTTTCTCAAAATAAGTGTCAAAGGCATTCAGTGTGACACTGCTTTCTGATGTTGTTTTTTTATTTTATTTTTTTTATTTTTTGCCAGTATCGTCTGAACCTAGCTGCATCCACGTGGAATAACAAGAAAGAATAGGAATATGTTCAGAAAAGGCTTGATTTCAATCCTGCTACTACATGATTTCCATGTCGATCCATGACAACCCTTCTTATGTCTGTTATCAACCCTTCATTCTCCTACACATTATATACATCTCCCCCCTTTTTTTATGGCCCGAAATCCAGATTGACAACAGGTCCCTTGAACATGTGTGCTTTTCGAATTAAAAAAAATCAGGTCAGAAAAGGTAGTAAAAGGGAAAAAAAATAAAACACAGGTAAACATTGTGTTGGAGTAACAGAACTTGGTAAAAAAAATGTCAAGGAGCGCGCAGAAAACATTCCGTCATCTCCTCAAGTGGGATACTCTCGTTCCTCAAAAAGAATTCAAACCGTCTCCCCACCCCCCATCTTTTTTTTTTATTTCTTACTCCACCCTTTCTCTTATGCTATAACCTCTCCCCTTTTTCTTTCCCTCTTCCTCCCCCCCCCCTCTTCCCCCCAAAAAAAGAAACAGTTTTACCCCTTTTTTATGTTTGTATCCACATTTGTCCTCGATTAGATAGCATTAATATGAAGCGGACATCACGTTGAAATGACGCCAACGCGCAACCGGTTTTGACTTGTTGTTGTCATGCATTGGCTCGTTTCTATCACTTAAAAAAGAAAAATCGAACGAAAACTAATATGCTAGATGTCATGTCGCGCAACGTGTATTCTGCAGTTTGCATTCACTGAGTTGATATCCAATCGTACACAGAACCATACCATACTTCTCCACCATCATTGCTCTCCCCTCTTCCAGCTTCCAAGCTTGCAACATTCAACATTCAACTGTATTCAATCATATTTCTCCCTTTCCCCACCTTTTTCCCCTTTAATTTTTGTTGCCTAGTGCACGGTGACTTGGATACTGCCATTGCAGAAAAGAGAAAGAAAACGAAGAGGGAAAATTTTCTCTCTCAAGTCGGTTCCATTGGAATAATTTACATCAAACAGTTTGTTTTATTATCCTTTTTTTTAGCGCTGAATCACGTTACGAATAAAGTTATTCCATCGCATTTGCATCCGATGATGTTGACTGTTTTGTGCATCTTCTGTTTTCGGTTGCTGTTGTGTTGTTTCCTGTTCCGTATTAACGATGCGGATGGTGCGAATCACGTCACCATAGTCACTAAAAAGCAAATGTTTGTAATCGACGGCGTCCAGTTCCATTGCAATGTATGCCAGCAAACGTGCAAATCCAGGTTGGCCAAGTGAAACAGATGCATATTGAGCAACAAATGCTTGGTAAAACTGGAAAAATGGAACATGGACTTGTCGGATATAATCCGATGATCTCCGCCACGCCGCCTCCAAACTACCCACGGTGGTATGCTCTTCACACAATCGATCAAGCCAGCGATCAATCCACACCGTCACCTTGTCATGCCAAAAAATTTCTCGATCGGTTTCCAACCAAGGGGTACGGCCTTCACGATCACCAATCAGGAAAATCTTCATCAAAGACACCACCGCCATGTCGTGATCCAGGAGTTCATCCTTGTCCAGCAATTCCCAGGCCGCTTCCAGCGTGTCGCATACCACCGCAACAGCATCACTCTTCTGCGCAGAGGTCGATTTATCGAAATGGTACATTTCATCGATAGGTCCGAATACCCAGGCTGTAAGAGTTGTTGGTGGATGATTCCTTTCACTGTCATTCTCGTTCAAACTGGGGAACATCATTGTGGAACAATGCCGTCCGTCATATTCAAACAGCGCTTTGGAGGTTGTCGGATCATGATCTCCTAAATAGAATAATCCGAGCGTCGGGACCGCAGCACCCAGTCGATTCAGAACACATCGCTGTACAAACATCTGCGCCAGCCACGTTTCTGGTGCACCTGCATGTACACTGCTGACGGTCGTTTCGAGCTCAGCTTGCTTGTAACCTCCGCCCCATGCATGTTCACGTACATCCACATCAGCTACCGCGTTCATCCATATCCAGAAAGTCATTCGACCTTGCACATCATCCACATGGACTTGCTTGACATATTCAACCACATCTGATGATTTTAATTTTTTCTTGGCTTCCTCTGCTATCGGTGCATAGGCGGTATGTTTCAGCTGGGCCAAGGCGGCCAGCAGCTGGAGATATCGAACCGCTCCATTCGATGTTCGTGGATGATCATCCAAGGTCCGCCCTTGAAGTACTCGCCAAACGTCTTGCAACAACTCCACCGAAGGTCGGAACTTGTCAATGTAAGTCGTCCATGCCGCAATATACGCCAACGCACCTTCAGCAACCGACGCCGAGTGAGTACTTCGCCACAACGCCATCACCGCAGGGAAAAAGGCCGTCGCTTGATGCCAGTCAACCGCATGTGCTGGGGTTGTCTTGTGAGGATCACCACCAGCATGAAGCAAAATTTCCAAAACGCCAAGTACAGTGGCAGCGCGCGCTGTAACGAAAGGATCGTCCGTCTTCAAGGCCGCACGAAACCATTCCATGACGGGATCTTGCAGATCCTGAAGCGTGGGCAAAATCAACCCATAACAGAGAAGCACGCGCATTAACTTTAGCGTTTCGAGCTGGAGAGAATAGGCTCGTCGCTGCATCGTAGGGCATGCAATCTCAGGTGATGTCACAAGGAATAACTGCACTAGTGGATCCATCTTGGGCAGAATATGGTCGGTGGCTATCTTCTTATTGCTTTGGACTAAAATAGTCAATAAACAAAGGACATGCACACTCGGATACATAATCGTGGAAGCTGCATCCTCTGTCATTGGCCACTCTTTCTTGAACAGGCCCCAATCCATCACCAGATCCACCAGATCATGCTCAGCAATCAAATTGCAAACATCATCTCCGCCTTCGGCCAAACACACCAGGATACGTATTAATCGCTCCATGGAAACAGGGTCGGAATTACGCAACTTGCTTGTGGGCTGCATCAAGAAACGTATCCGCGGCAATATATCCATTTTGATCAGTCCTCGTCGCAGATCCCGCCGTGCTAACTCTGCATCACTTTCCACGGTGGTTTCGCCTTCCGTTTCTGCCACTGCCATTTCCCCCAATTCATCCGCTTCTCCCATGTCTGTGCGGTTGATGCGATCGACAGTAATTGAAAGTTTTTCGGCTAAACCTTTTCGGTCCCTTGAAGATTTTCTCGTCGTCACTCGTCGAAGGTGGCCAAGGTACTTGTTGAAAGCTTCCACTTCCGAGAGCGTGGAATCGGTATCTTGCGACTCCAATAATAGGGCCGCCATGGCATGCACAGCGCTCACAAGCACCACGAGATTTTTATCATCCAAAGCTGAACGCAGGTAAACAGAGGCAGCGATGTCTGCACGGGAAAACAGAGCTAACACATCCATCCAAAAGGGATCCTTTCGATGCTCCGGGCTCTTCGCGGTTTCGAGAATGCGAGCAATCGTAGTAAGTACCATGGCGCGCTGAGCTGGCACTTGACTTCGCACGAGATAAAATAGTTCAGCCAGCGTATATCCTGCCTTGTCTGCCTCGTCACCGTGATGATGAAGTCCTTGATGATGCGGAATGTCCGCATTAGGATCTACATAGTCACCTTGCAAGTCAAATCTTGCTCTGCGATATAAATCGTTGCTCGGCTGATCCTCTACTTTTTTGCTCTCTGCATCGTCCGTTTTGCCCTCTTTTTGCTGATGTTGTAAAGCGACTTCCATGAACCGAGGTTCCATCCACGCCACTTTGTCAGCCTCCAATGGTACGTCTGCAAAGAATTTTTCTTTCATGAGTAATAAATCGTCATCGGTGCTGTCAGTCGATAGTTGTGTTTGAGCTACGGTTCCGCGTGGTGCATTTTTCTTCACAGATGGGTTACTGGTGGTCGCCGCCACGTCCGTTTCAATGGTATGATCTGCTACTGATGATGTTTCTTCAACAGATGACTGAGCGCCAGACGATTTGTTTCTGCCCATTAACATGGCAATAGAAGAGGCACTCAAAGTCCCCAAAATTTCTTGTCGTGCTGCCTCAATTTCGGCCGGTGACATGGAAGCGATACGATTCCAGTTTTCCTCCTCATAATCTTTCATGCTGTGATTGCTTTGGAAATCCGTAGCTGTTTCCTGATGCTGTTCCTTTTCTCTGTAGGTACTGCGATGAGCAGGCTCAGGGAATCCCTGAGTATGATAATGGGAAGATGCCGATCCCGATGGCTGCGGTAAACTGGGTGCCGTGACAGTGTCAACGGTATGCTCGGTGACTTGTCCAAGAACATTGCCTAGCAATGAAGTAAGATCCAACATTTTCTTCGATACTGGAACGTGAGGTTCGTCGAATGGATCAGGGACAGGCTCAAAATCGGAAGCCGATTCCAGCGACGGCATGTTGGGGGTTTCCTCATCGACTTCGTCGATTACCGATGGCTTGGAGGGCTCGGAAACGTCCGACGTGACATTACTCGCAGGAGCCGCTGTTTCTGCCGTCAACGTCCCTGCAGCATTAGCAGCAGCGGCAGCATCTCGTCGACGCTGGGCAAAAACGCTCAGTTTCTTCTTGGCTACAAATTCAGGTGCTCTCTGTACTCGTTGAACCGATGCCGAAGGTGTTTGCTTCTTGGCAAAAAATTCACGTTGCATTGCTTCTAAATCATCGTCGTCATTGTGTGTATCTCGCCCAGGCCGAATCGATGAATGCATGATCGCTGACTGACTGATATGGATGTTTTCAATGAGACACTAACTTTAATGCACCAGCAGCGAAAAAAAAAAAAAAAAAAGTCTGTGACTGTTACGGAAAAATCGACTTTATTCGGTGATGGTTTCAGCCCACATCACGTTCCTAGCAACGACAGTTGCTATGACATATCATGGGCAAGATCACAAGATGAAATAACATGGCTCGCATGTTCTTGCATAGATATCGTAATTTTTTGGAAATCGAGGAATAAAAAACGTATTTAGCAATAATCGGAGGGAAAAGAAGGAAAATAAAGAAAAAAAGATACACAGCGTTCGCGAAGTATGATAAAAAAAAAATCAAAGCATTATGGACAAGAACAAACAAGAAAAAAAATTATAAAGAAAAAGGGGGTCAAAGAAAATGGGAATAAAGCATGTTTAAACAGAGAAAAAGGGAAAAAAGGGGGCCCAATAGCTCGAAAGCCAAGGAAAAACGAAAAGAAAAGAAATAATAGAGACGTCTTGTAGGTTTTGGTTTCAGGTTATTTACAAAAAACGGATGTTCAATGGACCATGCTGAGGACCTTGTAGTTCATGGATTTTCTAGGTTGATCACCGACGCTGAACGATCTCGGTCTGTTAGGGGTATCCGAAACATGCAGATGGGTCACAGCTTGGTGAAGAGGAATAAAGCTGGAATCATGAGGTAGAGGATTATCGGTACGAACGATGACATGGTCGTGTATAGGACGCACGAGCTGTCGTGACTGGGATGCCAAGATTTGTCTCAATTCTTGACATGCATCGTCCATTTCGGCGTCTTGCGCATTGGTGTAGAATCGCAACGAGGAAGGCTTTTTGGGACAAGGAGCCAGGATATTTAGAGCCATGATGTAAGAGATTATGTAACAAGGAAATAAAAGAGTAATATAAAAAGTGGAGTAAAGTTTGCGACTGGAGAAGAAAGAACAAAGAAAAAAAAAAAAATATAGAGAAAGAATATGTACACGTTAGGGAATTAAAAAAACCAAAGACGAAGAAAAGAAGAGAAAGAGAAAGAACTGATAGTAAAAAAATAAGCCAGAGATAAAATCAAATGTCGGCGATTGAATTTAGGTTGAGTTGCGCGCGGTTACACAGAAAACACTATTGGCTGCATCTCTTTTTTTGTTTATCTTTACATCTCTTTTTACTTTTTTGGCTGCTATACGGCCAATGCCATCATTATCAGCAATGTGGTTTTTACCTCTCTATCAAGCTATCAAAAGACATAGCTCCCTTGATAAGCTCAAGGAGAATGAATTTGCGTCTCCTACTTTGTATGTAGAAGAAGGGGAATTGGCCATTTTTAGTGGGCCGAGCTATGCAATATTCATTGTCATGGTATTTGCCATTACCATTGTGATATCTGGATTCGTCTAGTAAACCATTAAAACCCAACAGCTGTGCACTGCATTCTCCAATAAAAAAGAAGACGCGTCCTTTTTTTTATCTTGGTTTTTTTTCTCTCCCATGCGGATATTAATCATTTGGGTTTTCTATTTCTTCACATCTGTTCATGTAGGGATATCATGTTATCACGGATCATGTGCGTCAATTTTTAGCATGAGTTGATTTTTTCTCTCATGTGAAGATGGATTTTGATTTCTTCGCCGTGCATGACAGGATAGATAGATAAATTCTCACAGTATGCCAATGCTTTTACTTCCTTACGAACGACAAACAATAAGTGGTGCAATTCTAGAAATGAAGTTTGGATCTTTTACTGTGCAGTTGCTTTTCTGTAGTATACAGTATGCGATGTGTTCCAGATGATCGAAACGACCCAAAAAGCCATGCAAGCTTGCAGATGCTTTATGCGTTCCAAGTAAAATAAGTGAAAGCTTTGGATCGCTGCTCAATCTGAAAGCATCTCTATTTTGCTCAATGGGAATGATGAAGAATTTTTACAGCAAATCACTGTTATAATTATTGGCAGTTTTGTTTTGTCCTTGGCAGATATTCATTACTGTTGGGCTTTTCCTTTTTCCTATCATTAACAGAGTGTGACACTGTGAATTTCCCGTAGTCGGCATACTTGCCGTTGAAAAAAGTCCTCGTCTTTCGTTTAATTGTGGACATTCTTCACAATCCTAATTGATCTGAATTCATCAATATATAGGAAAGGAAGGTCGATCCCCTCAAAAAGACAACAAGGAGAAACTGAACGAAAGAGGTACTGACCAAACAATTTCAGGAGATACGTGGCTGCACAGTCAATTCTAGTCCTGAGATAATCAAAAAATATATCACATTCCATTAACTTTATTTGGCACATGAAAAAACCTCAATATATGGATAGAAACTGAGAACAATATTGAACAGATCGCAAAGTCTGAACTCATTTGAAACAGAGCACCGGTTTCGATGAGAGTGACGGCCAGGGGAAAAAAAAAAAGCTTAAAACCTCGCCAATAAAAAGATGATAGCTTTTGCTGCTGTAGCTCGGTAGAGACTGAGATGTGGGGGAACAGGCACTGACATTCGCGAGGCCAAACTACAACTGTGCACTTTCCCAAAATCCCCGTGAAATAGCTCTGGCTTCATGGAAAGTACTGCGTGGCAATAACATAATTTTTTCCTCGCACAACACGCAACGCCCCGCCACCCTTGCACACTTCAACCATAGTTACCTGTCAGTATAGCAGTAAGCACAGTGCCTTCTTTTTCAAATTCATAATAACTGTGATACAGTCTGTCAGCTCTGGTTAGCAGTGGATATTCTTTATCAGAGGAAGTTTTGCTCGAACCATGGAGCAATTACCGTTGCCAGACCTTGCGCATTCGATCATGGACATCATTTCACTGAATTTAATTTTCAAATGTATACCAGTATCGCTTAGATATTTTATGAGCACTACGGTGACGACTTCAATGAATTGATAAATATATGGCTTGCTGATTTAACAAGGAACAGCCTTGCTTTCTTGGTATGGGGTGTGAATAATCTAAAATTTGGTGTCCGCGGGAGTGCTGGGATTTTGAAATTTTGCAACCAGTCAGATTCGATTACAGGTCATTAGACTGCCGGAAGCGGAATAGCGGAAGGGAAAAATATGAGTGGTAAACACTATTCAGTGTGTGTGTTTTCCGGGTTGGCTATTTGTTATTGTTCTTGCTCTTGTTATTGTTTTTCCGGTTTCTTTCTTTTGCTTTCCCAAAGTCTACAGCGGCTTAATGACGGCGTTACCGAAGGCTGACGATGATCTCCAGCAGAAGCGCCATGTACAGGGACCCAAAGTGTGCGTTGATTACTTGTCTTATCGATTCGACGAGATGGATCTCGCAGCGTCCTGGCGTGTGGTGACTAAACAGAAAAACGACATTATCGATGGTATTCGTTTAGAGAATGCGTCCTGGAGGACTTGGGCCAAAACAAGAAATAATTTAAAGACTGTTCCCCCGCAAACGTTAAACTGGTGATTATCTCTTCTTTTGTTTCTTCCCATATCGGCACACACAAAGTGCGCCCATGGAAATCCACCCAAAAGGCTAACACTTCGTATGATGCTCTAGGCTCAAAGAGAGTGATGTGACCTGGCTATATGGACCACTGCATACTGTGATCGATCGTCTTGAAGAATCTCAGGATGCTCAGCAAACACTCGATAACACCAGAGACGCATTGGGCCTGATGACATCGTATTCGATACAAGCACCGTGGTTAAAGCCTGCACTCAAGAAAACAACCATCATTGATGAGTGGAAACGTTCGGCTCGTCAACTTTCGTCGAGCATTGATACAGCGACTATTCAGCCAGCGACAGCCGCTCTTCTATCACAGCCCGTCTCCCGCCAAACACGGCTTCGATTTAATCATCAGGTGGAACAATGTATTGCCGTCTCCAGCGAGGAAGAAAACAATGGTCACGACACGGATCAGTCCGACGATGACAACGAATACAGTCACAACATATATATACAAGAGCATACATATCCTCATGTTGAAGACTATGATTTCCCCACCGATGACGAGGACCAAACCGATGGCGCATGGTCCATTCAGAGACGGGACAGCATTTTACACTGTGCATCTACCAGTAGAAACCCAACCCCTGTCACTCCCGACTGTCGTCCATCCTCTATCAAAAAGATCGCCCCTACTCGCTTGAAGCGATCCCATTCAGATCCTGAAACCGACGAGGTGTCCTCTGTATCTTCGTTCTCCACGACATCAACCAATTCTATATCACGATACAGTGGTCTCATGGTTCATTCATCACCGTATCATTCATCCTCCGACAGCGACGAAGGCGATGAATTAGACGAGCGAGCCAGACATCAAGAAAACGATCATGATGATGATCAGGATAGTCCATCAAGTACTGTCCATACGCCCACATCAACGTCTCCAGAAAATGGTCCGTCCAGTCACAGTTCGCAAACAAGCGCCCATGAAGATGGCAGCGAAGAAGACGAACCACAGTCAGCGCATGTAGCTGAAAAGTTGTCATACAGTAAGGAGAAGTTACCCATGCCGTTTGATGATAAGGTCGCTCCTGCCGAACCTATCTTGACAACAACTCGTCACATCGATGAACAATCCATCTCTTCAACAGCCATTACCACAGCAACTACTGCCACAAAATCTTCGTTTCTCGACAACATTACTCAATGGGCTACGTCGTTTCTATGGCCAGGCAAATCCCATTCATCCTTCTCCGCCATTAAGGATAGATCTACGGCACCATCATAAATTATATACTCCATCCTATCTATCATCATTTGTATGGCTCTTAATCAACGCATTGCATCGTCATTTTTTCCCTTTCCCTCACCTCGTCATAATATATTCCATCCAAGTATCCTAGAGATTCATGAAAAATGTATTTTTTGTAATTATATCATTTCTAAACAAAGACTGGGTGCCCATGTTCATCGTCGTAATTTATCAAAACTGTAAGAACAAATAATTTACAATGATACTTTTCACGTGCCTGCTGGATTCTAAGGTATGATAAAGGCAAATTCATAATGACATTCCAAGTCTTGCACACTTCACATCTTGTTTTGGTATTCTTGGTATTGTACCTGAAAATAAATTCAAGCAAAATAAAAAGTAGAAACGGATCTCGTGAAAGGGAAAAATGAATCAAGGCAAAGGTTAATGATAAGGTAGTATGGCAAAAGCTAATTCCTTCATCTTTGCCTTTGCAGTGGTCTGGGGTCCGCCTTTTATTTTTGTATGCTAGACTTGCACAAAAATCAATCAACTTGTCAGGGTGTGGCACTTGTGATGCCATAGGCTACACACAGAAAGCGCCCTGATACGTGGGATCGTGTCGCTGTGATGATGGACGGAGATCAAAAATTAACGTTTCCTTTTTCATTCATTGACATCCACATGCAACCACGTTGTTCTGATTTTGTATCTGCAGGTGATCAACAATAAAATCCATACTTTATTTTCATTCTTTAGGATACACACCTCATCAAAGAGATTCCTATTGATGTTATTGTTGCCTGCTATTCGAGAGAGACTGAAGCGGCAAAAAGAATGATCTACTCCTCCTTCTGCAATTGTTGAGCAGAAATTTCATAAATTCTGTGGTTGCTAGAGAAACGAATCGCGATGTGAGTGGATTAAAAAGAAAGAGAGAGAAAGAGCGAAATAAACTTGGCAAACGGCACCCGGTTCATTGGACAGTAAGCGAACCTGGTTTAGAATTGCCAAAGTTGGTCATTCGTAATACTGCACTACAAAGCTGTCCCAGAAATATTAAATAAATAAAAAATAACAATCCCGTGAACACTACAATTTCGGTTATTCTTTTGTTTCGCCAGTTTTGAACTTTCAAGTTATTCTCTCTTTGGGTTACTCTCTAGTGTTACCAGCTCGTTGAATGACACAAGTTTTGTCTCAGCAATACTAAATGGAGCTATTCTCGAGTAATGGCAGCAGTAAACGTCGTGTTAAAAGCAAAACACGCGTCCACAGTAAGCGCACGCCATCCGCCACTCCATCACGAAACAAAGCCGGATCAGATATCACCATACGGTCGGATGCCGATGTTTCCGAGTTTGAATCTTCACCGACCGCTTGCAAGAATCCGTCCTTGATGACAGATGCATCGTCATTCGCTTCCATGGCTGCTCAGCCAGCAGCACAGACCACACTGCCAACGTCAACAGGGGGAGGCGATAGTCCCGCTTTTAGTATGCCGTTATATTGGGAGTCTGGAAACTCAACAGGTAAAAAAATATGCACTCCTATTTTTTTTCTGCAGTCATCTCTGTAACCCCTAGTTTCACTTCTAACACTGACTGAATTAGAATCCAGCTCATCTGGCACAATCACCCCCAAGCGGACAGATAGTCGCTCGCTGACTCTCGGTCATCGAAGACTCGCCATGGCTGCGGCTACAGATCATAGCATGAAACGACCTCCCGATCATGAAATTGAACGTTTGTTCGAGGATGCTGCGGTAAAGAAAGAAAAAAGAATAACCCGACTCAAGTTCTAAATCAAAAATTTCTGTATCTCATGCATAAATGACATATTTAGAGTCGTCTACATATGAAGGTCGCCGATACACAAGGACTGACGTTGGACAAAAAGTGGTGGCTCCTTTGCAATGAAAATCATTTTACAAAACTGGGCTCTGTTGTGATCAAAAAGCAGTTCAATCAAGGCAAATCAAGGAACAAGGATCTCACGGACGATGTCGCACCAATCACGGACAAGGCATCCCCCAGATTTTACACATATGCTCTCCAAAAATCAGCCAAAAAGGAAATCACTCTCCGATTCATGTCAGATCTAACCATGCGATTGAAGACCATGCCGCTCGGGTATGTCTGTGCCGTTTCTAAGCCTGATGTAGGCAATAATTAACGATTGGATCGCTTATTAGATGGATACGTCAATTCATTGAGCATCGCGGCATGCAGTTACTGGCTGTCGAATTGGACAAAATCAACAAAAAACCTTCAAGGTAGGATGATCTTATTCGATAAGCCTTAAGTTATTTGGGAAAATGAAAGTTGTTCAATACTCAAACTATACTTCTATAGAGGTGCGCATGCATGCCAGATTGAACTGGAAATTATCAAGTGTCTCAAATCAATGATGAATAATGTGGTAAGCACTGAAAGATAACTCGACAGAATTTTTGCATTCAATAAGCATTTTATTAGTACGGTATTCAAGAAGCATTAAATGGCCCTCATTGCATCGACAATATGATGTTATCTTTGTTATCGCCCTCTATCCCTGTGCGACACCTCGTATCTGACACGCTGACATTTCTCTGTTATTGCGACATCCCATATGGCCACGATATGGTGCTGCAGGGCATGGACCTGCTGAAAGAATACAGCAACGAACATGGCCGTTTTGATGCATGGCTTAAATCTTTGCAAAAGGCGCTGAATGGAAGAGGCAAGATGGGGTCCAAAGTCGGTGTCAGCAAAGACATGAAGATGATAGGGGCCAATGGGAATCTGGAAGTCCATCTCACAGAGTATGCGGTGAGTTGATGCAACTGTCAAAACTCTGATATTTTCCTTTGATTTAACAACTATTCATAAGCTTGCTAGTTTACTTCTCATCAATGCACTCATCGACAGCAACACTATTGACGATCTTCCAACCCGGAAAACCCTGCGGTCACAACTCCATAAAAGTGGGCTGTCACAGATACTCGACAAGATGAAATCTTTCCATAATGACCTGATCAACCGAAAGATCAAAGAGTATCGTGTTGGTGAGGAAAACGATACGAATGACAGTGAAGAATCGTGGGAAGTCGACACCAGCCGATCTCCGGAGCAAACGGTTCAGAAAATTGTCGCCGCCATTGACGGTACGCCATCCTATGAATATCTACAGAGTATCTTGCAGCATCTCATACTGATCACACCGGAACCTGAAAAAAGGTATGAACTTTTTAGTGCTCTATGTTGACTAAAAACTGTGCCCCTGTACTCATTGTATGATTTGTTTATGAAAGGGACCGAGTATACCAAATTATAGATACCATGACGCGGCAGGTTGTTCTGGATAATCGAGGCTTGCCAAACGACTTTTTCGAAACACATGGCGTCACAGTCGACAGTCTCATCTCCAAATTCACCCAAGAAGATCGGTTGGAAGAAGCTCTCCTGGAAGCCAAAGAAGCAAGGGATGTAGCCGCCAGAGCTTTGGAACGGGAAGCAGAATTGAGCTTCAAAGTTGATCAAAAAGCAGGTATGCTAATTTCTAGGGTGAGCTGTTATTGCGACGACTTTCGTTATCATTGATCATTTATACTTCCGACACTAGATGGTCTTGTTGGCGAACTGGAGAAAAAAAACGAAAAACTCGAACATACATTGCGGGTGGCCACACAAACAAACATCATGCTTCAACAGAAACTGAGCGATCTAGAAGTGGAATATCAGCATACGCTTGAAGCCAACGATACACAAACCAAAAAGCTGTATGACACCGTCAGGCAGTTGACCGAATACGGATCGCCTACTGGCAAGCGCCGCACTCAACGTAAACGGAGAGTCGATGCGGAGAATCAGCAATCTTCTGCTCAAACAGTAGCAGGAACAACACCACCCAGAAAGGAGCAGACAAAGTATGGTTTTCAAAGACCTACAGCCGCAGTAAGTAACAAAGTATGCAGCAAAAAAGTCGTCTAGCAGTCGCTCAGAAACGCCGATTTTGTTTTTGTTGTGAATTTACAGACAGAAGCACATAAAGATGCACTGGCTGCCCAACCTGCTGGGCTATCTGAAGTCTTTATCCAGTCATTACGAACCAAATTAAGTCCACGCATGAATGGTTCGGTTCGAAAAACCGTTTCATCAGATTCCGATACGAGCAGAAAAAGCAAACGCCAATTATCCGATACCACTCACAGGAATAGTGCCGATGAAGCGAAAGACACATCTACGGAGATAACCCCTTCCACCAGTATCACAGAGATCCATAACGATCAAAGGTCGGAAACACCCGCGACAAATACTCTTGCCGATGCCAGTACATCCAGTCTCCCATCTATCACGGGAACAGAAGACAACAAAAATAATGTGCAAATGTCTTTAGCATACTCTGAATCGAACACCATCGGCGAACATGAAAAGATAGACGCAAAGGAATCCGTCTTGCTGGAATTAAGTATATCAGAATCACAATGTCAAACTACACACACATCATCAACATCAGCAATATCGTCATCAACATCCACTCTCGCAACCCCGCATGTAGATATTTCAACAATTTTCACAGACATTTGCCAAGCAGCATCTGCACCACCACCACCACCTCCACCACCACCTCCTCCGCCACCGCCACCGCCACCGCCACCACTTCCGGCTCCGGCTCCGGCTCCATCACGCATTTCGTCATTTTTGCCTGCCAAATCCTCTGGAGAAGATCCTTATTCCGAAACGAAGCGAGATGATACGGAATGTTGCGCGCCATCCCTGCACCCACCGCCAATGCCGGCAATGGTGACTCGCAAACCAAGTGCCTTCCATGCCAAACAAAAGCTGAAGTTTGTCGAATGGGAAAAGATGAATACCATGAATATCGGACAAACCGTATGGAGTCAGCTGATGCACAGTAAGGATACGCTACTATCGCCCGTCCAAGAAGAGGAAGAGACTTTTGGTTCCTCTATCGAGTATCAGCTCGCTAAAGCTGGAGTTTTTGACGACATTGAAAAGAAGTTTGCTCAAAAACCCGTGCTTCCACTCAAGATTCGCTCACCAAAGGAGTCGGTCTACATTGTGGATGCCAAGAAAGCTTATAATCTAAGTAAGTCGTATATATTATCTTTCAGCTATACATCACGGGAATGGTGCTTATACTTTCAATTCACAGATATTTTTCTCACCAGTATTACCAAGAAGATACCATTCAGTGATATAAAGGATCGTTTGCTGGCAATGGATCCTTACTTTGACGATGAACAAATCATTTCCACTTTACTAAAGTTCCTTCCGAGTCCGGAAGAATGCACGAAACTGTCCGCTTATGTTGCATCCGACTCCATCTCGGAGCTGTCCGCTCCCGATCGATTCTCATTTGATGTAAGAGAAATCCATTCTTCTACTTGTAAATGCAAAGAAGTTCTTAGCATTCCTGTCTAGCTGATGCAAATCAACCGGCTTACTGAACGCTTGCAATGCATGCTATTTAAAACCATTTTTTGGGATCAGTACCATCGTCTTCACAAGGTAACTTTTTATAAAACAGTTGATGCTCATTTCGTTAAGGCGAGACTTTTGTTGACATGGTCGATTTTTATATCAGGAAATGACGTCCATTTTCGATGCCTCACTAGCATTGAAAGATGCTAAAAAGTTCAAGGAGTTATTGCATGTACGTTAGATCAAAAATACATGTTGATATTAACTAGAAACTCACTTTTACGATGACAGCTTATTCTCCTTATGGGCAATTTTCTGAATGGAGACACCTATCGTGGAGGCGCATTTGGTATACGCATAGCCAGCATTAACAAGGTAATGCACTCAGTCTCTTGGTGATTGCTAGACGCATAAAGTAGCTTGTAGATACCAAAGGCACGACGTCGTCCACCACACTACTCCACTTCCTCGTGGAAACGGTAGAAGCAAACTTTCCTTCCATCCTTGATTTTCTCGAAGAATTAGATGAATGTGGAGAAGCTTATAAAGGTAACGCCACTGTTTCGTAACCTATACATACACCTATCGCAATGATCACTCATGTTTCACAGTGTCACGCTCCGAAATGAATATCAGTTTTCAGCAGCTTGAATCCGGATTAACCCAGGTGGAAGCCGAATTGAAGAACTATGAGACAATGAACGATAATCAGGACTCGGACGATTTCATTCTCGTTATGCAAGAATTTCATCAGCGAGCTTCCAACGAGTTTAAACGAGTACAGTTTCTGCGAAAGAAAATGAACGAAAGCTTTGATGAGGTAGTCAAATACTATGGCGAGGATCCAACCCAACTTCCTCCCGATGAGTTCTTTGGCATCTTCAAGAAATTTATGTCAAGTTGGCAGGTAAGTCATCCAATTCCATTTCTGACCCAAATGCGTGGGCTATGTCTGTCTCTTTGTTCACCATTTTTTTTTTCGGCATCTCCAAAGAAATGTTCGATGGATGTACGCTTTGAACGCCAAAAACAAGAAAAGCTCGAGCAGCAAAAGCTGCGGGACATTGAACGGAGAAGAGCTCGAAGCGGCTCCATTCATAAAAAAGGCGTCGATATCAACAATTGTACGTTAACATTTTATTTATCCCAGCGGAATGCGAAAACTCATCATTTTGCTTTAGATCATAAGAGCGATGATGAGGAAAAGACTATCATGGATAACTTGATGGAAAAGCTGAAGCAAGGGACGATGGAGACCAAGACTCGGCGACGCAAGGAACGCACTAGACGACAGCGAACGCTCAGTTCACGCAGCGATTCGTTATCCATTCATAACGATTCTGTGTCATTGAAAGCAGAAAGCATGCTTCAATCAATCCAGAATGAGAGCAGTTTTTCGCTTTTGGACGTTGTAAAATCAATTCATCAAGCAGTCAGCGACGACGAAGCGCATGAGAAAGAACGCTCGGCTCGAAAGAAGAAATTCACTGATGACAGAACCGTTTCCCTGCCTTCTCTTATTGTATCCGATCATTCCGTGTCGGCTCAACCACTCAAAGCGAGCAAATCAACGCAAACTAGCCGTATGCTGCGTACCCGACGATCTAGCAAGCGACCACTGCTTGAACATGCTCTCAAAGCGCGACCCCGAAGGCTTACTATCACCAAAAAGGAATAGCACATATACACCTTGTTTGCATAAACTCCAAAAATCTGAAAAATCCGGGTTCTAGCAATTCTGCGCTATTGGTTCAATTCGCCAGCATAAAATACATTGTTAGACAAATAGATGGCACAGAGCTTCAAATTTAGTGGTAGATTCTCATTTGCTTCAGATCATATATCATTAATTCGTACTTTACAAAATACATATAATTTATTGGTGAGAAACTAGTAGTACAGAAGAGATAAGGTAATGATGGTGACAAGGTAGTGAGGAAAAAAAATTAGGCGAACATGAAAGCGAAAGTAGCAGCGAAGACGAGAGCGGCCATAGAAGCTTGAAGACCGACAGCAGCGTTGGTGGTGTTGTCGCCGTTGTTGTTATCGCTGCCAGCGCTGCCAGTAGCCTTACCGGCAACAGAGGAAGCAATAGAGTTGACACCGTCAACAAGAGAAGCAGACTTGCTAGCAGCAGCCGAGGGAACAAGGGTGGCCATGGAGCTGGAAAGGCTTTCAACCTTGCTGCTAACCATCATGGAAGCCGAGCTGAAAGAGGAAGGACCCAACTTGTCAGAGGCAACGGAAACGGCCTTGGATACCATGGAGGAGCTCACTACAAAAAAATTCCAAATGGTCTTAGTGTATCTGACCCACGGGTTTTGGCGGATGAAATGTTTGGGTGGTGCAATGCTTACCGGAAGGAGTAGCAGAGCCAGACTGGTTGTTATCAACGGCAGTAGGTTGAGCGTTGTCGGATTGCTGTTGCTGATCCTGGGCGTTGGCCATGGTAACAGCAAGAACGAGGGCAATGTAAGCGATCAAGAATTTGGCGTTCATGGTCAAAAAAGTGAAAGAGGGTAATGGAAAAATCTTGTACAAAGTAACTCTATGCGTTCTTTTTATATTTGTTGCGTAAAACTGAAGGGTGCACATTTACCCAAGCGTCTCATTCTGACGTGATAAGATTTGGTTGGGTTGCAATTGATAAGATATTGTTAGGGATCATCGTCGACGTTTCAGGGAAGTTGATCGGTCAACCATTGGTAGGCGGAGTTGGAAAAGGTTTTACGGGTAAACAACTGGGCATCCCGACCTTTCCAAAATTCTCACTGTGATTGTCATCATTACGACATTCTGCTTCCTGGGTTATTGTGCTTTCTGCTTTCCGGACAAATACAGGAACAATTTTGGTTTCATATGGTTACACTGGCAAGGACTAGTTCATTTCATCCAAAGTTCAAAACTCCTCCAGGTTACTGCTGAACTGTGCAGCGGTCTATGCTTTACAGAATGATTTTCCTGCTTTCAGATGCATCAATTTGCAATCGCATGAATGCACGTATCTTGAACATCTATGCAATCAAGATGATGTATTACTGTGTTCAATTTGGAGTGCCGCTTTTTTTCTGCAAGATCACCCAAACAGGGGTGATTTTACTTTTACACAGTAATCTCCCAATAGGAAATAATTTAGCATTGCTTGGTTCCACAATGAGACAATGCTCTTCCCTAAAAAGATTATTGAGTTGGCAACGGGGAATGCTGACATATCAGTCACCAATTGATTCATATAACTTATGCAGGCAAATTTCTCTTGGTATCAGAGAAAAAATGGAAGACTCACATGGAGCAAAGTTACAGAAAGACGCTAGGCAATTTTGGGCGGTTTTTTTTTTCTTCTTCGATAGACATGCATTTGAAACCCAAGAGGTTGGTTATTCTTATGGTCGTCGCGAGAAAAGAAACCAATGTGAAAACGGTGCTTATCACCATGGTTATCTGAAGCATACAATGCAGGAATGTCAGCAATGACACATAAGAAGCTAAAAAGTCGCTGCTACGATCAGGGTTTGACCGGAAACTCAGAACTGTTCGTCCATCCCACGAAAACGGTTAAACACTGTAGTCGACCTCTGTAAGGCCCTAGCTTATATCTACATCGTATGACAGCCGTCATGATCACATAATTTGGTCAAAAACAACGCTTTTTCATTGACTATCAAAAATTATGGTGTATATTATCGAACATGTTGATGCCGCGTATTGAAAGAAATGAGTATAATTGCAATGTCAAAGTAAAACGAAGCTGTGATGTCGAGGGTTGCTGAGATGTGAATTGACGATTAAACTTTTTTGTCTTTCATTTTTCTTTCTTTCGCCGACAGAAGTTGCCCTTTTTTATATGCCGACGCGGCATCTAATCGACGGACAACCATGCAAGGGAGACAATTTCTTTTTTCCGCTTCAAAAGTTATGACTATACTATGACAGAAAAGATATCGAGATGCTAATGTCATAATTGGATGTAAGAAAGGGTGGCAAACACGAGCAACAAAGTTGTCGACAGCGCGTAGGAGGCCGTAGAGGCACGGTTAAGGGTTTGGCCAAAAACCCAGAACTGTTCACCGTCCACAGGATGGCTGAACAATATATTGACGACTGTTGACGTATTCGGATTCCGCGTATCGTATCCTTGCACGTGGTAACCGTCGTGAACAGCATTGTCTAACACGGTTTTGTTCTCGTTGTAGTAGGGTTCGGAGTTATCGATAGTAAATTCTTGAGTGATGAGACTGGAAACGTGTTTGATGTGGTTGGCCAAAGTGAATGGGGTATAATCGGCCTGCGAAAGAAACAATGCCATCGTGCCAGCGACGTCTTGAGGTATTAAAAAAAAAATTAATCGTTAAACTTATTGTTTTGTTCAAAAAAAAAAAAAAAAATTTGGGAACTCACGTGGAGCCGCCATGGAAGTTCCAGTCAATGTATTGGAATCAGACTCGCCAGTATTCCAAGCAGATTTGATATTGGTTCCTGGTGCAAAGCTGCATAAATGAATGTCAGTAACCAAAGGGATAAAAGTCAAAGAATATGAATGGGCAAGCTTACATGTCAACGCATTTGCCAAAGTTGGAATAGTAGGCTACGGAATCATCCTCGTCAATAGCACCCACGGTAACAGCTCCCTGAGCTGAACCCGGCGAATATAAACAGGCATCTTCGCCGTAATTACCAGCTAAAGATGCATGAAAGACAAAGATAAACGATTGTTGAAGAGCGAGTTATTAGGATTTTTGGGCATACCTGCCACGGTGACATGCAAGCCGAGTGATATAGCTTCTTCAATGGCTTCATTGGTTGCTTGACTGTAGAGCGCACCCACTGAGAGACTACATCGTTATTGTTAGATTCTAGAGTGATGGCCATGAAAGTTTGATGTTCAGGGATAAGATGGAACCATACTTGATAATATTTTTGGGGTGCTCTTCTTGGATGTGTTGCTGTACCACCCACTCCAATCCTTTCAAAAGATCCGAGAGGCGACCATTGCCGTCGTCATCCAGTGTTTTCACGGAAACGACCTTGGCATGTTTGGCTACACCATAGGTTGTACCGCAGCATACACCGGCTACAAATGTACCATGACCATTGTAATCCGTAGGATCCGAGGTGACAATGGTTTTGCCAATTGTTAAACGATCCTTGAAATCAACATGATCTTCTCGAATGCCTGTGTCAAGGACATAAACAGTGGTGCCTTCGCCCTAATTTGATAAGATGTGAATAAATCAATTTTTTTTAAATATTGCGGAGGGCAACCATGTTACCTTTCGGTTCAGAAAACGATATTGACCATCTGTACCGTGTCGTTGATCAATTCGATCTAAACCCCAGCTGGGAGGATCGGTTTGGACGAATTCCTGCAACGAGAAGACATCATCTTTCACCCAATAATGAACAATTCCTTCTTCAACATTGGACGACGTATTCGATGCTTTTTTCATCGAAAGGGACGTCGATGCAAGCAAGGAACCGAAATCGCGTGATTGGAATTCACCGGAATACCAACGGAAGTTACCGATGGTCGAGTATTCGAGTTTTGACGAGGACCTTTCAGCAGTGTTGTTAGCGAGTAAATTGACGGGTGAATGGGACGACGAGGCGAGATGACGTTCCATTTGTTGAATATGGCTACGAATAGCGGTATGCGACACGTTGGGTTTAAAGATGACAATATAACGGTCGGTTTGATTCATCGGTCGTACGGGAAGGATACTTTCCTCGGCGGTAAGGGTGTGAGGGAGACATGATAGTAAGAAAAGAGGGATGGTAAGTAAGGACAGTAAGGGTAAAAACATCAGAATTGGAAATAATAAACAAGCGTCATATATTCATAGACGCTTTTGTTTCCTGTTATGAAGAAAGGAATGCACAGCAATGAAATGCTGATAAAAAAGCAAAGAAAGGAAAAATCAGAGAACGAGAAGAGAGAAAAAAGGATAAATATGGGCAATTGAATGAAGGACATGGCTATTATATTTTTCAAGTCATGTCACACAAGCTGAAAATTTGCTAAAATTGATCGTTGAAACGTGTTGTACAAGCAAGCGGACTTGGTCCAAAGTGTTACTTCAGCATATCTCAATGAAGCCGATGAGTCCAGCCCTCCATTGTCCGTTATGAAAGTGAATCCGGCAACCCTTTATTTTGTATCGGCGTCGACCGATTTTATGAAAACTTTTTACGGATTAACCACAGCTTTATATCGACTGCAACAAGACGCAAAATTTTTGATTCAAGGGTAACATCATGGTTTATTCACCCTTCTATGCAACATAGCTATACATATCCTTTTGACCCTCTGCTCGTTCAATAAACTCTTTCTCCTACAGGCCATTGTCAGTGCCAATGTACCTTGCACCATGGGACTTCAAGTACTTACCAACAAAATATCAATGCATTTTTTGATATCGGGTACTCTTGGTTGGAAACGCGATTGCAATTGGCTCATGACCTCGTTCATCAGTGTCATATGGCTCATTACTTTGCGCGTCTTCATAATACGAACAATGGCAGCCTGTAAACAATTAATGAGTAAAAAATCAAGCATCACAGATAACAGCATGAAACCGTAACATTTTTCTACTATCGTACCTGCATCAAGAACTTTCGATCTTCTTCAATGGTCTTGTGTGTTTCTTCTGTTTCGGCCTTTTGCTCTGTTCGCATCTGCATGTTCAGGTTGATTCTGACCTTTTTACTATATGACAAACAACCCATGGTTCAGCTTTGTGGTCAAGTCGGCCAATACAACATTACATGGAAAATTAACCTCTTAAAATCAAAATTGAGCTCATATCGGCTGGCAGCATCACCGACTTTTTCGCTGTCGCATAGTAAGAGCACCTTGGCCTTGACCAAAATGCCTAATGCGGGGTTGATGGCTTCAGGCGTAAGTCCAGTATTCTTCTGTAATTCTTCGTAGGAATAGCTGGTGGCGTTGTTATATTGCAAAAGGATACCCATCTGATAAGCCGACACCTAAGGATGGTTTCAAGAGAGAAGAATTTCATGATGAGAGTCTCAATACTGACAAAGGGGTAATACGAAAATTTGTGGTGAAGAAAAATCATATAGCTTACCTGCAGGGCATAGCCGGTTCTACTGGCTTTAAGATAATTGGTCTTTAGTTCCGCCTTTGATAGTTGGAACAGCCAATTTAACTTGCGGCCTGAATGTTTGTTTTGATAAAATTTGGTGAAACGATCGTATGTTTTAACCACCTGTGAGCGCGAGTTAGACAACCGTATTTCGTCAAATTTCTCGAACTCCTTTCGACTTACATCTTCTGGTAAAATAAAGGGCGTTGATGGAGCAGACAAAGGCCATTGGCCAGCACCCAAAACGAGAATATTGAAATCCACTATTGCAGAATAGAACTATGCATTAAAATTCACTGCCACATACTGGCTTTCAACTCCTTGTGCTTACCGTTCGGACCGGAAGTCTCATAACTCTGTTGCATTCGATCTTTGAATTGATCATTCAGCTCTTTACTTAGAGACATGTCTGTAAGCATACGCTGAAGTTTGGAAGTATATTCGAAACCGCATGCTTCCTTCAACTTTGAGATCATACTTCCCTCGGCATCATCGGAAGCCGAGGTACCGTTAACAAGACGCTTCGCCAACATCTTTGAGTAAAACTTTTGGAATACATCCTTGTCTTCAACGTATTTGAATACCGTCATCTGAGAAAGGGGAAAGAAAAAGGCATCGAATGAGCATGACGGACAATCTAATGGATTTTAACCGATTTCTGTAAGACATACCGTGCTGTTCAAGACATCTTCCAATTCGTTTTCTTCAGAATTTTTCGCGCTCTTCTTTAGCAAGGAATCGCAAAATCGTGCCAGAAGTTCGGGCGATTTCGATGACGAGGTCTTGCAAACCTTGTTTCTATTTACAAATTCGCCACATGCTTTGTCTAAGGATGCCACGAACCCTGCCTCACCACTAAAGGCAGACTGGACGAGATCGTTGTACTTTTGATGGACATCCAAAAGCGCATCCACATAAGTCTTGGGATCCTATTCATCACAATAAAATGATTTGTTAACCCTCTTCCTTGATCTATCATCATTATATCCATAAACAAGTCGCTTGGCGTACCACTGTCTCTTTTTCTTGGGCGGCGATTCTTTCGATGGCACTCAGACCCGCCTTCTTGACGTGAGCTTCAAAGCTGACGCGCAAAGGATCCAATCCTTCAGGTATACGTGATAACAGAGCATACATACGATGCAAATCTAATATAGTATTCATCCCGAATATCAGTGTCAAGCAGGCAAGTATGGAGGTGCCATATATATGTGTCCATCGTGTACGTTACCATCTTGTTTATCCAAATTAAGCAAGTTCTGAAAACCTTCCCAGATGACCTCTGCATGATTCTTCACCAACACCACTTCGCAGTTTGAAATGAGCTAAATGATGGCAACGAATATGATGAGTAAAATAAATATGACATTCTGCATCCGATAACTTACTGGTTTATGTGTGGATTCATGGAGATACATTTGAACGCGATTCTCTTCCTCGGCCAATCGTAACTCAGCCTAATCAAGATCCCCGTTATGAGTCAAAAAGCTGATTTTTTTTTCCATCCACGACCAAAAAGAAAAAGGTGCCTGCGTACCTTCTTCATGTAATCCGGGACACTGTTCTCGCTGATAAACTTTTCCGATTCAGTCTTATAGTACACCTCCGTAGCGTGAATGAATGGCTTTTCGAAATACTCTCTATACACGTCTAGATTCGATCTCGTGGTATCATTGCTGTCCAAGCCGAGAGAAACTATTTATAGAAGCAGTCTCAATAGTCACAGATCGTTTCAATCATCAAGGCATCAGGCTCTTTTACCAAAGGACTCAACAATATTCTTGATCAAATTCATCTCGATCATTTCACCGTTTCGTTGTCGTTCAATGAGTTTCAAAACCGCCGCAATTACGTTGTGGTGGACGTAATGGAACATGTGTCTCTTCCAGCTCACCAGCGTCAACTACAGGAGGGGAATATGAGATTTTTTTTTGGGGGGGATGGACAAGGGCAAGTCAGGGCTGCCGTCATGATCAAGCAAAAGCTAACGTACCGTGAATACGTCATAGACACCATTCTTTTTGTCTTCCTCAATTTCACGTTTCACCCAGAATCGATTTAAATACATGAAGATATTGTTTACTACACGAGCAGCGGTTGTATAGCGTGTCCATTGTTTGGTATAATATTGTAACAACGCTTCGTCCATGTACTGTTCAGATTCCTGCAACAAAGTAACCGAGTCAGCCGCTGTATAGGTAGGTGAATCATGGTTGCATCAGTTTCTATTGGGGCGTCTATACCATTCTAATGGTCGTTAAATGGCCTTCCAGATATTTGCTCAAGCTGATGTACAGATCGGCACCGATAAGATTGGCGGTCGCTGTGCAATGTGAAATGACGAGGAACATTGCGTTAGTTTTTCTTTTCGATGTCGTCTAAAAAGTAGGCTACAACGCATTACCCCGTTGAATGATAGAAGTACCATAGGTATCCGAGGGGCTGCCACGGGCGCAATAGTTATGCACAGCACTTGAAGAAAAAAAAATAAGCGTGAATGGGCAATGCAAATAAGGGTTGGTGAATGAAAGTATTCCTATTGACTTTATCCTACCTGTACAGGATGGCATAACGTGTACGATCTAAACCCTCTTCAAGCCTGTTCATAATCTGGTCTAGTCCATTTTCCAGGAAACTCCAAGTGGCATTGAAGTCGTTTGCGGGAGGAAGTTGCATTGCCATGACGCTCAAACTCTTGATTTCGTGTTAATAAAAAGAAGAACAAATGATCTTTCTACGATCGTAATATAGGAAGAAAAACAACAAGGTGTCAATGCAGATAATAAAGAGATTATAGCAACAAAACTCAAGAAAAAGAAGAAGCAAAAAAAAAAAAAAAAAAAACGGAAAGGGTGCTGCTGTAAACGCTCTCGAGCCTCGTTTCTGGTACCAAAAAGTGCCCAATCAGGTTCCGCCATTGACGTCATCAGTTCGCCTTCGCTTTTCCAGTGGTAAATTTTGGAGTGTTCGGTTGGAAAAAAACGGCTTCTTGTATGCTTCTTGCATGGTCGGCCTATCTCTCTTTACTGTACAATGCACGATGGTCTTCGCTGCATGTTATTGAGTCGTCTTTCGGGGCAACAAAGGATTGTTAGGTTTGCAGACGTTATTTTAAGTACCTCCACAACTTGCTGTAGTCCCATATAGACTTGCTTTTTCCCTTTCATCTTCTGTTTGACCACATGATTGGCTTTTATTGTTTTGCTCAATGTTTGTCTATTTAACTTCTTCATATTTAGCTGCCCAATTTTCATCATTTGACTTTAAATTTCTGAGACATTAAGTTGAATAAACTGATGGATCCGTTTTTTGTTTGCTATTGCACTTCCAATAAAAATCATCTTGGAAATGCCTTTTTTCACATCAGATCTCTGTCTTTCTTATGAGCCCGTCGACGAAGAAATGCAAATCGATTACGGATTTCTACCCAGCTATTGATAAGGTTCAATGGGTTATCTAGTAACATCAACCTTTGGCCCTCAAAGCTGTTTGATGAACAATGTAGAATAGAGTCATATAGTCAACTGCTTAAAACAATTGTGATTATCACCCAGAAGATAATCAAGCTTCTTGTGTATTTGTAAGACGTTCGGTCCAACTCAATGCTAGTGCGACACATCTCTTGCTCCGCGCGTGAGCAGATATGCCGTAAACAAACAAGCCGATGAATCAACGTATTGTACTGCCCCTGTATCTTTGGCATTTCGCAAATAAAGCTTTCATTGTGGCTCAAGTTGATAAACTGTAGCATTTGGAAGAGATAGAAAATACCACGAAAGTATGTTCCGCATGCCGTATGTTCTATGATTATTATTACATGTGTGTCTATTATAATGCTGGTAAATACATAAAAAAGTAGAATAAATGGATTAACTTAGAGTAAGTAACACATGGAAAGTTAGCTGCTAGTGAATGAAATTGGGGATTGAACAACGTTTTGCTGTTCATAGGACCAGGCCGCCAGGGTTGCCAAACGATCGAAGCGCTTGAGATCCAGCTAAAGTCAATAGAATCGGTTAAAAGAAGAGGGTTGAGTGACGAAACAAATAAATACGGTATATTACCCATTCAGGAAGATAATTCTGCGGTTGAATTGCACGTGGGGGTGGCACCTTGTAAGGTTGGATCATATCACCCAATGGTACGGTATCAAGCTGTGAACTACTATTTTTCTCACTATTTATGACACGAGATGCAACCGTCCGTAAGATTTCAGGCTTCACAGCCGTCTAGAAATAAGCAGCTTTGTGTGAGTAATTCGCTACAAAACTAGTGTTAACTATTCAGTTCATACCTCGTAATCTGCTGCATGATACTGTGATACCAATTTTTGAATCTGCATAGGTGTCAAGATCCAACAGATATCATAGATATTGTCAATGTCTTGGACGGTAGCCTTTTTGAACAGACAATCATTAATAATGTAATGATAACGAGTCAGCGGCCAAGTCGATCTCCCCATACCTTTTTCAGTTGCAATAATTTGGTTGCTTGCATGAGATATTCAAACTGAGGGGTCCCACCAGGAATATCGTGGGATTTACACCATTCCTCGACACGCGAAATATTATACTGAATTTGCATGGCTAAATAATATGACAATAACACGCATTAGATGAAGTGCATAAAGTGAGCTTTTTCCGTTAAAAATATCATACCTCGCTTCCACGAAGAAAAGTTTTTGCGCATCAGGAGATCGTTGAAAGCCGTGACGCCAATCAGTTGCAACAATTCAGACCATATCTGTGCAATGATGGTTTCTTCCACGTAGTACGATTTGACCGCGCACCAAACCTTGTCCATCAATTTCAGAATATCGTCCACTTCGTAGGATGGCTGCGAAGATACCGATAAAAGTTTGTTGATGAATCGCCCACGTTCACTGATAACAAAGCCTGGCAAAGACTGACTGTCGATGATGGCAGAGATGATCATTTTGCTAAGGGTATTCTTCAACTCGCATAATAGGCTGTGGCAGAGATTATCCTCGAGACAGTGGAGTTCGTATTTCACTGTACGAATAAGTTTTTCAAACTCATGCCATCCGATCGGTCTTTGCCCGTCCAGTGCATGCTGTTGTACTTCTTTTTCCAGCTCATGCTCGGAAAGAACGATCAGCGATAGTAGTTCATGCACATTGGATAACCAAAACACACAAGGAATAATCGCATGTTCACCATGAAAACTCTAGTATGAATTTAAGTAAAGCTTTCAAAGATAAAGTAAAAAAAGCGGAATAGGAACCTTACCAAGCAATGCTTCTGGATACTCTGAATAATGGCAAATAGGAACCGCCATGACTCTTGAACATAACCCATATTCCACATTTGGACCGCACAAAGATTGATGAGGTGAGCAGGGAAGAACACCTCCTTGGGAGACGACGGGTAATCCATAGTCGGTGAAGGAATAGCTAGAGTCTCAATGAGACCCTCTATTACCTCCGCTTGCAACGCCTTCTCTTCGCGTAAAATGCGATCTATCTGCAACCACGACACAACTTAGCACGATCGTAACCAGCATGTTTTTTTTTTCTGTTCTCCATCTTCCTTATCATACCTCTTCTGCCGAGTGTTCGGTTTTAGAATGTAAACTATTTCGGGAAATCGAGGTGCCACGAAGCTTGCTGAGAAATACCGGTTTAAAAAGTCGGCCAAAAAACTTTGGGCGAAACACCATTTCCGAGATACTGTGCTGGCGTCGACGAGTAGCCGAGAGATCCGAAAGCGAACGACTCCGTATTTGTCCAATGGTGGCCATTTCGATCTCTTCGCCTTTAGCTGGTTCACGCAAGGAACCAAATGCTTCAGCAGGACGATAGGGAGAAGGTGGCGGTAAAGACTGACCAGCCGTTGCCCGCACTAGCTGTGCTTTCAGTTTGGATATCTCTCTTTGCATTTCCAACATGCGCCAAGTCGCTGCTGTTGTATCTGTTGTCGTATCGATAGTCGGCAGTTTTGTCTTGCCACTTTCTTCCTGCTGGCTCGGGTGTTGCTTTAATCGCTGAATCTCTTTCTCTTGATCCTTCATCTTAGCCACCGAGGATTCATGCTTCCTTGCCAAAGCTTCCTTTTCAACCGAGTCTGCTTTCCATGCCGCTTCAGCCAGCAACAATTCCTTGTGAGATGATTCCAAAGCTTTATGCTGTTCTTGGAGTTTTTGGTATTTGTCCTTCCAACTGTTTAGTTCGACTTGCAACTGGGCGGTTTTGTCGACAAGCACTTTGTTTTCGGATTTTAGGCCTGTCATGACCTGCGTCAATTCCACCACCTTGTTCTCGAGTTTGTAGGATACGTCTTTGAGATGATTCATCGACCGTGCTTCGCTCTTTAGCATCATTAACTGCTTGGTCGCTAAACGACGGCGAAGACATGCCTGAAGCATAATGATATGCGACATTTGCCGCTTATACCACCTTCGCACCAACCTGGGGGTAAAATAAATTCATTCGTATCATATGCAACATATCCTGGAAATATACGGACATACGTACCATCCTCGAACAATTTTTTGTATCCGAAGGGCTGCAAAATGTTGTCTTTCGTTGAGAAACACTTTCCGCGTTTGATGACGACGTATGGCTATATTGATTTTTTTTCATGTTCAGTAATTGCAATCCATTTCTAGTCAACGCAATGCTTTTTTACCTGCTTGTAGTAAAATAATCCACCGTAGTTGCGCAAGAAATGCTTGACGAGCATGATACCGGCGCCAGCTTGTTTGAATAACGACTGCGGCTTTTTCTTCTCTGAGATGCTGCAATTGCCGTTTAGCAATCCACTGCCGAGTGATACATTGAAGTTGAATGACAAGATATCGTAAGCGCAGATAACGCTGGCGACAGATGAATCGCCTGATCTGCTTCTGCAAGAGCGTTGCACACGCGTTGAAATGGTCCGACCGAAGTTTATCTAGATAAGCCAACTACAGCAAGGAAATAAAAAAATAAAAAAAAATCAGCTACTATCCCTGACTGATCGGGTTTTTTAGCAGCTCATTATAGTATAGTCTTTACCTGTCCTGATCGGAAAAAGATTTTGGAGAGTCCAATTTGATACTGACTCGTGTCGTCGACAAATTTCGAGAGAATGGCAGTACATAAATCCTTGACGCCCACGTTCCATTGATCGGAAGACATCAAAATATAGTATCGATCTGCGAATTCCGCAAATGTCCATCTTGACGGGTAGCCAGTGCAGCTGATGCGGATGGTTTCCAGTACACCACACGCACGAAGTTGTGACAAGACCATATTCGGCTCGAATTTCCAAGCCGCTTTTTCTTCATTTGGCTTGATACATCGAATGTAGTGCACGTTTGTCATGGAAATGGTATCCATCAAACCGACCAGCGATTGCTGCAAGTTTAAAAATGAAGGATTCAGTTACAAGAAACCAATATTAATTAACGAACTGATCGACCATTTTTTTTTCTTCGTACCTTGAAAATGGATCCCAAAGTGGGTCTTTTCGCATTGTCGCTTAATCGTTTCTTATTACCAGTCTGCTTGAAAAAGAAAACATCAGAATGTTATAAATGGGGTTTTGAAAGAAAGAGTAGCAGCTTACTTCTGGGAGCGGGTGCATTTGACTAGATTTTTCCAGGACTTCTTTGAGGAACTCCGAGTTGGAATTGCGTAGCAATGCCACCTGCTCGTCGGGGACCGAGTCCCTGTTCTTATCGAGAAAGTTTTGCGATTCATACTCCACATCGTGAGCATAATGCCCGACAATAAAAGCGGTATTGGAAAATCGAGGTTTTTGGAAACAATCCTTCTGTGCCTCGTTATCAAAGTGGGAGTACAGCTTTTGACAGAACCCTTGGTCCGTACCACCTGGAAGTCGAGATTCCTAGAATAATGACCTCACACTTTAGCCACATGTCACTAACCCATAGCTCGGCCTCTCCGTACCTCATCTAGTAGAGCCAGAATTCCAAGCCTTCCTTCGATTAAATCAATGCATTTCTGATTGTCGGTAAAATCGATAAAAGTCCAATTGATCTTTTCGTGAATGTACTCCTCTTGCTCCAACTTGAATATGTGTTGATTAAACTACCACTCCCTGTGTTAATATGGCGTCTAAAGTCATTATTCCAATCCATGCTATTACCTGCTGTTGAAGCTTTTCATTCGCGTAATTGATGCAAAATTGCTCAAAGGAGTTCTTTTCGAAATGTTCAAATCCGTAAATATCAAGCACGCCGATAAAATTGGCGATCTCTTCGGGACGCGCACAGGATACCGTCTCGTTGATATTGTTCACGAGCCATTGAAACAGACTTGCGTAGATGTATTTAGCCACCGAGTCTTTCACCAGGTGTGCTTGAACAGGCGTGAGCTTGGTGACAATTTTCTCGGACCGGGTTATAATTTGCTTGCGAGTGATCCATTTGCTAAAACCTGCAGGATTAATCTGGAGCAATCTCGTTACATTTTGCAGTGCGCTGTCATTGTCCAGAAGCATGGCATCATTCCGACCCGTAATTTCAAGGTTTCCCAAATGGAGCAAGGCTGCCAGTATGGTGAAGATATTCGCTTGGCGGCCTTCAACAATTCCGATAGTAGATAAAGCATGTCGGGTAGCGTCAAACTCCTGCGCATCGTTAACGCCTGGAATTTCACCTACGCCGCCGGCATTCAGATATTTGAAGGTGATGTAGTCGCCAATAGCTAACGTCTCCCGGTCATTGTCAGAAAGCCCCGCGCAAAGCTGCACAACGTGGATTGTAAATTACTGCAATGCCACTTGGAGGAAAAAACCATAATATCAAGCTCACCTGATAAAAAATATGATAATTCCTTTCGGTCGGCGGTTGGAAGATTAAGCGTGATCTTTCAAGAAGGTACGTCCTAAATTTGGCACCAATGATGTTTCGTCCGTGATCAAATTGAATCTCGATGTATTTTCCAAATCTCGAACTGTTATCATTGCGTGTGGTTTTGGCATTGCCAAAAGCTTCCATGATCGGATTTGTTGCTGGAAAGAAAGAAAAAAAAAAAGGCAATCAATGAATTATTCTGTAAGATACAAGCGTGTGTTCTATTATTGGCGCTTACCGAGTACTTGACGCTCCACTTGGGTCATTTCGTGGTCGTCTTTGATGTTCAGTTGCCCGGATGCTTGATCGTCGGCTGTCGCAAAATATCGCATAATGTATTTTGCACTGACGGTCTTTCCAGCACCACTTTGTAAAGAATGACGTGAGAAAATTAGCACCCATCATTGCCATTGAGAGTCATTCTTCTAATCCTTACCTTTCACCTGAAACAATGATGGTTTGGTCGGTTTGTTTTTCCATCATGCAGCGGTAGGCCTCTTCGGCAATGGCAAATAAATGAGGCGGCAGGTCGGCGCGACTGCGGCAAGAATATTGCTGGACAAGATGCGGTCCATAGAGATCAACAACATCGAAAGGGTTGACGGCTATTAATACGATTCCAGAATATGTATAAATACTATGTTCTGCATATCGGCTTCGGATGGCGTATAGAACTATCAATACACGTTTGACAGCAGTGAGTGCATGCATGTTACATGTGGATAACAAATTTGAACTTGTGTAACGCAAGTACCTGAAGGGTCGTTGAGGTAACTCAGATTCGTCAGATCGTCCGTGCTCTCAATACTGGAAGGGTTTCTCAAAGGCGGTAGTGTAGATTCATGTGGTTTCTCGAGATTGTCTAGATCGGCCTCGAATATGTATTCCTACCAATGTTCAATGTCAGGCTCCATGCTGCTCATTCACGTCACGGCCGTCATTCCCGGTCTACCTCGCCATTGGCATCGCCTTCAAAGACGATCCTCACTCTATCTGCGTTGGTTTCATCCGAAATACATGTTGCAGAGATCCAAGCTTCGTTGTCGTCTTCAAACCAGGCTTTGGTACCCTTGGTATATATCGCGACGGCCTGGCGAGCCATATTGGATCAGCAAAGAGATATCAAGCAGTGATACACAATGGGAAAACGAGATCAAACTCCGAATGATGCACTGTGCTTGCAACTTGTACAATGTCAAAGAGCTACGGTCCAAGAGTATAAGGACAAACTGCTAATTTTGCAGATTTGCTGATGAAAAAAAAAGTGCCAACGGCGAAATGACTCTCTCATCGGGAGGTTAATCAAATGAGACGAGCTCGGATTCAACGATGTCTGAGTTCCAAAAAGGAAATTCAAAATTCGGGTCCAAGCGCGGGCAGCACCCTTTCAGCTGAATAACGAGAGGTTACTGTTGTCACAACGCAGCCGCTGGCTGCATCAGTTTAATGTATGGTGTTTGACCATCAACCTGAAGCAAAAGCCGAACAACGAAGGAATATCATCAATTGATTCACTCGTGTCTTTCTGTATTTAGATATGCCCTCAATATCCGCAGAGACGATAATTGATTTCATTGTCATATTAAAGTTTTTGGATTTGTGGTGTGATGAAGGCATACGGTTACAACTTATTGGCTACTGGATCTCAGAAAGAAAAACAATAACAATAAGGTAAAATGGCAATAAAGACGGAGACGAAATCATTCATCTCTACTTGTTGACAATCCATTAACATTAGCTATAACTACCATATAAAATTTTTAATCATGCTACGGAAAGCTAGACGACCAACCTAGACAGCCAGCATTTACTGATACATTCTGTTGCAACTAGGCAAATGACTTACCTCAGGAGTAGTGTGTGTTAACCAAAGGATATCTATTTGCTTTGTCCGATATTATTATTCTATTAAATTTGCAAAAAGAGGGCTATGTTAATCATATTCAATTAATAAATAATGCTTGAGATTCTATAGAACTTTTGGGTGCTTTATCGATTATCTTGGCATGAAAATCCTTTTCAAAGGGAATAAAGCGGACAAAAAAAAACTGAAGGAAACGTGACGTAATTCGGACGATTTAAACGCCGCCACTCCAGTGCGCAGATGGAGGCTCGACTGTTTTTTCACTCTGGTGTTTTTTTCCTCCAAGCCGAGAACGGAGGATATTCGCCGAACCGGAACTGGACATAGATGAGTGCCGATCAGGTAATTACGAGATAAATTCTTGATGATTGAATAGAGCGATTGAGTATTCACCCTTTGGATTGAAATTTTTTTTATATAGTGGTATTTTTCCAGAGATGAACTGTTCGACACGCCCAGTATCGCGGACGGGGTTTCCTTTGCACAGGAGCAGATGGATCGCATCAAGGGCTGCCATTACCTGTTGGCTGTGGGGGCCAAATTAAATCTGTATGTGTTGATCTTGAGCTTGTCGGATTTGTATCGAGCCGTTATTGAATTGTTACCGATCTTTGTATAACAGTCCACAGTTGGTGGTGGTAACGGCGGCTACTTTTTTTCATCGTTTCTTTATGCGTCAGTCGATGAAGCGCTTCCATGTTTATGTAAGTGATCTTGGTACAGGTGGTACAGTGCGATTACCAGTAAGGTCTAACAAAGGAATACAGGATATTGCAGCGACGAGTTTGTTTGTAGCTACCAAAGTGGAAGAGTGCACGCGACGCATCAAAGACTTTGTGAATGCTTGCGCACAAAAGGCTCAAAAGAACGATAAATTATATCTTGAGGAAGGCTCAAAGGTACGCATGATTGCAAGAGACGATGGAGAATAGTGGTGGGCGCCAGCGTTGACAGTGCTTTATTCAGGATTTTGTCAAATGGAAGGATACGATGTTACACAACGAAGTAATTCTATTGGAAACGTTATGCTTCGACTTATCCATCGAGCACCCACATATCAATTTACTGGATTATCAAAACCAATTAAGTGGTAAGATTCTTGACGGGGATCGATGATGCGATTCATGGTAAGTCAACCTGTTTCAACAAAAAAAAATTAGTATCTTCGTCTTCCATACGGAAAGCTTGGATGCTCCTGTATCAAAGGTAAATAAAGGCTGACAGTGTTGGGTGTAATATTTGATGTTTTTGAGATCTAATGACTTTAGCATCAACCAAAAAGCCTGGGTCAGCCAATCTGTGTTCTGTATCGCCCCAATGTCATCGCCGCTGCCGCTCTATTATTAGCTGCGCATCTGTCATCGGAACAGATGAAAGATAATTGGTGGAAGGTAGCAGATGTGGATATTGGACAAGTACATGGTAGGCATCGCTTGATAGTGCATCTAGAAATGATTCATGTCGCTACTTTGAGTTAACGCATTCCTGCTTGCTTGTTTCTTCTTGCCGCATCTGCCCGCTGCCTTTTAAAGAATTGGCTGCCGAGATGCTCGAATACTACGTTGACCGCTATATCAAAAAATCGTCGCAATCACCCCATCCTTGATCTCGGTAAAAGAAAAAAAGAGAAAGAACTTCTCTTTCTAGAGCAATAAGTCGTTTTACGCATCCCGGCCCTCATCCGCCAACTTTTCTCACCTTCACCTCTGATTTTTGGTCATATTTTATTTTGCTCGCGCAATCCAAACCGAGGCATTTGTTACATATCACGTATCCTCACTTATTTGCATGTTGTCATGTTTCTTCCCTGTATTATATTTTTTAAATCATCCGATAACTATAATAAAAAGTACCATTCATAGATCGACATAAAAATCTGCTGTATCCTTGGTGCTGTGTGTTCCATGCTTGGACCTCGATGGTTCGTTTAACTGTTCCCTTACGATGGTTAAAGCATCGCCGCCATTTTTTATCACTTGATGACCCGCACATTCTACCGCAGTAAAGACAATTCATTCAGGTATTTAGTATACTCCCTGAACCAAGAGAGAGAATAAAAGCTATATAAAGCATGTATTGGATCAGAAAATGGTTCAAGTGAAAATCCCGTTTTCACAACCTTACAATGCTATAGATCAATAAAAATACGAGATATTAAAATATTGGATGTATCAGCGTTTCGGTAATTACACACTTTTTGTGCTGACAAGAGAAGAAAGTGAGACAAAAGATGAAGAGCATTATATCAAAAATCATTTTTAATGTCTAGTAAATTAAGGATGAATGCTTGGCTCCAGTCGATATAACTCAAATGATGCATAGGGTGCAATAGTGGCATTTTTTATATCCTAAGTCCACTTTCTTCTTTGGGTATCCATGGCGCGCATATACTGGTCTCGCTCACGTTGTGCCGGTGTTTTGTTGTCTTTACCGACATTATCGGACCATGGCATGCCTGCTCGTTGATTCTGGGAACGCAGCCGTTCGGATCGTAAGGTACCAAATCGTTCACTGCTATTCGAGTGGTCATGTTTATTGCTGGGCACGGCTGGGTTCTTGTCATCGGGTCCACTAGAAAGAGCTTCCGTGCCCGAGACTTGTTCTTCGGCTGGGATCATTGTACGAACAGTAGAGGACGAAAACGAGGCGGTAGGCGCCGGCGCTTGGATGATAAAATCATCCCCACCCATAAATCCTGCAGGCATAGCTGGTCGTCGATGGCTTTGCTGTTGCGCTTTGAGCGATAGCGACACCAAATGGTGATTGAGTTGCCGTGGATTGATGCTACCAGGAGGCGACACTGCTAAACGGAAACTACCACTGGCTTCGGATGAACCAAGGCTTGACATGGATCCACTTTCCTTGAGGTTATTCGCATTCCATGTAGCTTGCAGCATGCGTCGAATAGTATCTACGTTGTTTCCGCATTGCTTTTTACTGGCAGGAGTCGTCGAGGATGCCGCTGGTTGTTCTTTATGGGGCGATGAAGGAATCTCGGCCGCGGTTTGCTTGAGGTCCTCAGATACGCTTTCCACGGATGGCCGATCGAGTGCGTCAGGAGCCTTTCGAGCTGTCTTTGGTTCCCCCGCTGATCTTGCTGGGACTCGACTACCGCTTGGTCCACGAGGATCGAACATATTACGCAGTGAATGTGCCCCTCGGACAGAGGATTGCATTGTCGACAATTTAGCTGCACCGCGGCCTATGGTACTCGCCTTTTTGGATTCCATATGTAAAGGTGACTCCTGATTTTGTGCATCCAGGAGTCCTACGGCGGTCTTGCCTGAAATTGTCGCTAAACCAGATGGACTGGTACTGGGAACCAAGGCACGTTGGCCGCTTTTGGATTTTTGGCTATCCACGACATCCACCTTCTCTGTGGCACGGTGAGAACTATTGTCCGGCGACCACCAATCACTAATGTCTTTCGCACTTGGCTTGGTACTGCTGATATCGGTCTTGGGCAAGGGATAATCTGTATCGTCGGGAGTTCTAGAAGTCAGGGTGTTGAAGACATGGGGATTGCGACTTCGAACACTCGAGAAATAGCTTGTAGACGATTCGGTCACTTTAGCACTGTGATGTGTTGGAGACGGGATGGCCGGAATACTTTCTGGATGAGGAGAATGGGGTTTCGGTGAATCCCCCGGATTGGCGGCGGATCGTGTTTTTGCTTTTCTCGATGCACTTCGAATTACCCGTCGTGCTGCATCCATGGTGTGATCGTCATTACCGAGCGGTCTATCTTCAGATGTCATTGGACAGCTATCCTTGGCCCGAACCGGCGATGCCAAGCAAAGGTCTTTTTCCACTGATAAGGATTCAGTTTCCACCGATAATGGCACATTGGTTTCACGGGCGGTCGCGTAGTCTTTGATCGAATCGTCCATCATGGTTTTATTGGTGCCTGTATCTGCGGAAGGAAGATGGGCGATGGACATATTAGCAGACGAGGATGACGATGCCACTACTCTGCTGGACGTGGAGGATTTTTGTGGGTGCGATTCACTGGACGATTGTCGACTCATAGAGCGTCGTCTATCGTTTGTACTCAGGGCGGAAGCCGAGGGTGAAGCAAACATTTGCATCACCGGGACGGTGGAAGGTGGCTTGAGTGACTTGCGACGGATCGATTGACGTAAAGTGCTTTTAATGGTAGCCGCTTTAGACTGCATGGCGGAATAAAAGGGCTGTTTGCCATCCATATCAACCACAACATGACCATCTTTGTTCTTATCTTGCGCCGTTTGACTGGCTTTCATGTACATTTCGAACAACTCTTTCGCTTCGTCGGAATTCAGTTCCATTTTATCTGAAAATAGCGACGTGGAGGGTGGAGGCAATGGTAAGGAAATTTTCATGGGGGCGGGACGCACTGGCTCGGGAATGTCTTCGTTTGTAATATCGTAAGGGTGTCTATCGTCGGTATCGGGCATGGGATATTTTTTGCTTTCCTTGCTGTGCATGGAATGAACGGAAGCCGTGGGTAATATGGATATAGAGTTGGAAGCGACCACGGTGGATTCTTTGGCATAGTCTGCGTGCTTGGACGCAACTAATGTTCGTAACGTAGCCAACGACGTTCTCTTATCCGTCTTTTCAGCGATATCCACGACCCCAGATCGGCGAGCCCGCTTTCGAATGAAATACAATCCCGCTACAAGTACAAATGAAATCAAGAGAACAGCTATGACAGCCAGCGCCCAAGCGGGAACACTATTTTCACCCATGGTCTTGAAATCTATGGATGCCAAGTTTGCCTTCATCAATATCGCACTTCATTTCAAAACAAAACAAAACCCGAATTCTAAACTTACTTAAAGTAAGATACTGTTGAGTGGTGTAATTTTAGGTTATAAGACGTGAAAGGAAAGGATGGACAATAGTAAGGGAATAAGATAACGACCGCTCGTTTAGATGGGTGATTTTCGTTCTGACAGAAAGGAAAGGTAATGGATGATGAATGGAGAAGAAAGAGATTGAGAAACGGGGCCTTTAATGGCATAAAAGGGGGGGGAAAGATGGATATCGTGGGGAGACAACTCTGGCCGTAGCAGGAGAAAGGGAGCAAGACGCAGCATTCTTTTATCCGGCTGGTAGCAAAAATAAGAAAGAAGCAGATCATCATCTGTGGTTCTTTTTTTTTTCTTCCTCTCTTTCAATTACTGCGTCAAAATTATAAAAAGAAGCTGACAATTTTTGTTTCATTGGTTGACAGAGAACGGGAACACAGTAGGAGCACATCGATAGGAGACTGCACACTCACCATTATAAGAAGTACAACCAAGAAAAAAAGGGGGAACGCAACAAAAAACGAGGAGTTTCATAAATAGATGTTGTTCGTAAATGCAAAAACTACATTGATGAAGACCCCTTAAGCTGCCTTTGACTACAAACATGGTTTATCCTCATCGAATATTGACCAGACAAAGTTGGCAAGGAGCTCATCAAAAATTGAGCGGTTTTTGTCGCCATGGCAACCGGCCTGGCATAAAGATCAGTTGTCATATGTGACGATTTGAAGAAGTCGATGGAAGAAGTCTGCTGCCTGTTGTTCAACCCACAATTTGTGCTTGAAAAACTTAATCTTAGATAAAGCGGCGATCCAAGCCCGACGAGAGCTCTTCAGTGAACAACATTCGGAAATGTTACAAGTGGACATTAAGTTCGTGAGTTATCGATTTACCCTCGTTTCTTACGCGTTCCCGTCCCCAAGATCCCTCTCAATGATACACTTACAATAGTAAATGATAAATGACAACGAGTGCCCTTGATGTAGACAAAAGTGCTTTTTTCTGTGAACTAAATGATCATGGAAACACACGGAGTTTTCGAAGAGAAAATTTTTTCTTATTTGTCGGGGAATTAATTCTTCTTGTGAGTTGGTTAAATTTCACAAGTCAAAATCCGTGTTCGCATCCCTAGCTCGCAAAACCTTGCAATTTTTCCAGGTACAACACCTCATTGTGGCCTGTTAGGTCACTTTAGCTCAAAGCTGATAATGTAGTTCAATATGGATGTGAGACAAAGCCTTTGTGTGGATCCAAATAAAAACGATGGCATAGCAACCGGCTTTTCCTGAAAAGCATATAGAGACGATAGTTATAACTTAACGCCATTTTTGGTTTGTCAATGGAGAAAATTGACATAAATTTTGTCAAATGGCATTATCGAGTATCAGATGGAGAGAAGGACAGATAAGCTTCTCACGACGAATAACAGATAGTCACATCACGCAATGGTAAATTTTTGCCATGATTGACTTGACTAGGGCAGCTACGCAGGTTAAGCACAGTCTGAATGATGGATGCACATGGGAATTTGATGCAGTAGTATCAGGAGAGAGAATCAAAGGCAGAAGAAGAAGAATATAGAAAAATATGCAATATTTTTTGGGTGGAAAAGTAGTCACATCGCCAATGCATGATTAATGACAGATTAAGCATGCGAACTCGATCGCTTGCTTCAAAGTAATCAGGGTTCAGCAGAATCGGAATGTCTGTGGTCCGTTAATGACGAAAAAGAGTGGGGAAATTTAACGGGGGGCCACCGAGCCTTATCGATTAAGGAAAACCCGACGAAGGCTTTTGCCAAGAAGATACAATCCAAGTAACGATTGACACATCGTACGAGCTCGATTGTAATTTGTTCATATATCATTTCAATCACTAAAGATGAAGAGAAAATGGGAAGAACATGCATCATCAGTTAAAAGCAGTTATACATTGCTATAAAACTACTCATCGCCATATTGTCATCATCCTCTCTACAAAAGCTCCCCTCCCGTTAAATTTTTTGCATGCTCCCCCCCCCCCAATTCAACTTCTTTTTCAATTATCGAAATACATTCAACCGCAACATAAATACCACGATCCCAAAGATAATGAGCGAATAAGAAAACAAAAAACGGTCTCTGTCTTGTTAACTTTACCCATTTTTCCTTGAACTTGTTTATCAATGAACATTTGCTTTCTTGGGTTTACATGCGATACACCGAATAACATGCATTCTCAATCGGAAGACACCTTGATGATAATGATTTCTCTTTAATATGTGACAATGTTTAAACCGCAGTTATAGAGAACAAAGAGCAATGATTCGGCGTCTGTGCTATCTTATAGTCAGGTATTGCTGGCTGGCGATACGAGGAAATCAATGCATCATTTGTCACGGGGGCGCACTTTGGTTTTACTGCCATCGAATAACCATTTTACATAATTCTTTCGTTTCATGGAATCCTTGACTCGTGATTGTTCGGAGAGGCTGATTCTCGCTGATGAACGTAGAAGGACGGGTAAATGGTCCATGGCCAGGTGAGACTGATCGTTTGGCATGGTATGCATCGTTTCGTTTGTGTTACTTTGGCGAGAGTGATATTTGGTTGGTCTCCGTTGCATAGCTGGATTTGACAGCATACGTTTGATCCGTGGCCACAGCGGCTTGGGCTGTCTATCAAGTGGAAGGCCACTGACCGAATAGGATGGAGTTCTGAACTCTTGTCTTTCGGCTGTGGTATTTCTGCTTGATGAAGGAGGTGTGAAGGACGCTAACCTCGCCGTCTCCATGGTGCCAAGTGACAGTGCCGTGTGATCGTGGAGATATCGACGATGTTGTGCAGGAGCAGTAGCAGCAACGGTTGGAATATGAGGTCTTGCTGGATAACTTTCGTTAGTGATGACGGTAATAAGGGAGAAGGCGGCGGAAGGCGGAGCGGCAGGCGATGCATCAAGAGGGGTGGCTAGACTTGCCGAATCCGTCGTATCGTCTGTAATGCAGGAAGCAAGCGAGAAGCACGCTGAATTTCGACTCGTGGGTGGCCATACCATAGTTGCAGGGAAAGAGAAAAGGACGATAACGTATTGCAAGCCTGACTGTCATGGATAAATAGTGGACGTGTATAAAATCCGTTAGAATGATATTTTAACGATTCAAACTAGAATAGACTTTTCTTATTTTTTGATGATGGCAATCGTCTCACTTGCAACTGGTATGGTCCGATGCTTGATTGCTTTGTCCGTAACCTTTGCTTTTCTGGGTGTTCGGTACTTCACACATCTCTTGCGTGGGCCGTATCTGTTGCACCATCAATCGAAACATATTCTCCGCTGCTGCCGGATCGCCATTACCTCCTCTCTTAAAAAAAAAAGCAGGGTCATATTCATTACGGTGAGAATCATACGAATGATGCATTCATTAAATTACAACAGTTCCGAAGGAAAATATACTAGCTCATCATGATATCAAGACACGGGTTGCATAAGTTGCAACGACTGATATATCGGCCTCGCTGTATAACGCGCTATTCAGAAGGAGGGTGATTATCTCTAGGGAATATCTTGCTCAGTCAACAAGGCTGGATGATCACTTAGCATTAATTGCCTTACATAACACATACTCAATACCGTATCTAGCTATCCAGTAATTTGAAGCTCTTACCCTTTATGTTTATTGTATCGAGAAAATTTGCAGCACCAGTTCGTGCCATAGCAAGATTTCCTATTTTTCATGCTCCATAAGTGCATAAATGTTATTAGTTTGGTCAAGGTAAACGTTGTTATAGCTTATCAAAAACAAAAGATGCGATGCTATCGTAGACCATTGTATTGGTCCTGCATATTCGAAAAACCAAAGATTTGGTGCAAGTGCGATTTTATTAGTGGGGCGAGGGTGGTCTTGCGAAAAATTTTGTGGCTTGGGACGGTGGCCGGGGGTTCAACGTAAAGATTTCGAGCACAGTCAACTTTTTCGACAAAGGAACACAAGTTGATCTTTCATCGACCTTTTTTTACCGTCATGTCTGTCAATGCACTCCGTCTTATTCGCTTCAACAGCATAAAGCACGTTCGATTTGCAAGCGGAGGTTCCAAAGCCAAGCCTGCAAGTACATCCACTCCAGGCGATGCCCGCTTAGAAGTCATTCGCCGAGTGCTTTTCGAATCTCCTCCTCGTCAGCCCACCATTTCCTTAGAAGGCGAAGCTTTAGAGCGACACGAAACCATCGAACGAGCATGGAAGCTTCACAACATGCGTCAAAGAGAACAACAGCAGCGAACGTTAGAGCGCCAATTCCGAACAATGAACGCTGCTATGAACGAATTAGAAAAGACCAGTGATCGCCTGTTCAAAGCTACACTTGTCAAGAGCCGTCATGTTACTTATCCGAAGCAAGCAAAGATTCCCACCGAAACACCATCAACTCAAGGATGGAACTACTCCTATAAAGCTGCGCAAAGTGCTTAAATTATACGACTCGCTTAGACTTTTTCCCTCTTGACTTTGTTGGATGACCTAGAAACGGTACTTTTTTTTGTATTTTTTTATCATATAAAAGCCTGTAGAAACATTTGAATCAGTTCTCTATCCCTATTCCGCCAATTACGCCTTCAAACGGTTGGGTCTAGTGCAATATCCTTGTTATGTCTTTGGAATAAGCTATGTGCGAGCAATACAATGTAAAAACTTGATTGATCCGGTTGTACCGGTCTGAGGAACAAGAAACGATTCGTAATAGGGGAGTCATACAAAATTCATATGATGATCGACCAACGCAGCAAACTTTTGCGGACTGGCAGCTGGGAACTTATTGAATGTCATGGTAGAGGCAAGTTGGACGGACGACGCAAGATCACTAAAAGGCAACATATTTTAGACCTTTTATTTATTTTTTGGATGGTATCTCATTCTCGTTGCATACCTGATGTCGCCAATTAAGCAATAATTTTTCTCTGCCATTGCGCTTGCTAATTCCAACTGATGATTATCCATGAGTGTCGAATTCACTACCATAATCAACCGCTTGTTGGGTAACCGCAGCGTTTGTATCATCGTCCCGGATCCTAATCCATCGATAAGTGAGATACACCTTCCATCAAGCCTTGAGTATATATACCAGCATGGCTAATGACTATATCCGCCTCCTCTATGTCTTCCGTGATCGATGGCTTATAAGCATATCCGGAAACAGTGAGGTTGCCTCTGTAAACCTCCTTGTTTCGCTGAAACGGGACAGCAGATGTACCATATTGCACCGTGATTCTCGTAAGACCTAACGTTTCCAATGCTGAGAGGAACGATGTTGACGTGGCCGCTTCAATGAGTTCATCAAATCCAGTGGATCCCACAGTAATGAAGACCGACATTTCCACAGTTTCCAAGAAGCTTACTGCTGAACCGCCCTTTTTTTCCCGCTCCTACCTATGGCGCGAGTCGAAAATTTTCTACCGGCTGTTCAGCTAAATGCAAACGCGAACCGCATCCACTATTTACAGTCAAGCGTCTCTATATTGGGGCAAAGATCTATCTGTTAAGCTTGCTATCAACGGCACTTTAAGAATCTTGATATTGCCTGCTTCTTCAGTCATCTTTCGGTTTTTCCCCTATTATTTGGCTGTTCTATAATTAGTATGTCACCATTTTATAACAGAATAAATCTACAAGTGAATCTGAGAATGATTAATAACGATGAATCTTTTCAATACTGTTGTACGAGAGCTGATAAATTCAGTGCAATCATAAACAATTTCCACAAGTACCATTATCAAACTTGGTGTGCACTCTCTTGCTGAAGTTGATTTTCAATACACTTTTTTAGCATTGAGGAGAGCAAAGTCAACTAAAGTTTCGCAACATCTACAATCTTTTTATAGCGCCAGCACAAGCGCTGCGCGATGACAGAGGAGCAGATCTATAATGTTAAGAACTTTTTGATGCTTTGTCGAGAGAACTGCATGAAAAATTTGGCTAACATAACCAGGGGCACTACACATAATTAGCCGTTTTTATCGGCTTTTTACCGCTAAAAATTTGGAATTTTTACCGGTAAACGGTAAAGTCACCACGTTTTTACCGAATTTTTACCGTTGAAGACGCACCATTTTTACCGGTAAATCCTCGATAAAGTCAGCGTGTTTTTACCGATTCTTTACCGGTAAAAACACATTGAATATACCAAGATGCGCTTCTCTTTCATTGGCTAATTCCAAGATCTTGAACAGCAGGGTGCCTCCTTCATTGGTTCTGAAGACATCTTTACAGCCACGAAAACCATTCTGATTGGTCTTTGGTCCATCTGAAGAACCTTTTGATTGGCGTCTTTATTCTTCAAGATCTCTTTTGATTGACTAAATACGGAACCTCTTTAGGTTATCGCTTTCATACAATTACTGGGGGATTTTTGCTTATTGGATGCTTGTAAATTGTTTTCTTTATTTATTTATTGGTAATAAATCGGAAAATGATAGTAAACTCTTCAATGGTTGTCTATACTACATTGGATATGTATAAAATGCTATGAACGTGTTCTAAACTTACCTTAGACATACAGCGATGCTGCTTAGTAAAGAATAAAAAGACAGACAAACTTACAAAGGCAAATATCAGCAGAGCGCTTGAAAGAGACCATGGATATGATAGCTGATTTCGGCAGCAGTTGAGGGTGCGAACTAATCTCTATGTATGTTAGAAGATGCCATAAACAATACTTACAGTGCAACTCCTTATAGCGATAAACCATCGTTGCAATAGCTCATTCTACATGTCATAAGAACATGTTCAGTAACATAGAAATTTACACATTTACTTTGGTATCGGCTGTTACATACCTAGTACTATAGCTTGTAAATTGCATACCGCCGCTTTGATAAATGATTTTGGCATGGATACCATCTTCTTTAAACTCTAGACGTGTCAAGAGATACATGAGCATTGTCTCCGTCAAAACCATATACGTCTTATTACACATCTGCAGAAAAACTTACCTGAACTGCTTTATCTTCATGTCTAAACTGCAAGAAAAGTGGAATAATTTTAGCTATAAAAAGTATAGTAAAGAAGTACAATACAACGACTTATCAAAAATAATAGGATAGCAGAGAAAGACAGATATTGTTGTTGATTTTCCAATTCCTGTTTAATAGATGACTCACCGTGTAACATTCTACCATGTATCTGATGACGTGTTCGCTAGATTTGGCAATGGGAAACGAGCTAATTCTCGAATTGGGTAAGAAAATAACATGTCAAATCAATCATACCTCTTTATCACTCACTTGTACTTTTAAAAACATCATGTCAAACGAACGTAGGCCCCCTCAAGTGCAATCCTCCCGACCAGTGCGTGTGCACCCAGTGCCTGCTCTTCCGATAATCTCCCGGGATTCAAGTGACGTAGCAGCATTGAAGCAGCGTGTGGCAGTTCTTGAGCGACTAGTCGCAGAAGGAGACCGTCCAAAGAAACGCTCCTCTGTCACCATCGACCATGCTGATTATAAGCTGAGAGTAAGCAGTGTACATAATATATCCAATTTGCTGATAAGAATCACTGACCGTTTCAAACAGAGGCTTATTCGTAAGCACTACGAAGCAAATTTTGCAAATGACCCAAACCTCTGCTTCGATTTGAATAAATTCGTCTTTGAGAAGCCAAATAAGAAGGTCGTGAAGGCCTTGCAGGATTACATCGCCAACATTTCCAGTGACGAGAGGGAGCCTGACTGGACTCCCGAATTCGTATACCAAAAGTGCCGCAGTTACCTGAATGGGCTGCGAAGTAAGGCAAAAAAAAGCCCCGAAGACCTCCAAAACGAAAGTCGCACCAATGCTACCCGGCAAAAACGGGATCGCGTTAGTATTCGAAACAATACAATCAAATTAAAAAATATGACTAACCTGAGTACCTGTGTAGAAATGCCAGGCCCGGCTCAATGCCTTCAGGGCAAATGAAGGCCTAACTACATCTTTCCCTGGGGCTGGAAAGCTCCTCGACAAGCGATTGATGTCTGACGAGGAGGACGTGAAGGACGAAGACGGTTTCGTCGTGAAGACAAAGGTGCTTCGGCCCAACTGGAGAAGTCCTCAGGTTAGCAAATCAGATTAAACCACTTGCATGAACGTCCCAAAGAATAACATGTATCTCCATAGGCAAATGCCTTTTTGGATGAGCTTTCAAAGCTCGCGGAAAAAGACAAGTTGACGCAGCAGAAGAAACGCGTCAAAGTAGTGCGTATTCCGAAAGAATATGTGCTGGTGGATCAGCACGTTGATGCAGAACTTTTGGAGGAGCTTCCCGATGAGGCGAAAAGACAATAAATACGTTTTTTTTTATAAGAAACTAAAACAACGCAAGTATTCAGTACCGATCCACTGCAATAACTGAAAAGTCAAAGGCATACACCACTTACTTTAGGGAATATATTACATGTTGACTTTTCGCAGTAAAGGAATGATGACGACGTTGTTATCGAGCCAGCTAGTGACTGCCACAGGTTGATATATACGATGCACAGGGAGGATGCACGTATTATCCATCTCGTCAAAATCGCGTCGCCAAACAGAAAGCCCAAGGTTGTCAAAGGAGGTGGGATTGTATGGTTGATACCAACGCACGAAAGCAAATGTATGTTTGAATTCGATGTCTTCGGTGCTATCATGCGTTGGTAATCGCTGGACATGTTGGAAATAATATTGCACCTCTCCAGGTCGCAGATAGTATCCACCATTGGCAGAACTAAAATACGCCTGGATGTGACGACCCCGACCCGTTCTCGCAGCTTCGCGGCTTCTGAACTCTTGGCCAAAGATTTGGGATCGTGCGTACTTCTGAATCCGGTCCATCACCATTCTCAAATGAATGTTGACCGAATCGGTCACCGGGCGGAATGGTAGCTGCAGGCGCTCGTAGTGGCTGTAGAGGCACCTGTAATGCATGGGATCCATTTTGACATACTGGCCGATGCCGAAGAGTATGACTGACTGAGGCAAAGCTTCATACCCCACAACACTATTAGCATTTTCAGGGTGGGCCAACTGGATGAACTCGTACGCATCAGCGACATCGTTCGTAGCGGTACTTGCGGTTGCCGCACCAATGTTTGGAAGAACGGCGTGCAATGCTCTACCAAACATTGGGTGGATCTCCAGGGCATCGCGAACCGAATGCAGCAATTGATCACCTAATTATAATTTCACATTAATTTCAAAATACCGAATGCAGATAGGGGAGAATTACCATAATATTGCTCTTGGTATTTGCGCATTATGGTGACCTCAAAGCCATCTTTGCTATTTGTTGCAAAGCTTTTCAGACACCCGTTCAGTCTCTCAAAACTAAACAACCAAAATGCGTAGACCGGGCCAAAGTCCAAGATGCTTTCCCGCAAATGCATATGCAAATGCATGTTGGGAGTGATTTCTTCGGTACCGTAACGCTGCTGGTAAGAATGGCAGAAATCACGCAGCAGTTCGTGCGCTTCATCTAGCTTGCTACGTTCGATGGCTGGTCTTGAAAGGAGTCTGTTCGCGTTCACAAATTCATCCAGATCGTGAAGTCGGCTCCGATCAGCTTCTCTTTCAAGAGAAAAGGAGAAACTAGCACCCATGTGCGCCATTGGTCAGACGTCAGGTTGGCACACCCAGAGTTGACTTTGCCACTTGGCAGATCGTAGCCGGAAGGGAGAAGCATTCTGCCCAACTGATCTGCCATCGCCTGGAAATCCCGGTCGTTCAGCATGAGCTGGTCAGTATGGGGTTGCAGCGACGTCTTCCAAAGCCCCATACACCGCTTTGCGGTGCCCGAATACAGATTGTGCATTGGATCAACTACCGTACAACGGACAAGATCCAAATACTTCAGACGATGCAATTCTGAAAACCGGACACCGTTCAGCTTCTCTTGAGAAGCACGCTGCTGCAAGGTGGTGGCTGCCTTCCACTGTTTTGCCTCTTGCCTGTTTTCTGCAGCGCTGCCTCTCTCCCAACTATCAACGCCAAGGAAACCCGAGAAATCGCGTTGAAGGTGGTTACCGGGTACACCTGGGAATGAGCGTTTGCATTTGTAGCAAGCCCGAAATGACCCGATACCTATATATTAAACTTCAGATTTTTTTTTTCATTAGGACGAATGTTGAATGATCTCATACCTGTGAAGCCTGAAACTTTTCGCGCTGCAGGTATGTCACATGCAACCATGAGGATCGCCGCACGAATGCGCTCATGATTGATGCTAATACCTACATACAGGTCTTCCAATTCATCGACGAGTGGGCGCAGATAATGATTTATCTGATGCGTCTTTGGCTCATGCGGCCCAGGGATCACACCGACGAGGATCACGTTCTCTGGCTTGAATCGTTGGGACCGGGGGAGGTTGTTCACTGCAAGGTATATGGCACCAACAGAATGCATGCGACCTGTGTCAAATCCTGTAAGTTTATGAACATAAACCAAATCTAGTCCACCAACTGTAGGCTTACCTGTGTCGAATTCTTGGAACCAATCTACGTTTAACGTCAGCAGGACGGATCGTTCATCATCCGCGAAGGTGTTATTCTCGACGTCTCTCACTTCATGCCACATCCGGCCGTCATAGACGTCGTAGAGCACGTCGGTATCCCCTCTGCGGATCCTCCACCCGTTGATTGCTTGTTGAAAGCCGTCGCGCGCAAACATCATCGCCAGGGTCGTTTTGACTGAGTTGTAAGCATACTCTTTGATGGGAGTAGCCTTGTTTCCGGACGTGAGTTTGAATAATCGGTTATTGCAAGGAGGACGTTGCGGAAAGTCACGATATTTGCACAAAAGATCATTGACAGGATCAGCAAATTCGTCCAACCGATACTGACTCATGCGAGTAGTATGGTGGCAAGACGGGCAAACGACAAACTTGATTACTCCTTGACCTTCCATTGACGAGCGGATGTGGTTGCGAAGGGTGGACACCTTTGCAGGAAGCCAAAAAGGAGCGCCACAGTAATCGAGCAAGGCGTTCAGGAAAAGGATGAGCAGTTCCATAGCCGACTCAGAAGTGTACCGCAGCTGAAAGAACACCAGAAATACTGCGATGAGCAAGTACATGGGATTCACTGTGGATTCGACTGCTTCTTCCTCCTCTTGCAAAACGACTTCATTCCGGAGATAGTCATCATCGGCACCAGATTCGAGGAAACCGTCGACATCGGTAGGCAGATTTTCGGAATCAACGATCTCTCCTGCGTCGTCCACAACGAGCTCTCCGAAAACAGCATCATCGGAGTCAAAAGGTACGTTACTGGTGATAACGACATCGTCCATTTCGTACTCCATGTTGAAGTCATCGTTTGTCACCGGTTCAGGTTCATTGTCTGTTTTCGACGAGGTAAATAAAATAAAACTACCAGGTCTCTTGCAGCACTATGATTTTTTTTACCTTGACTGGCGAGCAAAGGAGAAATGCCTCTGTTAGCAAGATGTTCACGCACAGTGCGAGGTTGCTGCTTCACAAAAAACAATTTGCCCTTGACAAGCTTAGTGCACTTTGCGCAATGGCAAGGACCGTATTGGTAAGAGATTGAGCCGGACATCTTAATTGAAGCGATAATTAAGTAAAGACTTTCAAAATAGAGGGAAAAAGTTAAAGAAGCTTTTTTATTTTTTGGACAACAAAAATAAACACCGAAAAAAGAGATGGTGATCTGTCTTTGATAAGCCATTAAGATGGTATGAGTGACAAGTGCATGATATGATTGATTCATCATTGAGTAAGCATTTGAATTAGGAAGCAAGCCAATATCCAAAAATAAGCTCAAGTATCCATGACGACGACACCATACTGAAGAAAAAAACGCATACTAAAAAAAGGGGGGGGGGGAATAGGTGGGGTAAACATTGACCAATCACAATCGCAGCTCCAGAACATTGCAATGCAAAGCAGTTTTTACCGGTAAAAACGCCGGTAAATTTTTGTTAAATTTTACCGGTAAAACGGTAAAAACAGCTAATTATGTGTAGTGGGGCAGTCACGTGACCGAGGCTGACATCTAAATACTCGAAATTTCCAAAATAAGAAAGCGCGGATGGTTAAGTGGTATAATCTTCGCCTGCCACGCGAAGGGCCCGGGTTCGATTCCCGGTTCGCGCAAATCCTTTTGTTTTTTTAGCGGCAAAAGCGCTTTTTTTTATTTTTTTTACTTAGGCCTACTTGAGTGGTTACAGTTTGAGCCATGTGAACGCGTACTCTTTCGAAATTTTTTGATCGTCAACGTGATGGGACCAAAATGATGAGACTTAGGGAGTGCCGTCTGTGAGAATAAAACAAAGGGAAAGAAGACCAATAATTGGCAGACTGTAGAATTAAAATCAGTTGACATACTGATTTAGCTGAGAAATTAGCCGCATGCAACAATACAAGCCAATTTGCATGCGCACTTTATTCATTCAGTCAAATCAATTTAGTAGAATAAGATTAACTGGACTATTTGATTAGATCAGATTTGAACCATATAAAATTATAAACTTTATAGGGTTCAATCGGAATTCTACAGCTTCAAACCGTGCTTGCCGGAGAAGAGCAAAGACTTCCGAATCCGTGGTAATTTTTCTATAATGTATGGAGAAGCTTGCAGGAATTTTCGCAAGTTGCATTGATCTACCTGGCTACACGCAGTAGAAAGCGTAACCTGAAGCATCCAACATCCTCGAAGAGCTAAGGTATTTTTTGCTGTGTAGTTTCCGTACCTTAAAACAGGAAGAAACAAGATACTGCCGAGATTATCTTCTTTTCAAATCACCAATTTTTAAAAGATATAAAAGAGTACCCTCATCCTAACATGGGTTCGCACCATTAAAATAACGACCAACAAAGTCGATGCACCGAAGGGCCTCAAAAAATGTCATCACAAGCCGGCACCAATCCGTTTATGGTATTGACAAACCGAAAGAGCATTCTGGAAAAGTGATTCGAATCTTTGACGGAAACTCTGCGTCAAACATGGCCGCTCACAGAAGAGATCGTTCATGAATCTTACCAGACAATGAATTTACTCTTTTGCTTTCATCCAAATATCTCTTCGTATTTATTTCATTTTTTTTTAATCCCACTGGAAAGAGTTGACTGATTGCTCGGAACTCCGGACGCGTTGGCATGGTTAACCTCATCGCACTGCTTATAATAGCTACCATATGAAGATGACAGCCATCCGTTCCTAACATCGAGAGCCAATGTTGCGTTGTCCGCAGTAGGATGATCGTCATCGCTGACTTGGTCCTCTGTTTTTTCAAGTGGTGTAGCGTGTCGTGGTATAAATTTCCATGGCGGGGACAAATCTATCGTGGGCAAAGGTACAAAACTGGGCCAATCAATACAAATACAGAAACGCCTACTGCTGTCTTCGAGACCATGCTTTGGGGATATGTTTGGTTGCATCATAGTCGGCCATTTCTCCGTGGTGCGTTTCGACGAAACATCGTTTGCAGTACTTTTCATCCTCACAACTTGGACAGACAAGAGTAGCGTCTTCGTTGCATATTGCTGAATAAAACAAAAGCAAAATATTTTAGATCATTTAATGGATACATAGTTCTAATGTCGGGACTTACAGCACCAATCGTCGGTCTCGTCATATATTTCGTTCCATTGCAAGGGCTTTGGTACGCTTGACCGTAAGGCGCTATCATTCGTGCCCTGAGTTTGGTAGGATGATTCCCTTTCGTCTGCTGTAAAATTTAGTGCAGCTGGAGGATTTTGTTTGAGCTGGAGATATCGTTTTTCAAGTTCCTCATCTCGTTGTTGAGCAAAGGCGGCATATTTATTTTCAAGTTGGACTTCATCTTTTATCTGTGCCAGGAGATCTCCGGTGGGCTCATCATCCATTGTGTCCCGTTCGTCTCGCAGAAAAGTATTCTGTAATGCATCCAACTTGTTTTGGGTTATATGCGAAGACGATTTCTTTTCGTTGGGTAGGGAAGAACCATGCAAAACCTCGCGTAAAATATCTTGATCACTCTCATTATCACTATTTTGCCACAGCTCGGCTTCGTCCAACAGCTCATTCAACTGATATGAAAAAAAGGTTCCGTTATTTACAACAGCTTCATATGTGACTCCATTTGAGATAATTCAGGATAATTACGGTTTTATCATCGATATCTTGAAAATCGGCAGGGACATGGTAGGATACACTTGTCTGTGTAGAGATAGGTTGCCTTGAAAACACTGACGCAAACCGATTTTTTAGTTCGTCATCTCTATCAGCTGAGCATTAGTAACTAGTCAGTGGTGGAACGATCAACTGCTTACGAAACTGGAGTCTTTGAATTGTCCTGATCCATTTTAAGTTTTGCCATACGATTGGCGAAATCCTCCAGTTCATCGTTCTTCTTCATGTTGTATGAGAGGGAAGTGCAACCAAGTCGCACCAAGTCAGCACGAACCAACGAATGGAAATTATGTTAGCGTGACTGTGTGTCCACCAATGCCCTTTAATTCATGCCAATTGCTGAACCACCAAAATCGACGGTAACTCCACTTGATATTTTCAGTTTATTGGCAATAGGCTATAGAAATAGGTTTGCGTATCCCGTGCATCATGCTGTTCGTGGGCTGAATAATCAGGCATTCAGCAAATGCTTGGCCGAATAAATTGGTTTCTAATGGTCCCAAGTTATTTCAACCACTACCATTCTATGCCTTCATGTGGATATAACGTCAAAGTACGGCCAGGCAACGAACTCTTATATTAAAAAATATATGCCACATCAGAAAAAGAGGCGCACGAAGAAGTGAAGATACCGTTAGTGGGTCCTGGAACGCTTGCTTATGGTTCTGCCTTTTTTTGCGCAATGGTTTGTCCATCCTTTTCCTCGACACTGATGCAAGGCGCGATAGCTCAATTGATAAATACAGACACTGGAATTTTGCTCGATTGTTGGATTTCTTCATAAGCCCAAATCTACAATCACATCGAGAAGTGGTTGGTCGTATAATTTGTCGGATTGACAAACGCAAGCCTGATATGGGCTTTTCGGCATGGTGTCGGCGTTGGTATCTTCCGGTGTCATGGGTTGCTCTATTGCCGGACAATCAATCTTTTAACAGGATGGTTTAGACATTTGTAGAGAAATGAATGCCAGGTACGATTTATTGGCGAGTGCTTATGCTTTTTTTTAGATGGATCTATGAGTTTTTAGCCAATTTGTGCAAGCCCCTTCAGAAGGGTCCATTTCACATGCGTCTTCTTTCCTTCTTTGGCGTTCCCTTCTTATTCTTTTCCCTCTCTTTCTCTTTTTCCTCTCTTTGTTTTTTTAAAAGCATCTTATTTCGTTCCTTTTCTTCTTCACTCTGTTTCTTCATCTGATCCCGTCTGCTCTGCTCCTGCTGCTTGATCTTTTCCGCATTCAAGTTCGCTTGCAACAATGCATCTATCGAAAAACAATATAGGGTCAACCAAGGTCCAGCTCCGTATTGAAAATATCGCCTACAATTTACATACCATTACTATTCGTGACAACTGTCTCGCTGTCGTCATCACGATCATATTGGCGCATTAGCCGTTGACGCCGCTGACGTTCCTCTTCAGTGAGTTTTTTCGCTGTTTCACGACGAGAAGCGGCCTCCTGTTCCAACTGTGCTTGTCGTGCCTTTTCACGTGCTGCAGATACGGTGAGTCGTCGATGTCTTGAGTGGTATGTGTGCAAATTGTTCTTCACCTTGTGCTTCTTCAATCAGTTTCGCCTTTCGGTCTGCTTCCGCTTTTTCAAGATCCTGCTGAATGACCTTCCATTTTTCGAGAATGGTATTGATGACCGGACCGGTAGGTTTATCCTGGTCGAGGATTAGCATACAGTGTAGGGTTATGAGAATGACTTCTTCTCTTACTGTGGTCTCGGCAAGGAATTCAGAGATGGCTTCTCGCTTTTCGTCGTCTTCAAGCGAATCTTCCTGGACGATGCCGGCAATGTACTCCGAGATATCGTCGTCTGACGTAAGGATAAAAGGCGTCAGTCAGTAAGTAAATAAGCAAGCGATACGATTGTGCCAAGTGGAAGCAACCTTTTAGTTCAATGGTAGCTAGTTGGTCTGTAACTTGGTCGAGCAAGTTCATGGTTAGGCGATATTGATGGTTGTTCCTGCTCTATTGGTTTCCAACACTGTTGAAAAATTTTGAGATTTGGTAAAAGTAGCTTTTGAGTGCGAATTTCAAACATTTTGAATTTCCGTGCATGCAAGATAAATATCCAAGCAATGGTATTGCTTTGAATGTTTCGCTCAGGTTTGTTTATGTCATTCTTTTAATGTTTCCTTACGTTTCTGGCATCATCCTCCTTATTCGATCAACAATTGACAAAGTATTTCAAGAACAGAAAACGCACTCTGTCATAATATCAAAATCATTTAAAGAATGTCACGATACATTCAAAAGTATTTTTTAATACAGTAGTGGCGTGGTCTTGATAATGATGAGAAACGTTTATGTAAAAAGGTAGAATCATCCCCTAGTTTGTAATCTATTATGTAATGATTGCCTATGTGTTCCAAATGGCAGATCAACCATTGAAGACCAACATAATTGTGCTTATTTCCCTTTCGGACAGGCTGATATAATGAACAATTTGCAATGAATCAACCTGTCCACAAAGAAGTGGTCCCTGCATGAAGAAAAAGCTTCCCTGAACGAATGACCAATTTTTTCGGGCGAATGAGACTCCGCTGCTCCACCCACTCAATTTTCAACTGAGAGTCACATACAGCAGTCCAAATAAAAAAATTAGTCTTTCCCGCTCAAAAAAAAAAAGTCAAGACCCACTTGTTCATTTCGTGCAGTAAGGAAATACGAAAAACCGAATCGACGCCATGGAAGTCCACCGTTGTCGTTTCATTGAATATCAACCTGCGGCGATCAATGCGCTCGACTTTACACCGTCAACTTGTAAGCAGAGTAGACTCGCGGTGGGTCGTGCCAACGGCAATATCGAGATCTGGGATCCTATGCATCGTTTCCGTCTCGAAAAAACCATTCCCGGTGGTCAAGATCTCTCTGTCGAAAGTCTCGTATGGGCTCACCAATCCGTGGTCATTGACCAAGATGAGGACGACGATCCCGAAGATAGAGCAAAGGAATTGCAAAGACAACTTGATCAGCCTCCGCGTTTGTTTTCAACCGGCTTGAATCCATTCATTATCGAATGGGATCTTACCAGTCTCACTGCCAAGGTATGTAGATCAACTACTTTGCTTGTCTTAACGTGCTTGACACTTTGTGCTTGATATAAGTGTCATTAATTGATATGTTTTTGCAGAAATCGGTTGATTCCAACGGTGGCGCTATTTGGTGCTTGGCTGTTAACAGTAACGGTACCCAGTTGGCGGCTGGTTGCGAAGACGGTTGCATTAGATTGTTCAATATTGCCGACGATAGTTTGGAGTATATTCGACGCTTCGATCCGCAAAAAGGTACAGATACGCATGTGACATGTATTATCAGACAATATACTTGATGGCTAACAATGGGATTTACCGATCCAGGTCGTATCTTATCGGTGGCGTGGGGACCGAATGATGAATACATTGTATCAGGTGGATCGGACAGCGCTTTGCGTAAATGGGATGTAGCTACCGGTCGTGTGATCCAGAGAATGACGGTGGATAAGCTCCGCAAGGTGGCTACTTTGGTCTGGTCGGTGGTTGTCACAGCGTAAGCACATAAATTATCATTCGTTAAATGTTGAGGTATCCCGGTTTCCACTCACCGCATTCTGTTTGAAATTATTAGAAATAATACCATCATTTCCGGTGATTCCCTCGGCAACTTGATGTTTTGGGATGCTGAGCAAGGAACAATGAAGCAATCTTTCCGCGCCCACGGTGCCGACATTTTGTCAGTGGTGGCCTCCAAGGACGGTCGACTGGTATTCTCGGCTGGCGTGGATCGCAAGCTGAACGCTTTCCGATGCGTACAACAAAATAAGCACAGTGACACCTCGGGCAGCAATAAGGGAGGCAACTGGGTCAACATGGGAAGTCGTCGTTACCATTCCCACGATATCCGTGCGTTGGCATTGGATGAAAGACCGGCCATCAACTCAATTGTATCGGGCGGTGTGGATCTGGAACTTATCTCATCTCCGGCTTTGGAATTCCCCAAATTAATCCAGAACAGATTACCGCCCTTCCCGCAGAAATATCTGGCTTCCGTCTCAAAGTCACGTCGTCTTATTCTGTCCATGGATTTCAATTCGGTCTCATTATGGCGGTTAGGTAGAGGTAAGAAATTCGTTTCTGTATATCGTCTGTACCTTTGGGTACACTTCCTTTCCATCACTCAGAATGAAAACTAATGGATAAACTTAGCTGGCCAATTGGATATGTCATCAACACGCAGCGTCACCATACCCGAGATGTTAGAACCTCATCAGCTCGAATTGCAAGTCAAGTTAAAGCCGGAGTGTAATATCACATCAAGTGCGCTGTCTGAAGATGCACAGTGGATTGCTGTATCTGATGTGGAGAATGTCCGATTGTTCAAATTGCACGAAACAGTAAGTATATGCCCTGACATGGACTCCTGTGCGAATACGACTGGCTGACTTTTCTTCATTTTTCGCTTATTTGTCACTACAGGAAAGTAAAGAGTTTGTTGCCAAAAAGGAGCGTGCTTTTCAGCAAAGCTTGCAGCGATATCTGGCCGACAAAGGAGCCGCTGCAGGTGCACATCACGTAGTCTTCACCCCGGGATCGGATAAGTTGATCGTTGTCACTTCGGAATCTCGTATATTGATCGTAGATCTCACCTCTTTTGAGGTGCTACATGAATTTGAGCATCATCGAGGCGTCGATGGTGACGATGCACAAGTCGGTACCGTGATCTCTGTGGCGGTCAGTGCAGACGGCCAATGGCTTGCTACAGGCGATGATCTCAATCGCATGTGTGTATTCAATCTGGATACTCTAAAGGTAATAATCGGATTCTCATGGAATGGCAGCGCAATCGAGATGGGCAATACCAGTTAACTTTTTTCTCTTCATTTTTTACAGCATCATTTCAACTTACCGCAAACGTCCACTCCTCATACTACTTTGTCTTTCCACGATTTGCGATCGAATGATTTATTTGTTGGGCTGGCCTCCAATGAATTCTATATCTATGACGTGGAGCGAAAACGATTAAACAATTGGTCGAAACAACATCAAGATCAGACGAATTCCAGGCTGAGAAAAGAACGCGATCGTATTCGTGGAGTGATGTACAACCCTGCCGATGCAAATTGCATGATCATCTATGGCAGCACTTATATTTGCATGGTGGATATGCATGACCGACAAAAGGGCAAATCCGAAGGCAAAGCATTAAAACGTAAAGCGGATCAGGAAGACAAAGCTCCCACGTACGAATCGGCAGCCATGACGCTGTGGATTTCGGGAAAATATCAGCATATCCTACATTGCGATTTCCTCAGCACAAACTGTATGGTGATGATCGAGCGAACGAAATTCAGTGTGCTCGAAAAACTGCCGCCGTCGTACTATAAACCTCAGTTTGCATCTTAAAAAAAACTACTCATACTGTTCATTCTTATTAAATTTGCTTTCAATTCATCATTTTTTATTTCATTTATTGGATGCATGCAATATATGTATTTAACGCTTTTTGTACAAACACGGTTTCAGTAACTCTTCTGCCCGTTTTTGAAGTTTGGCGGTGGATGGGGTCTTTACACCAGCTCCTTTTTGCATGGCGCGTTTTTGAGCTTTGGTCAAACCTTGGAGCATCTCGTCCACTTCGTCATCTGGATTGCTGATCTGTTTGGTAAAGTATAACATGATGAACATCTTATTGCTGTCATCCTATCAATTTAAAAAGTTAACAATAAGTCGTCCTCCATCTCCCTTTATATTTTCGATTCGCCGCACTACGTACCTTGTCCATATATTCAAAGCCGAGTCTTTCCAAGAGTGTGATGAACCCATCGACGTCGCTGAAGCGACTTACCACTTCGGCAATCTTCAATTCACCGCTGTAAAGAAAAAAAAAAAGTAGAGCTTAGTCATTACCAACATCTAGCACATGAAACCAGTTTGTCGCTTAGTTTACCCAGGCTTGAGCACGCGGTGTGCTTCTTTGAGAAATTGTATATAGTTTGTACCCATCAAGGACAAGGAAAAAACAGCTACATCCACGAAGTTGCCAGGAATTGGTAACTACGTAGTTGACAAAGCCTAAATCAGTCTTTCCATCCTCAGGGCCACGTCAACAAATATATCATTCTCACCTTGGCGATATCGCATGCAATAACATTTTCGTTTTTGGCCACCAGATCGAAACTGAGCACTTTTTGTTTGGTCAGAGTGGCCGCAATCGCCGCATCACCACAGCCAAGATCCGCAATCACCGTATCTTTTGGCAACTTCTCGAGTTGTGAAACAATGACATTGACGGGATTCACGGGCCACGATTCAACTTGATGCCGGAAACCTTCGTGGTACTACGAAATAGTGGAGGTTGGTATTACTTACTCCCTCTCTGATGAACTGCGCTTGCTTACCTCATTGAATAATTCAGGCTTTTCCTGGAATAGATTGAATGCTTCGTCGCCCTTGGTTGTATAGAGTTGTTCGTTTAACCAACGGAACCTCGCGCCTGATAACTTCTCCTTCATCTTTCGCTGGAGAGGTGTCAATCCATCGTTCTCTGTAGCATGAACGGGTACGCTCTTTGCCTCTAAATCCTTTTCTTTGTTCTCCACAGGCTTTTGTTTCTTCTCGTCAGACGTTTTTCCCTTTTGGTTGGCAAGCAGCTACAGTGGTATTCAATCCGATGAGTTGTTGAACTTTGACGAAACCAACGTTCATTCGTTTACCTTTTGGAGTTGTTTCTTTTGCTGGTTATTCAATGCCTTCTTTTTCTTTTCAACCTTATCTCCTTTTTTCGTCACCGGGACGTTGGGGGTTTCGTGATCTGTCACTTCAGAGGCCTCAGAAGGAACTTTTGCATGTGCATCCGTGACCTCAGAGGGTGCCTTGAGAGCGGGCTGTTTTGGCGTATCCACTTGGGCTTTTGCTGCCTTTTTTGCGGGTTTCTCGGATGCATTGGGGGTGGTCTGCTTTGAGGTGTCGATTTTAGCCTTTTTCGCGGGTTTTTCGGGTGATACGATGGTTTTATCGCTAGTGTTCGATACGCTATTCTCTTCTAATTCCTGTTTCTTGGCCTTTCGCTTTCTATTGCTCTTTTTATTCTTTTTGGTATCGTTTGGCTGTTGGATCTTTCTCAATTGCGCTTGAAGTGCATCGGCTTCGTTGGTGATGGTGCGATCTTCAGTGGGTACTGATGCTGCAGCTGGGGTTTTCTTTTTTTGCTTGGAATTGGGCTTGTCTTTATGTGATTGTGGGTTGATGGTGCTCGGTAAAGACCATCCTGAGGTCTCGAAAAGTGGCTGCATAGTGAATAACCGGGAAAGAACTGCAGCCATTTGACACTTTTTTGGGAAAAATGCAAAAATTGTCCGTGACTGCTAAATATGGTGCGCATTGCGGAATTTGGAGATCTGGCCAGGGGACAAGGACCAAAAAAGGACCCTCACGTCCAACAAAATTTCCCCGGTTATGCAAGCTTTCGCATCATGGCGGTTACGATGGCAATCTTGTTCATTTCAGCGAAGCTTTTATTCGTCGAAAGCAGCAACACAGTTGGATCAGCTGCATCACTTGGCAGCCGCAGTCAATCAAACGCAAAGCACTACTGAGAAGCGTGCATTACTTAATCGATTTCCTGGTTGCAACCCTATACTGAAGCGTATCTACGATCCTCACCTACGGCTCTTTATTTCCTCGAAATCTGTGCGTCGCCATATTGATCGTTTGCAAGCATCGGACAAGGTCCCCACGACGTCGGCATATACCTTGACTGAACTTTTAGACGCGCTTTCTTCACGGCGTTTATCGGGCCACGCTGCGCTGGATGCAGCCGCTGCATTCTTTTTAACACACTGTGACACCGAAGCGAGACAGCAAATATTTTGGCGTGTCCTGGATCGGAATCTGAAGATGGGAGTGTCGGTTCAAACGGTTTCACGGATCATGCCCAATGAAAACGACGATCCATTGGATCGACGAAAAAAGCACCCTTTTACAGTAGCCTTGGCCCACGCCATTCATCCGGGTGAGGAATGCAAGCTGTGGTCCGCTCAATACAGGCAACATGACTGGTATGCGTCACGAAAGTTGGACGGGGTGCGTTGTCTTGCTGTTATCACCCGTGGAAACGCATGCAATGATCATGACATTCGGTTTTATTCGCGCACGGGTCGTGAATTCAACAGTTTACAAAAAGTCGAAGCCAATATCCGTGACAGGCTCACGGCAGTAGAGGAAAACGATATTGTGCTCGATGGTGAAATCTGTGTGTATCCTTCCCCGCACGACACCACGCGTGAAGATTTTCTGACAGCGGTGCGGCAGATCCGAAATCGGCAGCATCCTATGGAAAACCCCGTATACCAAGTTTTTGATTTGATCCCTCGCCATGGCTTTCGAGAAGGAGCGGACAGCACATTATTTTGCGATCGGCAGGCACGATTAGCAGCATTTATAGGCGATTCGCTTCCACATCTGAGGCGAGTGACGCAAGTGAAGCTCCAGTCAATGGAGGACTTGAAGTCGATCGTTGAAAATTCCATCATCAACGGTTGGGAAGGGTTAATAGTACGGAATAATACTCCGTATGAAGGCAAACGTAACAGAAACATGGTCAAAATCAAGCAATGGGAAGATGCCGAGTACACTGTTCAAGATATCGAAACGGGGCTTATGCGAATGCCAGATACCGGTAAAAATGAGTGTGTTATGACCAGCGTCCTTATCAAGCATAAAGGTAATTGCAAGCTAAATTCGGATCTGAATATCCAAGCTGATGTCCAAAATCCAGGAAATACCGTGAATGTGGGATCAGGGTTTTCTTTACGTCAACGTCAACTTTATGCACAAGATCCGGAATTAATCAAAGGCAAACCTATCACCGTACGATATTTCTCGGAGTCAATTACTGAAAACGGGCTGCCATCTCTACGCTTTCCATCCGTAAAGGCCGTTTATGAGGAAGGAAAACGCGACACTTGAAAAAAAAAAGAATTGCATTTGTATAGTATCTCTATTTCCCTTTTTATATATGTAAATATTATGTGGCGTTGGGTGTTGGCATTCCAAATCATGTAAAAACAAGATAAAACATGGGACGCCATCGCTGTGATGTACAGATTTTGCTTTCAAAAATTGAAACAAAAGTTTAAGTATCGATCTAATGAATGAATTTTCAGGTGCTAAAGGAAAATGATGTCTATGATGTAGGCAAAGGAAAAAGGATGCTGAAATGAGCGACCTCACTTAAGAAGAGGGGGTGGATGGCTTCTCCTTTTGCATGGAATAGAAGAAATAGTGAAATGCATCGCCCAAGGTTTGCGTCTTCACTTGCCAGCAGTCGCGCACAAGATGTCGTTTACGGAAATGAGGCTGGCCAAAGGTGATGTAGATAAAGCTGCCTCCCACTTTAAGGACACGTTCTACTTCGTCCACTTCTTTCTTCACTTCGGCCACCAACTCTTCAGAAGGATCCCAGACATCACCACGATCACACATCAATGCATCCATCGTACCTGTTACAGTGTCTCTCATAAGCAAAAGTGACAAATCTCACATAATTCCTCATAAAGCTTACCTTTATCAATAATAATGTCAAACGATTCATTTTCAAACTCGAGCGCTCGAATATCCATTTCCAACCCTACAAGGTTCCACTGTGAGCGCTACCATTTTTCCCCAGCATGCTTGCTGATCAAATGAACCTTACACTTCATATCAGGCATATCCTCACATCGCTTTTTCATATTTTCAATCACAGTGCCAGAGTAGTCAATGTTGGTAATGTTTTTGTAACCATCACGGTACATGTCTTCACCGAGAGCTAAAAAAAAAGAAAACCAGCCATCGTTAGATTGCCTTTGTTTTTTGCATAGATCAACTTGGTTCCGCAGGACCGTACTGGAGTTTCCACAGCCGAGAATAAGAATGGAGGCATCCTTATGAGGAATGCAGCCTTGAAATAGTGGTTTTAATTCTTCATGAGTTTTGAACCAGTCGAAGGTGGTATCAGGCGATTCTCTTTTTCAGAACACCGTGATCGTTATTTAGATAAAGCTACACATGGGCAAGATATAAAGTTGAACTCACTGTTGATAACGTTGTTCCCAGTATTCCTTTGTTTTATATGCTGTTGGATCCTCTGGGACCACATTCAATGAAGTGGATGCCACCATGACTTTTTTACAAAGCAGAAAATAATAAAGCAATGGATAAAAGAAAAAAAAAAAGAGAAAAAGCCATCGTGGAGGACTCGAATTGACACTCCGCTACCGTAATTCGTACTGATCTTCATGCTCTTCACTGTTACGATAGGTAGACAATGCGCCATCCACCAAAAGAATAGGCGTGCTTTCTGCAACCATGCTGTATAAATGAGAGGAATGATGTGGGTTATGTTCTTCTTGAAAAGGCTCCTCTTCCAACCGCAGATCGTCCTCGGCTTCCATGGTTTTCTGTGTATTGACTGACAAATTGCGCATCTTGAGCCAATTATACAAACCAATACCGAAAAGAGTGATGCATAAGCCAATGATGTTGGGTATAGTCAATCGATCACCAAAGATAACACATGAAACTAGAATAGTGGCAACTTCCTACAAAATTGTTCCAACTCTTTTAACGGAGAACCAATCCATGACTATGGTAATTTTTTCTGTTTTTTCCCTACCTTGAAAATGCCGCACACACTCAGCGTTACGACAGAAGTTCGCTTGATCAAGAAGAACTCGGACATAATCATACAGAAAGCAAGCGTACCACCCGCCAAAATAATAAATATCTACATGACATTTGCAAGTCATAAACAACATATCTTGATTGGTCAGAAAAAAGGGTCATTTACCGTATGTACACCTTCGGGAAAAGATACAAAGAACGCGCTTCTGAAAATAGTGCCATATCCCTCAACAGCTCCTGCGAGAATGAAGAGAATCAACGCTTGCGCAGGTGCAAGGAAAAAGATGGATACAAATGGATTGGTAAGCCCCATGCTTTCTTTGCGCAGTAACACTTCTGTCAGACTCCATCGAAGACCACCGCAAGCTGAAGCGGCCATGACTTCAAGAAATCTATGCGAGATAGATGAGCAGATCAATTCTTGTATTTGAAGCCTCTTCAGTTTGCGCCTTTTTGTTTTACCCGATCATCACAAATTCAGTTTCGCTGGAAACCATGAGGAGGACACCAGCAGATATAATGACGATAATCAGTATCAGTTTCCAGTTGGGTTTCTCCAGTTTAAATAAAAAGGCAAATATCAAAACGAAGGCCAGCGTTGAGGATTTGCACATGGCTAAACAGATAAGGGATCAGTAAGACAATGCTGGTAATAAAAAAGTTGGTAGCAAACTTACTATAGAATGAAAGTGTAATGGTTTTTAGTGAAAGATTGGACAACCCAATATCGAGACTGGTTGCTAGTGCGCATGGTAACACCTTGTAACTAGATATCGAACAAAAATTAGCGTGCATAACGACCGACACTATCGTGTTTGATTAATCCGTACATGTATTCAGTGACAGTGGGCCGCTTTGTCGGCCGTAGCTTAGGAGCAATGACAAGGGATGTGCCAGCGAAAAAGAACTGCACCACCATGTGAATGGTGGTGACAAACAGAGGGAACTGAAAACCGTAATAATCGATGGAAAAGATCCACTTGTTATACACCGACAAGAATGTGGCAAACTAATAAGAGTTGAGAAAAATCTGTAATATGGCGAATAAAAAAAGATCGCTTTTGACAATACCGTATACCTATCCAAATTTTGTTTCGGTTATCATACCATCCAATTATTCACGGTTGGTCCGCGGCGATCGACGAAATACATACCACATTAGGATCCAGAATACATTAATAGCTGAGGTCTTTAGTATGGCTTTTTTATGTTCGTTCAGTAGCCGTTGACTTTGCGATTTATGATCGCCTCTTAATAATGTTTCTGATGGCAAAGAATCCAGATCATCGTGAAACAGAGAATCGTTGCTTTCCGACGACGACCGCAACGAGCTGCTGGATTTGCTAGCATGAGGTTGGGTATCATCGTGCACCGAAGTGTGCACCGGAGATAATGCTGTACCCATGGTTTGATAAAATGCGTGCGATCGTACCACAATCGATGCGTTTTGCTGTGAAAAGAACGGTGGGTCTGGAAAAGAAAGGGACAAAATTGGCTTCAGCGCACTTTCCAAACACTTTCAAAGCCCGCCAGGACACACTTGATTTTGACAGTCTGGGAACGTTGGTGAAATGGTATCATCTTCTTGAGCAGAACAGATTGAAATAATCATCATTATCATTATCATTCTTATTATAGTTTATTTTTCTCCAAAAAGAAACACAAATCTTGCAAGCCGACGCTTGGATTTTTTCACCCGCTTTTGCTTTTGGTTCATATCAAACAAATTGCGATGACTCGCTTGCCGGCTTGTCAAATTCTAAGTACCTATCGGGCATCTTCAAAACGTCTCCGTGCCTGATCCATGTCAGTGTATCATCGCTAACCATTTTCACGACCACATGTAGTATTTTCATGAGCTCACATACCATTTCCTTTACTTTATCCTTGTATGTTTCTGTACCGTCGCTGGACGAGATATCACTCTTTGCATAAGCCGTGCCTAAACCGGCTCCTTGGATATATCGCTCAGCAGCAATTGGGTCAACAATGCCTGAGCCATCTTTCCCTAACCCCTCGCCGTGACGCCATCCCATCTGCTTCAGCATACGGGCCCCAATATTGTCATCAGCAAGAGGCTTCTTGACAGATGCAGCTGGTGCTGCAGGTCTACCATATGACGAAATACACCATTAGTCAATTGTTCGATGCAAAAACAGATGAAGAAGAGGCATTTACGGCATATCCCGTCGAGGTTTGGCCGGCGGACGAAACGGAGGAGGAGAAGCAATGGCCGGTTTATCCGGCTGCCCGTAGGCTTGCCTTCGCTCTGCAGCTCGGTTTCTGTAATTTTGCTATAGAACGGCTTTGTAAGCAGCTGAACCAGCTCATCGTCATCAGTGTGGATCTCATTACCTCTGCTGTTTGTTCTTCGGTTTTTTCTGTGTCACTTTTGGTATACTGTTTTTTCATCTTGGCTTTGGCAACACAAGCGGGATCCTGGAGGTTTTTCTATAGATCATTCATCGTCCACGGAGAAAGAAAAAAAAGAAAAGATAACCGTTTTGTTATCATGTCCAACTTTCAGATTTTTGCTCACAAGCACCCGTTCTTCCGTCAACCACAAAAACCCCTTTTTCCATATAGCCATATCTATCACACTGGGTAGTTGACCAGTTTCACATCGTACTTTGTGCAGTTCCGAGATTTCTTGATGTCGTTGCAGATCCTGTAACGCTTTGAACTTTCGTTGACATAAAAGGCATGCCATCAGTGATAAATCAGCAAAGTCGTTGGTCGGCTGCTCAACACCAGGGTTTTCTTCCGCATCGAGTTTCAGCTCTTCCTTTTTTTGATTCCATTTCTGTAATTGGCTGTGAATCTAAGGTTGATTGGCCATAACATGATATTGCTGTTGAGTAATATTGGTTGGATGAAGGACGTAATGTGATAAGACACCTTTTTTGATGCAATAGGAATAACATCTTTGTCGGTCCGTTTCCGCTTCCGTTCAGTTTCTTCGCTCAATACTGGCGGCATGTCGACGGGTTTTGATTTGGCATTATCGCTGGTTGTTTGTTCCGATAAATTGTGTTGCGGCTCCGCTGAAGAATCGTCACTGGTTATTTTGGAGCGAATTACGAATTTAAATGCTTGCTGCTTTTGTGGAAGCATGTTGGGAGGAAAAGAATAGACGTTTTTATAATCAGAGTCGCCTCGTGCAGGGAAAGAAAAAAAAAAAAGTCGAAATCATGTGACGGGCATTTCCGAGGTGGCCCTTTTTATGCTTTCTTTCGAAAGATCAAAACTACAACGAGTCATCTTTATTTTGATCAATGTCGCATATACAATGCTTTTTGAAAGTTTGATATATTAAGCCTCTTATCATTATACTTTTTTGATTAACGCATTTTCGATACTTTTTGATGTAAAGCCGTAAGACTACAATCAGTACAGAAACATAACCGTATGCAATGGAGTAAAAACATCTATCCTATAACTTTGAAAGCAAATATTAAAAAAAAGGCATTTCAATTCAGGTAATTCGCAAGATATTTCAGTATGCAGCAAATCTGTCAAAAAGAATGGAAGATTGCGCAAATCAATATATCAATAGCAGAGGTTATGTTCCTGTGCAAACCAGGTTGGCCTCTCTTCTGCGGAAAAGAGCTCAAAGAGTTCCATACTTCAGTAATAGCAACCAGATCAGCTCTTTGTACATTATTTCCATAGAAACACTAGCTGCTCTATCGTTCTTACTTTGCAGTGCTAAACAATGGCTGCATTGAATTCATACGGTATCGTTTCACTTGTAAATGACGAACATCCACTGCGGGTCACCCAAAAGTATATGAACGAGGAGTGATTGTTTCTTGTATATGTACAACGAACATTGGGTACTTTCTTCGAATGTAGAATGAACCATATAGAGTTCATCGGTTGCCCATGCTGGAAATTTGGCATTTTCAGACAATGAAGTGCCACAGCGCTGAAATTGAAATGCCGCTTCCACCTTGGAAGGCTGTCGAATTTGTTCATTTCTTTCATCCGGTCGCTCTTTTTATAAAAGGACAGTAAAAAACTCGCACACCGGCAGTCATGTTAGAAACCACATTCAACCCTGGCAGAACAAGCGAATTCGCACGATCTATTCTCCAACGATGTGATGACGATCTGGATCTTGCTTTTCTCGAAATACTAGAGCAAATGATCACGCCAAAGGATGGCTCTTTCGAAACACAGTACTCACGCCAATTCGCTGATCTGCTAGCATGCAGGTAATTTACATTGAACATTAATTTGAAATATAGCTTGCAGTTAACTCTCTGTGAACTGTAGATGGCACGATTTGAACCGGTCAGACCAAGACCATCGCGAAAAACACACGACGAAAGAACAGATTGCTTTTCTCGAAGGGGAAATACGAACATGGAACTTGTTGGACCTGCTACATCGGTTAGTTCAACTTACACACAAACCACTATTTTACGGAACAGCTTTACTGATACGGACGCTTCTATTATAATAGCGTGGATAGCGATGCATCCATGGCCTACCGGCTCGCAGTACGTGCATTTTACGAATCAGCGTCATTTCCTCGAGTTTTCAACTGATCTTTTGTTACGTTTTCAGCATATAATGAAGTGGGTTAACGACCAATGGAATGTGACGATTACCACATCCTCGGAAGATGAAATGGATGAGGAATTAGAAGAGGAGGTGCGCGAAATTTTTCGAAAAAATCGGTTGCTCAAAGAACCGGAATACGAGCGAGAAAGCCGACCAAGCCAGCGAAGGAAACTCGACATGGATGCGGAGACCGAAAGACAATATGAAAAGATGTATCTGAATCTCCGTCATGGGAACTTGGATCAGGCCTGCAATATGGCAGAGACCCTTCAGGAATCGTGGCGGCCGGCTTTGTTCAAGCAGTATGTCAAAGACATCCATTGTGCAAGAGGTGAGAGAGCCAAGAAGTAGATTTGACGAGCCATCGAGCTAAGACATTGCTATTTTTCTTTAGCCGCCGCTGAATTCGACGGTGATGAAGCACAATGGGAGCTGTGGAAAGGGCTTTGCCACCGGGTTATGAGAGAGGTACGCCAATTGATGTCCTGATGGCTATGCACACGTGTGCTGAATCGAACTTTCAGGATCGAACAGGCCCATTCCAGAAAGCAGTTTATGCCATTTTTTGTGGCGACGTGAACCAAGTAATATTGAATACAAGCAACGAACGATGACCCACGGTGACTTACTTTGTATCCATAGCTCTTACCGCTGTGCAAAACCTGGGAAGATGTCTTGTGGGTCTACTGCAATTCATTGTTATGTTCATGTATAGAGCAAGAGATGAAAAACAGAACAGCACATCATGGCATTCCCCGTTCGGTTCGGGCAGCCGATGGATCTTCACCCAGCGTAAGGTTTGATGAAAAATTTCTTGAGGAAGCCTTGAGCAAAGACCGTACTGCGGAACATTGGTAAGGCGTACAAATCCATGCGCTGAGTACAGGAGACCAACTGACGTGCAATAGTGGATCCATCAATTCCCTTTTCCACGTAGTTCAGACAGCGGTCCTATGGAACCATTTACAGCCTTCAGATACCCAGTGCAAAGCTAAAAACCTGAACGAAAGTTGGAGCTCACATCTGAAAATCAAGTCTGTATAGCCAGCATACACTCAAATGATATATTCCCATCTTAACTTTTTATCAAAATAGATCTATTGAAGATCCGGCCCTGCAAAACCATGCGCAGCGCTTTATGTCAGCTTTAATTATCTACTCTCGCTTGGCTCTCGACCAGCCTTCCGATATAGAAACAGATACGATGCTGTACATGTATGCTCAGCGTAACTGGCAAGAACCTTGCTTCAAGGTAGGCTAGTCAATGTTCTCGAACTATCCTGACCCATGGAAAAATTGATTATATTATGGTTTTTTGCTAGCCCAAAATTGTAGCCTTCTTCGCTGCGAGACTTCCGAAAAACCATCAGATCGATCTGTTTTCGCAATTCCTGGCTGGTATGTGAAAAAGTTTCCTCTGTATATACTGCGTGATATGCTGATCGTTCAGGGATAGAATTCGATGGCGACAGAGAAGAACGCAGGATTCTGGTGGAACTGGGTGCAGAATATGGATTGGCTATCCCAGAAATATTGCGGCAGACTTATCGCAAAATGTTAAAGGGATATGAAGTGGCATTAAAAGGAAGTCGCCGCGATGAAAATGCTTCCAAAGAGGACGAATCCGAGTCAGCAATGGTTGATCGATGTTTTCAGGCTCTGCAGTGGCTGACATTGGACAGCGACCCAAGTGCTGATTTAATACAAACTGCGAATGGTCTCGTTCGCAACTTTTTGGGTAAGTCCAGTGTACACCACAACGCCACTGTTATTCATACGTGGATTTTAGTACAACAACGGTTCCATCTGGCGGAGACTGTACTTCATTCGATTCCTCAGCGTCTCTTAAATCTCAGCTTACTGCAAACACATCGAGCGTGGCCTATTCCAAGCTATCTTCGAGAAATTCATGACCACAAGCGACTGATAGAAGCGTGGAAAGCCTTTGATGAGTGGGATCGACTGCGCAAGGAGAAACCAGAAGACACGTAAGTCTCAAAAGGGTCGTCTACCCCAGCTGTAAGTAACATGAATATTGCAGAGGTACTTTGGAGGCACTGCGGCGATTACAAGCATGGCGAAATCAGTATATGGTGAGTCAGTTTTTTTTTTCTTCTAATACGTGTAAAAAAGTCAGGAGACAAAAAAGAACCCATTCGCTCACGTGTTTTTTTAGGACCTTGTGGATTCCTTGGCATGCGATCTGGAAAAGCTTCAGACGTACCTACAAGATAACATTGAAGCCAATGATGAAGACCTAAAAAATGAGCTCGACACGTTGCGAAAACTGTATATACCACTCGTTGACGCACGTTTGAAACAGTTACGCTCAGATAGTGAATCAGCATAAGCCGCATGCAAGTAAACAAATAAAGAAAAAGAGAAAAAAAAAAGCCCATATGCATTTACGAAATCTGCATTGTAGTTTTCCCCCATGTTCTTCATTACATGCTTGCTACTGTGCCGAATAGCACTTTGCGCAATGAAATAAAAGAACCACGCTCTGCATTTGTCCACACTGTGAAGGAAATAATTAGGCCACCGATGCCGAATAAGGCGTACCAAATAATAAATATGTCTCATGTTCCATGAGAATGAGCTGCATAGTAAAGTGCGGATTTCTTTCTGGTTTTTTTAGAGAGGAGAGCGACAAAATGTAAATAGACTAGACTGGGTAAGCTTAAAGACAGTATGTTCTTCTGAGAATACTACTGCGGTTATTCCTGGGAAATCAACACTTGCACAAGATTGCTCTATACAAAGCAGCAAATGATAAGCTGACTGAATTTAAAGTTTGTACGATGTTATTGCTGAGTTTCTCAGGGTCAGATTGCCTGCAGTATTCGTTATGTTTGACGTTATTTTGACATTGATTGCTGTCATGATTTTATTAGCGTATGTGGTATTGAAAGAAGAGAGAAAGAGAAGAAGATATTACGGCAGTAATTGAATAAAGCGAACGAGAACTGTGATAGGAATTAGAAAAAAAAAATGGAGAGAGAGACCCAAAAATAACAGGGCTCGAAAAGAAGGTAGAGAAAAAATAGGACAAGTGATGGCAAATAAAAAAAAAGATGAGCAGCAGGATCGACGGGGGAAGATGCATTCATCAATGTAGGTTATAAAATCGGTGGATCGTTCACTAATGGATGGAAGGTTCCTTCTTCTCCATGGAATAAGAATCCGATTTCACAGGATATTCATGAGCACCGTCTTCGATGGTTTCCACGCGACCACCAATCATCTTTTCAGCGCCCACACCATCTTGAAGGTTGTCGACTTCTTCGATTGTAACGTTGGGAACTGTCCAGCAGACAACGTAAGCAAGGATAAGACCGGCGGTGTTGATAGCAAAAGTCACGGCAAGTTCGGTCATGAAAGGAGTGTGAATGGCATCGATCTGCGAAGCGATGGCGTTGGCAGCGTTCTGAATGGTCTTGTAGAAACCACCAAAGCGAGCGGCACGTTCAGTATCGTTCGTCATGGTACCCAAAAGCCAGTAGATGAAACCTTGATAGATGGCATCGGCAAAACCGAACAAAGCGTATTCGATAACATAGCCAGCATAGCCAGGAGAATCGACGGAGATCTGCTTGAAGTTGGGATCTTTGACGGATTCACGTGTAAAGCGTTTTTGAATGAAAATACAACCGATCCAAAGAGCGCTGAGAATGACGAGAACCAAGGTGTTGCCGATGAAAGCACGACGTCTACGGGTACCGAGAGCGGTCAAATCCAGAAGCCAGCCGAAGAAACCAGCGCCGATGATTTGGAAGAGCCAGTAGAGCAAGTTGTTAAGACCACGAGCACGAAGATCAAAGAAACCGCCACCATTGTAGACTTGGAACTGGTAAGTGTAGAACCAGTTGGAGCCAGCAAAGAGAGGAATCAAGATAAGCATACGCCAGTCAAGGAAAAGACGGAAAATTTCGATAGCTTCACGACGCCAGTTGGAGAACTTGTGAAGAGAAACGGGGGTACCGTCGCTGCGAATGACCTTGCTAGCCGGCAACAAAGCAAATGCCAAAAAAGCACCAAAGGCCATGATGATGATGAAACCGATGTAGGTTGTCGAGGCGACTTCACTGCTAGTGTTGTGCCAGTCGTTACCGAGAGGAATAGCTGCACCAATGGTGGCACCCCTAAATAAATCGATAAATGAGTATACACGAATGTAAATGATGCGATTTTTTTTTTGGCAAACTTACAAGTTGAACACCATCCAAAAGATGGAGAAAGCTTTACCCTTGTCGTTTTCTTGAGGATAGGACATCATGATACCAGCTTGAGCGGTCCACAAGAAACCAGCACCCACACCGAGAATAGCACCAGTAGCGATGGTGAAACCCGAGTTGCTTGTAAGGTAGGAACCAACATAGAGGACGTAACAGAGAGCAGCAGGAATAAGGATACGATGACCAAAGATGTTATAGCTAGGTAGTCAGGGAAGAAGAAAAAAAGGAAAATCATACAGTTAGGTTAGTTAAAAAAGGTCATTCGAGTAAGTGTATGCTTGTGGACTTACACAGGAGCACCGATCAAAGAACAAATAGTGAAAGTGATGGCCAAAGCGGTATTGGCGTTATCCGTAGCTGTTCTGTCGGCTTTACCAGCACCACCCATACCGTTGAGGGCATTGAACATACCCGGACAACAGAAACAGATGAAGCCTACCAGGAAAACCTGGAAATTGGGACTGTTGAGGCGAAAAGGAAGCTTCTCTAGGATACCCATTATAGGAAAAGGGATAGCTTAGAAGTTAAAAAAAAGAAAGAGAGCTTTTTTGTGAAGTGGTGCTTTCTCAGGAAGGGAGGAATGAAAGCCGGTCTTTATATAATCCCACCACCCTTGAAAAATCACAGTCGTATGACAATCCATCCTTCAGGGTCCTCTCTTCTTTTTTTTTACAAATGGGTGAGGATTGGTACAAGATGAATTACCGTGTGTAACCTTGACTCGGTTTCACATTTGGTAATATCCGCATCTGGTATTTTTGCTCCTTCCAACCTAGCCAATTGTTGAACATGATCACCAAACAATGTGCCCAGCCTTTTTATTACGCGATGTAAGACCAAACAATCCATTTCAATATGAATTTGGTCTCTTGGGAAATCGTGGAGGGATTACATGATGTGAAACATACTGCTTGGTTTCAATCATGGAAAAAGGTCGTTTCCTTAGCGGATCAGGAAACGACGAATGTTTGTGTCAAATGACGAGCAGTGAGTGAGCTGAATGGAGTAGTTCTCAGAGGCTTTGCATCCTTTCCCAATTTTCAGGGCCTATCTTGGGTAGCTGACCTAATATCATGCTGATTTCCTTTTTTCCCTTTGTACAAACCGATACTGAAACATTTTTTTCACAGTGGGAAATACCAAGTTACCCAGCTGAACATGTTTCTATTGGTTCCTCATCTTTTTGTATGACTCCGCATCCAGTGATCAAACTTGGTTCAAATCCCAGAGACTTACTCATTATCTTCCAACAAGCAAAACAAAGAGAACGTTTGCTAAAGACAACCTTCTATATGCAGAACCAGTAATATAGCCCAGGTTATATGTTGTGTAAGAATGAATGTTCATCGGATTCTTAACTATTAAGGATCAATAAATGGTCCTAGGTAGGACAAAACCGCAGGCTTCCGCGGTGGTGGCCAATTCAAACTCCACCAGAGAGCCCTCTGTCACCAATGATGGCCCCATCTACTCTTTGTTGACAAGGATTGAAGAGCCGCCTTTTTAGGCATACCGGGTACTGAGAAAGGCAATAAAACAGGAATCACGGAATGACAAGGGCCAATCTAATTTTCACGGATTACTATAATGTCCAAGAAGTCACATCACGTAATGTCCAAGAAGTCTCATGATGTGATGTGATAAGCAATAAGGGTTCTTCGTTTTTCTTATTTTTTTTGGTCTCGCATCGTGTCATATGCTGTCCGATGAAATGACCGTTTTGTTACGTGTTCTTGTGTCCCTTGACGCCATATTACCGTGGCATCTTCATTCTTACATACAGGAATCTTTTTACAAATGTTCGATCTGGACCTTCAGCAGACGGTAAGCAGAAAAACTCTTACGGTACTCGAAAGAAATCAGGTTCAAAATAGGATGATTAGCACATGGGATGGTGGGTGGAATTTCCTAAAATGGACGATATTCCCTTGGGAAGCGAGTGCATCCGCGGTTACCAAGCGTCAGCATCTTTGAGTCACTCTACAACTTAAACACGATGAATTTAATACCCGCCGTTGGACAAAAACGCCGCTTGTGTAACGCCGTTTTGATTACAAACGTGGGGAAAAACAGGGTGGGGTATGAAATCGAGCAAGAAGACCCAGATAGAACAGGGTGCGGATTTAGGGTCTTTCTGAAACCAATGCGCAGTGGATTACCAATCCATGGCCCCACTGTCTGGAAAAGGAAATTGTGTAAAGACATTTCCCCTCAATCGAACCACAAAAATTCTTTGTCAAAGCGTGCTTAGCTCAGCTGAGAAGCGAATCTCGGCGCGCGTGATTTTTTTTTTACGGAATATATTTCCAGAGGGCGATTCCGTGGACCCTCTCACGTTACGATGATTCGCTTTGCCACTTGGGTTGAGGTAATCCAATCAATGATTCGTCGCAAAAAAACGGGATAATCATGGAAAACAAAGAAACGGAAAAAGCTCGCATAATATTACATGCGTGCACTTGTTGAATAAAGATTATACTGGCTGGACAGGAAATCCATTCTTCCGAACACTCTACGAACTGACAAAGCTTATTGTTCTATGTTAAAAAGTACTAAGCATGTTTGTTGCGTGCATAAAGATACTTTTTTTCCAATGCTTAATCTATTATTGAATGAAAAACCGTGAAACCGATACTGCACTGAAACTGTCGTGTAGCATTCGAAGCACGTATCTAACTGCTCCTTTGAGCACTCAATCTCGATCCTAAAATCTGACCCTGAGCACTTTGTAGAATCCCATGTTATCCCAAAAGAAGATTTATTTTTCATTTACTTTTTATTGAATAATCTAATAGAAAATAAAGGCAAAACACTTGCTTACTTGCATGATATTATCAATTGCACTTGTAAAATAGCTGGAGTCATCATTACCGCCTTGTAGATAGTCCACGCTCGCTCAAACTGCTTTTGGGCAAAGGTAATAAAAGGTGATATTCTGGGCTTTTGCAGGGTTTCCTCAATGGCAAAACTTAACAACAGGGTGCTTTTTTTCAGGTATCACCAAAATAAGCCACTTCTCACTGTAGCTGCTTACGAACTGATTGATCTTTTTTTTTACAGGGTCAGAGTAAGGGACTAGCGGTCCGAGGAACCTGATCGCAGTCCTTGATGTGATCGCTGTTTAAAAACTCGTAAATTTTTAATGCGATTCAAACGTTTGGGTGTCTGCATAGGCCAACAGGTTATGTGCATTGTCCAAAACTCAAAAAGCCAATCAAAGATAATTTTACGTAAATATTACGTTGACCTATGTTCACTTATTCTTTATCTTCCATACGCGCCTTTTTTTTCCCACCTGACGTCAGTGTTGGGCATTCCTTGAGTGAAGCAATGACCTACGACCTCAAAGTCACAGAAAAAAGGTTACAAGCGCCCCTATTGGCAATCCCTTGGTCCCACCATCAGTACCGCATTGGTCTGGTTAATTCAGCTGCCTTGGTACGGATTTTAGACCGATATGGCAAGTTGAAAGTACATTGTTTCTGCATTCGCGGGCTAGCTCTTTGTGGTCCTCCATTGCTATTCAGTTTAGGAAAAAAAGACGTATGACCGGACTGAAGCTCAACAGGTGCATCCAGCCAGGACAGCCAGTAATCACATGTCTTCCAATCAGGATGACCTTTGGTCCGAGGAAGGTGCCCTCATGGTGAATCAAGCACGAAACGAACATTCCTTACGAGGCTCCTGCTGCTTTGACTGGTGTAATGGAACGAAAAATAGATTATCGTAAAAACTACTATAGTAGTATAGCTGGGATTATGAGGCCATAAAAAAAAGACCAATTCGACGGCCAATGACAAACTGCCAAACTAATGTTAGTAGCAAAAATATAGAAAGAACCCCGGCACCAAGGGACATCAACGAAGCCCAGGACTATTTGCACGAAATTGACACCAAAATGCAAATATAATATTTCTAATAACTTTTAGGCAACTACGCTTAATCTTTCTTTTGCGAAGAATTAGTCTACCAGTATTATTTAGTAACAATTGGGCTAACTATAGTTCCGAGAGTGTTCAGCAAGATAATGCGCACAGCCTTGGAATTTCTTAATTAATTCTCAAAAGAGCAGCTTAGTCATTCAGCGAATGTAGAGCTTCATCGACTTCCATTTCATTGAGAAGCAGATGATTATATCAGCCCTCAATTGAAAGCTGTAAAATGGCATAGAGAGTCAGATACGCGCAGTTAAATTAAAGTTATAAAATCGCCATAACATGCAAAATGGCTAAAATTTATTGGAGCACACCAACAGCTGGGCGAGAGATGGCAAGTTAGACTCTGAGCTCCTTCGATAACTGTCATGGGACTTAGCGTTAAGTATCTGATCTTTGGGGGTAGGAATAGTAATAATCAGATCAAGAAGGCGTCATAAAATCTGGTTGCAGCTGTTCGCCGTGCCATGCGAAGCAGCTCCTCTGTCCAGCTTCCTTGGAGGATTCGCCTCTATTGAGAAAGCGTGCCTTATCAAACTTAGTCAGTCCATTGTTAATCCTACTTCCGCCTTAAACACGAACGAGTTCAGCCATTCAGGCACACAAATCCAAAGGCGCTAGAAAATTCGCCGTGATACACGCATATCCTTTTCTTTAAAAAAACACACATGTTTTTAGGATATGCAATCTTCGATGATTATGCTCAAGCTGAATCAGAGTTCCATCATATATCGCTATGGGAATGGGTTGTACTCAGTATGGTCAAATATATCTTCGATACATATACGCCAACCCGACATTCCCTATGACTGGAACGTTCATCCTCCCATAGGGTCGAGGAGTAATACTGACCTTCTAGGGGTATATACCGACCTTATCTGTATTATTTTGCCAAGGAAAAAAGCACGTTGCTATGGTCTGTCAATTACAGAAGACTGATCCCGATCAGGATGAAGATCGCTTAGCAATACTATGTTCGTTGGGAGAACCTCAATAGCATCAATATGGTCTACCTGAATTGGAACCAGTTAACTGCACTGTTCCATCGACCAGTTCCACCAGTTGAGCCAAGTTTTGTTCTCGATCCACCATGTTATACATCACACAGTTCCATGCAAGTGGATCAAAAATTTCTTCTCACAATCCGGACGCATAACAGCAACGAACCTTTACGTACAAACACCTGTAGCATCGGACACTATCAAATGCCCATGCCGGTTCCCCGCCCCCCAATATTTTTCGCCTAGTCACAAACAACAAGATGAATAGATTATCTTTCTGACTCACTCGTAGCGGCAATAGCTCCATGCCCAAAACTCAAGAACCAGATCTCTACGCTGGTGACCTGTAATGCTGATGCCGCTGATCAAGTAAGCAGATTTTATTTAACAATTGACCTATGTAACTTATAGAGACTAGTATTTCATTATCATAATTCATCGTTTTTACTCTCATAGATGTTTCCTGCTCTTTCTCCGGCCGCTACGATGAATCCCGTCGAAATGGTAACAAATATTGCTTCTGGTACTTGGTACCTGCTTTTCAGTTCTGTTCGCCAATGATTACGTGCTGTAAATCCCTGTCGGTAAGGCTACTGTGTACTCTGTATATTATTATTTGCACAATTTACTTAGTCACGTAATATTATTTCTGCAAAACTGCCACGGAAACCGGAGACTCGGCACTAGATTGCTTGATTTCAGTGATGACCGACACATACAACACCATGTTCGGTGAAATGAACACTGAGTGTGTCGCGAGAGACCACCGTCTCCCAAATATCGCCGCCATGCGCGTGAGCCGTTTCTGTAAAAATGTCACTGATAAAGATTTAGTGTCCAAAACTACAATTCATCTCGTTAGTAACTTCCATTCTCCATTGTTTTACCCTCAACAACAATAATTACAGAAAAACTGAAAAATGACAACTAAAATCAATTCCTGGTTTCTCTGCTCCAGTTTTATTAGAACTGCATGTGTATTTTTTTTTATCCCGTACAAGCTACATGGCGGCTTCGGACAAAGAGGAGCCGTGGACTGGCCGCAATTTCGAGATCCTTTTGTTTTCTTCTTTAGCCGGATTATCGGTCGGTTTGTGGGTTGGAGTGTAATGTATGCCTACACATTGAAAATTTGAAGTCATTTTATACTCAGGGTATATGATTTATCAATCGACGCTTCGCTATTCACAGACAGACATATAGTATGCTTTATCAATCAGTGCCTCATGTTTCAATGGCGGACATATGTTTTTACAGTGCAGACACAGTAACGCTCTATTAAACTTAAATTGGAGTGATTACAAATGACAAGTGACTATAAAATTATGAATGAGTAGGCATATATTACATCAGATTCTTTGCATAGGTCGTCCTTTATCGATTCTATGCAGCTGCCATTTCACATGTGGACTACATTCGTTCAACGACAAACAAATGGTTGTTTGGTTTTTTTTTTTTTTTTTTTTTTTTTTTTTGTAAGGGCAGATTCGCCCGTTTTGCTTTTATGATATATGAGTCACTGATCTGATAGTTCTGTTCGAGTATCATACAGGAAAAGATGCTCGCAGATTTTTGAAAAGGCTCTCCCCTATCGATTCTTCATATGTTAATATCCAACCATATTCAAGTTTTGATAGCCGAAAACCCAAAATGTTCGAAGAAAAATTGAGTAGGGAAGATTCCTTTTTGATTTTGCTGAATCACAAAAGATTCTGTTGATCCTTTGTCGATTCTTTGGCAAACAAAAAGCATAAAAAGCTACCTTCCCTTTCAAGCGAACTCGTAAATCTGTAATGGTCCGTACACCAGCATTGACAACGTCTGGTTGATGAAGGTTCTTCTTTCAAACCCAAAGTTTTAGGACATACCGATTTTGTATAATTATTGAGCGGGTAATCAAGGTGGCTGGATTGAGAATGAGTAGTGCTTTCATAGGAACGGCAAGGCATACTATAAATTATTTTTTGTCATGGCAGGATATAACTAACTTAAGAATCATAACAGTCTTTCTTTTTTATATACTGTCGGACAGTGTGTGGGCAACGTCCCTTTTTGGGTAGATTGCTTTTTTACGAAACAGTATGTGGCAATGGCCCAAAAAAGGCAATGTTACAGACTATTTTTACAGTGTGTGGCAATGATCCCAAACAGGCAATAAAAAACCCACAACATTGCTATTTTTCGATTATAAAATCCCGAAGAGGCAATGTGACATTGCTTATTTTCTTCATAAGAGGCGCTCTTTTGCTGAAAGTTTGATTTTAAAGGCACACAAAGTTGATTATCTAAAACTGAACAAGCCTAAACAAAAATGAAACAAAAAAACAAAACAAAAAAGTCGTAAGGGCGTTTTCGGAACTTCCGACTTTGGGATGGATTTTTGCCGGCAACTCCCGTAACTGACAGAAAATCCGAAATGAAAAGACAAGTTCCCACCAAAATTAGCATCTAGCTCCATTTGGTAAGCAAAGCCCTCGAGTCCCTTCCAAGAAGACATGGTTACAATAATGGTTGGAAAACGAGGGATGTGCAACTTGGCCATATCACACAAGTCATATGGGCGTTTTTCTGTCAGTGGGAATATCCCACCCATCTCAGTAGGTACGGTACTTGTGATTGGTGGTCATTAAATGATGGCAACAGGCACGGCAAATTTTTTGTGTTACTTTCTATGCAAGTGCACAAAGTTCTCGTTTGATCTCCACGGTCTTATTGTCTAGTCCAGTTGCTGGGGTTGCAACAATAAAGGAATAAAATCCCAAGTTTTTATGAATTGAACATACGAGAAATTATGACACGGAAGCGTTGTTCAACCGTGGGCGGTGGGCAACATAAAAGTTACGTAAAGGACTGTGATTGGCTCTGAGCAAGGACCCTTGAGTCCCTATTTTTGTTGATGAGGTGGCGGAAAGTAGACTGAAATCTGGGAAATGGGAACGGGGTTGGAAACCTTGGTCAGTAAGAATCGTGCTAAAACAGTCAAAGCGGGGAAATAGGTGTAACGGGAAATTTCAGAAATGTCTCAACGTCAACTTTTCCCTTCTTCTTCCCTGATCCAATTCTACCACGTTCGGAAAATAGTAAGGGAAAAAAAAAAAAAAAAACTTTGAGACTACATTCGTGGGAAGCCATTTTGACCGTCCGTTCAACTCAGCTTTGACAATGGACAATGAAGAGGTGGTATACGGTCATAGAGTGGGAAGTCATTCCAGCGCATATGCAGTGGTAGCCTAGTGCTATTTGTGCCGGGATATGCAACGGGAGTCAAACAAGACAGCAGAATGAGTTGTCGATGATTTCACCAGTGTGCTATTATTTGATAATAATTTTCGAGTCTAAATTGGAGAGGCTGAAAAAAAAGGGGGACATGCAGGAATTGGGGAAAACTTGTCAAGCCCTTACGATGACACGGTCCAAAGCTGAAAACAGCCGGAGAAACTTTACGAGGCCCTTCCTTTTAACATGTGATAACCCTCCTGCTGCTAAGCGGGAAACACATTCTACTACTGTAAAATTTTATATTTTCTTTATATATCCGAATGGATATAGGTTGTTTGGAAACCGAATAAACCCATCTGATTGGACAGCTGCTCTATTCCTAATCGGGGAAGCAAGCCAGAGAACACCCACCACTGGGGTATTTCTTTATTGATGGTCATTTGGTATTACCTTGTTTCTCTTCCCTTTTCTTTCCTTAATATAATTATGTTAATGAGGCATCCCATCATGGCGTCACCACACAATAGTCAAACTTTACCATATTCATCCCCCCTCTCTATGCCTTCAATCACACATGCCAGGAGACCGTCAGCAGTTACAGATTCCTTATCTGGACATCGACGGTCCAATCCTTCGCCCGCCTATTCACCGCAGGAACAAGAAAATACCACGTTGTTTAATTTAGAAAAAGTGGTTCAGCGCTATGGTGGTCAGCCCCAATTATTGGAATTAATTCTGTCGAGTAAAGTGGAAGAAGATCGTCGTCGCGCCGAAGAAGCCAAACTGAAACGAAAGGAAATCGACTATTTACTGCAACATCCTCACTGTGAGGAATCATCGGTCTGTCGTTCTTCTCCATCGCCACCCTCTCCGTCACAGCAATCCGTGTCTCCCTATCATTCCATTGCTCGTACATCACCCGTCCCACATTGGCGAAGGATGAGTCACAACATCAACCAAAAACCCCACAACATAAACAACAGCAGTAACAACAACAACAACACTAATGCAGCGTCCCCTTTTCGAGATAGCATCTCTTCTTCACGTTCATATCAGCTTTCGGTACCCGCTGGCTCCAGGGATCGGCCACAGAGAAATACATCCATCAATGATAATGCTGAAAACCAGCATAGTATCCCCCACCAAAATACCGCTGATTCTACCCTTCCGCGGTTGAATTCTTCCTCCGACCATCCTTCCATCCAGCCGGATTCCGCGGGATCCTTGTCCGCTAGTGTGACAAATAGCACTGGGAATAATCAGAAAACCAGTCCCACTTTGGTCCCATATTCTATTTATCGTGGACCTGTCGATCCAATGTCCTCTGCGTCCACCCAATCCCCGACGCTGCGGACATCGTCACATCAATTTCCACTCCTCCCAGCATCATCTACCACCCCCAACGATTCAAAATCCGACAACGATTCCCATTATACCAGCTCTTCGCTCTCCACGCCATGTGACCCAGTTTTACCGCCTATCTCTCCCGATACCAGACTCACTTCCCCTTATTCGCCTGTCAAACGCTTATCTTTACCGTCGTTGACACAGTCGCTGGAAAATTCGTCGTTCTCTGAGACTGAATCGCTCAAGTAAAGTTTATCAGACCAATTGTAGCATGCCAAATTAAACAATAATAGCTTACACCATGAATTTTCATAGAAACACCTTAGCTCCCGTACCTGAAATTAGTCCCAATCCCAGACCGCGTTTTTTGGCTCGTCTTGATGAACTTGAAAGAAAGGAAAAGGCCAAACAACTGTTGTCTTCGCCTGAGGATGTGTCCGATTTGCGAAGAAAAAGCAGTACTTCGAGTTACCCATCCGATCAAAATGACACCCAGTTTCAACCTAGCAAACGACGACGTCGGGAGATGCAGGCCATCACCACCATCATAGAAACTCGTGACTTTCCCTACAATGATGATTACCTTTGGAAAAACAACGGAAACACCATTCAGAAAAAAACAGGCTTGAAAAGCGTCTATTATAAATGCTCCAACAGTATGAATGTAAGTATAGTCTACAGCGTAGCCTACCGAAACACCAAGGGAAAAAGTTCTTAATGATGTTGTCTGTATTTAGGGATGCCCGGTGAATAAGACGGTCATCTTCAAGGGAGATGGTGCTTATCTTATCAAATATCGAGGTCGTCATATGAATGAATGCAACCGCATCAAACGCATTATCGACAAATGAATCCTCCTTCTCTAACTTGCTCAAAAACAGAAATACCCCTGATATATCCCGTTCACCACGAAAAGAAAAAACCATCATCATTCCTGTGTACAGCTTGTGTATTCTTAACCGTGCCATTGCACCCATATATAACATGCTACATGTAGATAAAAAAAAAATACAATAATCCAAACTTTAGCATTTGCTCTTTTTACATTATCCATTTTTTTATTTATTTATTTATTTATTATTGTTATTTTTTTCTCCAGTGCGTGTCAGCATACTCGAAAATGTCGGTGGTATCTCTTTTAATCACCAAAAAATGTGATGGCAGTAGAGAAGCGATCTTTTAAGTTGTGCATATCAGTATAGCCTACGTGGATGGTATTTCAACTGTTATATGCAAACAGATGGCTGCTTGAATCAGATGCAGTTGTATCATTAGCAATTTTTTCTTTTTTTCGCCATCATGCTATGGGTAGACTTTGTCATTGAAATGGATGAAATTGTGTTTATGTTGATTGAAAAGCAAGGATTGTGAATGAAAACGAATGATATTTCTTGTTCTACTCTCTATTTTTTCCCTTTCTTGGCGGCCCGTTCTGCCATTTCCGCTTCTCTTTCCGCCTTTTCTTCTTCTATCGCTTGCACACGTCTTCTCTTTCGGCGACTCATACCGGCATATTTGTCCCGTTTCTGGCAAAAAAGAAATGAGTTTAAAAAAAAAAAATGATAACTCATTGACATGTCATAGAGGCAATAGGAAAAAAAGTCTCACCTCTTTCGGCTTTGGTGGTTCTTCCTTGATACCAAACTTGGCCTTGTGATCCTTCTTACCAACTTCCTTGGACTTTTGCTTCTCCTTCTCAGTCTGGAACCAGGTTCGCGCAGGTCGAGCATAGATCTCTTCTCCGTGCTTCAGCAGATTCTCACTCTTGCGTACTTCCATTTCCGCTTGTCTTAGAGCTCGTTCTTCCTTTTCTTCCTGCAAAATTTCTTCAATCTGTGTGGATAATCCTTCAATACGTGCTTTGTATTTCTGAAGAATTTCGTTGGCCACCACACGATTTTTCACTTGAGATGAAGGTGCCGATTTGATCGCCATTTTGAGCATCTTTCGATCGGCTTCACCCACTAGTGTCACGGATCTAATAAAGTTACAAAAGAGAAAAAAAACAAATGATCAGCCAGATGGTCAATGGAGCATGAAAATTATTTCTCCCCAACTTACCGTCCATTACGTCCTGCTCTGGCAGTTCTACCAACACGATGGAGGTACTGTGCAAATTGCATGGGCATATTGTAATTGATGACGGTTTTGATACCCTTGATATCCAAACCTCTGGCAGCCAAATCGGTTGCCAGAAGGTAATCCACTTCATTGTCGCGGAATTTCTCCAAAGCCTCAAGACGTTGTTCTTGTGTCAGGTTACCGTGCAATTCCGCAGCGTTCAATCCCATTAAACCAAACAAAATCTTCATTTGATGCGCAGCGGCTTTGGATCGGAAAAAGACAATGACATTGCTTCTAAATGTTTTACGACACAAAGCCAGCAATACGGCCGATCGGTCGGATTCACGGTGCGCACGAATACGAACGAACTCTTGAATAAGACGTGTCGCAGCTTGATTACTGGCGTCGACGAAAAGACGAACAGGGTGTTGCAAAGACATACGGATAAGTTGATCCACGTTATCCGTCATTGTAGCCGAAAATAACATGGTTTGACGCGATTTTGGACATTCCTTGACAATCTGACCCAGTTCATCCGCAAAACCATCTTCCAACATACTATAAAAAAATCACCGTGAGCTTTCCTTGTAAATTATCGCAAGTGTCATAGATGACCAAGCGACTTACCGATCGGCTTCGTCCATCACAAGAATTTCGCAAGTATCCAGACCAAAACCGGCAGAGTTTCGGACATGATCAATTAAACGACCTGGAGTGGCCACCACCACATCCGGCTTCAGCTTGAGTTCATTCTCTTGAGCCTTGAGACTCAAACCACCCACACACAGACAAAAGGTAATATCCGTGTAACCACCAAGTTTGACCGCTACACTGTGGACTTGAGCTGCCAATTCACGGGTGGGGCACAGAATAAGGACACGCGTCGAAGCCACTTGTCTGGGACGATAAAGAAGACGCTCCAAGATGGGAACAACGAAAGCCGCGGTTTTGCCTGAACCCGTCACGGCTCCACCGCAAATATCTTTACCGAGCAATGCAATCGGAATGGTGCGTGACTGAATATCCGTAGGCTTCACAAAGCCCAATGATGCCAATCCTTTGAGAATAGGACGTGACAAATTCATGGAGGAAAATGAGACGTGCTCCTTGGTTTCGGATTCCTCTTCGGGAGCAAAATACGCCTTTTTACGCTATGATGCCTCACATCAGCCTACTACAACTCGTCTTACAAATTGGGCTTTTTTGTCATTACCTGTTTCTCGAATTCATCCTCTTGTGCATCCTCCTCGTCTTCGTCACTGTTTTCATCATTGCTTTCTGCGTCATCTTCTTCCTCTACTTCGGTATCGCTGCTGTCGTCGTCCTCTTCATCTTCGCTCTCTTCTTCTGCAGCTTCGTCAGCACCAGCACCAAAACCGTCGGCATTCAGATCCTCATCGTCGTCCGCAACCAAATTATTAGCCTCTTCTTCGTTCTCCTCTTCTTCTTCATCTTTGGTAACTTCTAAAAATCGCAAAATATAAGATCATACGTTCGCATATGAGGCCCGATCCAAAGTTTGATAGAAAGAAGACAAACGTACCTTTGGATGATTTTCCCTTCTTCTTTTCCTTGTTTTCCTTTCGCTTCTTAGCAATGATATCGTCGATGGAAGTGCGTGGAATAGCGTCATCCTATTTATACACAAAGACCAGTGATAAGTAACGCAGGGATCACACCGATTCACCATGAATCCGAGTGTACCTGTTTTCCTTTCAGCATTTCACGAGCAGCGGTGAAATCCCATGCGTGAGCGTTTCCAACTTTTGCACCACCATCGGCAGCAAATGTAAAATCGGCATCGAAATCATTGGCCTCTTGAGCTGCCTTTTGTTCTGCTTTCTTGGATTTTTTGGCAGTCTTTTTGTCTTTCTTTTTCTTCTTGTCAGCGGTGGCTGCAGGGGTATCGTTGGTCTCTTCGGGAACTTCTAATTCTTCCTCTTCTTCCACTTTAATGGAATCATCGTCTTCGTCAATGGTCATCACAAAATCATCCAGGGCCGCCATGTTGAGTAATTTACTAATCTCCAAGAAGATCTGATCTCGCAATAAAGTATTCCAGTCGTTTCGGGAACGAAAAAAAAAATTGTTTCAGCATAGTGTGACTGGTTGTGACCGGCATTTACTTACTGTATGAAATTTCCCACTGAAAAGGATCATCTTACAATGACCCGCTGTGTCAAAAAAAAAAAGTAGATCACTTTCTATAACTTGTTATGCCCTCAAGAATACGCTGAATCTGATAGAGATACTTAAAAAGATAGGCCTCGACTTAAAAATAAAAAAGGTACAAGGGGATGAACGCTTTCTCACACTAAATGAATAATACTATAGAGTGGACAACTTTGAAGAGAGGATCAATCCTTGTTTGTCGAGCTTCAAAGACCAATATGTATTGGCAGAGTTAGAAGGATATGAATCACGCCTTGACCAAGGCCTTCAAAAGTGCAATGAAAGAAAGTGACCATGAATCGGAACTTAAAATGTGCACATTGATGGGAAAAATGGCGTGAATTTTTATGCCAGCACTCATCTGCTCATGCTTTATAACTTTTCTTTTTTCTCCTTTCACTACGGCAGTCGTTTATAGGATGATTGTGTACGAAAGATAAAGAGGTAATGCTGTAGTACTTTCTATTTTATAAGTGTAGTAAGTATTTGCGTATAAGTTGGGCACTCTGAACCGGTTTGGTGCACTTGCATGTGTCACAGTGAACAACATGCTGTGTACCACACGCAAAACAGCAAACAGATGATTCAAAATCGGTATAAATTGCCTCCCTTTTTTTTATTTTTACTTTTCGACCTTTTCTTTTCTGTCTTTCCCCAGCTGCTTGACCCTTATTTTTCTTACATTACTTACTATGATCAACCGACCCAATAACGTCATTTATCATCAACGCGTTTTCCAAGGTCAACCTCACACGCCTCTTTGGCTGAAAGGTCCGCGAGACAGATTTTTTGCCACTATCGTGTTTGCTGGTATCGGTGTTGGTTTAACTGGAGCCTTCTATGGAGCTTTCAAGTAAGTTGTTCTAAGTTCATTACCTTTAGCTTCGTTATCTCACACTCACTTACACTGCCCTTCGCCTTCGCCTTCAAATAGAATGATCAGAGGTGAAAAATAATCTTGGTCTTTTCGTCAAGTATAACATACCATCCATCATCCGTCGAACCATATACATATATACACAAAAAAGGATCGATTGCACATCAATATGAAACCTCCTCAAGTAGAGCGAAAATAAATAAATAAAAAGCGGGGAAAAAGAGCCGTTTCTTTGTTTGAAAAAAATGGCTATCGTTCGATATCGACCTTTTTTATTTTTTTACTTGGGGGGGAAGATGTTGTCATTTTTGACCAAACATCATGGTCTCCTTGGACTTTCGTCAACTGCTAGACCCCATTTGAAATTCTACCTGTTTGTTATTATATTCATGATAATTCACGTGAAACTGATTGAATAGCGAAAAAGTAGTAGTTGTTTAATCTTCAATATCTAGGCGATTGTTGAAGGGACACGTCATGTTTACCCGTTTTAGCTTCTTGCCAGTTCAGTTGACATGCAATTGCACATACGTGTGGGCTTTATTGCTGACATTCCTCGTCTTCGCATCCGCGGAACTTTGCTTTTCACTCACTGTTGGACAGTGTTTTCAGGGCAGATTATATCGACTTGTTTGAGTTCATCCGACTATCAATCGTACTGTATTCGTGCTTAATTTTACGACGATCGTAATCTCTGATTAGTAAATAGATCACTTTATTTCAGCATCGGATGATTTTCTGGGTTTATATTAGAGACATATGTATCCGTGCACATTTTTTTGACTTGGTTTTTTTTTTTTTTTTTTTTTTTTTGGACTGGAAAGCCTTTTTTCATCTTTATTTAGCGTCGATTATGTTAAACCTGATGATGTTGATAACACTCCAATATGTATGTACAGATGCATGTATGCCTATTACCATAATTTAGGAATAAAAAATGATAATAAGTGATATCTGCTTCTTAAGGAAGCCACTATGAGATACACCCTTCATTTTTTCCATAGTTTATAGCTGACATCGTGAATACCCCAAGTTTATTTTTCCTTTTACGAAATAGAGGCAAAGTGTGATATATAAATCAAAGCTTTGTATTATCTCTTACTTATAATCCTATTCGCATATTCCCCATTCATTTATAAACGCAACTGATATGCAACCATCCGGTAACGACGCCTCAATAACTAAAAACAATCATGTCATCGCTGAATGTTTGCTGTTAACTCTCTACAAAGTTCCCACAAGATTAGCTTTTTTTCTCCGACACCGAATGCTCCAATCAAGAAACGTGTCCCGCGCTATATTCACTGTCACAATCACGTGAGAACACAAAAAGTGACGTCATTCGCCCCTAAACCAAGCTAACAAAAATTTCTTACATTTTTTGTAATAAAAAATCTCGGATAGTATAGTGGTGAGTATCCCCGCCTGTCACGCGGGAGACCGGGGTTCAATTCCCCGTCCGAGAGTTCTTTTTACTTTTTACTTTTTTTTGGTTTTTGTTGGTTCAATTGAAAAAGAAAAGGACCTTATTTCTCATATTTCTTGGATACTTAGCTCACTTGATATTTTTTTTCGTATATATTAAATTCGTGGAGAGTACGCCAGATACTTTTTTTGTTGCTGATCCTGCTAAATTGTCAAGAAATGGCGAGATTTTTTTTTTCTTTTAAGAATCATGGAATTCATGCAGCTTTGCTTGCTCGCTCAATACTCGCAATGACTGGAAAATTAACACTGGGATATTCCAAAGATAATAGCGCAGCCATTGTCTAGCATTGCACATTATCATTGATTCGCGTGTCGCATGGGGGGTTGCTTTTGGTTTCCCAAGTGACGTTTTTCTTGTAAAGATCCTGTATAAACTAATTAGAGAAAAAAGAATAAATGGCATCGTATATCGGCAAGAAGACTGCCGAAAAAAAGGTATGTCTTCTTTCTAATAGCTCAAAACAACTTACATTTTTTTTATTGCTGATGAAAAACTTGTATCTACTGGTTATACTTCATTTGCCTAAGCATAAAACACGACATGAAATGGAGAGAAAACCCAGGTTGCGATTTAATGGCTTTGCCAATTTCTAAACTACAGGATACCATATTAAACGTCTAGCTTACAGGTTGAGTACCATAAACAGAAAGCAAAATGAAGAGGGGTGTATCGTGCTATAGTAAACGCAACGTTGGTGACAACTAAGCGTGTGTGATGTCGCACCAGCAAGATGGTGACCGATGACCTGTTTGTATCAATGCTACGGCATACATGAAGAAGAAGGGATGAAAAAGATTTGCATGCAAAAACCGATGGGCAGTATACCATGAACAATCGAGGGATATGGTATTGCTTTCTTTTATTGTGAGCTTAGAATATCGAGTTTGTTCAATGGCAATAAGGTAAAAACAAAAACATTAATGTAAAAAAAGTTTTAAGCAGCTACATCATTCCAAGCGATGGCCACCATAAGACTTAATCCAACAAGCATGGCTGCAAATTCAGTGACGGCCTGTCGTCTGTCTTTGACAAAGCTACCTGTCACTTCAAGTAACTCGGGTATGACACCAACGGTGGCAATGTAAAGGAAACCACCGGCTGTGAAAGGAATTACAAGATCACCATAACGAAGATCGGTACCGAGGATACCCGCATGCGAATGATGAGCCGCGCCTTTCTCCAATTGCGAGGATTCTTCAATGATAATACCGATAACGGTACCGAGGAAGGCACCGATTGCGGTTGTGAATTGGGCCATCATGGCTCGTTTCTTGCTGAAACCCGATTGAATAAGAATGGCATAGTCACCTACTTCGTGCGGGATTTCATGGAAAAAGACGGCAACAGCTGTTGTAGCACCAACCGCAGGCGATGCGTAGAAAGAAGCAGCCATAGCCAATCCGTCCGTCATGTTGTGCGTGAAATCCGCCAAAAGGTTGAGATATGCACTCAATTTGATGCCCTTTTCACTCTTCTTGTCATCGTTCGAAGCGCTCGGTTCGCTTTTGACGGAGCCTTCCTTTTCGAATTTTCTTTGACGCAACTGGCCTTCATGCGAGTCCGACTTCTTTACAGCGAGGGGTTCCACATCGTGATGTTCCTTTTCTTCTCCGTGACTGTGACCGTGGCTATGGCCGTGATCATGGCCACTTCCCCCGTTGAATACACGCATCATTTTATCCATAATAAAGAAAAAGAAGAGTCCACCGAAAATTCCCAATCCGAGAAGCACATTCTTTTGATTGTCCACAACAACAGTAACGTGCTCGTTACCATGGCCATGGTCGTGTTCTCCCAAAAAGGCGTGAGGCAGCAAATGCAAAAATACATCGCCAAGCAAGCCACCTGGTAAAGAAGAAAAATAAATATATGAGCACAGTTCATCATGGGAACAAGCGATCGCGAAAGGAATCCCACTCACCAACAGCAAAGCTCACCAAGACATTCAAAGAACCAGTGTTGATGTCCGGAGGTACGAAGTAAAGAAGAAGATTGGGAAAGATGGAGATGTAGGCAGTAGCTAACAACGAGTTCACCAGAGCACTGCCTGGAAATAAAAAGGCAAAAGCCTTGGCCTGCAGCGACATGAGGAAGGAAAGGTGCAGTAAATATTACGGTGACACGTTGCTTTTTCAATGATACAGACAAAGATCTCCGGCGGAGCCACAACTGCTTTAACCAATCACACACATTGACCTCTTGACAGCAGCACTTGATTTTCGTTGCCATCAAAGACGACCGAGTAAAAGATTATCATACTATCTAGCCATAAATAAAAACCCTTATTTTTCCATTCAAAGTCTATCGCTTTGGTGAACATGTACACATAAAGTTAAATTATGATAAACGCGAAAAGCAGCCGTCTCTACAATATAACAAGTATGGCGATAGCGGTGCGATTGGCATAGTCGTATAGAAAGTATTTTAAGGTTATAAAATGTTGAAACTTACCAATATTTTGATCAAGCGAGCGTCTTATTCCTAGTTCTAACAGATATAGAGCACTGTACTGGTAGTGCAGCCGTGTACCGGTATAGAATTGATTGATTTTTTGCTCTTTTTTTGTGGGGGGGGGATTGTTTAAGGGTGACAAAATGAATCCTGTATTGACGTTTGTAGCAATTGCAATGGCTATGGAAGCAGGGTTGTCCCTGGTCCCCAGCTTCTGGCGGCGTCGAACAGTAATGCAACAAGAATTCTACACATCCATGTTTCCGCTACCGATAGGCTATTTCTTTACACCTTTCCCTATCGTTCTTCATTTGCTTTATTACCTGATTGAAGCAGGATACGCATGTTTGGATGTTTCGAAGCTTTTGGGCGTGACCCGACATGTCTCGCTTATGATAGCTACGTATCCACTTGCTTCGTATATTCACTTTTTAAGAGAACGGGAAGATCCACTTGGGGATTTTGTTCATGCAGATAAAAAGATAATAGACTCAGCGTGGGTTTACTGCAAATAATATATTCGATGTGTCAATGAATCTTTGAGAAATGATCATCTTTGGGATATAATAGCATTATTCTAATGTTACATTATTGGATTGATGGAGTAAACTGTTTCCAAGATGTCATTTTCTGTCTACGAATTTACTGCAATCTGTAAAGGGTCGTGAATCAAGCATTAATATATATGGCATGCACCGAGAAATAATGATGGCGCGCTGTGTATTTGTTGCTATGTTCATTCGTTATTTCCTCCGTTGATATCTCGTCGGTTACAGTAGCAGCGTCAATCATAAGTACACATTCGACAAAAGCAAAAAAAAAAAAAAGCTGCAGATGTGTATCGGAGGGAAAATGAGAAACTGTACATGAAAAATATATCTTTGGTTGCTTTGTCGATGAATGCATGTAAGAAAGAAGGATGGTGTAAAAGAAGAAAAAGATAACAGGGAATAAGGACTTTTGGTGTAGAAAACGAGATAACCCCTATTTTCGCCTTTTTTTAGCTAGTCATTATCGCTGCTGGAACTGGAGAGACCTTCATCTTCATCTTCTTCATCTGTGAAATAAAGTGTGAGGATTTGGGCATCGATCCACCCTCACCCACCAAAAAAAAGGTACTTACTGAACATGGCTTTGAGTGACATTGGCCCCGTTCCTCCGGATCGATTGGATGTGGGCGTAGCGGAACGTGCACCGGGGCTGGCCACGTTGGCACGGTTAAGGTTCGCAATGGCGGGATGACGCGCCTGAGGTACCGATTGGGAAAACGTGGATTGAGGTGAAGAAGGCTCCGAAGGGCCTTCTTTGGATAGAGAACGTGAAATATCATCGGCGAGCATATCGATATCATCATCATCGTCATCGTCATCATCATCACTACTGCTGCCACTGGAGCTGTCACTGTCGTTTTCCGAACCACTACTGGAGGATCCTGAACCGGAACTATCGGACCCTGATTCATCAGATGAACCATGAACGGAAGCCACGGGAGACACCACACGACGAGGTGTTTTGCCTGATTTTTGAGGTGTATGAGCCAAGGTAGGAGGGAGAGCCAAGGATGGAGAAGGGGCAGCGACGTGGGGAGAGACGGAATCAGGATGTCGAATGGGGGCGGAAGCCATTTTATATTTCCGTCGCTTGTTGGCATTGGGGGTGACAACGGGTGTGTGAGAGGAAGTGGGCAACTCCAAACTTGGCGGTCGGTCCGATGTCGCAGGTGGACGGTAGACAGACGGCGTGACGATTTCTTCAAATGTATCATTATCATGACTATCTTTGTCCGTGGTATCTTGGGGAGGTAAGCGGGTGGTTTGCTTGGTTATGCTCTCGCGTGTCTTTGGTTCTTCGTCGTCTTCATCATCATCGTCATCTCCGCCAAGTATTTCATCCATATCTTTGGATATATCAAAATCGTCATCATCGGATGCCGCCGTTGTATATTGTTGTGGTTGTGGTTGTTGTGGTGCTGTCTTTGTAGGCGTACTTTTGGTGGGCAATATGAGATCGACTGGTTGCGTCGTCCTTGAGGTTGTTGGCGCCGGTGTTGGAGTAGGCATTGATGGCGGTGCACTGGCAGGACTTCGTCCCTGTGTCGTTGGATCGGTCGATATTGCACGCACACTCTGTTGTGATGGTTCGAGTTTTCGTTTCCGTGATCGCTTCATTGTCAGCTTTGCAGCTTGTTTCTCCAACGTAAAGGTCTAGCATTTCCCAAATAAAGATGAATATCAGTAAAATGAAAAAAAAAGAGAAGATTCAATACTTCCATATTACCTGTGATTCTTCATCGAAAATTAACAAGCACTCAAATTCCTGATTGGCGCTCGCATATCCTTCATAACATTCACTGTCGTTTCCCTACAGTGAAGAAAAAAAAAAAAAAAACCGGTGAAGCGATCAGGCTCGCAAGAAAAAAATAAGGAGCCAGTGAATGATGCCAGTGCGCAAGCTTACATTACGGGAAGTCCATTCTATCTCGTAAGTTTGATCTTTCTCTTTGACAATGGTTCCCTTTTTTGAGGTAGATTTTCGTTCTGCTTCTGAAGAGACTAATATAGAAGCCAAGAGGGAAGAGTGAATAAATGGCTCATTTGTCCATCACTGTTATGGTTTGTTCATCATACATCGTAGGGTATACAAGAGCTGAGCATCGTCGGTATTGGAGAATGTTTTCCCAAGATTGATCTTGTAGGACCCATCTTTTAGGAAATCGCAAGCCATATCAATATGAGAATAAGCGGGAAAAATGGAGAGCAAAGAACCAAAAAGGCCCGCGTTTCTGGCTTCCCATCGGGATGACCCAGATTCCAAACACCGAACACCGTCTTCATCACAGTCACAGGAAGAGAAAGAACACGAAGAGAGAAAAAGTGAGCAGCGCTTTATGGTATTCGAATCAGTTTTAGAAAAAAAGAATCGTATTACTACTATGATTTAAGAATTAAAAAAAGGAAGTGGGTGTAATGTATTACAGTATGAATAAAGATAAAGAAACAAAAAAAGGCAAGAGCAAAGTGATTCACACAAGAAAGGGGAAAAAAGAAAGGGGAGAGAGAGAGAGAGAGAGAGAGAGAGAGGAAATTATTGAAATGTCATTGATAGCTTGCTGCCAAAAGCGCCCAGAAATGGCCTTCGTTCCTTCTTATTTTTCGTCTTCTTCGATTTACCATCCTTGACGACCTTTTCCTGATCGTTTGAGAATAAAGAGGGCGTATCTCTTCCGCTCGTCGTGATGGTGGATTCAGCGATAGAAGACGGAGCACCCAATGGGGTTGAAGGAGCAACGCTGATGGACTCGGATCGCATATCCTCAGGGTTATACACAGAATTGTAGCCTGTCGGTGTAGAGGGCCGTGATGCAGTCAAAATGGATCGATTGGATATGGAAGGCGCACGATCGCGATGACTTTGCAAGGTCGGTGAACTACCTGCCGTGCTCTGCTTATAAGCCAAAGACGAATCCAAAACCTGAGGGGGGGTCTTTGTTTGCTGCAATGATGTGGTCTGCAACGGACTCGTTGATAAAGATGCCGACGATTGGCCTGCCACTTCCCGAACCGATCTCTCGGTGGGTCGACCGGTTCGTTGGTGCCACGACATCAAACCTTGATTCCCATTCTGTGCTTCGCTGGCTGTAGATGGTGTCTGCTGCGACTGAGTAGCGTAGGAGGACCCTTGTTGTGATTCTGAGGCTGTTAGCTTCTGCTGCTGCTGTTTTTGTTGTTGCTCCTGTTGCTGCTGCTGTTGCTGCTGGATCATTTTTTTAGCGGCAATCATCATTTTCAGAGCGCGGATTTGCAAGCTGATGTGATGGGATAATGCGGCGGTTTCAAAGATCAGTGGGGCGGTCGACATGTTGAGCATTTGATGCAAAGCATGGGCGGCTAATTCGCGGAGTCTCGGTAACTTGTACATGTCCGCCAAAAGTAGTAGTTGTGAAAGCACATGCGGTTGATACTGCTGTGCGGTCAGCAAATTATCTGTGTAGATGAATTGCAACAGAGCAATCACCACCGGATACGGATAAGGAAACACCATACTGTGGCATTTCATGGTTGTAATGGTGGCTTGCTGCTGCCCTTCCTTGTTGATTGATTCGTCTTCCACCACCGGTTTGTCACCGGCCAAAGAGGGTGCCTCTTCACTATTGCTGGTAACACTCACGCGACGTTCCGAAGACGGGTTCGATACGACCGTACTGACTGGCACGTGAATACTCTTCCTATTGGACTTCATCAAATCTTCGAAATAAGGCCATCGCTGTGCCAGAACGGCTGAATTCACGGGAATGGTTTGATTTTCGCGCGTAATGATGCGAAAGTCGGACACGGCCGGTTCATTCAACAGACTCAGGCCCATTTCTTGAGCGAGCGAGGAGCACGTCATCTTTGGTAACCGGTAAATGCCAAACGCTTCGAGATCGACCGCGGCAATGTAATCAAAGTTCACTTGACGATGGTTGTAGTCCTCCAACAGATCGCGCCCAGGATGCCCAAACACAATAAACTGATTCGTCTTTTCGTGTAGCGTTCCACGATTCCAAGATCCGGTGTTGAAAATATTGCCAGTTTCGATCCGTGACCATGATAACGTGCTGAAATTCAAAGCCCACAGCGTATATGACTTGGCCTGAGGCGATAAATAGGTGCCAGACAATATAAGATGATGACCGAGGGTATGTCCTGTTGGAAATCGAAGTCCTGGCGGCATGACAGATCCCGTCATGGATGCTGAGCAATCTTCTATATGCAAAGGCGAACTGCCAGGTGAAAGGATTAGATGCAGTTCCCGTTTCACGTCGGCAAAGTTGTAATTGGTGTAGAAAAAGATGGGATGAGGATCGTTGGCATTTTGCAAAGGTTCGCCATATTGTCGTACTGTCGAAGCTCTGTTATTCAACCCCGGCGGTTTGTCCGTCAATGGTGCATTGGTATCGGCATCCGCATCGGAATCGGTTTCTCGCCCCGTCAGGGTGTCTTTCAGCATGATGGGTAACCGGGTCCCCGGCGGGGTAGTGACAGCAATGGACCGGTAAGCACCAATGTGTCTGTCCAAGGTTTGGGTCTGAACCCATTCTAAGGCCTTGATATCGAATACGTTGATCTCTTCAAGATAGTTGTTGTCCATATCCTGGCCACCCATGATCACGAGTTTGTCGTCCGTCACGGCGGCCAAGTGAGCGTATCGTGGTCGAGTCGTATACAGCGACGGGGTCACATTGGATCGTCGCCAGCTCATGGTTTCTATATCAAAGATGCAAATGTCGTCGAGTACACACAGTCCTTCGGCGGATATCCGAGAGTGACCCATGCCTCCGAATATAATTAAGAGATTCTTGTAGACACTCGCTGAATGGAAGTAACGAGGTTTAGGAGGTTTGTCGCTGTCGGGTGAGGGAACATGTTTGGTCCAGACATTGGTGGTGAGATCCAGAACATACAGGTGGTTGCTCATTTTCCGTGATGAGACGAGTCGACCTCCAAAAACGAATATGCGATCGTCGACGACGGTCATGGATGCTCCTACCAATGGAGTGGGAATCTGACCGGAAGTCGCTCGTACTCGGGTAATAATACCCGAGATGGACTGCATTTGCATATTAGTCGGCATGACGATACTGTGTTCCTTTGAGTCGAAAGCAAAAGGTCAAAGGACAGCGAGTGATATTGTAGAGAAAACAACCCAAATGAGACGACGGGGGAAAAGAAAGCAAGCAAATACAACAACAATTAGTGAAACTCCGCACTTGGCTCCAAAAACAATCGACTCCACTTTGGCGTATCCTGGGTCACACAGAAATTTGGATAATTCAAGCGCTCTCCCCAGAATGCACCCTAATAAAATCTTCTTTTATGTTGTTTAGCTAATTGTCTAAAAACATAAAAGCATCTTTGAAGCAGGTTATAAAAGTGATTTTATATACAGTGCTTGCTGACTGACCATCCGCTTGTCACAAAGAAATCGCTCTCACAACCTTCTCGTCAATCCTAGCTTGTTTCCATGGTTACACCCGACAATATGCCGTTTATTTAGGTGTCATCACGCACCCAGAATATCATTAAGTTTTTCATTAAAAGTGCTCTTAGCTTGACTTGGTGAACTCGAATTTGCACGTCCAGATCAACGGTACTTTTTTTTTTCGGCGACAGAGGGGATATTTTAATAAATACTCAGGATTCAAAATATACGATGCGAGTAGCATGTTATTATGTTACTAACTGTCGCCATTATTTGGTTAAACCAGTACGAGTAGGTGGACCTTTTTTTTTTTTTGCAGATCTTATCAGATCAACCAACGTTGATAAATATGAGGCGAGCAGGTCGATGTCACCCAAACCATGCGTCAATAGATCAGAGATATCAAATGGCCATGAGAGGATATACAATAAGCGCGTCACCACACTTTTCTGGCAAGCAAGTTTCTACTTGTTTTGCATTCGACAAAATCGATGGTGACACAGCCGCCCATCCGACCAAGAGCTCTTGATAAAGCAATTGTATCCTATATCTGCTGCCGTTTTCGAAAGTGTAAATTAGGTTTGAATGTGTGTGTTTGTGATCCCACACATATGTCTGCTACACCATGTGACCCTAGCGGGCTAAAGGTACCTAAAGGTACTCACATGCCAGCATGCGACTCAATCGCCAAGCCGCGTTGATATTACATCAGAGCACGGAAAATTTAATTCATCCAGTCTGCAGTTTTACGCCTAATTGCTCCCAGCCTTTTGATTAGATTCGAAAATTGGTTGAAAGACAGGATCGCATAAATCCTGGACGGAAGTTTATCTGAATAGAAAAGATTCAAACAAGAAAAAGGATTAATTTGCAATCGTAGCCACGATACGGAATTTTGCTGATGCGTATCGTAGCAATAATATTCAAATCAAACATCTCTTTCACCAAACTCCTTTTCCACCTCTCTCTACAGAACAGCATATTACTCTCAAACCAAAGAAATAAGAAATAGTTGATACTCGGTAAGATCGCAGTTGAGCAACGCTTATAATAGAGACAGACCGCAGAGCTATCGGTTAAAATAGTACGTGGCGTTTTAAATCAGTTTCGGAAATCTTGAGATAAGATTCCAAGCGCAGGATTCCAGCCTGCTGGTGACATAATACTACATCCTATCTTTCGCAAGTCACACAAAAGACTAATGGCACTGGGAATGTATACGCGTCCGAATCAGTGCAATATCTGATGATTATTGCTGTTTAAGACCAAGTCTATAACTTATGTGGCCTTAATCATCTATATGTCGTCTTGGCTAATTTAATAGCGTTATTGGGGGACCAGAGGGAGAGAACTTTACTTTCTCATTGACGGCCCAGGCGCCGCGATTGGCTAATCACTGTAGCCAAAGTGAAAGGGTCTGAAAAAGCGAGAGAAAATTAAGGTGACACCGCTGTAATCGGGGATCGAAAATATGCGACACGCTGCTTCCCAACCTTTTGGAATCGCAAGCATTCCATCGATCCCATGGAAATAAAGCGAAACGGGGTCAACAGGACCGAGCCGGACGCCCTTTTTTTTTTGTGAACGGGAAAAAAAAGGCAAAAATGTCGGGGTTTCCTTTCCTTTTTCATGTTTCTGTCTTCTTTACGTTCGAGAAAAGAATAGCTTGGTACAGCCATGAGGAAAATCAGTCAAGGATTGTCGCATTTTCTGCTTAATGCGACCAACACCGAGCAGTTTGTAAAGACCGCTCAGTTCTACAAAGCGCTCGGATTCCAGGAAATTCTCGGTCAGAACGACAATGCCATCACGTCGGAAAAAGTGTGGTTGAAACTGCATGCCGAAGAAAGCTCACTAACTTCGGACGTGACTATTAAGCTTGTCATCGATACTTCGGCTGTTCAACGAGAACAACCTCCTCAGGATGTGGACTGGGCACTACACACCAGTGGCATGGTCTTGACCGTGACAGATATTGATGTAAGCAGATTTTTTTTGTATTACTGGGAAGGGTCTTCTTTTTTTTTTTTATCGATGAGCGGGGAAAGAAAAGGATGAGTGCTTTAGATACAGCCAGAGATAATGGAATGTACGGGAGAAACAAGACCGAGAAAAAAAAGCCTCACCAAGAGAATTGTATATCATAGACGATCAAAGGCCAATTAAAGGAACAAGGAGTGTTATTCCAAGATCAATCATCCACTTCTGCCAACGATCGAATCCAATTGATCGAACTCTATGCTTTGGATCCACTCAATAACATGATTGTCTTTGCCAATAAACCGGCCTTCCCGAGCCTCTTGGATAAGCACGATATTCTGAGTCAAGGCGCCCCTACTGCTGTGAAAGCCGCTTCCCAACCCAGCCCTAAGCGCAAGAAAATTGCCGTGCTTACTTCCGGTGGTGATGCCCCCGGTATGAATCCCGCCGTACGCGCCGTCGTGCGTTATGGTATTTCAAAGGGTTGCGAAGTATTTGCCGTTTACGAAGGTTATCAAGGTAAAAATATAAAAAAGAGAAAAATGTGGCCTAGAGACAACATCAAAAAAACCTGACCATCACTTGATTTTTAGGTCTCGTGGATGGCGGAGAACGCATTCGGAAGATGGACTGGAAGAGCGTGCGAGGATGGTTGGCCGTGGTATGTAATCATTTGTCATGTCGGGGTAGAGTAAAAAGTAATATAGAGGATTGACTCATGTGGATAATTTTTTTTTGTGGTGTTTCAAAGGGTGGCACCACCATTGGTACGGCGCGCTGCATGCCTTTCAAGAAAAGAGAAGGTCGTCTTCAAGCTGCCCAAAACCTCGTATCCAACGGTATCGATTCGCTCATCGTATGTGGCGGTGACGGTTCCTTAACAGGTGCCGACGTGTTCCGTTCGGAATGGCCAGGCCTAATTAATGAGCTAAAAGAATCCGGACGTATTACTGCCGAACAAGCCAACACGTACCAGCATTTAACCATCGTAGGCTTGGTGGGCTCAATCGATAATGATATGTCCAGCACAGATATCACCATTGGAGCTGTAACTTCTCTCCATCGTATCTGTGAAAGTGTGGATTCCATCGGTACCACGGCCTTGTCGCATTCACGTGCCTTTGTCGTTGAAGTCATGGGCCGACATTGTGGTTGGCTGGCATTGATGGCCGGTATCGCTACAGGCGCTGATTTCGTCTTTATTCCCGAACGTCCGCCTACCAGTGATGATTGGGAATCCGTCATGTGCTCGGTTGCACAACGCCATCGTCAGCTCGGCAAAAGAAAAACCGTCATCATCGTCGCCGAAGGCGCCATTGACAGATCGCTTAAACCCATCAAGGCTGAATACATCAAGGATATTCTAAGCGACCGACTTGGTCTGGACACACGTGTGACGACCTTGGGTCACACCCAGCGCGGTGGTTCGCCTGCTGCATTTGACCGTATTCTTGCCACCATTCAAGGTGTGGAAGCTGTGGAAGCCGTTCTTCGATCCACCCCCGACACTCCTTCACCGCTGATCGGTATGAGCAACAACCACGTCACGACGGGTCCCTTGATGAAAGCCGTCGAACTGACCCACGACGTTGCCAAAGCCATCAGCGAAAAAGACTTTGCTCGCGCCATGGAATTGCGCGATCCTCAATTTTCCGAAGAATTCGACGCTTATTCCGCCAGCACCATTCTCGATGATCATTCCATGATTTTACCAGAACACCAACAGATGCGTCTGGCTGTCATCCATGTGGGCGCACCTGCCGGCGGTATGAATGCAGCTACACGAACGGCTGTGCGTTATGGATTGAATCGCGGTCATACAATGCTCGGCATTTACAATGGTTTCCCCGGCTTGGTGCGTGGTTCTGTGGAGGAAATGAGTTGGATCAAGGTCGATGGCTGGACCTCGCGAGGCGGTTCGGAGCTCGGTACCAATCGTGCCGTACCCGGTGAATCTGTCGACATGGGCATGGTGGCTTACCAACTCCAACAAAACAACATTCAAGGCTTGATGATAATTGGTGGATTTGAAGCATTCACAGCGCTTCGAAATTTGGAAGAAGCACGCGACAAATATCCCTCTTTGTGCATCCCTATATGCCACTTGCCAGCTACCGTCTCGAACAATGTCCCCGGTACCGATTATTCGCTCGGTTCCGATACATCCCTGAACGCTATTACCGACGCCTGCGATTCCATTCTCCAGTCGGCACGATCGTCTCGTCGACGTGTATTCGTTGTGGAGGTGCAAGGTGGTCGATCAGGCTATCTTGCTGTGGAAGCCGGTATTGCTACGGGCGCCAACACCATTTACATCCCCGAGGAAGGCCTTTCCTTGGCTCGCTTGCAGTCGGATGTGCGCCATTTGATGGCTCTGTACTTGGATGATGACGCCGATCGATCCGAAGGTCGTATTGTCCTGAGAAACGAAACAGTCAGCAAGACTTACACCACCGACGTGATCAGTTCCATCCTCAAGGACGAAGGTCATGCTCTTTTCGATTCACGTACGGCCGTCTTGGGTCATCTCCAACAAGGCAACACGCCGTCTCCCATGGACCGTATTCGTGCTACACGTTTGGCGATGCGCTGTGTATGCTTTTTGGAAAAGCATGCACTGGCCGTTCTCGATAATGCCTACCGAAATGGTACGCCCATTCCTGTTGAACTTACCAAAGACGTGGAATCGGCCGCCGTAATTGGTTTGTCCGGTAATCAAGTCACTCATCGCTCGGTGCCCAGTCTGTTGCCTGTCACCGATCTCAAGAACCGCAAACCCAAAGATGCGTGGTGGTATGAACATCGTCCGTTGGTGGATCTTTTATCAGGCCGTGGTCTCTTCACAAAACAAGCTCAAGAATTGTTATCTGAATAAGTTAATCCGTCTATTTTTCTCTTGAATAGCTCTCCCTCTTTCATAGTTGCAATATTAAAACTTTTTCTCCTGTAAAAAAAAACCAACAACCATGTCCATTGCCAAAAAAAAAGAAGAAGCATCCGCTAAAACAGACTTCCAACGTAAATAAAAAGGCTGAAATCCCATCCTCCGAACTTTTTTTTAAAGGGTCTAGTTTCAAAATGAATCAATAAAAGGCAATTGTATATGTATACATAATCTATTCACAAGCATAATCTCTGTTTATAAGGTTGTCAGGTCGACAAGGTCGAAACGTCTAGGTTTAGGCTGATCGGGAGGAATAGGTAGTGTATCGTTTCGGTCAAAGACAACACCGACTAAACGACGCTTGGGTTGTTGAGGATCTTTGTAGAATCGAACGTAACCCGATTCAAGAGCAAAAAGAGTATGATCTTTACCCATGCCGACCTGTCAACGGAGCCACTGCCAGTGAGTTTTGTGTTTTTTAATTTCTACATTACAGAGATTTGCCTTACATTATCACCTGGATGGAATTTGGTTCCTCTTTGTCGAACAATAATATTGCCAGGAATGACTTCCTGACCACCAAACATTTTTACTCCCAATCGTCGACCAGCGGAATCTCTGCCGTTACGTGAAGAACCGCCGGATTTCTTTGATGCCCAACGAACTTGTTCTGCACAACCGATTAAATTTGTAAGTAAAAAAGGCCCAATTGACAGCTATTGTCGAATTTTATAAGGCACTCTTGCAATTTACCTGTGAGAGGATTCAGTCGTGCCAAGGGACTAATGGAATGGCTGTGGTGGAGAATCTTGGTAGTGCCAATAAGAGAACGGTTGAGCAGGGACATGGCGGTGGTTCTTTTAAAACAGGCACTCGAAAAAACAGAATTAAAGATCGAAGGGCAACACCACCAGGCCCACAGTGACTGCTTTCTTTAACTGTGGCGTTCATTTTTGGGCCTGGCAATTCCTAATTTTGAAACGAGAGTTGATACGGCACAGGTCACAAAAAAAATTGGTATGACGATGGTGACCTTGATATTCAATTGGAGGTCGTTCAAGTTGAAAGAGCTATTAATATGGCTTCATTCACTGCCTTATGATATGCTTCTGCCAGCTTAGCAGAGCTAGCATCATTTAGAGATGAAAAAGAGGCAACCACATAGAGCAATACCGTGGATCCACTAGCAAGTCATCTAAAGACCAAGTTTGAAGATTCTACTATGGTGTGAAGCGAGTCATTATACGACATAATAAAGAAGGGACTTTAGAAAACAACGAATGAATGGCATTCATTAAGATTGTCACAAAAATGATTTTGATTAGTAAAAATACAAGAATGAGAAAGAATTGGGTGTAAAAGAAAGAGATTGCAAAAGTGTATACAGAAAAAGAAAAAGAGAAATGTTGCAAGTTCTATGACATGGATATAAATGGAATTCTTTGTTCTATGCACCAAAATGTCGGGAAAGTAATTCCTGTAGATGAAAAAAAGAAAGATGAATACGGAGATTCTCCAGAATATCAAGCACGCAAAGGTTCACACTTACATAAGTTAAGAAGATGATGGCGCTGCTGGGCGCACTGCGAGCCACTGTGATACCACAGCCACGGTAAAAGGCGGGAATGCCACCGCCGACATAGATGCTTCGAGCAGTTTGCATGAATGACTGTCGCGCTCGCTTGCCGGCTGATAACAGTTCTTCATCAGTTTGCATTTGCGACTTGATCACATCCACAGGGAAAAAGGAGAAATTGTACGCCATGCCTCCCAACGCACCACCCAACATTAATTGACCCGGGCTCAGATCCTTTTTCGTAATGGTTTCACCCGTACGACGTTGATGTTGACGCATGAAAAAATCACAAGTATATTCATACATGCCGAACCAAAAAGCACCTCCTCCGGTTTCACGAATCAATGTAGCCAGGTAACCACGATAAAATCCACTGAAACCGTGTTGTCGGATCGTGTGTGCAATCACATGGAAAGGTCCCGTATATCGAATGGGTTGCCCCGCTGTGGCTGCTGATGTGGATGATGCAGTGGAGGGGGTGCCGATCTGTACCTGTAATTTACATTTGACCAATTCGACCGGTGTGAGAACGAAAGACGCCAGCGCTCCTGATGCTGCACCGGCAACGACCAATTGGTTCATACTGAGAGCCGGTAAATCTTCCTGGTTCATGGATTCCCATTCATCGATTTGTTGCGGGGTTGCCGAATAATTACGAATTAAACGTTGTACTTGACGATATCCGACAAACAAAGCCGCATTCTCAACCATCGATCCAATAAGCGGAGATGATAAGCCCTAAAACAACGCATGCGGGGAAAAAAGGAAAAAAAGCGAAACCGTTGCCAAAATTTTAGAATCAACACTTATCCGTTCCAACATTATCTACTTACCCTGTAAAGACTCTTGAATCCTTCTTGTTGAAGTGTTACTTTGACACAGTTGAGAGGCCCTGAGTAATACGGGCGATCAAGCGGTTGCGTCTGGAGTCGAACTTTGACGGTATCAAAAGGGTACTCGACAAATTTACCCACCATACCCGCCACCTAAAGAAGACCCATTCGTTTTAAGTATATCATGCTCGGGTCCCTCAATAGACCATATGCTTTAAAGCAGTCAAGTTAAAAAGTGGCGTATGACTTACGGAGCCAAAAAGAAGATCGTCCAACTGACGTCGAAGATTGCTTTTCGGTTCGTTGGTGATGGCTGGGATGGCCGGCGAGCCGATAATGGTGTCTTCCCGTAAATGAGTCGGCGCTGAAGTTTCCATAGTCAAACTCGTAGTGGCAGGGTGGGGAGGCCTTGGAAAGGGCTTCTGTATGCACTCAAGATAATGTGGGCCCAGAGGCAAAAAGGGAAAAATATGAATGTTCGCCCAGCCCTGGGTTCACCGATTCACTGGAAACAGTCACGATACGATACAACTTTGTCATACTGACCAATTTTTCTGATATGGAAAAAACGGGAGCCGCGGATCCCGATCGATGTTGTTTGTGTTTATTGTAGATAAAACAAACTGATAGGCGAATTTCCCGTTATGGTCCCAATCACGTCTCTTGTGGACTGCAACAAATGAATGAGTGGTGCGTTTTTATAATTCACTCGATCAATGCCAAAGCCCAAGAAGGCCTTGGTCTCTTAAAGGGCATATAGGAACACGGTGAAGGGAGGGACTGGAAACCCACGCCAGATCCATGTTTTATTGCAGACTTTTAAGCTGGTTGGCCTCGCTGCAAGATTCGTTGTTGAATCCAAGACGAACACACTGCATATATAAAAGAGACATGGAGGACTACCATGATATCAAAAGGCCATCCTTGGGCAATTACAACTTTTTGTCATCCATGGATGGAGGATTTTCGTATCGTTCTATTTACGTTGCTTTCCTTGAACCGCAGTGATTCTACCTAACGCAACGCTTCTGGTATCAGAATAGCCAGTAGGCTGGTCAAGCGCACCTTTGACAATATGTATAAATTGTGGTGTCTTGCATATGTCATCAAGAAAAAGAGCGAGACAGCCTTGGCGGTTAGAGCAAAGCAGACCAGACCAAAAGGTTGGAATCAGCTATGTGGCCTGTTACTTTCGTCGCGAAAGAGCGATGATTTAGAGTGATGATTTTCTACAGGGAAGCAGCGAAACGAAAAAGTCGGAGTTTGAACGGCAAATTTTTGTCAACGCTTTCGTTGCAAGTGTGGAAAAGGAACGTTGAGGCTCGTAATTCACTGCAGCCATTTTATTACACATGAAGGAATTAGATCCCGTCACTGTGAGTCAAGCATATCAAGGTGTTACAAAAATAAATGTTTCCGTTATTCTAACGATATTACCATTTGCAGTTCACAGTGGAATTAGGCCGATTCTATGAAGCGACTCGCGGGTCTGGTGCGGTTTCTGTGACGATGAAACGAAGTAATAAGAATTGGCAGAGTTCAACGAACGTTTCGTTACTAGATATTAACTCATCTATCAGTGACCGCGCATAGATTGACTCGAGCGAAAAAAATATCCAAGATGGTCCCAAAGTCGGCCGACAAAGTATTAGAAACCAAAGTAGATGAGGACGTACAATACCCAACCCTTGTACGAGCCACCTACAAAGATAAAAAGATCAGTACCATGGTAAGTGTGTGCCGAAGTTTTTCGGAAAGATACGATGCTCATGTTTTTTTATCCTAAAGGTATCGCCAGACGATTTTGAAAAGTTCCAAAATGCTTACAGTACCGTTATCAGAGCCTACATGGATGCATTGAAGAAGAAAACCCGAACAAAGAAGGCCAAAAAGACAAAATAAATCTTGTATAGCAACTCATGATTTTATCATTCACGACTCGCAATCGCTACACTACTTTTTAAGTATTGAATATATTAAATAGCCTTGAGTAGTGGCGCTGCCATCCATATCAAAGGAATAACAGGAGCAGTGTGTCCAGACTGGGAACAGTCAACCGTTTTAGATTTGTTCATAGGGCCCTGTGCCCATCCTCTTCAAAACCTCGCTCATTGACCGTTAGCAACGTACATTCCAAGAGGTTAATATTTTTTGGTTCGCATGCAGAGAAAAAAAAGCAGCAACGATTGCCTTGTGAAAGTACAAGTATTTCGAAATGTATTGTCAAAAAAAGTCTACTGTAAATTAGAAAATCAGCATAAAGATAAAAAAGAATGATTTGCTTATGAAGATGAAAAAGTTTGCTGTGATAGCTATCTGTGTGCGTGGTTGGTTTTTTTTTTTGTGCCTTTTTTTTGTTCTTCTTTATATGTATCGCATGGGCAGAATGGGTGATGTAGGAGAGTAAGAAAAAAAGACAAAAAGGAAGAAAGAATAGGGTATCAATGTCACAATTGCAATGCTCCCTCGTTTTCTTGCTCGTATTCCACCTCCACATGAGCACCCTTCCTCTTGCGTTTCGTGTCCTTGGGCGCTGCCCGTGACTTTCGTTTCTTAGCCTATCCAATTCATTCAGTACTCTATCCTGCAAGGGTCCATTCCCATTATTTTGGCTTACCAAAGTTGTTTCCTCATCATCGCTTTCATCTACTTGATCATCTGCTTCCTCCAAACCGTCCAATAGCGCATCGGCGTCCTCTTCTTCCTCATCTTCCATCTCGTATTCAAAACCGTTCTCCATATCCTCAAGATCGGATTCTTCGAAATCAGATACGAATTCAATGTCATTCTATTATAAGGAATTAGCACGTTTTTGCACAGAGAGTAAAAAAATAAATAGCGTGCATACCTCGTCTTCTTCCTCATCTTCATATTCGAGTTCGTTTTCATCCTCTTCCTCGGATTCTTCATCGACGGCACCTTCAATATCTTGATCCAAAATCTTTTGCCAAATCTCATTATTCACGTTCAAAGGCGCGTCACCGTAAGCCTTGTTCTTTAATCGTTCGATCAATTCCTTTTCAATTGATTTCTCCAATCGTGCTGCCGCTTCGGCCTTTCGTTCGCGGTTGGCTTCACGTCGATCCAACTTCTTCTTAATGCCGATAAGCTGGGGTCTGTCACTATAAGTCATTGCATCGGAACATCGTGAGTAATCGATAAAACGAGGGTTGGCAATGGCTGTAACTACTTACGCTTCTTTCAGCTTGAGTTTACGCATACGGATCAAATATTGCGTGATCTTGGTCAAACGTTGTTTGCATTTGTGTTGTAAAAAGTTGGGCCAGTACTGCAGTTCCTTATCGATCTGTGTGGCAATGACAATGTTAGCTTCTCTTTGTTGATGACCAAGTTCCCCGTCAATCCGGGTAAAGATCGCTCGATCACTCCATGGTCCACATCAAGTGCAACAGTGAGTCCCGGCTTTTGCTCTTCCCGTCCTCCAGTTACCTGTGCCAGAGCTTCCGCATAATTCTTTGACAGCTTCTTTTTTTCCCACATCTTGGCAGGCGAATGGGCTCGTTCGGGAGTCTTCATGTACAAGTAAACGATACCTTTACGGGTGCAAACAAAAGGAACGGTTAAATCGCTACTGAGGCACGGGCTACCAAGAAGAGCGAAGCAAAATAAATACCTTTGTGTTCACGAATGGTGGCATATTTACTGTTCGCTAAAGGACACGATTGACGATTGCAAAGACCCGTGACATTGTATCCATTACGGCAAAACGTGCCGGTTGGTGTACTACAAAAGCGCATTAGCACAGTGTTTGCCGCATTCATTTTGCCCATTGCTAAACTACTCACCGAACTTTGTAAGAACAGAACTGCTGGTTGATCACCTGCCAAATAACTTCGTCTGATTGCATAGCAGATGCCTGTTACGATGCTTGAAAAAAATCGAGATTTTTTTTCGGCCAGCTTCTAATGGGCCAAAAAAATGTGCCCGGGACTGCTTATCCTTGGCACAAGCCTTCCTCCCAGTCACATAAATTCATTTTACTGCAACACTACCCAATCAGCCTTTCGCTATTCATTCGCGGTTGCTGATTGGATATTGCAGTTACGGGAGAATGATAAGGCAAAAAAACAAAAAACTTGGAGACAATAGGTGTAAAGATAGTAAGGCATACTTTTTTGATGCGAACTTCATATTACATTTACAAGAGGCATTACGAAAAAATATTACGGTAGTGTAGACTGTACAGAATAAAGAAGACGAACTAGAAAGCGTTTGAATGCAATCATGGAACGGTTTTCACGCCCCAAACCAGGTTTCCCAACTCTTCTTTGGCGTGTTCACGGCGGTTTCTTCGCTGTTGAGCAAATCGGCCACTTTAGTGACAGAAGGAGTGGCAGATGAAGATGCGGGAGGGCGAGGTTCTGTCGGTGCTGGTGGAGGCGGTGGTTGGAAAGCATGAAAAGTAGGTCGATTATACTCGGGATACTGTGGCGACTCGCCAGGTGTCATGGCCATAGGATGGGGTTGAGGAGGAGCCAAGGTAGTGAAATAGCTGTCTTGTGGAGCAGTGACACAAGGCGCCGACTGAGGCGTCTGTCGCTCCAACTGAGGGGAAGAAAATGGGAAACTGTCAAGTGCAGGAAGTTCTTTGCGTGGTCCGTGAATCGACGACTCAAACGACGTGCCCATGGGAGGTAGCGTGGTTAAAGTACCTCTTCGCTGACGTTCTTCGTACCGCTGTGCAATGTGAGCGAGTCCCATTTTTTCTTCATTATTCGCATAGAAATTGCGTACTTGAATGGCCGTCTTTGATTTCATCGCATCGGCAATTTTATCCCAATCGCGACCGTGCATCTCCAACAACCGAACAAATTCGCCCTTCTCGGAAACAGACCAATAGGAAGAATAGGAAGTTCGCTTGCCATCAAATCCCGGAGACGACGCTATCCGATGCTTCGCCTTCCGTACATTGGATTTGCTCGCTATCTCCTGTTCACTCCACGAAGAAGCACCAGGGTCGGCTCCACCGTCCGCCTTGCCAGAGGCCGATCGTACTCTGCGTCGTCGAGCCGCGGTGGAGGCACCGCCACCACTATCCACACCAGGTCCTGCTAGTGTTTCTACCTGCACAGTGGGAGTGCTGGGTCCACGTTCGCTAGGGGTAACCGAACCACTTCCCATTTGGAACAATCCCACCAAAGCCGCCGCCGCATCTTCCTCATCGGCCTTCAACTGCTGCCCCTGTATGCTTGCTTGCGCTTTAATGTCGGACACAATTGAAGATTCCGCCGACTCCTCGTCAAACACATTAGGACCAAATTTACGTTTGTAGTTGTGATAAAAGTTACGACACTGATCCTCGGTCTTTGTACTGACGATGGCAGCCACTTGGGTAAAGTTTCGACCATGAATCTTGAACGCTTCAACGGCCACGTCCTTATCCTTCTCCGTCCAACGCGCGGTCGCCGTGGGCCCCGATCGATCGCCCGTCATCTCTTGATCTTCCATAAATGACGGCCGTGGTGGTGCCAAGGTTTCCTCCACTTTGGCTACCTCGCTGGTGGTTGCCGACTTGGCCGAGGCCGCGACGGAACCACGAGGCGATCTTCCTTTACGTCTTCCAGGACGTTTACGTTCCGTCACAGGCTCTGCCGTGTCCGTATCGGCAATACGAGCAATGGCAGTCGCGGCGGCGGCCATGACAGCCGAAGACGATTTATCCGAGTTGCGCGGCTTGTTTCTTCGACGATCTACTCCGGAACTCCACTCCGGGGTGCCAGCGGTCTCCATGCCATCAACGGCGTCGCCTGCTCTTCTTCTTTCGGTTTCTTTTTCTTTGGCTTTGCGTGACACCTGAGCTTCGCCGATATCCGTCATCAACGCCGAGCCTTTACTCTTGCCCTTTCTCACCGTCGAGTTGGAAGCACCGGTAGCACGTCGAACCGCCGCAGCTAATCGATCGCGGCGTTTGCCGGCTTTACCTCTTCGTCCCTTACTTAAAAGACTCTTGAAATCAATCTTTTTCTTCTTGCGGTAATAAAAAAGTACGCATTGCGGTGCTGTTTTTGTGCCAACCATGGCAGCAATATGGCCAAATTGCTTCGGATTCTGAATGTACCCTTCCATAAACGCCGTCATTTCCTGCTGCGTCCACACATCCCCTGTATCGGGTCCGGTATGGTAATAAGTCAATGGATCTTTGACCAAACCACTGCGGTCATTGTAGGTTCGCATCCGTGCCTTTGGATCCAAGATCATGGCAGGAATCGTAGCCGTTGTTTTAGCTGCACGAAGCTCCGGATTGCGCATGTCGGCGGATTCCAGCGACTGGATAATCTCCAGCAGTTCGGCTTCAGAGCGTGCAGCGTCCGAGGTCCAAGGCCCTTTGCCTGGCCCGCTGTAGGGAGTCGATGCGCCATCACCGCCTTCAAATCGTAACGCGTCGACATCGCTGTTGAAAATGACCCCATCCACCAACTCGTCCGTTTCTTCTTCTGCACGGCGACGCGAGGACGAACGATAGGTATATTTTTCGGCGCGTCGTTCGTGGTCTCGAATGCTATCCAAAGCAATATTCTTCTCTTTCCATCGTTCGTACAACGTCTTGTATTCCCTTTTCAGCATTCGTTCTTTACGTTTGAGACCCTTGTGCTGGTGAGCCAATGTATCGGCGATGGTGATACGGAGCTGGGCAAACTGTTCAATGTTTCTCTGAACTAGGGGACAATCACTAACAGAAGCATACAGTGGCCGACTCCATTGTTCTTCATCGGACCACACTGCTTGGTCATCTGGCTTTCCTTGCCATCCGCCCAACATACACGCGCTTTCTCTGGCCAACTGTCGATTGTTTTCCGTGATTTCTTCGCACAACAGTTGATCTTCGTCATTGTCTTCGTAAGCTCGCACCTGATCGATGAGCAGTTGCGGACGTTTGCGCATCAAAGGCGAAGTCTCTACCGGCTTCACCTCGGCGGCTACTTGGCCCTGTGAACTTTCTTGCATCGCCTGTAAAGCACGATGTTTGGCCTCTTCGGCTTCATGATGTTCGTCTTCTTTCGCTCCCGCCTCTGTCATTGTTTCGTCCATAATATCGCCTTTCTCCATTGCCGCTGGCTCAGGCTGTTTGCCAAGGTTTTCCAGCATATCCTCATACATGGTGATGTCCGTTTCAATTTGATCAATACGCTCGACGATTTGCTCCTGTGTCATGGTGGATGTGTCTTGTTGTTGTGGTTGCTGTATCAGAGACACGTTTTGTTTGTCTGGCTTGTCGATCGGAGCTTCGACCGGTTGGATAACGTTGGTCGCTGCTGCAGATTGCGTGACACCTTCCTGTTCTGTCACAGGCGTTTGAACAACGTTTTCGGTGGAAACGGGTGGCTGTAATACTTGTGCTGGCTGAGTCATCTCATTCTCCTTGGCAAAGGAAGCTTCGTCGGAGAATGGAGGTTGGTTTTCGGTAAGCTTTTGATCCACAGATGCAGGTGGTTCTGTTTTCATCATATCGGTGACGGAGTCGTTTGCCAAGGGGGCGGCGGAGTCTGGGATGCTATCTGTGGATGGCTGCGCGCCCGTCTCCTCATCGACCGTCTCTGGAGCATCTGAAATTTCACCGGGTTCGCCCATAGGGACATCTTCTGTTTTCTTATCTTCTGCTTTCATTTCTATATCTTCCACTACAGGCATCGATGACGGAGACTCTAAAGGCATTGCATCTTTCGCGGACTCTTCTTGTTTCACGATAATTCGTGCAACTACGGAAAAAATGATGTCATATTAATAAGCTTTCACGATGCAATCTCGCAGTAGTTTTTTTTTTTCCTTTTACTGTTGAACGTACCGGAGGATGGACCTCTCCCGTCTTCCTTTTCACCTTCTTTGCTGACATTGGGTCCTTCCTGGGTGACCGACTCTTTTTCATCCTTGGCAGTACTGACAGGAGTTTCACTGACGCTGCGAGATAATCTTGGTTCAATATATTCCCGATCACGGGGACGCGTGTCTTGACGTAGAGTCGGAACACTGGTACTGGGTGTAGGACCCCATGAGCGATCTGAGGGACGATTAGGCCGACCACGATAACGATCAAACTCCATAGAAGGGGATGCTCGTGGCATGGTCGATCGGTAAAAGTCGCGATCGCCTAATCGATCTCGTTCATGGTAGGCCATGGGGGGATTCACTGGTCCCGACAATTCACGGTCGCGATCACGATCGGGACGATAAGAGTCACCTCCAAAGGATGGAGAAGCATAGGATGGTAGCGAAGGAACTGAATCATAACGCAGCATTTCTCGTGAGGTGTAACTGTATATATTCAAGGTAAAAGCATGTCGGTATTCAGTTTATCGTTCACAACTCATACACACACACACACACACTTCCGGCCAGGAGGTTTTTTTTTTAACACATACACATCTCTTTCTCGTGGTCGTCTATCAATTTCCCTTCGTCTGTCATCATCGCGATACCGTCGTTCTCTTTCTCGATCACGATCTTTGTCCCTTCGATCCATGTAACGGGGAGGTGGAGTATAGGTATCGGCTCCAGTGCGTGGACCCAAGTCGTTGTCATCTTTACTTGCATCTTTCACCAGTCCATTCGTTGATGGGCTCGATTTTGGGTCGAATGGTCGCTGCCTATCAATATTGCCTGTAATGGATCCCAATTCCTGCTGATTAGTTTTCCCAAGTGATTTTCAATGACCATATTTCAGTATCGACGATGGTTCTACCTTCACTTCGGATATTCACAGGGTGTTTGGGATATTCACGAGAAGTGGTGGTGGAAGAAACTGGGGGATAGGGATGTAATGGCGAAGGATCGTGGCGGTAATAAGGAGCGTAACGAGTGTCTCTATGACAATGGTAGAATGGATTAGATTTCATCGATGTACAAGGTTGGTTGAAATATGATGGTGGGTAGAAAAGCTTACTTGTCTCGTGCTCGTGGCATATATCGGTCGTCTCTCGGCAATAAAAATGCTCTATCTCTTTCTCTGTCTCGTTCTCGATCCCGTAGATCTCTGTAATCTTCTGAAGGTGTGGGTGGACCACTTCTGCTGGGTCGATAACTGTAGGCATCATAACGAGAACCGTATCGGGGACCGTAACGGCCATCGCTGTAGGGCGGCGATCGTGAACGCGATCGTGAACGTGAGCGTGAGCGTGAAGGGGTGCCCCGTGACGAGGTTGAGCCAGCGACGCTCATAGGAAAAGGATAAAAAACAATGATAGCTTGTTTAGAAAAAAAAAAAAAAAGTTGAAAAATGTCAACGGTCGCCCAAAAACAGAATGTCCCAATCATTCCTTGGCATCCCCATGTGGACATGGACCGTGACTTGCCATTATCACGTGATTCCGTAGGCAGCATCCACCGTCACGGTGTGGAAGAAGCTAACTGTGAATCGCATTTCCTTTCGTACAGCAGCATCATGGACGACGAAGTGGGTCAGAAAAGAGCTACGGTTAATCACGATCAGCCAGACGTAGAAGAAGGGGCATCCTCAGAGATGCCAGCCATCAAGCGTCAAAAAGTAGAGAATACTGATCCGCCGGAAGCACCAGCGCATTGCGAAACAGACACGACAGCCGCAACACAAGGTATTGTGTCTGAATGGTAGACCATTTTTGTCAAGAGTTGATGTTTATCGTATTTCTTTATAGTCATGACGGATGCCACAGATAATATCAAAGAAGAAGGTGGGTCTGCTCTGCGTGGGTCAATGTGAATTAGCAAAATGTTGCATAACTGAAACTTGATTTGCCTCAGAAGCATCTATGACAAGCACTAATACAGCAGAGCCGAGTGAAGCGACAATAGAAAGCGAGAGACCCATGGAAGAGACAGATGCTTTGATTGATGCGGAAACTATTGTTCGCAAATTATCTTCAGCGGTCGAAGCTTCTTCCTCGTCTCCGGCGAAAGAGCATGAAAGGCCCGTCGCTAATAATGCTGTCCCTGATTCTTCATCTTTGGAGACACCCATGGACACATCAATAGAAACACAGCCAGTATACCCTACTTCGGAACCTTTGAACATGCGCATGTCTGTATCGGCCATTCTAAGTGAGCAGGGACGAGCACAGACCTACAACGGCAAACAAGAGTCCTCTTCGGCATTGTCGACCGCTTCCCTGTCTCCTGTGCCTACCGTACAGGAGCCTATTCCAGAAACGTTTCGAGGGCATAGCATGCCGCCCTTACCAAGTTCACGGATTCAGAATTCTTCGCCTGTAACTCAAGATCAGACACTCCCGATCAAACCTGAACTGAATACGGCAGAGCGATCATCCGGGTCACCCTTGACGGAACCAGCCGAATCCATCCCGACAAAGGCATCCCTCGATACATCGAACGGAACCATTACCAATGAACAGCTAGTAGCTGCATTAACGTCAATCTCTGTTCCGGAGAACGATGAAAATGACACGTCTTCCCCATCGATGGAATATGAAGCTGCAAGAATCGATCCCAAGCATGAAGCTGGAGCCTCTTTCCCACACCCATCGGAAACAAGCGCGACGACTGCTAATGCAACATCTACGCAACCTCCTGTCAGCACGAGTACCATGCCGACGGTTGCCACCGACGCTTCGTCCGAGACAACGCCAACGGTGAAAAGGACAGAGAACGCCAACCGATCCAAACTCTCTGTACCGAATTTAGCGGCTTTCACCAGTCTACCAGAAATTAGCGCGGCATTACGTCGATTGAGCAGCAGTGTAGGGTCAATGGAGGGCTCGCGATTTTCGCCCATGGGTACTTTGGCAACTGAAAAGGGCGACAGCTCGACCTCACGTCTCAGTGCGCGACCTGTGGCAACCACGGACGAAAAATCAACTGATCAAGCGTCACCGTCGGAGATTTTGGGAAATGCGCTCGCGGCTGTAGCTGCGAGTGCCAACGCAGGACGTTCAAATTCAACCTCGTCAACCGCCGCGGCTGCAGCGATTGGCAATTTGGCGGTGATCACGGCAAATATTAATAGCATTCTCCACGCGAGTTCGAATCTTGCGAACCCCCATCGGAACAGTGTGAGTTTCGATGACAAATCGGGAAGGTCCAATGGCACCGGAAGCCCCAGTATGGGACGACGAAAAAGTTCGGTGGCGAGTCTGGGCGGTCATCATCACCCGTTGCTGTCAATGCTTGATCAGGCGCTTTCACTCGGTGCTCGGGGTCAAGAAGATGGTCAGCGATCGGAAAATGCAAAGGGGGGTCGAGGCAGCATTGGCCAGGAGGCCATGGATGGGGTGATGCGAGCGGCGGCCGCGGCCATGTCTGGAAAACTGAATGATGCTTCCCTTAAAACGTCCATGGATCAACTGATGTATAACCGACGTAACAGCAGTCATTTGTTTAAAGCTGCGCCTTCCGGATCTCCTCACCGGCCACCTTTGGGGGAGATCAAAAAGAAACCCGAACTAATTATACGGAATGACCAAGTATGGAAAGCCGTTGAAGGCATGGAAGAGAGATCATTAGGTACGTTTTTGCATCTTTTTCATACATTATGTGCACTTAAAAAATTGTTGAATATCTAACCTGTACAAAATAGGTTTATACGATTACACGCCTAATCTCCTGTTACCAAATTTTGAAGACGCGATCAACGGGGTACTGGAAGTTCGAGTATCCGGAAAGCATTTAAGCTACAGTAATACACAACTACAAAAACGAGCGATCTGGGGAACGGATATATACACGGACGATTCCGACGTAGTAGCAAGTAAGTGAGCAAAAAGAACTAAGATTCAATGTGTGCGAATGTCGGAATACTGAGATATACAAGTGGCTATCCATTGTGGCAAGTACCGTCTTCCATTTGAAGAGAGTAATATAGAATTGGATGATCCGTTTGCGCTTGCTGTTGCTGGGCGAAGAGTGGAAGCGATGCGAGCATCCAAAAAATTGAAACACGGGAAGAGCAAAACGTCCGGAGCGGGCCAGACGGGGCTCGATCATGATCTCAAGATCCGCGTGCGGGTGTTACCGAAATTGCGCGGGTATGCAAGCTCTGTACGGCATCACATCAAATCACGACCATGGGGAGGCAACCATGATGGTGTGAGCTTGCATATCGATCATGTGGAAGTAATCAAGGTAAAATTTACTTTCCGCATGTAATCCACTAATGTAATTAACGCAAAACAACAGAGAGGCGAAGCTCCTTCTCGAGGCAGACGGTCATTAAAAGCTGGACTCAATGACTATGAAACCCGTCGAAGGCAAGCGTTGGGATTAGCAAATGCAAGCCCGGTTGTAGACCAAGGCCGCGGACTTGCAAGCGATTGGAGACGGATAGGACGGATACAAAAAAATCGGTCAATTCTACGATGAACAAGTGCGTGCTAATATAAATGAAAATAAATGTAAATTTGGTGACTAGAACTCGAAAAAAAAAAGATGAATGTTCACAACCCACCGGTCATCTTTTTGCGTCATTGGCTAGGATTGTTGTGAAATGAGAATCAACAATAGACAGAAAAAAACCATCTCCAACCGATTGCCATTGTCTATGGTATACTTCATCTTATAATTTTGTCCTGCAGCCCCGTAACATAGTCATGATTAATGGGGTACTAGTGACGCTTCTCTGTTTGTTCGAGATACGGCATCGTGGGTTGGTATACATTTGAGGGCAGAGAGGGGAGGTTTGGGAGGCGCCAAAGGAAAGAAAGAGAATAGTTCCAGCTGTTTCTGAGTGAACAGCCACTGCTGGATTGTATGTATTTGCGACTATTTGCAGACAGCCTAGGAAATCCCGTTCTGATACATGTGCATTTTTCGAAATAATCAAATCGTTATAAAAAGAATGATTTTATGTCAGGGACGAAAAAATAATTCAAAGTCCACCTGAAAGTTTAACTAGAGATTGCTGTAAAAGTCTGCATGACTTTTCCTCAGTGGCCAGTGCTATGCTCGTCGGAGGGCTTCTGGTCTGGAGTCTAGCTGACAGCAAGCTGCTTTGTAAGCATCCAATATACGGCGCATGTTGCGCCCAGCATTGACATCACGATTCCACATGACCACTTTAGTTGGAAATTGGGTGGATGAGACAGGGTACAACATTTACTTACGAGCGTTCTCGGTTCGGGATGAGACAAGAACGCAACCCATTTGATCGGTGCTGCACGTTGAAGGATGATCAATACACCCAAGGGAAGGAGAGGCAACACCATTTGTCAAAGGCGGCAATGATATTGGTGATGATGTTGACCTGCGCAAGGTAAAGTGGGGTCTGCTTCACTGACATCACCAGACCTCAACCCCATTGAGCACATCTGGCACCACATCAAGCTCAAATTGAGCTGTTATGATTGCCAAGCCAGTGAGGTCACCGAACTGTGGACTCGTGTGGTGGCAGTTGCACATGTCCTATTCAGGCATGATTGGTGTCGCTGGACGCGATAAAAAGCGGCATGATTGCCTAGTTGAAAAAAAAAATGTAGAAGGTAAGGGTTAAATACTGCATGTTCAGAAGCTCAACAAGACATCAACCGCGTACTTATAACCCACAAAGAATGCGAATGCCAAATTTGGTGCCGTTGGTATCTGATGCTCCCTTTGCCAGTCGTCCAAGGCGTCCCAAGTCCTTGTTACAAGATTGTGGTTGATTGCCTGCACCTCTGACTTGGCTATTCCGTACGCAATCGCTCGACTAAACGATGCACCGTTGATTACACTGATGATTGCGTCCGGCTTTTCCTCAGATAGTGCTTTTTCGTCGCTCACCAACGTCCTATTTACAGTAATGCTAATAAGTGCCTTACAGATTCTTTCTACTACTTACATACCATTCGACAATGATATCATTGCCAACATCTCGAATAAGGTTGCCAGCGACGCTTCCAAGTACCTTGTGATCGATTCGGTTTTCATTGGGCTACCGTCAAGATAATCATCGGGCAGTTTCTCGACCCTACGAACTAGTTAGATCCGTATTTCTTCACCTAGCGTATGAACTTACATGTTTCGAATTGAGAGAAGCGTCCGGTTGAAGGGGGTCATTGTGTCTCCGGTCATGAGCATCGTGATTGCCCGAGATGCGGGCAAACGCATGGATTCGTTTGCCATGCTCTACCAGCACATGTTAAATGTTCGTTGCATATAAACTATAGCCATATTTACCGATATACTGTAATGTCTTCAATTTTGTTTTTGGCTGCTTGAGGGAGCGTGTGCTGACCAATATCATGCTCTTGTAGTACACCCGCACGAAATCGGCTGCACGTCGCACGATCAATGTATTCATAAACATCGGAGTGGACGCGTCCCGGAGGGCAAGAATGTGCTGCGTCCACTCGTCAATCATCCATCAATGGGGCATGTCCTGCCAGGCGCTTTGCTGTTTGTTGAAAACAGATAAAATTGCTGCGCAATGTTCAGCTGTTCGAACGAGAGCGTTTCAATGGGCGCCTGAATAACAGCGCTCGGTGATGTATACGCTGGTATAGGTGATGTCGGTCCTTGTTGGTGCGAATGTTTTTCGAGCTCTTGGGGTATATTGGACAAGCGAAGCCGATGGTATTCCCATGTAACGTCCGCTCAAAAAATAACCCATCTGGATGCAAACAAAATCAGTAGAAACCCTCCTGTTCAGATATTGACCCGTTGACCTACCAATCGTTAAGTGATTGCTATGTCGATTACGGACGTGCGTGTCTCTTTTTCCTTTCGTTGAAAGAAACTCATCGCAATGCGAACAAGGTGCATGACCTTTTACGGTCTCCATAGTTGGCGAGACAATCAGGAGAAAATGAAAAAAAAGCCCAGCATTTGGTGCACTCCTGTGGGAATAACGGAACCAAATGTCACGACGTTTTGTGGTGGATCTGGAGACGCCGAAAACGAGGCCATCGGAAAGCAGAAACCCCAGGTCGAATTGTGGTCCTGGGGTTTGAATCTGCAAGAAAGTGTCGACAGGTACGCTCCAGTCGTTCGATAAGGGGCGATCCAGTGGGACATAGGCCTGGGTAACAACTTCCCCTTCGTAGTCACCAACAGTAAGAGTAATCCCTGGAGATGGGAGCCACGCCTGTGCAAAGAAGGAGCCACAGGAATATACAAGATTCACTCCGAAATCGAGTTGCGTTGAACCACCCCCCCCCCATTAGGACCTTCAAAATGATTGTGGCCGTAAAACCCAGCTTCAAAAAGGTTTCGATCTTGATTTCGACTTTTGCGGATTGTTGTCTGAAACGACGGTACACCTTTTTGTCCTTATGACATGGTAGTGTCCATAGTCGGCATCACCATTACGAATTCTTCGTTTTCCAGATGCTTGCAAGCGAACCAGATTCCACGGTCGTTCGATCGTTTGACACTGAGTACGGTTGAACTTCCGCCCGGTATCGTAGCAGCGTCGGCAGCTGAATGATATTCAAGTAGGGCACCGTTTTTAATTCACTTGCGCAAGCTTGTTGAAAGTCTTGACAGTAGCAACTGAAATGATGAAAGATGTTGGTCAAATTTGAGGGTAGTGAGAAAAAGGGGGATGTTGAATAAAAAAAAGGTATTTCTGAAAAAGAAGGGTTCTTTGTCTTCAGCGTCAGGCTCAGTTCTTAAGTCTGTGTCACATCAACAAGTGGTCACAACTGCTGACCAACCTGATTGAATGAAGCATAATGAATGACATTACAAATAACTCATCCCTCTTCCAAATGGCCTTTTGTTCTTTCAGTGAAATTATCCACTAGGTAGATGTCTACTTATCATTTAACATTACATAAAACGACCCATCATCGACAAAAAAGCATGCATAGATCATAGAACATAATGATCCATATCTCTTTTAGCCTCCCTTTTCTTTAGTTATTGCTAAGTGTCGTCTCAAGATATGGTTTATATCTTTCTCATTACGATCAACTATTCTTCCTTCTTCACCAAAGGTTACATCGTCAATCGCATCGATTACATGGCTACAGATAGACTTCATAGAATATCCGGAATATCTTCCCATGGACACAGCTTGCTTGGGTTTCCAAGTTCGCATAGTGCAGCTGTTGTTTGCTTTACAAAGTTTCGTTCGCTTAATGTAGCTTTTTCCGGTGAATTTCTCACCTCATCCTTTAAGCTTGAAGAGAAAGCAACGGCTGATTCTCTTGTGCTCTGAGTCCAGAAGAAGATTCATGTAGTGGAACCGATGGTTGCATAGACCCTTTATATTGAAACCGAAATTGTGAGTGATGACTATATCGGTGTTGGCGGACATATACTGCACGTCAACTTTATTGGTACAGCCTCTATGTTCAGCTTACTGTGTGCAACGAGGTATCTCAAAAGGCACTGCCCCTCCAAAGGGCCTTATGCATGACCACTAATTAAAGTTAACAGGAGCTTTTGTCTTTAATTTCCACTGATGAGCTGGTTGTTAGACATCATCAAAAAGTGAAAAGAAACGGCAGAGGGTTTTGTTTATTATTATTTTTTGTGATTCGCGCAAATGTCATTTTGCATGGTTTATTATTATTATTTTATTGTGTTTGGTTTACCCCCTTGTCGGGTTTGTCCTTTATTTTTTTGTATGTGTGTTTGTACTGCTTCTGTTACAACTTTCTGTATTTTGGTTGCACAGCCCAGTGTGTTTCTGCATGCTGCAGGTTTCACAGAAAAGCAAGAATTCAAATCACCGCCAGGGTGGCTCGTGCATGAGAAATAAACAGTACGAGCGAGCATCGGATGATCGCTTTTTCTGGCTTGAATGGTCCAATCACTGGCGATCCGTTCTACTATTATTATTTCCATAATGGATTCATTTGATGGATGATGGATTTTTTTTGCCGCTTTTAGACAGATATCGCAACGATGGGAAGATCGATGAACATCGTTGTTAGTGTAACGTGACCACGCGGGTAAAAAAGCATGGTAGACTACTTGCTTTTTTTTTTATACACTACGGATCGTTTTTATACTAAGCAAGCAGGTAAATAAGTGGTAAAGCATAAAAAAATGATGTTTTTATATAAAGTAAATAGTTGAATCGATGAATAGAAAAAAGGGATAAGAATGGGAAAATGAATAAGATGTAAATGATGAAAAATGAACGCTGCGCAAGCATTTATGTTACAAGATGAAATGGGAATACAGTGAAGAATTTTTACTGCTTTTTTTTCTTGTCCTTTTTTTTAGGTTCTTTTTTTTAGGTTCTTTTTTTTTCATCGATGATGGGGTTGTGGGGGATAGTGTTTGATGAAAAGGTATTAGAATGCAGGTTTTTCGGATACTGGGGTTTTTGGTATACCGGCAGGAGAGGCTGGTCGACTATTGGCAAGGGGACTGGGAGAGACGGAATGAATCATGCGTTTGCGTTTCTCTTTTTCTGCTACGACGCCTGGTGGTTCAGGGGTGACTACTACGAGATTATCTCGCTGGTGACTCTGGGAAGGCGGGACCAAGACATGATGAACGTGACGATGGCCAGGGTGAGACACATTGCAAACATCGATTTCTTGAACCCAGCTGTCGGCTAGCACGGTACTCAAAGTAGAGCGACGTTTAGGATCAATGTCGAGAATACCGGCCATGACCGGTCTTGCTTCGCGGGGTAAAACTTTCAACAACCTGAACTGCTGTTGATTCTGATTGGTAGCATAGGCGCGAAACGAGGGATCCGAGCAACGAGGATAACGCCAAGGGAAACGACGAATTGTCATGCAAACAAAGATAATACCGCATGACCATACATCTGACAGTCTTGGATCGTACGTGGGTTGGGTATATTGTTCGGGACCGATGTAAGGATCGGAGCCATAGATGCCTATGCCCAAGATGGAATAGAAGGGTAAAAGTGAGCCAACAATTTTAGGTTAAGCTTGACCCGAAGTCTTTCTTTTTTTTTTTTTTCTCCTTCCGCCATGGTGGCACAAGTGTTTCTCCTGTATAGCGTTCATATTGGGGAAAGAACGCTTACCTTTGGAAAATGTGACGGTATCTTCAAATGGGTATTTGAATACACTGGAGCATCCAAAATCGATGATTTTCAAGATGCCCATGTGATCGAGAACGAGATTATCAAGCTTGAGATCGCGATGAGCAATGCCCATACTGTGGAGATATTCTAAACCTTGCAGGAGCTGACGCCAACAGCATGCAATTTCTTCGCGCGACATCATACCACTCATGACGACGTTGAACAGATCATTGGGAGCATATTCCATGATTTCATAAAATTGCGGGCCCTCTTGAATGATGTCCAAGGTTTCGATGATATTGGGATGGTGTAATGTTGATCCAATACAAAATTCCGCCGTCACCTTTTTCACATAGTCCTTTTCGCTTTCGTGAGGCAACCGTTTGCGAAATTGTTTGACGGCAAATGTCTTTTGATCGGCTGAACGGCGTATCAAGCGGACCGATCCTCCTGCGCCCTTGCCGATGTAGCGTCCTATCGGATGAGAGAGTCCAGCTTCAATAACCCATGTTTTCCGAGTTTTCCCTAACAGTCCAAACAGAAAAAAGGGGAAAAAATTCCCTTTTTTTTCTGCTTTGCATAATGTCAAGAATAATTACCCCAAGTGCCATAACGACCGCCGATGTTTTGACGAAATTGGTTAGCAAAATTGTCAGATCGTTTCAACTCCTCTTCAGGAGTGCGTTGCTGAGAGGTGGAGGATGAAGAAGGAGAGGGGGCACGAGGAGGATGGGTGGATTCGGTTACAAAAAATCGGCGCAGATCGGACCATGCCAATAAGAAATCCTTGCGGTCCTGACTGGATTGACGGTGAAAGTGAGTCTGATGGTATTGGTGATCGTACTCCGGCTTTTTAAAGATGAACTGAGAAGGAGTGGAACAAGCGGTGCTGGCGGGACGGTGGGTGATTGGAGGGCGGGGATTGTTGCTGGGTAATTTGAAGGGAGATGGATTGGATTTGGTATTGGTTGGTTGCGGAGAACTGGAGGAGGACGAGGCCGAGGAGGTGGGTGAAGGCGGTTTGGAAGTTTGGAAAAGTTGAGAACGCGGTCTGGCCGGTTTGGCTTGAGCTTTCTGTAGGAGTCTGGACAGTTCGGTCAGATCCACCATGGACTGGTCGTAGGAGTGACGTTGCGGAACACTCGTTGCAGTGGTATGTGTGACAACTGCCGGTGACAGGGTGGGACTCGAAGGAGTGGACCTATCAGGCGTGATCAAACTGTACCGCTGCTGAAGATGGAGCATCCAAACGATGATATAGCAGAACGATGTAAAAGAAAAGGTATACAAATAAACAAAAGTAAAAGAAAGAAAAAGAGAAGAAGAAAAAAAAGAACAAACTGAGCAAAGAGGGTTTTTTAACTGGTACGATTTGAATGGTCGGTTTTTTTTTTTTCACACCACGCAAGTTGCCTTTTTTTTTTTTTCTGTTATCATCAGATGAAATAAACCGAGATAATCTGGTTTGGTGTCTTCCGGCTTAACTTTTTCTTTTCCCTTCAGGATAGTCTTTTTTTATCAAGTGTCAAGTAAACAATCCCTTTTGGAAAACATACAAAGTTCGATATTCTACCGATCTACCTACAAATCACTGCACAATAAAGAAGCACATCGAATATCCCCTTACAATTCCGCACCAGTTGCCATTGCGACTCCGCCTTTCGTTGGGAAATCCTCGTATTCCAATATCATGTCTTTTTTTCCCTCCCACCTTTTATATTTTATGGACATTCACTGTTAAACGTTCAAAGCAATTCAAAAGAGTAAGTCATTCATCTTACCAGGACTTGAAGCCCATAGCTTCATTGCCTTCGTGATGCCGCTGATCTTGGTTTATGAAAACCCAGTTGCTTTGTTCGGTACATTAGGCCGAGGCTCCCTCTTTCTCTGTTTTATTCTGCTTGCTTCTTACGACTTCCAACTCAATGTCATCATTCCTTCCAAGAACTTTCCATCTTATAAATGTGCATATACACATGTCATCATTGTTTTTTTTTTCTTTTTCATTCAGCCGCCAAATTGAGCACGTTTATTTTTTTCTTGTTGGTAGTCTAAAATGGTAACTATCAAAACACCAAACAGTAAAAACAAAACAAAACTGCGTCACATGCCGCTTCTTACACGCAGCACCTCCTTTTTTTCAATGAATACCAATGGATAAACGTCAATAAGAACAAATCTTTTGGCATAGAGCAATCCAATAACGCCAATGGCTTTGACATGTCAGGGGTCCCACCGTATTGATCCACGCTGTTCACTCCATTTTCATCCGCTCAGTGATGCCGTTGATCGTGAATTTTTCAATCCCTTTCTTTTCATGTTGCTCTTCAACGTACGTTATGTGTCCTTCTCCGTTGGTCTTCTGTTCGTGTTCCTTGTTCCTTACTTGCTTCCATTCACTGTGTATCGAAGCAAGCTGCGGTCGGATGAACGGATAAATTGAACGAAGATGAAACGTCGAGGAATACGAAAAATGGATCCGTTTCACGGATACTCCTTGGCATGGTTTCCGAAAGATTTAAAATATGTTTACATGGCTATCCATGTCCTTTCCACCATCCGCGGTGCATGATAAAGCGGCGTCAGAAAGAAAGGAGTCTTCTTTATTGGTTCCTGGTAGTCGGTGCTTTCGATGCATCTCCATCATGAGATATACTCCAAAATTCAAAGCGTCTCAGATTGCTTGCTGCACAAGCAATTTTTTGTGCACCTGTTCCACAAAACGAAAAAATTTCCAGGATACACACACAAAACACATTGTTATGAAGCATTTTCTGTTGACTGTCTTCAATTGTAATTAAATTTTCTCACCTGATACTCCACGACCCCGCTTGATCAGCTTATATTGCTCATGTCTTGCCTTGCCTTTCCAAACTACCGTTTCAAGTTATGCATTCATCCATGTGTATGCAAGTATCGATGATCTATTGTGGCTGAACTCGTACATTGGATTCCTTCAATAGTCGCCATGGATTTATATCATTTTTTCCAAGCACTTACCGTGAGCAATAAAAAAAAAAAACCTTGTCGCGCTGTTGAAAATTTTTAGTGTCCAGTTTGTGCGACCTGAAGAAGCGGCCGCCACGGCCGATCAAATGGCTCTAAGACTCATTGAGAAACAAAGATAAAAAAAAAGAGTTGGCTTGCTATTGTAAACTTCCCGCCTTGCCAAACTGGGGGTTCGTCTGTGTGTTTGCAGTCTCTGTAACTGTGCACTGTGCAACCCACCAACAAGAGCCTCGAACCCGGAAAAAAAAAGTGATCTCTGAGAATTGCTTTCAAACAAATCATCCATTGACTCGGTCGGCTGACGACACCTTATTGCCCGTCTTTCTTTTTTTGCATGTGATAAAGAAGTAATAATAAGTATTATTAAGATCGGTTTGAGAACAAAAGGGAAAAAGGAACAACGATGGTGTCTGCTTTTCTTGCCACCTAATCAATGCTCTAAAAGCATTCTTTTTTTGGGTTTCCCATTTTTGGTTTTTTGTACATTCTAAAAGAAAAGATAAGTCACCAAGAAAACCGCAAACGCCACCATCAACACCACTTGAGGTGGGTAACCTTCCACCGATTGAGGAGATTCGAGCGCAGCCAAGTGCTGATGCACTGCATCTGTGGACGGAACCGTCTTTTCCCCAGCACGACGTTCTCGCAAACCTCGCTGTTCCTGTTCCTGAGCCAATTCTTTTCGCAGTCTTTCCACCATGTCACGCGCTTCCTGGAGTTCTTTTGTCAATAAATCATGATCGCTCACTGGCGTCACTTTATCCGTCACAATGGGCTGGGCTTGCAGTGGCACATTGACAGCCTTTGGCACGTCGCTCACATCCTTTGGTTCACTCTTTGAAGGGTCAGTGACTATCGGTGTCTCTTGCACACTCCTCGGTGCCACGGACGGTGCCTTAGGTTCAGCTGCCACAGGTTGCACTTCTCTGGGTTTGGGTTGGGGTGGGGATTGGGGTTCAGCCACAAAGGAGGGTTGAGGTTCGGATACTGGGTTATTTGTTACAGGTGCAGGTTCATGAGATGTGGACGATGGAACAGTGGGAACTGGTACAGGAGCAGCGATCGTCGATGCCTTGCAAAAAAATTATGTCATTACCCATCAGCACATTGGTCTCCGATAAAAAATATATTCCAGCAGGATGAAACAAAAAAAGAAACAATGATGTACAGAAATTGCCAAGAGATGAATTACCTGTTGATGGCTCACGGGTGGTTCCTTGGTCTCTTGTTGTTCTTGGGTCGACGCGGGCAAGAACACGCATTTTATTTTATGTTGGTGGATGCCTTCCTTATTCTGCGCTTCCACACGAGACCACTAAGCATAATAAAAGTTTCATCAGCCAGTCCAGTTGTTCAAACCATTTGTGACAGACCCTCCTTTTATTCTTACCATTTCTCCCACTGGAAGATCCTCAAACTGTGGTTCAATAACAGCTGTTTGTACAAGAAACTTATCCTTGCATTTGAAGTCAGCCTCTGGTTCTTCCTTGAATGGCTGCAGGATGACTTTGGAGACCGGGTCAACAACATCTTACTAAATACCATGCACGCGTCATCTCCCTTACCTTGCACTTCCACTTCAGATTTTGGTTCAATTCGACCAGCATTAGGTCGAACAGAGTACTGTCTAGGTGCCGTTGTTTTGACTTTGAATGTTACAGGTTCTGAACCGGGATTCTTCACGGTCAGTATCTCTTTGGAGGAAATCGTCAAAGGACCTGATTGTTCCCCTTGCTCGTCAGTGACTGGCTACAATACTATTACACTTAGTAACCAAGACTTACGATGAAACGTCAATTGGGTAGATGGCTCTAGAATGACAGACATAATGGTAAAGAAATGAAAAGCAGAGGCAAGTGAGGAACCAAGACAAAAGGGGACAAGAGAAACGGGAAAAAAAAGGCGCATCTGCTTTGTTTCAAAAATATCTTGCCCCATCTCAGAATCACGTGCTTTCACACTGCGAATGAAAAAAAAGACGATCTATCCCAATCAAGCCCGTCAAAGTTTCTGCATGAATGGTTGAGAACCCGACCTTGTCAGTCGATTTTTTTGATCCAAAGTCTAATCGGATGCTCCTATAATGTTGAATTCATAAGTTTACTAAGAGCACATTACTGTGCAAGATGAATAACTTTTGACTGATAAAATGACCCGTTTTTATGCACCCAACCCTCAAAAGCATCACGTCGGTATTTGAAAAGTCATCTCATTGTCCTGAGGAATTTCTTTGTATTAAAAAACAAATCTTCCTTTCCTACCTGCCAAATCCCCCCCCCCCTCCCCACCCTTCCACTTGTTTAGTCTCTTACTGTTACAACGTCTTTATAATGGTTGTAACTCGCAGTCAGACCAAACACCTACGTGAACCAGATCCCGCTTCAACCATCGAAGACAATGGGCAGCGAGCAGCCGTTCCAAAAAAGCGGGCCCCGAAGGATCGAACTTGCGTGCGTAATTCTCGAAAGAGAGTAAAGAAGGCTGATTATATCTATGAAAAAGACCATCCGGGCCGTCTTCCGGCCGAAGTGTGGCACATCATTCTTGGGCACTTTAAGCCATCCGAAATCTTGCGGATGGCTTCCACATGTCGCGCGATGTATCTCGTCATTCGCAACATGCCCTTGTGGCAGAACATTGCCGCCACCGCCAAACTCGGCACCCCAAAGACAAAGTATAAGAATCACTATGAGTTGGTGGTGGCCAACCAGTTTCAAATTTGCGATGAATGTCACTGCAAGGGCCGCCCTCGTGGCACAGGGGGTTCGGTAGCGGTCTTAACGATCGCATCATCGGAAGGTCCACTGCGTTTGTGTCTGCGGTGTCGGCGTCACTATTACTCTTACCATCCTGAATTAATTGCTCAAGAGATCAGACAACTGAAGGACACATATGAAATCAAGAGCGACCGAACTGAGCCCCATGACTCTGATCCCACAACAGCTGGTTCGTCTGGATCGTCTGGATCGTCTGGATCAGCCAATGATAATGAACAGGCAAACCAAACCGTGGCCTCGACAAATGACTCTACCACGACTGTCGGATCCGTCAATACCAGCGGACTAGGAAACACAATCTCGCCTTCCACGACAGATTTACCAACAGCGGCTGGATCAACGAACGATAAGGCACACGTCGAACAAGCCATGTCTTCCACCACCGATACTTTGGCGACCACTTCATCAGCTAGTGGCAATGCACAAGTAAACCCAGCCATATCTTCTACGAACTGTTCTCCATCAATGGCTGCATCGGCTAATGACAATAACACTACTTCTGCCTATGTCGCTTCTTCTTCTACCGCCGCCGTCGCCTCTACGTCTGCCTCTCCCCCTTCTTCTACCTCCGCCGTCACCTCTACGTCTGCCTCTGCTCCTTCTTCTACCTCCGCTGTCGTCTCTACGTCTGCCTCTGCCGCTTCTTCTTCCACCTCTGCCGACGTCTCTGCCTCTGCTTCTACCACTGCCACTAACTCCAGCGTCGTCAAATCTCTTCATCTGTCTATTGTTGATCATCTTCGCTACGACAGCAAACGTATCACCAAGTCCACTGCCACATCTGTTTACCGTTTGCGCGAGATAGACTTGAGAGGTCTCCATTTCGATGCCGTCCGAAATCCTCACTATCGCGGAGCTGCGCCCATGTGTCTGTATGAAGCTTACGATGTCATCATACGTGCTCTGGAAATTCATGGAGGCTTAGTGGGTCTCAGTGCGGCTGCGGAAAGTTCATCTCGCCGAAGTGAAAAGATTCGGGAGACCAGAAAGAAACGCGGAACCAAAAACCGTAAAAGTTACTTCTATCGTGATTATGATGACGACAGCGACTTTGATGATTACTATCATCGCTATGACTATTATCATCGCTATTGGTAACTTTTGCAGTCCAGAGAAATGGAGTATCTCGAGTATGAAGCTGAACATTATGGACTTTGATTGATAATATTGCATTCGCTCTTTTTAACTTTTTTCTTGCCATAGTCCCTTTTCTTTTGCTTTTCTCTTGCGTCATTTGCAGTTACCCAGCCATAAATCTATGTATATCAAGCACATCCGAAATAAACCTTTCTCATGCATGGCTTATATTCTATAGGTTGGCAGTCAATCGATCGATTGATTATTTATTCGTTCATTCATTCATTCAACATGTCGATATCTTTGTTACTGTAGATCGTCACCTGCGACCCACTTTCGCTGGTCGCCTTCTTCTTATCAATCAATCCTTGCAATTTTGGATCGTCATTCGCTACTTTGCGCATAGCTCGTGCTACTGCGCCTACTTGAGCAGCCATATGAAGCCCCAGGGTTCGATTGATGGGCGAAAAGATGGTGGCAAAGATGGTTTCGGCAAATCGCGGACGGCTGCGAGGCTCTTCGAGTTCTAGCAAGCCAGGCCGGAAGATCGATACACGCTGAAATCCAAGATTAGATAACCGGTCCTCCGTCTCACCCTTTGTCTGAATGTATAGGAAGAGCGAGTTTTTGTTTGCAGACTAGAAAAAAAAAGAGTGATAAGGACGTTGGATCTCTTGGGACGATGACTGGTGCCTTTTTTTTTCTCATTCATACCGCTGATGAACAGTACAGGAAATGGATGGGAGAAACGGTCTCGCCTTGTGTCTTTGCAGGATTCTCTTCAGCGATAATTTTAGCTGAATTTACCACGTAACCTTGATCAATCTTTTTAAATTGCGCAGCTCCACCAGCATCAGCACGCGTTGTACCCAAGCAGCAATAAACGTCACTGTACCATGGCACGCGTATCAGTCATGACGATTTTCACTCGTTTCCCTTGACGCAATCAACTACTTACTTTACTCCACGAAAAGCTTCACGATGTTGCTCCAAGTTTTCGAAATCAACGGTTTTCTGCACCTGTATAACCACCCACGCATTAGATACCCGAATGAGCACAGCATCTACTGTACCATATCATACCAGTTTCTCTTGCGGAATGTCGTTGCTTAACTCCGCGGCGCGTCGGCCTACAATCACCACCTTGGCATAGGTGCTGTTCAGCAAAAGATCCTTCAATACCGCTTTGCCCACAGCTCCTACAGTGATGCTGTTAAACCGTGCTCCTCATCGTCATCGTCGATAACCTGAAAAAGTTCCCCAAACGGTCCATAACTTGCCTGTAGCTCCCATGACCAGAGCAATACGCATGGTCTCGTTCGTTTCACTCATTGATAGTTGATAAAAAATGCAAAAGAAACAGCCTAAGCGCTTTCCGCAGGAAATTTCAGTCGCTGCGAAGCATGTGAAAAATGCCCCTCGCCTTTATTTCGGAAAGCGCTCACTCCTGAGACTTTTTTTTTTTCTTCCCATAGCGCGTCCAATGGATCGACACATCGTTACTCTGCCTGAAGGACAAGAACATGATGATTGATGCAGTTTATTTACAGTTCACAGGGAGATAAGTATAAAAAAAATGTCTAAAAAGTATTGGTGCCAAGTTCCGGAAGTCGTTCGATAACGTATTTACGACCTGAGATATACATAATGGGAATACCCGGAACTTTACGAATACGTCGTTTCAAGTCACGATCGCAAGTGGCCACAATGTAGCATTTATGTTGCATGATACGCTGAACCAAGCAGTCATCAGCATAGGTACCCTTGTGCGAGCACGGCAACCGTTCGAATCGAGGATCTCGCGCAATTCTGTGAAAATGAAAACATTCAATGTCAGCCGTCCATGGTTTTTTGTCATCCATTCTTTCTCACTTCAATCTATAGACAACTTACTTTAACGCAATACGATACTTTGGACCCAGTTTTTCCAATTCAGCCATCACACAATCGGTAATACAAGGAATAGCTGCCATTCACTCATTAGTCTTTTTCTGATCAACTCAGATCTCCCGATTCAGTTCTGGAACTTACATTTCGCATACAAGCAATCCATCATGGACTTTACCAATTCCAGTTTGTTCTGAATGGAGAAATTGATAAAATTGGTATCGACAAGTACATGATAAGGAGGACCGAGAGCGGAATTATACTGGAAAAACATGGACGAAGCAACCTGAGGACTGTACAAAAAGCCCAAAAATTTGAGTAAAAGCCCTACCATGGAATCAGGAAAGAAAAACAGGTACTTACAGTTGACGAACCACTGCCTTTTCCTTTTCCTCTTCCTTCTTTTTCTGCTTTTCTTTATTTTCCTTCCTGTAATGCAAAAGAGAAGAAAAAAAGGCACAATTATCGGTGAGTAACGAGTCGGCTTTGTTGTCATGAATCATAAATACACTTACAATCTCGCATCTTTGGTACTGATCATACGCTTGACTTCAGCGAACTTTCTTGTTTTTCTTGCTTTTCCCTAAAGTAAAATAGATTATTGATATGTTCTGCAACAAGTCAATGATTCAATTCTTACCATGATCGATGAATAGACAGATGGAAAGAAAATTACCACTTGTCACTTTGTGCATTTTTGGGTTTCGAAATTTGAAAATGGTGAAAAAATGTGACGGCTTATTCTGTGACCTGAAACCTATATTTGGTAATTGTTCGTTTTTGTGATTAAACCATTTTTTTTCCTGCCAAAACTTGGTCAACGTCTTGGCCCACTCTACGATTTAGCAAAGACATGCGAACATACCATGCGCTGCGATCAGCCTTGGATTATCGTATTGTAGCTCGTTGTTCTACGACAAAGGCTCGGGCATCACTGCTGACGCTCCCTCACGGGCCCGTGAACACACCTGTTTTTATGCCTGTCGGCACGCAAGGTACTTTGAAAGGGTTGACGCCTTCCCAAATTAGGGAACTCGGCTGTCAGATCATGCTCAATAATACCTATCACTTGGTAAACTATTACACACTCTATATTTGGTTGCTCGTTTCATTGGATCTGATTTTTGATATAGGGTCTGAAACCCGGACAAGAGACTCTGGATAAAGTGGGTGGCGCTCATCGTTTTCAATCCTGGAATCGCAATCTTCTTACAGTAAGACATGCCTTAGTAGCCCATCGTCACTTTTCGGCGTTATCAATGTTTCTTGTGTATTTAGGATAGCGGTGGATTTCAGATGGTGTCGTTGCTTAAACTAGCTAAAGTGACCGAGGTAAAGGAGGGGAGGGACGATACGGGAGACAAGCCGGAACCAAAAAGACTGAACGAAATTACCGTATAGGAAGGGGTTCAATTTGCTTCTCCGCATGACGGTTCCCTTATGATGCTCACGCCAGAACACTCTATATCATTGCAAAATTCGATTGGCGCAGATATCATCATGCAGTTGGATGATGTTATTTCGTCGTTGGTGCGGGGTCCTCGCGTAGAAGAAGCCATGAAACGGTCCATCCGTTGGCTCGATCGATGTATCGCGGCTCATCAATACCCTGATCGCCAGAATCTACTTCCGATCATTCAAGGCGGGTTAGACAGCGATCTCCGTGCCTACTGTGTCAAAGAAATGGTCAAGCGGGATATGCCCGGTTATGCTATTGGTGGTTTGAGTGGAGGTGAAGAAAAAGAAGCCTTTTGGAAAATGTAAGTCAAAAAAAGAACGAAAATCATTTTATTGTTTTAGTCGATAACACTAACAGCTGACGATTCTTCTATAAAATATAGCGTCCATTTGTGTACGGATCTGCTTCCAAGCAATAAACCCATTTACTGTATGGGGGTCGGGTAGGTATCCGGTCATTGCATTGGCGAGAAAATTTGAGCGTGTGCTGACTGACGATACTTGATTTTCTTGCTAGTTATGCTGTGGATCTGGTGGTATGTGTCGCTCTAGGTGTTGATATGTTTGATTGTGTATTCCCGACGCGAACAGCAGTAAGTCCTCAAAGCAAGTTTTACAATTGAGTCATCCGACGCAATACTCATACTTGAATCATCCATTGATTTTTACAGCGCTTTGGTAATGCCTTGACAATGGACGGTGTGGTACGCTTACGGGCTGGTAAATATGCCTCGGACTTTGGTCCTATCGAGGAAGGATGCGATTGTCCTACATGTCGGCAATACACACGATCATACGTTCATTTGACCGCTTCAGCCAAGGACACGGTAGGCTGTCATTTGATTTCTGTCCACAACACGGCTTTTCAACTTCGCCTTATGAAGGAAATGCGATGTGCTATTGCTGAGGATACGTTTCCACAGTGGATCCATCAATTTTTCTCAAGGTACTATGGCACACCGGATCGATACCCATTGTGGGCAGTTCATGCCCTGAATGCTGTCGGAGTGCAGCTCATGCATTGAGCTCCGATCATTTGTGACTTGTAAATAATTATGTGGCTTCATGAATTTGAGGGCACCGACAGCGAATAAAAAAAAAAAAAAGGATCGAGTAGCAGGATTCGTTAAAGGTCCCCATTTCAATTTTTTTTTTTTTTTTTTGCTTTTCAGTCTTTCCTTTCATCATGGGCAAACGTAACCGAGCTGCTTTGTTGCCGACGCATTTACCTCAATTGCAAAACTTGATCAAGCGTGATCCCAAGTCCTATGAAGCCGAATTCTTGCAGCAATATCGACACTTTCAATCGATGTTGTCGATCTTTTGTTTGAAACCCGACGAGGAAAGCAAAGAACTGGCAGAATTGGTCACCTTTATGAGCCAAGTATGCAGTTGTTATCCAAAAGAAACCGAGAATTTCCCGCAACAGCTCGTCGATCTACTCAAGGAATACTGTACTGTGCTTCATCCCGAAGTGCGTCGAAGCTTAGTGCAAGCTCTCATTCTTTTGCGCAACAAAAACGTTCTTGATAATACCCGGTATGAAATTAGTACAGCTATAATTATCCTATACTCAAATGCTGACATGGGTTGATTTTGTATAGACTTCTTCCTCTGTTTTTCACCTTGTTCAAGTGCAGAGATAAGCAACTGCGCGAATTGTTGTATAACCATATCGTCAACGATATCAAAAACTCCAATGCGAAAGCAAAGAACAACAAGCTCAACAAAACCCTTCAATCGTACATGTTTACCATGCTGGAATCTTGCAAAACTGGTAACAGTGAGGAGAACAAAATCGCAGCCAAGAAAAGTGTCGACGTTTGTATCGATCTGTACCACAAAAACATTTGGTAAGTTAAGAAGAGGGGAAAAACTAATGGCCGTAGCTCCATTTGACTCATGATGTGTTTCACGTAAATTAGGAACGATGCCAAAACTGTCAACGTGATTGCCGAAGCTTGTTTTTCGCCTGTACCCAAGATCGCCGTGACCGCCATCAAATTCTTTTTGAATCACAACGAACAGGAAGAGGAAGAAGACGAGGACGATGATATACCGGATCTCAAGAAAATGCAACAAGCCAATCTTCATAACAAAAAGACAAAATCAAAAGCACGCAAAATGGAAGCGGCAATGAAAAAGGTCAAGCGAAAGAGCAAAAGCAAGGGCAAGGCCGAATCCTTCAACTTCTCGGCTCTGCACTTACTCAATGACCCTCAAGGTAAGGCGGACAGGACTCGGGGATGAACATAAAAAAAGGCGGTTTTGCTAAAGAACTTTGGATATAGGTTTTGCGGAGAAATTGTACTCAAAGTTGGCTTCCAAAGAGGATCGTTGGGAAATTCGCGTCATGAAGATGAATCTGGTTTCTCGTGTGATTGGTGTACATCAATTGACCTTGTTTGGCTTTTATCCTCTTCTTATCAAATATTTGCAACCCTCTCAGCGTGATGTGACCATGGTCTTGGTGGCGGCGGCACAAGCATCCCATGCCCTAGTGCCACCGGATGTACTGGAACCGGTCTTGAAAGCCATTGCGAATCAGTTCATCACCGATCGTGTGTCCAACGAAGTCATGGCCGTCGGGTAAGTTACTGCTTGTCATTGAGCTGCGCTTTTGATGGCTGATGTCTAACCCGTTTATTTTTTATTTTTTTATTTCTGTGATTAGTCTCAATGGCATCCGTGAAATCTGTGTTCGTCAACCGTTGGCGATGGACGCCACCTTGCTGCAAGACTTGGCCCAATACAAGAACCATCGTGACAAGGGCGTGATGATTGGTGCTCGATCCCTCATTGCTCTGTTCCGAGAAATCAACCCTGAACTTCTTGCTCGTAAGGACCGTGGTAAATCCGCTTCCATGCGCATGAAAGATGGTTCCATCAAATCATTCCAGTTTGGCGAAGCTGGTACCATGGGTATTGATGGTCTCCAGGATATCGAGTTACTTGAAGAAGAAGGTCAGGAAGCCGAGGCTGGCGAAGATGACGGATGGGAAGGCTGGGAAGTCGATGAAAGCAGTGACAGTGACAGCGACGACGGCTGGATTGATGTGCCCGATGATGATACCGGCAAATATCTTGATATTCCCATGAGCGATGATGAAAAGGAAGAGAACAAGACCGAAGACGGAGAACAGAAACCCAAGACGCGACGCATTGGCAAACGTCAATTGCGCAAGATGCAGCAAGCGGACGAACGTGAAGAGTTGACAGAGGAAGAGAAATTGAAGCTGAAAGCCGAAGCCGAAGCGCGACGTGCTGAGGAAGCCAAGAAGCAAGAAGCAGCACTTAAACTGGCCACGTCTCGTATTCTTACCCCAGCTGATTTTGCTAAATTGAATGAACTCAAGATGAACAAGGAAGCCGAAGCGGTCGCCGGTATCAAACGCACAGCTGATGAAAAGTAAGTGATTTTTTGTGTATGCTTTTGTGTGGTGCTGCAGTGTGAACTGACAATGTGTGTCTAGGGAACAAGATGGACAAGTTGACGAAGGCACCATTCTTGGTCCTCGTAAGAAGACAAAGCAGGACTACGAAGCAAGAATGGCATCCATTCAAGAAGGCCGTGAAGGTCGTGAGAAGTTTGGTTCTCGCAAGGGCAAGAAGGAACGTGGCAGTACGACCAATCGCGAGAAATCGAGAAACAAGAATTTCATGATGATTGCCCACAAACGATCGGTGGTTTCCAAGTCCAAGCGCAGTTTATTCGACAAGCAGAAACAGTTGCGAGCCGCCATTACCAAGCAAAAGAAGATGAAGCATTAATGCGATTGGCCGCTGGCAGACATTTTCCATCATTTTTTTGGTTCATTTTTGACCGTTTTTTCCTTTTTAAAATGTATAAGAGCATCCAAAAATCTGTTCCATGTAACTCATTTGTCTCTGTTGACATTGTATACATAGTTCATCATCATTTTCAGTTATAGAATCACGATATAAAAGCATTTTCTAATCAAAAAATCCCTATTTTGCATCTTGAACCATCAAAGAGAAGAGGGCTGTCGATGGCTGCTGTGGAAAAGAATGGCTGCTCTTATTAGTGCAACTGTCTGGTTTGTCTGAGCGATGCAGCGCAGTGCAGATGGGGAAAAGCCCATGGCTTCCTCACATTATATAACAAAGGGTTCATGTTCACGAGCATGGAGTGAGAATCATCTTTCAGTTTTCTTGCAACTTGTTGAGCTGATCAAACTATTCGGAGGGTTCGTTTCGAAGCTTCTTCCCAGGTCGGGTCGCCTGGCCATTCTGCGCTGCCTTATGTCGTTCCGTGTCGGGATTTACTCTTCTCCGATCATGAGATAAATATCTATCACATCGGTCACCATCTCCTATATCCTGTTTTCATGCCTGTTATCGCTTTGGCAGTTTAAAATGTGATTCAAGAAATTGTTTGATGAGAAATGCATGTACGACGCGGTAAAATAGTAGAGCGTCAAGTTTCTCCAAGTTCCTGTGCGTAGACATTTCTTCAAAATACACCGAGCTAAAGCGTATCTTTGCCGAATCCATGGGCTTGCAAGTATCCAATTTCGTGTTGCATTGAATTGACAAATACCATGCATGAATTCTGTCTGCATCATCCGCATAGGTGTTGCTGCGATACGTCTGGTCACTCAAAACGAGCAGGCACGGTGCATGCTATTTTTTGCTATTTTTCGTGGATTTCGCGTCTCAATCGCTGTTGAATAATAACGTTGAATTTCGCGTTTAGTATGTCCATCAAAAAAATTTCATTTGCGTGTCATGATGACATGTTCAAAGCAATACTTTCTATCGTAACGGAACAGAGTTTAGCGCCCAAAAACATGTTACGTCCAACCAACCCAGTCCGACTTCTGGTGGTAAGTCTGTTTCCGCGGGTGTCTCTGCCGTGGCATTGGCAGTTCTACGTGTAATAGATAATTCGGTGTTCTTTAATCTGGATCTCCAACTTTTCATAGAACGGGTTTGGTCTTGGTTTTGTTACTGCAATAGCTCGACGGCAGAAGGTTATTTTTATTCTACGGTTACGCTGTGTTTCATGTCCTTCGTGTCAGGCGAATCAAAAAGTCGGAATTTGAAAAATTGTGTACTAGATGGGGAATTCAAAAAGTCAAGCACAGCATGATGACGCAACTGTGATTGCAGCCAAATCGTCCGATAACCAAATCACGCAACGACGTGATATGCCCAATGTACGCGTGATATTATCAAGCTGGGAACATGGATATGGTGGTTTATACAGTTTATGATCCCTTTAACATATTTGGGCTACAAGTCATAGGAAAAAAGATGTGTCATGAAGTGAGAAAAAAAAATTCACCCCAGTAAAAAAAAAAGAGGGTTCTGAGGTGGATCACACGGTAACGGTGTGGTTTTTTTGAAATGCCGCCATTTGGTTTGCCCCACCCCAGAAATAAACACCCTTTCATTTGCCCTGGTCGTTTTCTTTTTCACTTTCTCTTTTTAACCCAAACACAACCCTAATTGAAGGTACGTCTTTTTTTTGCGTCCTGTAGTACAAATTATCTCTACACAACCATGCTGACTCGTTATGCTGTATAGATGTCTGTCCCTGGTAAGTTCATCCTACTTTGGTGAAGTGAATACATGAATAGGTTTCCCTTAATCGATACCGTTTACAGTTGCTTTCAACGATATCGGCAAGCCCGCCAAGGATCTTTTGACCAAGGATTACCCCGTCGGTGGTGTCAAGCTCGAAGTCAAGACCACCGCTCCCAACGGTGTGGTAAGTTTCTTTTTTCTAGGAAGGGAGAGGGGATGGCAGGGAGTATGGCAGGAAGAGTTATACTAATCATTGAGCGGTTACTATGTGCAGACTTTCAAGGTCAACGGTCAGAGAGACAACAAGACTGGCATCATCGTTGGTGATCTTGAGACCAAGTATGCCGACAAGGCTAAGGGTATCACCTTCACTGAAGCTTGGACCACCTCCAACCACTTGAACGGCAAGATTGAACTTGAGAACAACCTTGCTAGTAAGTTTCGATTTCCCTAACACACCTGCTGATCAAGTGAACATGGATGGGATGTGCTGATGTACCCTTTTTCTTTATCACCACTTTTAATAGAGGGTCTTAAGCTCGAATTGTTGACTTCCCTTTTGCCCTCTGTCAACGAAAAGGCTGCCAAGATCAACGCCACCTACAAGAAGCCCAACAGCCACACCGTTGCCACTCTTGATATCTTCAAGGTAAATCAACAAACAACCATAGCTTATCGTCCTCTCACGTGAACTGGTAAACTAATGAATACGATGTTTGTTGTTGTAGACCCACTTCAGCGTCAACTCTGTTGTCGGTCAGCAAGGTTTCCTCGTTGGTGGTGAAGTTGCCTACAACGTTCTCGATGGCAAGGTAAATGATCCAGCATTGGCAAATCAAAGAAAGAAAAATGCTAGTCGGAAAAACATCAGTCAGTTGATTCCTTAACTATTGCCTTTAATAGATCAGCCGCTATAACGCTGCCATTGGCTACTCTGCCCGTGAATACGGTGTTGCTATCCACGCCACCAACAACTTGAGCCACTATGCTGCCTCTTACTACCATCGTGTCAACAGCGATCTCGAGGCTTCCGGTAAGGCTGCCTGGGACTCCAACGGCTCCAACGCTGTTGCCCTCGAAGTCGGTGCCAAGCTCCAGTTGGACCCCTCTGCTTTCGTCAAGGGTAAGATCTCCAACTCTGGTGTCCTCGGTGTCGCGTAAGTATTTCTTTCTTCATTGTTCTGCTTATTTATAACTGTTTGGTGGTTCTTGAATTCAACGTACTTACGGTTCTTTTTTTTTCCAACTCCAGTTATACCCAGGCTCTCCGCCCTGGTGTCAAGATCAACCTTGGTGCTTCCATTGATACTACTCGTCTCAATGAGAACGCTCACAAGCTCGGTCTCTCTTTCACTTTGGAAAACTAAACTGCTTATGTCGTTATCTAGAAGTAGAAAAGGCATCTTTAAGGAAAAGGCTTTGTGGGGTTTCCTCTCGTTCCCTTTGCTTATGCTTTGTTTAAATGAATCTTACTCTAAATATATGCCACTTTACTCCTTAACTTTATTTGAAGATCTTTGATTTACTCTCAGTCATCAGATTTCTCGTTAAATGGATCCCGAGTATTCTTACTCTGATGAAAAAAACATTTGTTTGCTTTGCAGAAACTCGCACGTCAGATAGGGTTGGACAAGATCGAAATTCTTCGGTGTCATATGAGCGGCTTTGTGATACCCAGTTATAAAATGCCACAGACAGAAGATCAGGCGCAATAAATTCAATGTCCTGTCGGAACCTGGGGATACCATCTTACTGCTTCCAGAACTATTCGGTATCATTGTCCTTTAGTCAGCACTTAACATTCTCCACGTACGATACGATGATCTATTTGTGGTCTATTTGGCATCTGCAGTTGAAAGATCCCTGGGAGTATGATAGACTATTAAATAATAAGCGCCAACAGGATACAGGTACGAGTATTTGGCGGCAAACATAAACAGACCGACTTTGGGTTTGCGCAGAAGCTGTATGAGCGAAGTAAGATTCCTTGAGCTATCGAGCTAACTAGATCATTTCCCAATAAAAAATTACTAAATTTTCGCTGATCTCTCCGGATGCGTTCCGTGCCTATATCAATGTGATTTGTTGGAAGAAACAACAAATAACGATCAAGACGAGAAGCATCCGGCTAATCGAGCTTCGCGCGGATTCCGGAGTGGTCTACTGTGTTGGCTCGAATACGATTAATGCGATAGCTAATCGAACAGATTAGTAAAACGACACCGGCGCGTTACTAATGCGGAAAGGAAAAAAAAGAAGTCCCTGACAATTATTGCCATCCTGGGATATGAGCATTATTGCAGTAATGCAATCCTTTTTATCCTCCTCAATCTGCTAGCTTTGTTACGTCTCTTTCGCATTTGCTTGAATCGATACGTGAAAGCTTTTGGTAGCGCTGTCATCGTCTCAGTTGTGAATCGTTCCCTTTTTTATGTTTTCTAGCCGCCTATTTCAAACAATGAGAGCGATTATCTGATCCGCTTGGGCGGTCGTTATTCAATTAAAGCGATTGCAGCATTGGTAAGCATCCAGTTACATTTTGATCTAATTCTTTTTTTTTTTTTCATCTCCTATATGATCTGCCGAAAGCATCGGCCTGGTTTGGCCAAGCCTTGAGTAAATTTACTTCCACATATTGATCCAAGGTTCGTCATTTTACCACTTGCCTGCCACAGCACTTGTAGGCCGAATTGTAATTCGTTCCTGCACCTCATTTCTCTTCAAACTTCCTGTCTGACCATTTTAACAGTTAGCAGAAATATAATTCCAGTTTTCTAGGTCTCTCTCTTTCTTTTCTCTTCTTTTCTGATTCTCCATTATCCTAAGCTTAACAAGTTTATCTGTCACCAGTACAACATGGATTTCACAGAAACCATGCACAAAACACGTTCACAAAACTTTTTGATATTGTTTGTCTCTGGCACGACGTTCATCAAGCAACAAGACACGACAATAAACGTCTGTAGTGGTAGATTTTTAGATGCCATCATTATTGTTGAATCTGTTCACCAAACGAACACCGACGCGTATCAATTAGATTTGTGCCGACGTCATACAGAAGCATACTACCTTCTTAACAAGCTGCCTAACAATCATTCACCGCCATGACCATACTGCCCATCCTTTTTGGTAGCATAATTTGCCCGTCCTCTTCTCTTCTTGCTTGACCTCGATACAATCATTCATCCAGAGGTTGATTTGCTCCACTTTCCTTCTCTTCTTCCTGCCACTTACTACATTGGCTTATCCCATCAAATGACACAGACTAACCTGGCGTTATTTTCTTTTCTTTCTTTTACTTTCTCCTCCTTCTTCCTTTTTATGCCTTCTAGCCACTCCAAATTTTCAAGGCGTTTCCGCCTTCGTTGTCCTTGGTGGTTCTTCTGTAGAAAGCTTCTTTTCTTTCCTTTTTTTTTTTGTTTTCTCGAGCAAAACGGACGAGTGTTCACTCGCCCTCTATCCAAAAAGGAATTCCCCCCGTTGGTTTGCTCATGGCCTGGGGCAAAAAAAACCGACGCGTCAAAAGAACCAAAAAGATAAGAAAAAAAGCGCAGACAAAGCTGTCAAAAGAATTGCTCACTACAGGGGTCGAACCTGTGACCTTGGCGTTATTAGCACCACGCTCTAACCAACTGAGCTAAGCGAGCTTTTTATGGAAAAAGCAAAATTTGCTATATGGCGCTTTGGAAAGTGACTGCGATTTTGTGACGGTGATGGTCACGTTTCGACGCTCTGATTGGATGTCGATATAATCACCTTCCATATACAGGAGGCGGTTGTTGAATGGAGGGGTGTTTAAAAAATGTGATTTTGCAGAACTTTATTTTTCTCTAGTCGCGTGTTGTTGATCAGTTCTCGATGCAGTAGCTTTATAGATAACAAGCCGTACTTCCGCTGTGCAACAGATGCTGCCTGCCACCGGAGGCTGCCCTCTTACATTGAGCGACTTTCGTCAGACAAAAAGCCTAACGCATACACGGCATAACCCGGGCGAGAACTCTAGAAGGGCTTTGGTATATTAATGACAACCTTATGGCAATACCATGCAACGTGAGTTGTTTCTGAACACGCGCAAGGCAGCACTGGTCCCCCCCCTCAGTTCCATCCCGCCATTCGATTCATTGAAAATTGAAAGAAAATGAAAGACATATACAGTATAACTGACAAAAATAAATAAATTGAATGATGCTACAGAAAAACGCCAGATCGTATCATCAACCACTTTTCTTCAAAAAGAGCTCTACTCACATTTCTATTCGAAAGACGACAATGCTCTGTTTGACCATAAATAGCGCAAACGGCACCTTGTTGCTGATTGTTTCGCCTATTACCGTGGAAGTGGGTAGCGAGGCATGGTTGAAAGATAAAAAAAAAGGTGCAAAAAGAATTAACATGTCCTGATAACTTGGTGTAGATCATGTGATTTACAAAACCGCTAATTTCCCAAGTGATTATGTAGATTGCTGATGACTCTGCTATTTTTTTTGTTAGCGTAATATAGGTGTAAATGTATTCGTAGATGCGAAATATCGGCATTATGGAAGATGTAGACGTACCCCTTCGCTTCCGGTTTTTTGGGGATTAAATGCAAATACGCGCAGCATATTAAAATTGATTAGCAAGCTTAGAGGTACTCGTTTGTCCTTTCTTTAAAAGAAAAATGCCAAGTGCAATTGCCGCACTGTTGATTTGATTACTTTTAAAATTTATTTTGGCATTCGTAAGCTGTAACGTCTCGAAAGGAAATATTGAACAGTTCCCGATTAGCTACTCTGTCTGCTCGATCCACTGTGCGTACTCGAGTTGGAAGTTGTTGCTTGACGTCTGAGCGAATCGGGCGGCGATCTACTTTGAGCTAGTCGTTTACTTGCAGCGGCTAAAAAATAAAAAGAAAAATGATCAGTGTCACAGAACTTTTGACGCGTAAACAGCGAAGTGGTTCAGTGTTTACCTTTACTGGCAGCGGCTGCTTTGTCCAGTTTGGCAATGACGGTTTCTAACTGTTTGAACCATTCGTCTTGATCTTGTTGACTCGACGTCGGTAGAATGTGAATGGTAGGCGAACCCATAAATGTCGAATTCAGGGTGTCGATGCCTTGGAAAGAAGACGTAATTTCGATGCAATGGGGTTGACCATCATCGGTTTCTTCGGGAGCCAGTTTACGAATGCGGGCGCGCTCGAGAGAAATATGCGTTTTATAGTGTAAGACGGGTTTCCCTTCTTCCTGCTTGGGCCGCACAATCACCAGAATGTCGGAAAATAAAATATAAGCACGCTCCTCGGGACCTGGTTTTGAATGATGTCCAACCACGGCCGTTTGACCCTGTAACACAAGCCGTCGCTGAGCTTTCACACTAAACGGCACCCCAACAATCGTTTGATGAAGCATCATCACTTGATCCACGTTGTCTGCATCGGTCATTCTATTAAAAGAAAAATGCACACATCATTGATGAATTCTGCTTAATGATCATGCGGCCCGATATACTTGGATATATATCCATCTTTTTTTCTCAGCCTTACTTTGGTTTGATTTCGTCCGAGAGAGCGAGAAATTTCTGTTTGCATTTCTGTAAACCGATGTAATCTGGATGCATGGGGGAAGTGGCGTCGGCGAGCTTACTCATCAAGACTGCATAACGATTGATAGAGGTGATCGGAAGTTGAAGTAAGGACAGTAAAGTCGCGCCTCTGAGTGCCTTGTCTTTGTGAGCTGCCTATATTCGGTAATGAGAACGTGGTAAAAATAATAAATTGGATGTGCCACCCTACGTCGACAAATTTTTTGAAAGGCTGATATCGTGACAATCGTTCATACGTCGTTACCGAAACGTCGTAATGATCCAGGTAGGTATGATACGCATTCAAACGAGGAATCTATTTAGGGATCATTGTTATGGATACATCAGGAAATTCAGTCATCGATGTATTCAAAAATTTTAAACTAGATAAAAAAACTTACCCACGTATGAAACACATCCGATATAATTTGGGTGGGTCCCCAAATACGGAGACTACGTGCAGAAAACAGATGAAGGGCGGTCTGACATGAGGAAACCGTAATCTCTCTTCAGTCGATCATGAATTATTTGAGGTATCTTACCGATCTTCGAGGGAACGCAAGATATCGTGATGGATTTGTACAATCTCGTCAAAATTAATGAATAGCCAGCGCAGTTCTTTCTCAGTACATGCTAATTTTTTCATCCCAAGAAAATTAAAGGATGATTTCTTCAGATCTTTGCGTAAAGGCGACAAGAAAATCCGGTCTGTAATATCGAGCGATTCCACATAAGCTTGCTCGGATGTAAATAATTGATGAACCAGTGATTCTCGATTTCGGTGCACACGTTCTTGGTCTAAATAGGACACAGAAAAATGATGAAATGTTCAGCCATGATCGGATAATCGCATACGGTCGCATGTCAATCTTCGGTGGACTTGTGATCGGGGTGCGACATGGGACAAGATATGGGCGTCGGTGGGAAAACGTACCAATTAGTGCATGATCCACGTCATCATAATCCAATGTGTCAATAATATCGAATTGTGTATCGTTGTAATGATCAAAGCCGGACGTATAAGGTGTATCGTTGGTAAAATCCGTGATACTGGTCATATCGCTGGGATACCTTACACTGTAACTGGCTTGGCTACTGGTTTGACTGGATGCACTACTGATACTATTCATTCGAAGGTCTGAATTGGCTCGTCCTGAAACTTTCGGGCGTAAATGGCCATTATCGTCGATACTGCGCGCCATGACCAAGTTGCGAGGACCTTTTTTTCTTGGTCCGACGGAGGAATAATAAAAAGAAAGGAGAGTAAAATAAAAAAAGAAGAAAAAAAGAAGAACGAAAAGAAACCGGTGAGAAGAAAAACAGGACCAGAAAATCGTTAATGAATGAGTTTCTTTTTTTTTTTTTTTTTTTTTTAGAAGCAGGGATCGTCGTCACAGGGTCTATTTTTCACCTCCAAAAAAATTTAAAGTTTTCGAATGGCATGGCACAGGCAACACAATACGGACAGGAAAGAAGTTCACTTGTTCAGAGGAATAGCTGATACTCAATCAGGTTAAAACTGAGAAACAAAATTTTCTCGGCACTTCATTTTTCTGTTCACCAAAAAACCAAAGAAACAATCGTCGGGCATCTCTTTTTTTTTTGGCCCAACGGAAGGCCAGTCGTTAAAACTCAGTAGTCATTTCTAGGCTTCACCATCCCATTGGGCCCGAGCCATTTTTGAATCCTGGATTTTCAGGAAGCATTTCAAAAGAGTATCCGAAAAAATCCAATGTTTTATTCATTTCAAATCTGCAGAATCCGTCATTACAATGTAACGCAACCCTGTCTTTTTAGAGTTTGCTCAATGGTAAACCTTATCAGGGGGTCCTATCTATTGGTCAAAAGGATGCATCGCACAAATCATCCTTGAAATGAAATCCCGCTCCAGCACACCTTCCCGCGACCCATCAACTAGAAATGGGAACGTTCCATTCTGATATTGGGTCGAGGAACACATTGCGTTACAAGTCCGCATCTGTACCATGTGACAACTTTTGAAAGTGACAATAAACACACTAAGCTTCAAAAGACAATTCTTAATTATGTGTTTGGAAAACCCTTCTTTCCCCTTCTTCTTACCAAGTGGCTTTTCCCACCGATGACAAGGTTTCCTTTCAGGCAGTGTATTGTTCAAAAGATCGAAATATCACCTGACATTTTCGCCACGCGTCTTTTGAATCAAATCGAGTTATTTTTCCCTCAAAAGAAATAACTCATGAGCCCGCCTTTCAAAAAGCATGTGCCGCAGGTGTCAGAAAAAAAAAGCATTTCGTTTCGAAACGGAAACGTATCACAGCATTGCTGTTGTCACGGCAAAATCAGTGTAATAAACTACATTGTTCAAAAATTTCTTGCCACTTTCTTTAGAGCAACATCTACAAATATGATGACAAACCGATGCCATCGAAAAGATCCCATGTTTCGCCAGAGAAATAGTGAATAATACTTGAAAGAGGTTTTTGAATGATGTGACAAGGAGCCACCTTTGCTTAGCGACCACTATGGATCAAGGATAAAGTTCAACCCCGAGGGGACATTGAACGTGCACGTCATCTTTAGGATACCGAGTCAAATGTTTGCTGCAAAAATGGCAGATTGTAAGGGCTTTTGCCTTTTTGTTTCTTTAATGACACACACATCAATCCTGATACTGTTGGATTCCAAATACAGGGCCAAATACAGAGAAGATATAGTATAAGCGTGTTGAGATGGAATTCTATCAACGGTTTATCAGCTCCAATCGCTCTGACTGTTCCTGAGGGAGAAAAAGTCCGCGTTGCTGCGGAGAAGGCGAATCTATCCAGGCACTTGAAAAAGACGGATTCGACAGACGGAAATAGCCGTGCCTAGTTTTGTGGCTTTTTTATGCGACTGATTCTGCGATAGATGTTGCCCATGATGCCAAAGCATGCATTGATGCGAGTGTTTATGTCACCCTATAAATTTTTGGGTTGACTCTTACTTTGATCAAGATTGGCGCAATCTGGGTACTATTTTTTTTCCCGTCATCGGTAATGTCAAAGAGCCCATGTTTTCGTCCTGCTCGATTAGGCAAACTGGTCAAGTTGCCACAGCATAACCTTTTTGGACCGTATCTCCGATCCCGAATTTCCTTCCCAAACTGTTTTGCATGGTTCCATATTGTTGGACCTCTCTGTTAAATGCAGCATTTTTACCACTAGTATAATACAATTCGAAGTACCTGATGAATGCCCTTTGCAAATTTTGTGATAGATTTTTGGTTCATACTTGGAAAGAGATCCACGGCGAAGCGCAAAAGATGTCCATTCTCAATCTATCGCTTGTGCTCTCCTCGGTTGAAGTACGGTTCCTCCTCGGCTTTTCAGTGGTACAAAGCTTTTTAAGATAAAAGATAGTGCGAACATCATCGTCAAACAGAGTGGATATGAATCGCATAAAGAAAAAAGAAAGTAGGCAAAAGAATGATGCGATTCGGTCCAGCATACTTTTTATGCATTTGGTCTTTTTGTCGCTGCGGCAAATATCCAATGACAGCCGGCAAGAAGCAACGCAATGCCAACAAGTAGGTACCATCTTTGGATAGATCAATGAGCATGGCAAAGAGTAAAGAACATGAATCATGATATCATCATGCTTTTGGGTTGCCAGTGCTTTTTTATTGGCGAAACTCAAAAAACCCCAAACATTATCCCATTGGGCCCGATTTGTCATCAATAAAAAAAATAGAGTCGCCAGCGTCTCTTTTTACTTTTTTTTTTTTCGTTTTCCTTCCACAACTTTTATACGATGCCCATTCTCGAAATCACCTCTCAACGTTCCCCCAAAGATTTGAATGCTTTCTTGAAAAAGCTTTCCTCTGTGTTTGCTGAACATATCGGAAAGCCCGAATCGGTAAGCATAGAGCACAAACTTTTTGGTTGACATGACGCGTTTCCGAGCACTCACCGACCGCATTCTAGTATTGCTTGGTCACCTTTGTCCGTGTCGACCAACTTTATTTCGCTGGTACTCCCGATGCTGGCTTTATCGCCAAAGTGGGTTCCATCGGTCATATTGGTAAGTTTTTAGTTTGGCGGTATTTTTTTTGGGGGAGAGGGTGGGGAAGTCTGTGTTGGGGAACAGCGAACACTCATTTGAACCCTTGAACTTTAACAGACAGGGAACGTAATGCACGCTTGACCGCAGCCATCACGGCTGAAATGAAGAGAGAATTGGGTGTTTCGGACGATCGTGGTTACTTCCTGTTTACCGATTTCCCAAGTGATAATATTGGTTTCAAGAGCACTAGTTTCTCTGACCTTATCAGATAAACGGCAAAGTAAATGCTTTTGTAAATGTTTTTATCTTTTTTGTATGACTCGAATGAACTGAGGTATAGCCTTATCCCTTTTTAAATGTCGTACACGTGTAGAAAGTGGCTGAGAAAGTTCCATGGCATGAAGGAAAAAGGCACCCAATCCGGCCCAGCGTCAATTATGAGTTTTTTTTTTTTTTTTTTTGGGACAATTGAGGGTTGATTGGTTGGGTTACTGACATCGAATCCTATCATTCGGAGGCCTCCCTTATTAATTAGAACAGTGCACGGGATTCTTCTCCAGTGAATTATCCTTTCTTTCTTTCCCCAATTTTTCATCGAAGCATTTGGATCCTATTTCCATAATGCGCCCCTTCCTTTCATTTTTATGGTCCTTTGGCCTGGTTGCCTTGGTCTTGTTGATTTCCTGCGTTGCTACGGAATCCCTGGTTCATGATTCGTCCTTGGATGTGACTGAGACTACCGCCGAACTCGCTTTACTTGAAAGTGACGAGTTCTTGAATTCCGGATGGGCCTCGCACAGCGCCCTGGAGAAACGCGCCTCAAAGAAGAAATCCAGCAAGAAGAAAAAATCGTCCAGCAAATCAAAGTCTAAAAGCAAAAAATCGAGCAGCAGCAAGAAAAAGTCATCTTCAAAGAAGAAATCGTCAAGCAGCAGCAAGAAGAAAACGTCTTCGAGCAAGAAGAGTTCGTCAAGCAGCGGTGGTTCCAAGTTTACCGGCGATGGTACCTACTATTTTCCAGGGCTCGGTTCCTGTGGCCAAAACAATAAATCCAAAGATATGATTGCCGCCTTGGTAAGTGTCACTCACCTTCATTTGCCTTTTTTAATCGGCTCATGTCTCTCTCTCTCTTTTTCTTTTATTCCTCATCTTGCTTTTTAGAATGCGCCTCAAATGGGATATTCTGCCAACCCCAATGCCAACCCCATGTGTGGTCGATATGCCAAGGTTACCGGTCCCAAGGGAACCGTCCGTGTCAAGATTGTGGATACTTGTCCACCGTGTGTCAAAGGAAGTCTTGATCTAAGCCCCGCCGCCTTCCAAAAAATTGCGGATTTATCGGCTGGCCGTGTCAAGATTACCTGGACTTGGGATTAGAAGTTTATTGTTGCTTCCTTTCGTCAGGTTATAGATCAAATCAAACTACTTTTCTTTGTGATCCTTCATTTATTCACTTCTTTCATTTCTTTTTCACGAGTATCTCACTAAAAAACAATGTGATACAAGAACTATGGATTTCCTTGTTCCATCTTTTACATAATTATCCCTCAATTTGACGACATTGGATTTGCTTGGAGCCATACGTCTTTTGACTTTTTTGTTTTGTTTGCGTTCTCTTATCCCTCTGAGAATCGCTTTTGTAAAATGATGGTATCATAAATCAAATTCCAGTGTAGAATGACCCGGTTCACCTGTTGAATTTGCAAATACATGCATCCTGCACCGTCGCACAGTGGTAGCACATGTTGCTTGGAATATCTAAAAATGACTTGGACCAGCAATTGTTTCAGAACCATGTCCGACATGGATAATCATCTTGTAATGAACAGCCCTATTATGCAACATTTTCAATCTAAGTAAGCTGCGCCAGATCTCATCTTTTTGAATATAGTTTTATAGTAGATTGAAAAAAAAAAGAAAACGTGGAACCGTACACTCGACTCCCGGATTTCATACACGCTTAATGCCTGGATCACAGGCAGTAACAATCAGGACCAGTAACACAGCGTAGGTACCCTGATCATTCTCCCAAAACAAAAAAAAAAAAAAAAAAAAAAAAAAAAAAAAAAAAAAAAAAAAAAAAAAAAAAAAAAAAAAAAACTGTTGATGAATATCAACGCTTCCTTTGAAATTGTCGATAACGGAACTGGGTCGCTGTCGCCAGTTCCAACATGAATGAACTACTTGTAAAAACTAAACTTGCGCGGTTTTGCTAACCCTCTCTGTCTGCATTTTTATGGCAGTGAGACAAATCAAAATGACATGATATTGGATAAATTCGTTGAACGGACGTTTAGCTCAAGCGACAATACAATTTTTGCCAGGGACAATGATGGGATACTATCGATGAGCAACTGCCACCTATGACGGCGACCATGCAAGAAATTTGTGCGGGTGCTGCTTTCAACGACCGTTGTAGGCCAAGTTTGGCGGCTAAACAAGCACGGTGTGCGCGACTTGGACAAAATAATGTGGCACGATAGGACTTGTATTGGCGATAACCCGAGGTTCCGTCACTGTCTCACTTCAGCTGCCTGTGCGTTGGACGATGTCTGACGTAAGCTGCGGCGGTCTTCAGTACCAGGTGGCACTCATAAAACTTAAGGTGTGCAGCTTGTCCAAAAACTGGTTCGTCATAAAGTGTGTAAGCATAGTTTTTGGCGCCGAACCCTTAGTTTGGTGAATTTGCCACATTTTACCATTCAACGATCTCATTTTCATTGCACATAATGAAACAATTGTAAAAAAATAGGGCACATTTCTCAAATTTCGCAAGATCAATTTGTGTGACTCTACCTAGAACTAAATATCTGATTGATGGTGCAACTGGTAAACGCTAAAGATATGATGATCGTTTGGTGTTTTCCTTGAGTTGCAATGGATTACAGATCAAATCCAACCGTGTTTCCGAATGGGTCCAGATTACCGGGCTCCTTGTCTTCAATGTTATGGATGACGAGAGCCCATTCGGATTTATGCAACATTTTTGGAAAACGGCAAACTTTATTCCGACTTCTCTATGAAAAAAAAAAGCCTCCTGACTGGATAAACCATCACCGCGGACCCGATGCGCCCATGCAACCGTCCGACCGTCGATGTTCGCAATACATGATTAAAACTCAGACGAACGTCTTCTCGCTCTCTCCGTGCCGAACATGGTCTGGGTCACAAGAAAAAAAAAAAAAAAAACTTTCTTCAAATATTGTTCCCTTTTTGATAGATTGCGGCGCGATATGAGGCAAAGAAAGAGGTGCAATGGCAAAGAGAGGGATTTTAAATACTTCCTAATTAAGCAAACCAACATATGAAACGCGTCATCTTACATAAAGAAATAAACAGCGTTGATCCGTGTTCTCGTTCTGGAAAGAAAGGAAAAAAAAAGGACGCCCGAAACTTTACACACTCGACTATACGTCTGTGCGCATACAAAATCTCATCACTAAGTGCAACATGAAGATTGAGATCGGATTGGAAACTGCAAACTTTATACAAAGTTTGTCAGGCAACACAGAGAAAAAAATAATAATAATAAATCAAATCACTGATTACAAATTATCTGGTTCTTTTTTTGGGGGATGAGAGGAGGATGTGGTTGGACCTTTTTCGATCTCAGCAGGAAATGTAGATAGCAAATGGCTGCGCAAAATATTTTATGCCTCAAGGTTCAGCGACGAATTGCACCATGCTCGAGAAAGGTAGTAGAATGATCTATTTGCAGAAAGGCAGAATCCCAAAGATACCCCTTGTAAGAACTTAGTCATGGATGAGTAAAAAATGGATGATCCATCTGTCATCGGCGGACCGTGTCTCTCCTATTCCAATTTCCACTTGGAGAAAGTGAATCACATTTATACTGTATTACTTTCAATTCATTTACCAAACCAGATGCATTTGTTTGTTTAGAAATCATACCGTTATACCTGTTGTCTTTTTCAATTTAAAGCTACTTTTAGTAGATACCCGTTTTTCAATATACCTCTCTCCTTGTTCAGGGGGGCTTGGGAAGAAATTATTGCCGATGCATACGCAATGTTATTTGCCAAGAATGGATGTGGATGTGGATGGGCAATTTTCTGCCTGGTACGAAAAATCAAAAAAAGGGATTACAACAGAAAACCCGCTCGTTACCATAGCATGCCCCACCAATGTAGCCCCTACAAAATCCAATCATTGGGTGGCGACTTGAGAAAAAGGAATGGAAACCGTTCGCAATAACGAAGAATGACGAAAATAAAAAGCAATGATCCGGCTTATTTGTCGTACATTACACACACATCGCGTGGCAGTGGTCAATAGCACGCGAGGAAGACAAAGTGACGACCGAGAACGTGGCAACGGCCAATTTGTGCAACCGTGAGGAAGCAAAAAGGCGCGCACATACATGTGCCAATCTCAGTCAGTTAACCCATCCCATTAACCTTTTATGATCTCGATTCCAAGATCGGCAAATTTGCGAATTGTCTTTATTCTTTTTGCTAAAATACCTTTTCAGCCTCATTGGCCAAAACCCTACTATTTCTGGAAATCGCCCATCTTCTTTTCTTCATCTTTTGACAATAAACTAGATATATCCTTCTATCCATTTGGATACTAACGTGCATATACTATTGCTCATCAGAAATAGTCTATTTTGTCAACCCCCTTAAATCATCTTGGTTTTTTTTTTTTTGGTGGGGTGTTGGCTGGTGATGAATTGGTGGATTCATCTCCTTGTTGATTTCGTAAAGGATCAACGGCAAAACGATTTGGATATACGCTATCTTACGTGGACTCTAAGGAGAATGAAGGAGGGGGAAAAAGAATTTACGTAGAAGAAATACAGAGAGACACGACAAAGGTATAGGGGGTGAAATCAGGACGAAAACTCAAAATTGTCAAGTTCCGACAATTTTTTTTCTGTAGTCTATCAAGTGTAAAAAAGAAAGGGTGCTTTAGCAGGTAAGGAAAAGGAAAGCTCGGAAGGGACTTTATCCATGTGGAAGGAAGGGCTTTGCCGAAAATAAGCAAAAGAACGTGATGCACCAATCAAGTTGGCGTGCTAAAATAGACGGGATGCTGAAGTAATGAATTTGTCGTATATAAGCATCCCATCAAATCGGATTCACCTCCATCGTTTTCCTCTTGTTTTTCTTTTCCAGCTTGCCAAGGCCCACCTGTTTTTTATTTATCCAAACTTTTTTTTTCTTTCTTACACTATGCAGTACAACCCTTTGAATTATCAAGTTGCTCTTGATAATAAACAATATGTTCCATCGTCAGCCAATGATCAGCCACAAGATATGCCCAATTACTATGCCTACACCGCCGCTATGCCACCATGCCCGATCTCGGATGCTGACGACGACGAAACCGTGGAATCGGCCTCAAAGTTCAACGTGAAAAAATCGAAAAGAAAACAAGTGAAAAACGCATGCGGTAATTATCATACTTTTTTTTTTTTTTTTTGTGATACGCTCCCGTCGGTTATCTCGGCTTGATTGATGTCGTACTAAATCTTGGGTCATTACAATTAGTTAATTGCCAGAAAGCTTGCAAGAAATGCGATGAAGGAAGACCGTGTCAACGTTGCATCAAATTAGGCATTACAGCCACTTGTATCAATTCACCACGCAAGGAACGAAAGAAAGGTGTCAAGCGAGGCCCTTACAAGAAGCGTCAGCGACACCAACGCCAAGGTAAGACATGCGTTATCAATAACAGTCATTCGATAATTTTGCTTTTTTTCTTGTCCAAAGTCATTAAATATTAATCATCATATATACACTTTCTGTTCTTAGCATCTGGCTCGGATTCGCCTCAATCCATCGAATCGTTATCCATGCAGGATCATGCCACGGTGGCTGCGGAGAAGGAAATTCCACAGCAACATTGGTTGTTCGAGGAACAGGCTTCATATGCGCCCGTCGAGACCCATGGCTTGATGATGACACGAGACACGTTTGCATCACCATCGGTGGCTGATGAACTGAGTCCTCACTATGGTGATTACACTCATCCCTCGTCGGTGCTCATGATGACCCCACCGTCGCAATCACCGTTGTCATTCAGCGATCAGTCGGACGTGTATGCCTTTGGCGGTGTCTCGCCTACTTCATCCTCTCCGTCTTCCGTGTTCTTTCCTTCCACCATTCTTGATAACCCTACGATGCCTGTCATGGATACCATCCCATCCTCTGTGCCATTGCAAATGGGCTGGATGCCTTCCGAACCCGTTTTCTCGGCCAACCACAGCTACACGCGCATTCCTCCGGTCCCAACTTTCGAGTATTCTCAACCTATATGGACCGACGATTACGGCTTGCCCTACAAGCAAGAAATGATGCCCATGGACGAATCGGCCGCTTTTATCCCCGTGTTGTCTCAGCCCATTTATCGTCAACCGTCTCCGCAACCGATCTCGGCGCATTTTGTCAAGCAACAACAGCAACCGGCATTGATGTCCACGAAAGAATATCCTTACCAATTCAGCAAGCAACCAGTGTCATCGGATTTGCTATCTCACATTGATGCCTGGCAATCTGCTGCTCTTTATCACATCTAAGCATTTCACTTTTCAACCACCCTTTCGACCCCACTCTTACAACAAAAAAGGAGGAACATCATCACAAAGCACACATTTTTTTTTTTTTACGCACACTGACACACACACACATTTTCATGACAAATCCACCCTTGTTTTCCCCACATTTTTCATTCAAATCATTCTTACTCTTCCCCTAACTTGTCCTCTTTATTTGCATTATTTTATGAACCATTGCGTCTATCTATTGATTATTTATCCTTCTTCTCCACCATGCTAGTCATCTCATCTTATGCCTCTTTTGTTATTTTTTTCTCTTGTACATACGCGTGACGTACAGTTCCCTCCCCTCCATAGATCTAGATATGTAAATCCCCATTTATCTGTATAATGCGTGTCATGGTATTCTCATTTCATACAAAATTTCCCAATTCATTAAAGAAAAAACTGATCAATTGTCTTTCATTTCTATCCTAATTGTAACAATCTATATTAAATTATTCTACTTGGTGTAATGCCTATTTCTCTTTAGGCAATATCTTGTTAAAAGAGCGATAGAGCTGACGATGAATAGAGCCAGGATGACAATAACGGCAATAAGCCAGCCTTTGAGCCCTTGCGATGGCTGATAATTGGGGTTGGAGGACCCGTCCGGTCTTTCCACATAAGGTCTCGGTTCTGTAATGGAAACAAAAGGTGGATCCCCAGCACCGGTGCTCAACTGATAAGCAATTAGACCTTGGAAAGGCGCGTTGTAATCGATCGCCACTTCTGTCTGTTTATAATCGCTGCGAATATCGTAAAAGAGATCGTTCTGGTCTGGACCTCCCACCATCGCCCCTTAACAAGAAATAGACACGTCAATAAAGAAAAAACTCATTTAAGCGATTTGCCGATTCCGTGTCACGTACCATATAAGGTATGTTTCATCTCAGGCGGCTCAGTGTCGATACGTCTTAGGTCAGTGCCACCGGAAGCACCGGCATGATGGGGGTTTCTAGGAGAGTTGGGATGAATGCCCACAACGTAAGGGGTCAACCTAGATTACAAAGTTTCAGCTGTTAGCCGAGGAAAAACCGACATTTTATGTACAGCAACTTTATGCTTACATTCGGTTGGCGCCTAGAACGTAGTTGATTTGCGAAATGGCAAAATCCGTATAAATCTTGCTTCGCAAATCATCAATCTTGCTGTGTAAAAGCGCCAACAGCGCCATATTTTGCGCAGGGATCAAGGAGTTGCTCACACTTTGCCTGTCACACCACAACAGACCTCCGTCCGTGTAACTGCACGGTTGCAAGTGACGGTCAATAATGTTGTCCAGGTAGCGTCTCGCAGCATCGCGATACTTGGTCGTCGTATTATCGATGGTGGCTCCCAATACGTACAATGAGCCGGCGTGATTGCTCCAATCCATCACCACATTGGGGACTCGGGAGACATTGAACACATCAAAATAGTGAGAGGCTCGGTCACGATAGGTAGTGTTTCCCGTGGCGCGGTAGAGCCACAGTGTACCGTAAATAAGCTGGTTGTCGTAGGTATTGCTGCTATAAAATTCGCTCGTTGCGGGAGCACCCTTGCTGGCAATTTGCCATGGGCTAGCCGACAGTGCAAAATTGTATACACTGATGGCCTTTTCGAGGAGTGTATTAGCATAGGCAGTATCGTTGAATCGGGTTCGAAATAGAAAAGAGGAAGCAGCTAAAGCGGCGGCAGTAAGGCCGGCGGCATCCGTTCCCGGGGCTGTAGCATTGACCATGTACGATGGTCGTGATCGTGGAATACCGGTGTCAGGACCTGGGAAGCAACCACACAATTCAATATACACTTTTTCTTATCTTTGATCAAGGATTCCATTTCATTTATACCCCAATAATTGTTATCGATGTTACCAGCACCGACCTACATATAAAACAAACAAATTTAAAGAACGTAATAAGGGTCATGTCAAGCAACTTTTGCAAGTGAGATCCATCGTACCTGAAGGTACAAGACGTCCGGTTTTGGGTGGGCTTTCATTAACCAATCGGTTCCCCATCGAACCATGTCATAAAGGTGAGAGGTTTGGTTGGCCTTTTGGTATCCATCAAACCATTCAGAAGCACTCCACGCAATGAGAGAAATTGTATGGGCAAGAGGAACGGTGAACTTCATATAATTTCTTTCCTCACAGAGTGCCATCGGTTAGTTCGTGGATACGTAATGCGGCGCTTCAAATAGTTTACCCTGCGTCATAGTAACCTCCCACTAGATCCACATTGTTATCTTCACCGTCATGAATCGATGAGTTACTGCGCCTGAATTGTTGCAGACATATTAGAAATGTGCAATGTCTTGTACCACCTCAGACCAAGCATTTTACATACCATGGTACTCGGTTGGTTTTAGGTAGATATCCGCTTCGCTGAGCTTCATAAAACCACAGAGAATGATTAAGCATAGACGCGTAATGTGGATTGGCCGAGTTGCTGCTCTGTGCCGTTGACAGTGAAATCCCGCAAAGGATGGTAATCGTTACGAGGAACGAAATTTTCATATCAAATTAAAGAATGGTGGCAAAGAAAAAAAGGGGGAAAATGGAAAACGAGAGGCCAATGGAGCCATCGTATTTAAGCAAGTACTATTTATGATGATTGGGAACACACAAGTAAGCCAAAAATAAAGCTTAGTCTTCCAGGATTTCGAATTTGCCATGCAGAGCCAAAATATTGGAAATATGGAAATATCGTAAATATCAATTTTGACTGTGTTTATAATAGCAGACATGGTGTTGCATGATAACCACCATTCGATGCGCTACACAAATGGACGATCGCAATGTTGCTGAGGCAACAGACAAGACTTATTTCCACTGGATTGCTTCGAGATTCTTACAGCCATGGTTTTGACCTTTCAAGCGGGGGTTGAAAACCCGACAGCGGTGGAAAGCTGGGTCTTCTTTCAGCCAGCTTTTTTATTTTTTTTGTCACAACACCAAGGCGGCCGCAAAATAAACTTGCAACATTTTTGGCAACATCATTATACTACATATTCATTGTTTTATTTATCAATGCGACTGCCCGGTATTATCTATCAGCTACATGTGTTATTTACGAGTCCATGGGATGGTTACGAGAGAAAGGAGCCATAGTCAAGGTAACAAGTTTTTCTTGTATTTGGGCATACATTAAGAAAAAGTTATGCCTTGCTGTTGGAAGCCTGCGCATGCACTATGGGCATAGTGTGGGGTGGGGGGGCGGTATAAAAAAAATGCTTAGCAACAAAAAAAAATTCCAAGCCATGGTGTCACAAACACTGTTGAATTCAGGGGACATGGCCTAATGTAACAGTGAATGCAGATCGTTTTCTGGTCATATTTAAATGCGTCGCAATTTCTTGATCGATGCGTATCTCGCGGTATCGGCTCATCTTATGATAATGATCCATCACGTCAAACAATAAGTCTCCGTAAGCACCTTCTCAAAGTGAGACCCCAGAAATCTTTTTTTCTCATTGGATGGAATTCGGAGGAAAAAAAATTGTGGGCTTGTTGGTTTCATGCAAAGACAGACATCCGTGCGTGACGGTGTCCCGACAATGGGAAGAATTTCTCTTTTCAATCTCTTACAAAAAAAGTAAAGCATCATTCCACACCTTTATTCTATTACTTGAAAAAAACAAGAGATGCCGTCCATTTACATCGGAGCCGTCGATCAAGGTACAGCTTCTACACGCTTTTTGATCTTTGACGGCAGCGGGCGGCTCGTCACGTCACACCAATTGGAATTTGAACAAATATATCCTCGCCCAGGGTAAGCTTGAGGACTGCATGAAAACGAAATAGTTGACTAACCACTGCCAAACAATCCGTCACAGATGGGTAGAGCACGATCCTTATGATTTGCTGGATTCCGTCATTCGGTGTGCCGATGAAGCGATGCGAAAATTTGGCATGATGGGCCACAAGTCGCATCACATGAAAGGTGAGAGCATTGGACCAACCGAGCCGCTTGTGGCATTTTCACTGACCAACTTAATGTTAGCACTTGGTATCACGAACCAACGAGAAACGACTATTGTTTGGGATCGAAAAACAGGCGAACCACTGTATAATGCTATTGTATGGAGCGACACAAGAACCAACAAACTGGTGCAACATTTCCTGCAGAAGCAGAAAGAGATGAATATTAATGTATCCGAGATCTGCGGTTTGCCGATACACAACTATTTCTCGGCGGTCAAGCTGCGATGGATGATCGACAATGTGAAAAGAGTCCGAACCGCCGTGGAGAAGAAGCAGGCCATGTTCGGCACTGTTGACAGTTGGCTCATTTGGGTAAAGCTTCTTCCCCATTTGGAACTCAGCGAGTGACCTCAATTAACCTTTATTTATTTATCTACTTATGATGCAGAATCTCACCGGAGGCATTCAAGGAGGTTTACATGTTACAGATATCACCAATGCCAGTCGTACCATGTTTATGAACTTGAAAGAACGTCGATGGGACAAGAACCTTCTCGAGTAAGTTGCACGTCTCAATTTGATAAGATAAGACGATAAAGTTGTGAAACAAACAGCTCAATTTTTTTTTTTTTTTGCGATCTGATCATTCGTTCTCGAAACATAGTTTTTTCGGTATTCCTGAGCATGTGCTTCCAACCATTGTATCATCCTCCGAAAACTATGGAAACGTTCAGTGGGGCCCTTTAGAGGATCTTCCAATCACAGGATGCGTTGGCGATCAACAAGCGGCCCTCATCGGTCAGCGCTGTTTCAACAAAGGTGAAGCGAAAATCACTTACGGTACCGGTGCGTTTTTATTGTTCAATATGGGCCCTGAACCCGTGTTTTCGAAAAATGGATTGATCTCTACTGTGGCATACCAATTTGGTACTGATGGACCTATTGCTTATGCACTGGAGGGGTCCATCAGTGTCGCCGGAGGCGCTGTCAAATGGCTTCGAGATAACATTGGTATCATTGAAAGAGCCGCCGACATTGACGTGTTGGCTTCAAAAGGTAATCTACCATGGCTTGTTGTTCGCGTCGTGATAAAAGGGGCAAGGCAGAAAATGTGGACATGAACAAGTGTCTGTGCAACATGGGAACAAGGAAATGATCTTTAACTCTAATTTTGATGACTGCATGATTTCAATAGTGAAGGACACGGGAGGTGTGATGTTTGTGCCAGCATTTTCCGGATTGTTTGCCCCGTATTGGCGTGATGACGCTCGCGGTACCCTGGTGGGCCTCACGCAGTATACCAATAAGAACCATATCGCTCGAGCGACGCTGGAAGCGGTGTGCCTTTCCACACGAGCGATACTGGACGCAATGAAACACGACGGTAATGTCCCTATCAAGGTGTTGAAAGCGGACGGTGGTATGTCCAATTCAGATTTATGTATGCAAATACAAGCCAACGTCCTGGGCCTTCCTGTAGGCAAGTAATTGCAATCACAAATGGATTAAGAAATCTCTCTAACCCATCCATCATACACAGTTCGACCTAATATGCGCGATACCACAGCGCTTGGTGCCGCTATTGCGGCAGGGATTGGATTCGGTATATGGAAAGATTTTGATGAAATAGGAGAAATTGCTGGTGAGAAAATGTTTCAGCCAAAAATGCATGACCGAGGTAAATTTTTCTTGTCTCTTTTTGAATCCATGTCATTGTAATGTATTTTCTCACCGTGCAATGGAAAAATGAACAATAGAAAGGGAAGTTCTATTTCATCAGTGGGATCACGCAGTCCGCAGAAGTTTTGGTTGGACAAACATCTATCATGGTTAGATCATAATAAACGTACGCATGTCTAATAAACACTGTAATTTGTTGACAAGATTAGCTCCAATTTTTATTGGATAAAAAAAAAAAGACACATTCTAAGTTGGGGGAGTGATCAGAAGAAAAAAGGCGCACAAAAGTAGTATTAGTTGGTACAGCAAATTATAAAAGAAAAGCAGCATTTGTAGAACGATAGAGAAAAACACATATCAGAGTGAAAGGGAATCACATCGAAAATCCTGACATACAGTAAGTAGAAATTTGAGAAGAAAAGAAACAAGAAATGGTATGCTGAAGCAAGAGGGGATTTTGGCACGATTACTGGCGCAAGTGAAGTGAGTCTGTGTATGTCCATGCACCGTTATCCAACAATGGCTTGCCATTCATGGATTTTGTCAATTCGATAGTTCGCCTTGCGTAATCGCTGTTGGGTTCGGCATCCTTGACGAACTTGAAAAGAACGGGTTCCCACGTTTCCTTCTTCTGCTCTCTTTCTTTTCGAAGACCACGTTGCCATTCCTCGACCTTGGATTTTTCGGCATTGGCCACCGTGTAATTCTTGACCTTCAACGCATCAAGCGTAGGGCCCCAGAGTTTGTGCGATTCGATATCCTGTTGTTCTTCCAAAGGACGTGTGACACGTTTCGCCATGGGCTCCGCTTCGGCGTCGAACAGTAGTTCCTTTTTGCTTTCATCAGGTCGATTGTAGTACGACTTGTGACTCCAACGGCCGGACAATGCATAAACATCCTTGCCGTTCATAGAAATGGAGCCCTTGATGTGATTATGTTCACCTCCAAACCATGGCTTGGGCACAAATTCGATATTGGCTTGAGCACCACTGGTACAAGCAATCGTGCATTGTCCACCCAATTCAATGTAGCAAGCACCCATCAAGACACCACGAATCAATAAGTCGGGATAATCAATAAGGTATTGCTCGTCCCATTGCTTGACGTAGAGCACGGCTCGTCCCACTTGTTCGATTTTAATGGAAGTACCTTTGAATTTGGACTTTTGGCCAGCTGATGATAACAAGTCAATGAATGATCAAAAATTAGTTTTTCGATAAATCATACGGCCAAACACCCTTCCCACCACCAACTTACAGTGACCATTCAACGAAATGCCGGCTTTCTCATTCTCTAAATAAAAGGCAGAAATCGGAGGATGGTGGCAGACTGAATGGAGGGAAAAAAAAAAAATTTAAACTCGTAATTAAAAAAAAACAGGTCTATGACGACACCGGCGTTTCATTTTTTTTTCCCTTTCGCATGGTGCACGTACCTTGTTCGCAAATACACTTCACATCGCCCAACTGACAATGAAATTGTTCACCCAAGACTGCGAAAAATAGACAATTAACATACGATTACGCCATCAATTGACGGTTAAAACAACACTTACTTGGATTCAATGGCTTCTTCTCAGTGGCCCCGTTGGTGCAGCGTGATGCATAGCTTCCCCACAATGTGGACATAAACCAACGTGTGACAGCCAGTATTCTTTCTTGAGGATCAGATGATTCGCTGATAGCAGCAAAGCTAAACCGCGTCAAACCGGTTAAGCAACGCCGTTCACATGGCCTCTTAACATGACGAGAAACTTACCATTCAGGATGATCACCCCAATAAGTACTAATGAAGAGAGAATAACCACACACATGATAAGCAACAAAAATAAAAGGTTGTAGATGAACCACCGTCAAAACATTAATGTTTACCCATATTCAAGGAGTGAAAGACCGTTCAAGAAGAACGCAGGACAGGTCAACGATGAAAGATCGCCAGTGAAGCTAATGACGGTCTTTAAGAATTCTTTAAACTGACCACCGGTGCCGGGTTCAGCATTCTTCAAAGAGAGTTTATCGACATCACTAGCGGTAGGTGTCTCCTCGGATTCGACGTTATTGTTTTTGCTTCCAAAAAATCGACCCATTATGAATGCTCAATGCAGCAAGAAGACAAAGAAAAAAGAGCAAAAAAAAGGAAGCGCGAAGAAGGTGTTAAGAACAAGAAGATAAAAGAGCGGGAAAAGAAACAGAAGGAAAAACAATCACCGTGTCCGGCGGAGTTCCCAAATCACCGCACAAATTCAACGATTGACATCACATATTGACCGAAATTTCGTCGGACAATAAAAGAAAGCAACCACCCTCGAAAACCCCAATTAATCAATAGGTGATGGGTTTTTTTTTTCATCACATGAAGCTGGATCACGGACAAAAAGCTTGCCATCCGGTGAGACAATGATGATGGTTCCAGTGACGGGTCCCTTGTGTGTCAATATCTCTGCACGTGGATTTGGCAGCAGCGTGCTTATTCTTTGTGTCTTTTGTGTTCATGTTGTGGCCAGGAGCAAGTGTTCAGTGTAGTCCCAAGAATAGCAACTCGTGGATAAACAGGTGGTCGCATGTTTAACCAGCTGCCATGTAATTCTGTAATTCCAGGACAACACAGCTTGTTTAGTATGAGCAGCATTTCTCAACAGACGGTGGGGGTGACCGTTTGTGATATCAGCATACATTTTATTCAGCCAATGAAGACCTTCTTTACGAAAAAGGGAATTGGAGCGGATCGCCTATTCCAGAAAAGGTTACTGAAGCGAAAAAGCAATGACAGCGAATAAGAAAATAAGGAAAGAAAGGGTTACAATCGGTTTACATACTCGCGTTTTCAGTTTCATTTTTAGAAGGCTGTCATGCTCTTATTTGATGATGGAAGCGCCACCTCGCACGCATTTCGTTAAAAGTAAGAATTGTTCTCAGGATGATTTATCATGCTTGACGTTCTGTTGGAGAAATTGTGGACAACAATAAATGCTCGTACTTATTATTTATGGATGTGCCCGCTTTATTCTCGGTAGAAAGGGGAGGAACAAGAACCATTGTCTGTGCTCCACCTTTGACAGGGTGGAAGACTGGGTAAGCACTGTATACAGATTATCTAGCGAAGGGGTTTGGAGACAAAGTAAGAGGAAAGGGATGCTATGGTTAATGTGGATGAGAAAGAGGTTGTTGACCAGAGTTTTGGCACTGTCTCTCGTACAAGGATGTACGGATATCTCCAAGTGGAAGATATGAAAAATTTAATAACATCTTAAGCAATCTCCATAGAGAGGATAAATGAGGCCAATGATAAAAAGGTGCAAATCATGGATGCTTTTGCTTTCAACGCCAATTTTCTTGCCTTTGTCAAGCAAAACGAATGCATTGCAGTCATGTCTTCGTTCACAGATAAGGGGTATCTGATTTTCACTCTTCATGTAATCAAAGAAGCAATTTACGTATTTTATATTGGATCTCTTTTTTATCTCATAGAAGGCTAAGGGATCATTTTATGTCATGAAAAAGTAAGAACCGCATTCATGACTACATAATGTAAATGTATACATTATCTTTTTTAGATGGACATGATCATGAGCAATTACCAAAGAAAATTAGCAAGTGCGTAGTAAACAATGATGTTATTTAATTGGACCAAATAACAGTATCTGCCAATGCAGTAAATTCTAGAATTCCACTTTCATTATCAGGCATCATTTACGATTCTTTTTGGATACTAAAGAAAACTTCGCCTACTCCCTCCTCTCTATAGAAACTCCTCTGTGTAACTATGTACAACTGCATTAAGCCAGGTTCTCCAAAGGCGATTTCGTTCCATAGATACATCCCGTAATCACAAAAGCTGTCTCGGAAACGATAGGCCCCACGGTTCCTCATATAAATGTAATTATGTATATGATATGACCCTCATATAATGGACAGTGACTATCTGTTGCAACGTGAGAGTTCAATAGCCGCCGTCAATGCACAAATGGTCATTGGCTGCACAGCACAGGTGGATCATCAATCTTGCATTGTTTGTTATGCAGGAGTGGTTGCAACACACAATGGAAAGTTCTCGACTAATGAAGTGTAACCTTAATTGTAAATTCAAAGAGTACAGGGCAGTCAATGCTAATAAGAGTCAAAAAATAAATCCAAGGATTTTTTGGGTAACAATAACACCTTCACAAGACAGAGTGCATATTGAACGTGGCGTGAATTTCATCAGTCTGTTTATTACGGAAATTGGTTAATTTTACATTGTTTATCGAACATCGTTTATTCTAGTTTGCAGAAAGGTGCAGTTATGATCAGCAGTTGTCCACTTGGAATAGAATGCTGCCCGTCAGTTACGTTGTCATGGTCAGTATATCCTACTAGCAAGATTTTCTGATGAGGAAATGCATATATATTAAAGGTACATATTGACATGAAGAGAGGGTGGTTGAAATTAATTCTAACATACTCTATCGGAAATGAACGGTTATGGGGAAAAGGAAAGAGTTACATAAAAATGAGGGGAAGGCGCTTCCTCTTATCTAATCAAACTTCTGTTCCAATGCACGGATATAGTGTTTGGGAAAATTAACATTCATCACGTGGACGTGGTGCCTAGATAGATAGTCGGAAGCTTGGTCAGTTTTTCCCTAGCATCCACCCCGAGCTATAACAGGTTCATATCTGATCCCACTTACTTTTTAAGATTGATTTTGCCCGTCTTGATATTGACAGAAGTAGGGATATACTGGATATGACTGTCAAATGAAACGTGATAACCTCGTTCCGATAATACATCCATAATGATATTAACAAAATGACTGTCATTCAGCTGTGGATCCTCACTGTTCCCAAGAGGAAAAAAAGAGGCATTAGCGGGAATCATCTCGAGGTTTTGCAATGCAATATCAAACGTACGTGCGAATCATAACATGGCCACTGAAAGAATGACGAGTCACCTGAGGTATGACATGCTGATCGATATACCGGATAGCCCGTTTTAACACATTAGGTTCTATATCTTGATAGTTTTCGAGACGGCCGATGAGGTCCTGTGATCAAGCCCATTTTCAACTGATAAGATATCCGATCCATTTTGATTGGTGAAACTGAATCTCAAAAAAGGCAACTGTTCGGTGCCCAAAAGTACCTGTCTCGCATGAATTCCGATTTCCGTAGCAAGGGGTATATGGGCGATGGCATCGTAAGTATCAGAATCCAGCTCCAGTGACGATTGGTATTCAAATTCTTTGAGTATAATTTGCATCACTTCTTTAATGGAACCGGAAGCATTGATCAAACCTAGATACCGCCAGAAAAAATTAGGCCCATATTGAGTAAAAGGACACCGCTCGGAGACTTACGGAAAGGAAAAATCTTTGACAGCTTGAGCAACGAATCGTAGTATTCCCTGAATAAGTTGTATCGTTCACGGATAACCTTGGATACCATTACCAGCCGTTTAGCCTTCCATGTGATTTGTTTCTTGTCGTCACTTTCCCTACCATTTCATCACTGTCCGTCACGCGCTCTTCCAGCAACTGTCCCTGGCCCGTCTTTCGAACTTGAATATTATGTTGACGGACCTTCCTTCCTCGGTCCAACTGTCTTTGCACCGACACTTCTTCATCCACGTACAGTACGCAAATACGGAACACAGGTCGTCTATCAGCAAAACAGAAAAACAGAAAAAAAAATCACATCAGTCACCGTTCAAAAAACCCAAAAAGGACGACGTCACAAGCCAATAACCTACGGGAACTGATCACGACGATCCGTGTGATAAAACTCACGTCGTAACTCGGTCATTTTTTCATGTAAAAACTTTAAAGCTTCCACTTGTACGTTGGTGCGAGGAAATCCGTCCACCAACACGCCCACGGACGGATCACAATTTAGCATGGCATGGAGTATGACCTCAATGACGAATCGATCAGACACCATCTGGCCTCGATTGATGAGATCACGGTATTCCGGTTTTTGCAGCAGTTGCGAAACGGAAATCGGTCGATTGGTGATGCCACGTGCACGCATAATAGATGGCGTGTGGGTGCCCTTACCTGAGCTGATATCGTCAAACTGTTAACAGCGACCTTGCTCAAAGTGTCTGCCTGTCATCGTACCTACCCAGGCGCTCCCATCAAAAAGAAAAACTCTCTTGGTAAACGGATATTTTCCCTGCCGTAATATGATTCGATATTCCTCCACGCCTCGTTAAACACCAATTTGGCGTCTCGAATTTCAGAGGCTCTGACATCATTATAATCATCCACGATCAATACCCTTTCTCATTTGGCGCGAGCTACCATCATCATTTTACCTTTGTTCTTCTCCATCCCCTTGCGCAGGACTAGGTTGAGGAGCCGTAGCGATGTCTGAAAACAACGTCGCCCAACCCTCAAGTCAGTTGGTCATCTTGGAAGAAAAAAAAAATTAGCATTTCACTTACGATTTTGTCTCGAAGTGATAGAAATTGGATGTAAAGCCGTACTGTAGGGGCAGTTAGCGTGTAGGCCAGGGCGACGGTATCTAGCGTATTGGGCAATTTGCCGCGAATTAGGGAATAGACAGCGAACCGTTCTGATAAGTGACATTACAAAGACGGAAAAATACAATAATAAAGAAGTGCAAGAACAAGAAAGAAATCACTGCATGTAGCTTGGCGCTTTTTTACAATGCGATACTCATTTTGTAGGTAGTACAAGATTCTTTTCCTATTGCGTCGAGAATATAGAACCATCGTTCCAACGGCTATCCTCGAGAGCGGAGAAAGAAAACCAGCAAATCGGGAGCAGCAATATTCAGACCTTTCCCCCACGTTGGCCGACATTCGGCAAATCATTAAAATGTACCACACCACCCACATCATGATCGCTGTATTAAGAACAATACTTCTTTTTCAAGCATTTATCTTTCTTGCAAGGCTTTGTGCTTGTTAGCTTGGTTTGAATGACGTATGTCGCTTTCCCCTTATACTTATGGATAACTTATCTCGGTTGATATTTCATATCCAATCCGAGAAACACTGAAACTGAACCTGTGGTAGGTATAAAGCCTGCCAAATCCAGCCTCTCTGGTGGATTCCGCCGTGATACAGTGTTCATTTACAGAGATCAAACAATGGGAAGCTTGCTTTCAAGCTGCCGGAACAGCTAGTGCTTAGAAATCTGTGTACTAAGGATTCAATAGGCGGCAAGAATGGATTCTATCATTGGCCAAACAAAACGTAAGCCAAAAAGCCGCCTACAATGACCATGTGAACTTTTACTTTTGTGCCGTTGTGTTTTTTTCAGCTCATACAAAGCCGTGGAAAGCGAGGCGTACGACTATACCGAAGCCTCGTCGAAAATATCCAATTCCTGCTAGTGGTAGGGATGAGGTTGAAAAAGGAGTTGAGCTTGTTCGAGAACAATCTTTATGATAAGGTTGTTCTCAGCTATAGAGCGGCTTAAGAGATATGGATTTTTTAGTTTCTGGCATAATGAAGCAGCCCATTGTGTTGGGATTCCGGGTGTGTGTGTGTGTGCATGCATGGAGAAGCGGTCCAATACCAACTCCGCCAAAATGGCAAACAGTCGCGTCCATTGAGAAAATCAACCTACCACATTTTTCTTTCTTCCATTCTGCACTTTTTAATAGGTGGATTGACGGAGACATTGTCCAGCAAATTACCACTGGCGGCTTTGAGTCAGCGGAAATGGAGTATGACACACCGACATGGGCTGGCAGTGGCTGCAAAAGAAACGTGACCGTATTTCAGGGTGGTGTCAACCTCACGAATGTGTGTCTCGGTGCAGTGAAATGCACCAACGAAAAGTGCCGCAAAACTGTCCGACCAGCCTCATCGATGGCGCGCATTGAGCAGTAGTTGCCGCGGAGTGCATCTTCTGAGAAATGGAGCTGATTCACATTTCGGCCATGTGAAGGTGCTTCAAGTTTACTGATTACGGTGGCAAACTTAGGCCACAAAGGCCATCACACTTCTACGGTGCGTTTGAACCTTTACATTTTCCTGCGAAGACACTGGTGAATTTTCGAAAGACCGGTTTTGGAGGACGAAAACGGACTTCACAAGAGCTTTTGATCGGCAGCAGCGCAGTTCGTCCCGAATACCCAGCGCGTCCTGTGCGAGGTATCGACGAAAATCTGCATCACCTCGGCAATTTGAGCGTCGGAGGCGTACTGCGTTCATGAAAAATGGAAAACTCGGTTGCAAACACAGAAATGAATTGATCTACGACGTATTGAAGCGTCTTACAGAAGACTTCCCCGGATTGCTCCAGTCGGTGGATATGATACCGGGACTCGAACAACGAGGTGCTACCTCCAATTTGTTCCCGTAACAAACTTTCTGATTTCAGGGGAACGAAGCATCGTCGCGGTGGCCAATTTTAACGATCCTGTTACCATTAATTGTACGAAATCGCAATGAACATATTCGGCGACAGTGACCGACACGATCGGGGCAAATGAAAGCCAATTGTTGGCTCTTCAGACGCTTTGCGCGTCAATGAACTCACAGTTCGGCAAAGTTGTCAATACGTTTGCCACGGACCCTCATCGTGCTGTGCAGCATGCAAAAGGTGGACATGCTTATTGTGCATCATTAGAACGCAAATACGAAGATATTTGTAATGACGGAAGGTAAACGTTGTAGAGAATATCTTTTATAATGTAAGCTGATCAGTGTATTTCTCTGGTAGCATCACTCCCATGGAGGATCCGGGAGAACTTGAACTCACAGACATTGATCGTGTGCAAGAAAACCACGTTGATGAAAGGTGCTAGAGAGCGGAATTGGCAGATTGTCTGTATAGCAATTTAGGGAAAAAAGCCCTGGATGGATGAACTGGTCGCATGCTACGAATTCGGACAGCAGCAAGGGTGTTTCAAGGAATTCGTTCAATCATCATAGTCTTAAATCACAGTATAACAAAGCGCAAAAGCGTAGTGCCAGTCAAGCGAACATCATTTATCCAATAAACCCTCCGGCAGCCAATGTCGTTGCTGAATCAAGCATAATAAACCATCTTCATACAGTCCTTGCTTTTAACGAATGTGTGTGAGGCATCGCTTCCTTTAAAAAGGGCATGACAGCCTTGTAAAAATGAAACTGAGAATGTGGCTATGTAAACCAACTGTGTGATTTTTTTTCTTATTCCATAAAATCGACGGTCCATGTATTGATACAGCTGGTGAACCGTCTAAGGAACTTGGTAATATGCTTGTTTCGCCACAGTAAAAAGACATACATGGAGCGCGGTGCAACACCAACGCCGATGGCGTTCAAAACGACAAACGATCACTGGTCTGCTGCCAATGGCAAATTTGGAAAAAACATGTAAAGAGAATATGACAGTGCCATTAGGCGAGTCCACACAGAACTCCACCCACACGCTCGCTATCTGAAGGTAACATTTAGTACTAGTATTTCTAGCAAAAAGTCATCCCCTATGTTGCAAAAAGGGCGCTGGATAATACCTGTAACAGCGCTCGTGAATCGTTTAATCATTTTGGTGACGAGATGACAAAGATACTGTTTATTAAAAACAGAGTTGGCTGCGGTGCATGGGGGCAGAGAAGATATAATCCTATGAAGGAGAGGTCACGAAAAAACAACTCTTGTGTACAGAAAAAAATGCAATAGGTTTTTAAAAAAACTAGATGATGATTTGAAAAGCGCGTCGAATGATCATGATGATGCCGTCGAGGGTGCAATCGAAAATGGCTTCTACGGTGAAGCTCGCGTCGTTTTCGCGATCCACGACCCATTCGAACCGTAACCGGACGACCATGCCCATTTGTTTGGCGAGATCAATTTGGGTTTTCATGGCAACAATATCGCTCTCCTGCATGTAATGGTAGAGAGTTTTGCCGTACATTTCTTGCATATCCAAGCCAAACGATCTTTCGGCTTGATCAGATACCCATACAATCTGGAGATTGTCTGTAAATCGATTCAACAAGAGAAAGAAGCGCGGTTCCTTCCTTGCCGTCACTTTGGCCATGACCATCGGATTCTGAGAATCCCATGAATGCTCTTCTTCAGCGCGACGGTACTTTCGCACTTGGACGAGTTGCGCGCATCCATCAGGTTGCACCATGATCAGTTCATCCGTGGAATTGGCTCGTACTTTGTGTTTGAGACTCGTCTCATCGCGTAAAAAGTTGGCGGTAACAAGGAGATCGTAGCAATAGTGAACGATGCTTTCGACCTGAACGTAGGATCCGTTTTTATGCAAAAATCGGTAGGTGATCAAGGATGTGAGACTTTCGGTGGCGATGTTACGAAGATGAAGTTGCTGCAGTGCGCCGGCTTCATCGGTGTGCAAGAATGTGGATGAAGTCTGACCGACTAATTCCTCGGGAGTCCATCCCAACATCTCGGTGACGCTTTCGGAAAAGTAAAGGAACACTGGGTCGACGGCATTGTTGTAAATGGCGACGCAACTCAATTCCATCCTGAGGAATCAAAGTTGGGGTTTCTTTCAACCTGGGAGCGGATGTTCAAATATCATGCGGCTGGTCTTCATGCAATCCTATCCTGAGCTGGTCGTTCATCCCCGAATAACCAAAAAAAAACGACAAGGCTCCACACTCCATAGTAAAACGGACCCGATCGTTAGGATTCCGTCCCTAGGTCACATGAGCCGTCGTGGAGATTTCTGACAAAAAGCCACAAGCAAAACAGCGGTTTCTTGTTTCCTTCAAGACGAAACATTGAGCTGCGCACTATGATGATGTCATAATTACTCCAGTTGCACACTTTTTCGATGGAAGAAAAGGGTGCCGTCTTCTTTTTTTTTGCAGATTCAAATCTTTTGATTTTTTTCTTCTATTGTAACACTTTCCTGTTCAAGTCTTTTGTCTTTATACAATGGTCGGTCCTCTCGATAAGAACATGCTTTCCTACAGTGGAGGCATTATTGGCCTGATTGTGCTTATCCTTGACCTCATCGTCATCTTTGAAGTACTCAACTCTCGACGCTCCATGTCGGGCAAGTTGGGTTGGTCATTGTTGGTCTTCTTCTTCCCCATTGTGGGTCTGATTCTCTACTTGTAAGTGTATATTCCAGGAAGGGTAGCATGCATGAAATAGATGGATAGTGCTTTTTCTCACAGTCGTTCTTTGAAATCCTTTAGCCTGTTCAGCAACCGTGCAGAATACGGTGCTCGCTACGAGTCGATTGCCTAAAAGTCACTCTAAATCCATTCGTTACTGGTCTCAAGTCTTTTTCCATTACCTCTCCACAACTCACCCCATTATGCAAAAACCGAAAAAAAAACTTCCCGCGTTTCTAATCATTTGTTCACAGTCGATCTCGACAGGAAGCCTGTATACTAGTTGCTTTGCAGTCCATGATAATGATCTTTGTACCGATAATGGTGCACGCGTTATTCTGTACTTGTTATTAAATTGTGTATCCATTTGATCATTGTCTTTTTCCTTGTTTATTTTTTGTTTGCTTATCCATTTGGTGCAACACGATGGAACAGGTTCAGTACTCGCTATTTTAATTTGCCAAGTCATCTGGAAAAAGACCAAAGAAAGAAAAGAAAAAAAAAAAGACATATCTACAAGTGTGGTTGGGAATCTTCTCTCACATTCGTGTATCAAAGCGAATGAAAAAGAAAAATTTACGGTGCAATTTTTTTTTCTTTTTCAGTTATCGATTGTCATGCGGTATTTTTAGGATGCATAGGTTCCTTTGCACTAAAGGAACTGTATATGTTTATACAAAAAGACTTGGTATATACATGACGTGGAAACGGGGGGGAAGTTTTGGCATGGGAAGGAAAAAAAAAGAGTGATGAAAAAGGTAAAAAGTAGTAATAATGATCTAAGTACGGTAAACGGTGCTTCATGTGGAGTCATTTTCTGTCGTATCGGAACCGAACGCTGGATGATCTTGTGATGATGATGAAGACGATTCACGGGGTTTGAATGCATCAGAGGAGGACTTATGACTGGGGATTGGCGGAAGGGAAGAAGGGAATTGAGGTTGGCCGAAGGAACGGAACGATTTCAGTTCCCGGTTTTTCGCTGACACATAAGCGTCCAAAGAGGGAAGTTCGTGCGAAGAATGATCGTCGTGCATACTCAATTGATGCATAGGCACTGCGCTTGGGAATGGGTCATCTTTGTTGAAATGCGACCAAAACGTACTATTGCGCTGCGTTCCTTCTTGGTCGGCGGCACCACCTCGAGGTTGCATTCTTCGCGCGGATAGTGGGGGTGACAAACCGTGGTCTTTCGAATGCGTGCTCGGAACACTCGACACGGACACAGTTTGCGAAAATCGGGCACGTCCTTCATCGTAGCTTTCGATTTCACTGAATTTGTCGAGATAATCTTTGCGCCACGACTTTAATCGGTCTTTGAGAAGCGTAGCAATGGCAGGATCGCTGAAAAAGACACAAGCGATAAACAATCCTAGAAAATCATGATTCAATAAATCAGTCATTCGAAGATAAAACAGTTTTTTTTTCGTATATTTTACCTTCTAGATTGGAGAAAATCACGTCAATCATGGCCAAGGCATAGGGGGACCGATCAGAACTGATCAAAAGTTGCATAACAAATCCGAAAATATTGACAATAAAAGGAACTAATGGTAAAAAGACATCGGTTAGTCAAACATGATTGGTGTTCAAGTAGGGTAAATGTGTGAAGGACTTACCTAGAGGATAAAGAATGCAGCGTAAAACAACTTTACCAAATATACTCGGTTGTGCAGGCGCATCGCGAGTTTGATCGTCGGTTGCTTGATTTCCGCGGAATGACGGAAACTCTTTGATAAGTTTGTACATGGCAATGACGGAACATACCACCGCTATGACAATGATGCCAAAAACGAAGCCATAAAACCACATCTGTATAATATATAATACTATATCAGTATGGTTCTGAGCATATAGGCTCCAAAATGGCTTGAAAGCGAATCATTTACCCAAAAGAAATCACTGAAACCGTCGATCAGATAGTAATGAGTGTAGTACCTAAATCGTGTGAAAAAAAGCGATTAATCGAGACATTCCGCTATAATTATACTATATGTTTGTCATAAAAGAATACGTTACCAGCAAACATATTCGTTACCGTTGGACGAGCCGATGCGGGATTCCAGATAAATGGGGACGACGATGGTGACAAAGGAATATAGCAAGATGCCGGGATAGTAGAACAATTCCAAAAGGTCGGAGCGTTTGACATTAATAACGAAAATAAGGACCAGATTAAGGCCGACGACAGCCAATAAAGCTGCGCTTGTGATTTTTAAAAACAGGACAATGACAGCGCCGGCGTGACAGTAGACTGTGTCACCCACGGAGAGTACATTGGCTATATCGAACATGCCTTTTAGCACATTCATTACACTCGCTAGAAAGACACACCGTAGCGAGACCCGATTGGCCGGTTGTCGGTGGTAAAACCACAGGTACCCGTAACCGAGAATGGCGAGCCCGGCGCCAATGAGGGAAATGACCGACGCCACAATGGAGGCCGACATTAATGCTATGAAGGATTGATGATTGAACAGGAATTTACTTCCCTCACGTGGGGCTTCATTCATGGTATAGGACTAAAAGGGGGGAGGGAGGAAGAGGAAGAGGACGAGGAGGAAGAGGCTAAAGTGGATTTAAAGGTTAAATAGTAGGAAAAGAGCCAAAAGGGTCAAGGGCCGTTTAAACAAACGCTCAAAGGAAAAAAGTTACTTTAGTCTTGCTGGGTAGACCATAGTATTTATACCAGGTCCTTAGCCATAAAAGGCAAATCTGACTAGCTTATTTTTTTTTTTCAGTTCTTTTGGTGGGATCGCGATTCGTGTTACAGTCAAAGGAATATAGCTCTTGACCCAATTGCGCCACGGTGGAGTTTCCTTTTTAGTAGGGCAACGTGATCAATTGCCCGATGAAGCAACGCGAGGGAAAAAATGGGTAATTTCTTTTTCAATCATCCTTGCCTTCTTTCATCTTTTTGGTTCCACCTTTGTTTTGCCATGTGTGCTTTTTAGGTTTGGCAAAAACGAACCCCTTAGATTTCTATGATGATCCTTGTGCTTCGAATCAATTATAGATGTACTTTCTGCGCTCCCAATCAAGCTCATCTAAGCTGCCGATTACAGATATACATATTTTTGCATCCGCTTCCATCGCCTGTTTTCAATCACTAAAGAAAATAAAAAGAATATTAAAGCAAAAAGGGTGCAATGGCAAGTAGCATGCGCAGGTGAGTAGAAGAGACAAAGACAAGGTGGTTTTGACCGAATCATTTGCAGTGGGGTTGACCCAAAAAAAAAGGATTGTAGTGGAGCTATAAACAAACCGGAGGATAGAATGAAAGTAGTGAGTACGATTTTGACCTTGTGACAAACTTGATAAACCATGTTATTGGCATTTATAGCTTCAGTCACACAAGACGGCCGAGATGATGACCTTTAGATAGAGACAAAAGAGACACGGTTCGTATCCCATACTTGTCTACCTATCGAGCTTTGAAGGCTGGTTCTTTTCTTTATTTTTTCTCAAATCGATGAATTGGTATGATGAAAAAGGCTCTCCTTTGCTGGAATGGCAAAACATCCGTAGAAAGTCAGGAAAATCGGCTGCCCAAATGGCTCCCTGATGCGGTGAACGGACATTCTTTTATCCCATTTGTCTTCTAACAACATTCTCAGTTCTGGTCAAGGTCCGCCGCCCATCAGCAGGAATAAATTGAACTAACCGGTGGACGTGACTAAAAAGGTCAACTATTCCCGAAGACAGCATGTTTTCACACTGTCGATGCACGTCTAAATGGCATGCATATTCAACGTAAAGACGCGTCATCCACTACATTCACCAAACGAACGATGGTTACACGATGAGGGGGTTCAGCCTATATCGGGTTTGAACCGACAGCCTGTGCCATTGTATCCTTTTTTTTTTTTTTTTTTCACCAAAGTCGAAACTGATAGTCTGTCAATAAAGTTCAGACTCCATTTGGGATTTGGGATTGGGAGCGGGGTTCCTGGTCGCGCCGCCAACGGTACGTGAAATCGCACTGGCCTGACAGACCCATTCGTATCACCCACCCGTGTGATCCAGTATCCATATTCCATTTTCCATTTGCGCGGGAATAATAAGGCCTTTTTAGAAATTCTCGGCCGCATAGAAAAAAAAAAAAAAGAGACCATTCAAGTCTTAACAATCAAGAAGATAGAAAAAAAGTGCCGACCCAATTTACACTCAAATTGGTTTTGTCCTCCTCCACTATCTCTCGCTGTCAAACTCACTAGCTGTACATCCCTCCTGCCCTTTAAAGAGACAATGCATGCATGGATAAACGATCGATAAGGAAGGCTGGTTATTTCTATTTTCCTGTTTTCCCTTGTCATTTTTCATAATTCTTATAACTTTTTTGGCAAAAACTGTAATCTTAATGATTCAGATCCATCTGTCATCTGTACTATTTCTGATCCACCAAGTGTCATCAATGATACATGTGGTGGGTTCATACCATTAAAACAAAAAAACAAAAAAAACAAAAAAAGCTGCAAAGCGAGAAGAACTTCCATAAACAGGCAAACAATGAAGATAAAAAATAAAAATTCAACTCAGTGTCAACAACTCCTGAACGAAGTTGTTCGTTTCTCATTCTAGTTGAGTTTATTTTTATTTTCAGAATCTAAATCACCAATTATGATCAGGCATAGGCGGAGTATGAAGATGAAAGTGTGCAATGGCGCATCAGTGGAAGCCAAATAGAATCTCCGCTATGACTTTCTCATGATCCGGATCATGAAAAAAAAAAAGGCGAAGCTGTGGATGATAACATTCAACATGCATTTTTTTTTTTTTTTGCCGACATAAAAAGACGTCTTAGTCTAAGCCCATCGTGTTCTTGAAAAGGCAGGCATTTAGTTTTCAGTATTATGCATTGTTGCATGCACATATTTCTCAGTCACGTCCTTCGTCCTGACATTATTCAGCAAAGGTTGAAATATTAATTAAAAAACTGGTTTCGATTTTTAATATCGTAACGGCAAATGTAATATACTTAAAGAAACCCATGATATCGTGAACTGTGGATATCCCTTTTATGATAATGATCGGCACTATACCTGTTTCGACTCATGTGTCGCTTTCACGGCTGAATACAGTAAAAACAATCCACAGCTGCAGAACAGCACGTTGTGTGAATTTTTTCATGGTTTTGCCGATTCGTATGCTGGTTATTATTTCCCCCAATCGAACCACAGTCCTTCATTCACAAACCATGTCTGTCTGTGTGGGTGTTGTATGCGGAGTTGGATATGCCTCGGTTACGTTGAGCTCTCCTGCATGCTGGGAAGAAAACGTCCATCCAATTTTGCTGTACGCGATGAGACGATGCATGTCATCTATTGACTCATGATAGAAGAAAAAGCCGCCCTTCGCCATAGGAATGAGCCATATGAAACAGAGTCATTCTTCTGACACGTCATGAATCTCATCATTTGCGGGGAAACGGGCCATTTGTGTCACCCTGCCATAGTCATGGATTCAGTCACCGTTCATTTTTTATCTGTGCGGAGCTGACTAATGTAACGGCCGCAGCAAGTTTCCAATATTTACCGTCCGTATAAAACAGTATGTGTCTGTCGCTGCACAATATTGACACAAAAACAAGGCTAATTCAACGCTAATAGTGAATCGTTTCAACTTGATCCGTCCCTACTTGCAAAGAAATATGACAACAGCAACATCGAACCAGGCACCCGTGTTTTTCTTTGATTGTGACAATTGTCTCTATGTAAGGAACGGAATAGGGTCATGGTGTCATATCCAACCTACTCATGAGGAATCACCTATTTAGCACAAGAATCTCGGTATTCTCACCATGATGAGAGAAAGGTAAGACATGATTAGCCGCACGAGTGTGATCTACGTGCTCAACCGTCGTCCATATTAGAATTGTCAAGTACATCAAAGATCTCGGTATCCCTGAGGAGGATGGTAAGAACTCAAGCTGGGACGCGCTAGGGCACCGTGAACAAATAAGTACGGATTCATTCAATGAGGTTATTGAATAGCCATTGTTTTACGTAATCGCTACCACTTGGATTACGGTCTTGCTCTTCGAGGTTTACTGAAACATCACCAGGTGGATCCCATTGACTATGGTACAGTAAACGACTTTGTGAGTCATAAGAAGGGGGAAATATGCTAATATCTTTTGGTCCTCAGACGAGAAAGTGGATCAAAGCTTGCCTTTGGAAAGCGTGATGAAACCTGATCCGGCCCTTAAGGATATGCTGAGCAAATTAAAGATGAAGAAGTGGGTGTTTACCAATGCCTATCAACCTGTAAGTAGTGTAGTGATTGATCAACAGTTGGCATACTCATTGTTCTATTAGCATGCTACTCGTGTGCTCAATATCTTGGGCATTGCCGATGAATTTGATGGTAAGTGAGGGAGATCTCCCACCTGTTATCACTCATTGGGGGGTCCGCAACTAATCGACGCCTTACCGTACATTTCAAGGCATGACCTTTTGCGACTACCGTATTCCCAACTTTGATTGCAAACCCGGTAAGCCATAGGATCAAGTAGGGTGGATTCATGTACAAAATCAGCTCATTTAATTTGTTGCCTGTCGTGATTAGAGGTTTCCTTTTACCATAAAGCAATGGCCCATGCAGGTATCAGCGACCCCACTCTGTGCTACCTGGTAGACGATTCCGCTGCCAACATTGACGCCGCCAAGGTAAAGACACAAGAACAATGTATGGGACGTGTTTGTAAGTATCTCATATGGATGTGGTTTAGCAACTTGGATGGAAAACGGTGCACTTGGCCGATGACGCATCACAGTCCCATCATGGAGACTATCAAATTGAGGATATCCACGAGTTACCCAATGTATTACCAGAGTTGTGGAAGTGATTTCAATGATAGAGACGAATTGTAAATTGGCAGTATATTTGGTTTTTCTTGGTAGAATGCAATAACATGTTGAAAAATGCAATGAGTCTTCCTTTTCTTTTTTTTTTTCGTCATACAACTGTTTTTTTTTAATCTACCAAGAACCAGGACATCCGATTTTTCTGACGAGATGGAACGAATAGCTTCTTTTGTCCACTTGTGTTGCGTAGGACGCTTCTTTCTTTTTTCCAACCTTTCTTTGCACCTCAACGTAACATGGTACTAAACGTTTTTGATCGTGTCCACCCGTAAAATGGGACACGCTGTTGCTTTGTGATACGGTCAGCTTTTTATTTTTTTTTATTTTTTTTGACGCCGGGTCGCGGAAGGGTGATCACAACAGGGGATCGTCTGAAGTGTGATTTAATTTCTCAAGAAACTAAATTGATTCATGTGACGCCGGTAGCACGCCGACAGAAATATGATTTCATCGATGGCATATACGAACGTGGAAGGAGCTAAAAAAGGACACGTACAATCTAACCAAACGTAATGGCTACAGAAAGTTGATTACGACCTCTCGACTCGTTATGGTGTTTACTGTGCATCGTCATGAACACAGCAGCGGAAGAGTGGGATCCGGGAACACATATTGCCGTTTCGGTTAGGGGTGGGGGTGGGGGACAGAGACGATCGCTTTCCTTTTGAGTGAGATTGATTCATCTTGTCCATAACAGTGACTCAGTCAAAATTTTTAACATTCACCAAATGCGCGCTTTTACGCTTGACAAAGCTATGCCGTTCTGGGCACCGATTCCCAATCCATTGTCTGTTTATCAATAGCTTGTAAAGAAAAGTGTCGATCCGATGACCACGAAAATTAGCTAGATACATCGCATAGCCTTACTTGTGTTTGACCCACCCTTTAGCGAGCAATTGAGCAAATAATCACAGTTGTTCAGCATGTAAAGATAGCCCACGCCTTTTCTGGCTCGAAAATAGACGTAACGTGCCCATTTAAAAACCATGGGCTACCGGTTTTTGATGAGATCATACAATTTTAATGAATCTGTTGACTGGACATTGCCATTTTGGACTTTGTGGCGATTTGTGGGGAAGTTGGCATGACACAAGAAAATGGTCCAATATGGTAGTGTGTACCCTGTTGTGCATTGCCTCATTGGCACTAGTCTAGATCACATAACCACGGCAAATCCTTTCATTTCGTGCATCAATGCTATCCCACAATTTTCATCCTCCACAATATACCCGCGATGGATCCGTTCCACAGCAATGTTGATCAAAAGATAAACAACAGGATGTTTTACATGATCATGATAAACAGGATAGGCCATTTTAGGGATGGTCGCACATCAACACGTTACCTTTTTTTAAAGTGTGGGAATTATAGCGAAGACAAGCGATTGTATCATTCATCTCAATATACAATAGAATGATTGGACTCCATGGGATTCTCGACAAAAAAAGTCCAATCATGACCGTTATACGGATTTGCATCAACCGTACATTATCCAACTCGATGAAGGTACAATATTTTCGTCCAGAAATTCAAAGCCAAAAATAGACAGAACATACCCTGCAGAAAATGCCATTTTTTGCGTGCAGGGTGTTCCCCTGTCGTGTGTCCTATGAGTTGAATCAAATAAAACGCGACAAGGCACTGAGCAAAGAAAAACCAAACACGTTTTAGTCTAAGCAGCCAAAAAATGTTTGGATGATCAGACACTTTCAAAGGATTTCATACAATCAGCGAAAGAAAAAATGTATGCGCATCATAGGTGAAGAGCAGTCGTCAATGTGTGGTTGGGAAAGTTTCCTCTTATTTTTTGACTGCTGTTTTCGGACATTTCGTTTCTTTTTTGTCCTGAATCCATAGTGATGTTTAACGCTAGCTGGAAGATATCATATCCGTCCCTATAAAATAACCCTAATGGAAGGCAAGCCGGCCACCGCTTCCAAGACGACCGTCGAAGCTCTTCGGGAACAGTTGGCCCAACTCAACCTCAATACCGGAGGCAACAAATCCGAACTCAAACAACGATTGCGCAAAACCAAGAAGAAGCTGCAAGCCCAAGCAGACAAAGCCAAACCGATCGATCCACCGTCCGACCCCCAAGATCCCATTGAAACCTCCCCAATGAATCGGTAAGCACCACTTGCCCCCAATCAACTTGTTTTTCACGCACTGACCTCCCTTGGCAGATCATCGCATCCGACGATCCGACCACAGCCTCACGATTATTATCTATTTTTCGACGTGGAGGCCACTTGTGAAGCAGACGGATCATTTAACTTTCCCAATGAGATCATTGAATTTCCTGTTGTTCTTGTGGATGGCAAGACATTCGAAATCGTAAGCTAGTCTTTTGACTGCAGATTCGCTGATCTGATGATCTGATCTGATGTTTTTTTTTTTTTTTTTTTTCAAGGTGGATGAATATCGATCTTATGTCAAGCCAAGTATTAATCCTGTTCTGTCCACTTTTTGCAAGCAATTAACCGGCATTAGTCAGGTACAGCCTCGTAGATACACTATCAACCACACTATTTCTTTATACTAATGCATGTTTCTATAGGAAACCGTGGATGCCAGTCCCTCGTTTGTCGAAGTATTGAATGATTTCCAAAAATTCATGGCCAAATATTCCCTTTTTCAAGATAAAACAGCGGCTTTTGTCACTGGTAAAATGCATAAAAAGAAAAAGCACGCCACATGGAAAGCTCATAAAAGAGATAATAGATGGACCTTTTGATATCCGGGATTTCATTACCAAGCAGTGTGCACACAGTCGGATCAAGAAACGACCTGCGTATTTCTCCGTCCCCTGGGTCAATATCCGAAGACTGTTCAAGGACTTTTATGGCTATTGTGACACGAAAAACATCAGCGGTATGTTGGATGCCCTGGATCTAAAGTTTGACGGCAGAGAACATTCTGGATTAGACGATGCTCGCAACTTGGTTTTTATTGCTCAACGCATGCGAAACGAAGGATGTGTATTCAAGTGTAACATTGCCTGGGACGAACGCACCCGCCGAGCCCACGCCAGGCGCCAACAACGTCGTTATTAATTAAAGGAAATGCTTTCGCGTCTTTTCTAGCGTAATCATCTTTTCGATGCATTCAATCATGGTATCGCCCTGGATATCCGGACCCCCATCGTCATCGTGTTGCTTCACATACACTTTCTCTTCCGTCGTCAAATACACCGTGCGCATCGATACATTTTTGGCCCCCGCCAAATCCCACGCATGCGTTGCCACCATGTAAAAATTCTATTCCCCAACAGAAACAGGTCAAAAGCATCAGAAATTCAATCAATCTATTGTTCTCAAAAAAAAAAAAAAAAAAAAAAAAAAAACGCTTACTTCTATTCGTTGGGTACGATGCACCGCCATTCGCATCAGTTCCGAGTACACTTTGGGATGCGGTTTGGAAATATTGAGGTCGTCACAGCTGAGCACGTTATCACCAATGTACGAGGTCAGCTGGCTCTTTTGTAACAAGTCCAGCGTGTTTTGATATCCACCATTTGTCAGTATCCAAATATCCCATCCGTTCTCCTTGAGCAACTCGAGAGACTCCACTGCCGTAGAGACCGGCTCCAGTTCTTTAAAAGATGCCATAATATAGTTCTCCTCGAATTCTTTGGGCATACGGTAACCTCGAACAAGGAGCGCCCGACGGAGCGAATTGCGTAGCATCTTGATCAGTGGGCAGTACCGCCCAGCGTGCGACGTGCCAAAATAATCACGCAAAGCCGCCCAATGCCATGAGTAAAAGAACGCTTCTGCTTCCGCGCGCGTCGTTAAATGATTCTTGAACGTCTTATGTAACCGGTCAATGACCTTGTCAAATGTGTACAATGTGCCTTTTGGCACAAAATAGCCTGTAAGCGTCTCTGTACATTTCTCTCGATCACACAACTTCCTCTCCCCTGTTGATGGTTTTTTTTTCTTTCGGTCTTTACGCCATTGCCTATGTAGCCTACCTAGGAAATCAAAGGCAACAGCGGGCATCGGTGGGGTATGTTAATAGAATGGAAAGGATAGTAAATAATAAAAAGAAAATAAAAAATCGAGGATGGTATGGCTGAGTAATATATGAATAATAATAAAATCACAAAAGAAGATAGATGGGCGAAACAAAATCAAATATGTGCCTAATTTATATCAAAAATGGCAAGCTGACCGAGAACCGTGATGGCTATCAACCTGTGGGTCGCTGTGGTCGGATGCCATCCGTCCCACCATAAATAACTAAACATGAAACCTCTGTATCAATGTCCACTGGTGCTATATTGCTGCCAGATTAGTCATCACCTACCGATTGGGGTATTCTTCGCAGAGAAAGGCTTGCGAGATACACGTATCATTGATCTCTGCAAACCCGAAAATGACAGGGGCTAGAAAGATGGAGTCAAATAAGGAGTGAATATCCACAAACACCGTCCTTGTTCCCGTCTGTGCTGAAAAGCGCCGAGCCAATGAGCGTAATTTGGCGTTATACTGGCGTACAAGCCATCGCAATTGTTGACGTTCATCTTCCAAGGAATCCGCAAACAAGGCTAGCCGGTCAATCGGCGCCAAACCCAGAATTGCCAATTGCTTCGCCGATGCAACTTGATGTAAAACCCTCTATTTCCAATGTTAGCATCAATCAAGTCAATAATTCTTTGATAGAAAGTGAATCGGCCAACTTACAAGCTCGTTTTCGATCGAAAGCACGACTTGATTGATTGTTTCTAGTTGTTGCTCGGTTTCATTGATCGTGGTGAAAATATCATGGACATCGTTGACCCCTAAACACAAGGTATCAGTAAGGCCGGTTATTAGGTCCCTGTGTCAGCGGTATGTGGATCACATAACCTGTCCAAATCATAAAAACCGAGCGCTCCGATTCTGATTGCCCGATTTGGGACTCGTTACCAAGGAACAAACCAATCTGTTGTCCAACGTCGTATGTGGAACGATTCACTACAGACTATGCATAAATGAATTTACCACCATTTTCAAATCCAAATTTTTTGTCAAAGGCCCATACATTATTGGCTGTCGCTCCAGAGAACGCATAATCATACAGATCCGCTCCAGTCATCATCGACAGGTATTCCACCCATGTCCATCCATTGCTCTGCCGTTGTTCCTAGTAACCCCATAAGAAAAAGGAAAGGTAGTCATGAGTAACAATGCCTCATTAAAAAGCCACACAACTTGCGATGCCAAAACTTACATTTGCTATTCCCGAATTCAACTGCCTACACAGTAACAAATGAGATGGATAAGAGACGAGCATCAATGAAAAAAATGGTATCACTGGTTCTTACCCGTTATCGGACCATGAATCCCCAAAAATGATGAGTTTGTTTGCATATGGTACTGCATGGCAGCCATCATCCTGCATACAGAGCACGGTGCGACTTTCCGTCATGCATACATGCATTATCAATAAGCCCACGGTGAGAAGCCTTCTCGTCCAACTCCATGAAACTAGCGTGAAATGTTCCATTGCAAAACAAGGAGTACAAAAAATAAAATATGAGAGAGCAAACCATCATCAAACGTGAAAAATCTTTCCTTTAGTGTACTCTCCATAAGTTCCCTATCAGTTGCTAAACATACCGAGAAATAGCCGATGCCGATTACATGCGTCGTTATTGACAGAGACCGTTCCCATGACCTGTGCATCCCGCTAGGCTCCTTTGCACTCTTTTGCAAACCGCAGCAGTACTCATGTGGTTCTAATTCAGACATGCACAGTGACGCTATTGAATCATGATCAATGGTTCTCTAAATGTAGGTTGTTTATTATTATAAAAAAAAGGGGGGGTTGAAATTTTTTCTTTGCGTTCATCATGGTGCTGATAGGGACCCTCTTGGAAACGACACTTTTTTTCTGACAAGGAATAGAATGGATGAAGGACCAAAAAAAAAAAAAAAAAGGAAAAAGAAATAGAGGTGAGATAGACAAGAGACATAAGAAAAACAAAAGAATGACCAAGAACGATTATCGTGGGATGGAGACTTGCGATGCATCCAATCCGAGAGCATGCAAGAAGAGGTTGACGTTGGAGATTTTATGGGCCGCCTGAGTCGCATTCAGACGATTGCTGTGAACCAGCACAATATTTTCCATTACACGATCCCTACCACGCCTAGATTAGTTACCCCATACTCTTTTTTTATCAGTCCGGTTCGTTTTTGCTGCTTACCTGATTTCGGTGACGAGGATGTGTTGCTGATCCATTGACGCGCCTACCGCCATGGCCGCCAAAAATTGCCACACATACATGTCATCAATGTCGAGCGATAACTGTAGCATATTCGTGTTTGGATAGACGGGGACAAGGTAGTATAAAGACGGGAAAATATGTGCGTATTTCGTCTGCAATAGATCAAAGAATCGATTGTACGCCTCATGCCATTGAGCCAAATCATCGCTGGAAGGAGGCATCAAGCCTTGCAATGCGCCACCACCTTGCTTCAAAATCTCGGCGCGCGACAAAAGCATGGTCAAGAAGGCAAGTCCAGGCTTGCTTCGTGCCACCACGTCCGTGTCATTCTTGTCCATAAATAGATAAAGTAACTTATTCACCACGTTCAAGGGCGCTTCCGCAATGAACGATAATAATGGAGGCGCCGCCGTATTCATGAATAATTCCACATCTTCAAACGTCACAAACTGCTGCGCCTTGGCCTCTTCCGCATTTGCCACCATGGTACCTGGGTAGATCACGTGGCGACACACTTGAAGTTGCGCAAAATGGCTAACAATAGCAGTAATCATCGTCAAATTCTGCTCGCTCGTCAAATGTCGCACGATACGCGGGATCAGCTTCTTGCCTTTGGCAATCGAAAGAACACCAATCACATCGGGCGTGCTATTGATCAAATCCGTCAGGCCATCCGTACCCAAAGTAAACCTTCTTTTTTTCCCCTTACCTTTCATTGTTTGCCTCCGATAAACCCAGGGCTTCCCATAGTTTCTCAGTTTCCGCATTGCATGCCTCGTTCCTGCCAAATGAAAAAGAAGGGGAACAAAAATTAAATAAAACCCTACGATTGGACTCTCACAGTAAAAGATGGACCGCCATAGTCGTCCTATATGCGAAAAAAAAACAAGACGAAAAGGAAAAAGGAAAGGGCACATACCATGCTTTCATTGCATCCTCCTCGTCTTCTTCATGACGTGATCGATTACGTGCGGGTCCTTGACGACGCAATTGTTCGATCTTCAGGACAATGTCGTACAAACTTTCGACTATACGAAGCGTGCGACGGCGATCATTCAATGTAGAAGCGCCTTGCTTGCCATGCTAACACACAATCCAAACCGTCAGCCCATACGTTGCGCTTTTCTTTTCTTTTCGTTTCTCCCTCCTTTCCCCGCTCGATCTACTTACAGGTACAGGATGCCGCTTGTCCGAAACTTCACGCGTGCTGTCCTTGGTACTGGGCGAGCTCACTTTCTTGTCGGATACTTGCAATACCTGACGAGGATTGCGAACGGTCAATGAGGTGATCTTACCAAGCGCACCTTCCAAGGACACTACGAAAACCATCATCATGAGATTTTCTCGTCCATCCAACATGGCTACAATACCAAGGCCTACCTTGTGTTTGTTTAGGCCTGCGCTTGGCATCATTCACAATGCGTTGCAACTGTTGCTGCATTCTTTGCATCATGTTGTCTTCTTTATTCTGTCCACGGCCGCCACGGTGACTGTGCTCATAGGCCGTATGCGTAGAAGCCCACGTAGGAAGTCCAGCGCGCTGACGAAGCGAAGTATACACTTGATAGTAGAAATCGCCCGAGTAAGGATCTCCTTGTGCCAATTGCGAAAGTTGCACGCGATTAATGAAATCCTTATCCCGCTGGGTCATCAATTCGTCGTATCGTGACTATGATGAGCTCCGTATATGAGCATGGGATTCGTTGTTTCTGAACAGAGCTACAACATACCTTGGGAGGCGTTTGCTTACGCTGGAGTTCGCGTTCAAGAGCCAGTTGTTGCTGGAGCAATTCTTGCTGCTGCTGTCTGAGCGCCATCAATTGCATTGGATCGCCATTCACACCAAAGGGAAGCATGTTTGGATCTTGCATCGGGACACGCGAAGGGCTGCTGCCTGCGAGCATGGCCGCTTCGACTTCGGCCAAACTCAACATCTTTTTTCCTTCCATTTCTCGCGGGGCACGGCCACTGGCAGCTTGACGTTGCAATTCGGCTTCAATGTCTTCCAAGCGCACGGGTTGGCTGCGACGTTGCGATGGCTGCCCAAACGAGGAAGAAGGCGAAAGACCCGGCGGAGGCGAAGGAGTGTAGGGTGATTCGCGCGACTGAGAAGGATGACCATGGTTGCGGTTACCCCCGAAAGGTGACAAATTGTTGTTCGAAGAAAGAGATCCAAAACCGCGATCTATGCACCTCGCTTGAATACCACCATTCTCCTCAACACATTTCTCCACCTTCTTTGCACCCAACCGTGCACCTCGCCAAATCCCAAACTTACCTGTGGATAAACCGCCTGCAAAATTTCCCCAAATGGAGGACGAATTGGTAATGGGAGGCGACTAATGGATAAAAAAAAGGTGAGCAAGCGCTGAACGGCGGATGGGCATGGAAAGATAGAAAAAGATTACCTCGGCAAACTGTCTCGTGTTGCGATCATGGACGGGAGTACGGTCGCGAATAGGTGAAGCACCCCAAGGATTACGAAGATTGTTGGTTCGTTCTTCTACTACAAATCACTCAGGTTAATGAAATTCTATCAAAAATCGGCAATCCTCCCGAAAGCTCTACCTCTTGGTCCTCGCTTCACAAAGAATGCCTCTTCTTCCATGGTATTCGCCTTGAACTTTTCAGTGTTGGAAGCAAAATCGAAGTCCTGGCCTAATATATGTAGAATAAAACAAGTGTTATCTTCCACAGTCATTCACCCATCGGCTTGGTGACCTGTAAGCTTAACAACATACCAATGGGACCACCACTGCCAAAGGTTTCGTCATTGTAGTCATCGTTTTCCTCAATCAGTTGGTCGCCCAATCCGTCGTCTTGTTCCTCATCGTCCAAAGTGTCTTGCAACGTATCAAAATCAAACACTTCAGTCTCCTCTACAGCTCGGTCCCCATTATCTCCCAAGCGCCTCAGCTCGCCTTGACTCAACGGCGGCATCTTGGTGTTAAAACTAACCACCGACGAAAAGTGAGTCTCTATTCGCTCCATCATTTTCTTCACTCTCGGTCTTCTTACCCAAAGAAGGAATCGCCCATGATATTTCAAATATTCCCAGCGACTTATTCCTTGATTTCGCGGTTGTTACTTGTTTGGTTCTTTAATGAATGCTCGGCAAAAGGCTGTGCACGTATTCTACTGAAGAAAGGAAAAAAAAAAAATAACGGAGGTTCAGTAGGTGAATCTTCGTTCCCGTTGCGCTCAGCTGTATATGCCACTTCCACTTACTGCTACCGTCTTTTTTATCCTTGCAGTTGAATAAATGCAAACACAAAAAAAAAGTGGTAATGCACGAGTTTTACCAGAAACAAAAAAAAAGAGCCTTTCTCGCTGGAAATAACCACCCGTTCTTGCTCGCTCTTGGGACGAAAGAAAAAAAAAACGGGTAAAAAAAATGTGACATCACGAGCTCACATTTCAATCCCAGCAACCCACATTTGGAGGGCAAATGCACACCTTTGGTTTGTCTGCATCAGCACTCGAGCATGATTTTCCTGATTTTCCCGCTTGTCCACGTTTTGTTAGCAATAGCGTGTTTAATCTATTAAGCATTGTTTGTTAACAATAAATAGCTCTTTTATTGTGGCTGTGTATACATGTATTGAACGGTTATTGAATGGTCGCCAGTCTTTTGTTTGTAAAACTTGAGGAATGGACGGTTTGGCTTTGAGATTGACGATCAAAATGAACAAGGGCGATAAAATGAAGAGGTACACAATATGTGTTTGGGATGACGGATTAATGGTTGTGTATTTTACGGCAGAAGGGAATTATATAGGGGATCGGATTCACTGAGCTGAGCGTTGGTGTTTGATGATGAATGGATGTTGCAAGACTTTCCTCAGTGGTAACCGATCTACGGATCTGTATTGCAAAAGCTACCAAAGGTCCCAGAAAATGTTTGATCAGTCTCCTGTAGGTACAGGACGTTGTTCTGATACTTACTTTTCGGATCAAATCGGCTGCTTCTGCGCTGACATGACCAGGCATATTCAGATCCACTTGGACAATACGATGGTAAGTAGCAATATAACCTTTCTCATCTTCAAACGGAGGATGACCGCAAATCATTTCATACAGAAGGACGCCCATGGACCACAGGTCGACATTCTCATTGTGGAGTCCCCCTTGCACCATTTCCGGAGGTAAGTAATCCAGCGTTCCACATAACGTAGTTCGTCGTGATCTACAAAACAGCACAAATTTTTTTTTCAATAAATCCAAAACTTGAACCACGACACAAAAAACAAAACCATATTCAACATACTCGGTCGAGGCGGTGCGAACAGACCAGCCAAAATCGCCAATTTTTAGTTCTCCTCGAACGTCCAACATTAGATTCTCAGGTTTAATGTCACGGTGAATGATCCGTTGGCTGTGCAAATACAGCAATGCATTTGCCATTTGCATAATATACTGGTCAATGAGTATCAGTAAAAAGATTCTTGATCAATATCTTCCTTTCCAAGCCTACCTTGGCAGCAACTGATTCGGCGAAACGACCTTGACGTTGCAGTTCATTGTATAGTTCACCTTTGCCTGCCAATTCGAGAATCAAAAAGACGCGCGTTTCATCGTGGAAATAGCCATACAATCGGAGAATATTGGGATGTCTAAAGCCAAAAAAAAAAAAAAAAAAAAAAAAAAAAAACGATTCATAAACTCGAACAATAACAAACCGTGCCATGATCTCCAAACAAAAAAAACAAAAAAAAAAGGTCCATACCGAAGGTTGCCTTGGATTTCAATCTCTCGTTGTAATTGACGCTGCACGCCATGCGTACACAGTTGCTTCTTGTACAAAACTTTGAGCGCCACCACATATCCGCTTTGTTTCTCGCGCGCTAAATACACATGGCCAAACTTGCCTCGGCCCAAAGCTCGACCAATCTCAAAATCAGACAACAACCACTGCTTTGCATGGCCATGCTCTCCTGATAATCTGTAACGAAGAACAACTCGATCAGTGTTTGATGCGTCGAAAAAAGAGACTGGCGTCATTTTTACCGCAATGCGTTTGCTTTATCCGTCAAAGGTCGATTTCGTAGGCGCTTGCGATCAATTTCCGCAGCCGATTCACGCAGTGAAGCAAAAGTGTCGGTACTCACGGCGCTGGATCGATGTAACAGGGATCGTTGCTTTAATGGCGGACGATAAACTTCCGTTGCTGAGGAATCGCTCATGATGACATTGTCATACGGTTTTAAGGGTTGATTATCCAATGACGATCCGTTCTGTCGGAATAGCGTTAGTCGATGATGTCAAACACGTTCTATTAGAGTTTGTGTTTACCTTGCTGAATGTCGTTCCTGAGGGCTTCTTGTTTCTCATGTTGTCGGAATATTGCCATGTTGAGTGAGACATAACCTCCATGGAGACACGGGGATATATATTTTGTCACGATCGTAATAATCAAGGGGTATGACACGCAAACAAACACAAAAAATATGGGTTCTGGGAACAAAAGAACAGAAAAATAATAATGAAATGACCAAAAAAAAAAAAATAACCGACCCGAATATCCAAAAAAGGAGAAACAAGAACCACAAAAGAACAATGTGTCGGACCTGTTAGCGGTCCTCTAAACGTTTTGTCTTAATGACTCACGGTTCGTAAATATCAACAACAAAGCTCAGTATGAGTAATAGTCGATATATCATGAATAGATAGCATTGTCATAATAGAATATAAAAAGAAACCCCAAAACATTGAATAAACATCATCATTCGTTTTATTGTCAATCCTCGTCTATTTACTTTGGTGATCGTGCAGTTTATCAGATCCAGTAAATACGACATTTGGTAGCGGCTGTCACTTTTATTGTTTATGGAACCAACCGATTTGCCTGTGACAGACATCTCCCTGATTACTGAAGACGACAAGAAAAGATTTGAAATCGAAGACCGTGTAGCCAATTTTTTGCCCGTCGATCTTATTGCCGAATATCAGAAGTATCGACAAATTAAACACATCCCCGCCAAAGACAGACTCAAATCGACTCCAGCACGTGAAGAATTCTGGAGTAAGCACGCAAAGAACCTCGCTGATAATTTCAAGACTCGCCTTATCACATCCAAGACCCCTCATCACGAAATGAGTGACGCCGCCCCTTTGACTCCTTCGCAACCCGCCGCCACTTCCTCTGACTCACTGCCGCCCCATGTAGCTGATAGCGTTCCCCATGGTATCAAACTACCTCCGCCTGATACCTACCACGGTGATCGTGTCGCAAGTGTACTTGACAGCTGGCTCCTTTCTATCACTCGATACTTCCAACTCAACATGCTTCCTGCCGACCGATGGGTACCCATGGCTGTTACTTTCCTGCGTGGACGCGCCCTTGTTTGGTGGAATTTGCTCGAGACCCAACGCTCTGCTCCTTCCACTTGGATCGGGTTCAAGAATGAACTGATCGACCAGTTCCGCCCAGCATACTCCCAGCAAGCAGCCCGTCGCCGTCTCCGTGAACTTCGACAAGTTGGCTCCATCTCGGATTTCGTGGATACGTTCCAGTCCATCCGCCTTGAACTTCCCGGCATGACCGATGATGAAGCCACCGACCGATTCATTTCCGGTTTAGAACATGATGTTGCCGCCCACGTCATTCAGACAGACCCGGTCAGCTGCTCTGACGCTATGCGTATTGCCCTTGCGTTCGAAAATGGCCGTCGCCTTGGTTACAACGCTTTTCCCCAACAGTCGATGCGCACAAGCCCCTCTAGTTCAGATGTCACCCCCATGGACATTAGCGCTGTCGTTGCCGCCACCATTGCCCAGTTGAACTCCAACCAACATCAAGGTTTCCCCAATCGTTCTGGTCCTCCCCGGCGTTCCTCGATCAAATGTTACTGGTGTCGCCGTGAAGGCCACATCCAATTCCACTGCAAGGAACGTGCTCGTGCCATCCGCGAATTAGAACGTGCCCACAAAGCCAAATTTTCCCATAGTTTACATCATATCGAATCGTGTAATGATCATTCTCCGGAAATAAAGGAATCATCTTCTGCCCAGTACTCTCCCGAGATTTTATCTCTCCGCCATGATATACACCCACCTTCGGAACCTGGTCCCGATGACCTCCCTTCATCGGACTTGCCCCCAGTTCCCGACCGTCATGACCCTCCGGAATTTTCTGACTCACAATTCTTCCAGGCTATGAATGCCAGAAGTGTCGACCGCCTACCTCTGTATCCCGTCACCATTCAGGGTCACCGTTTCCTTGCCCTCATCGATAGTGGAGCTAGCACCAACTACGTCAGCCCTCGTGTCGCGCCTTTCGCCTCCCGTTTTACCCCTTTCACAGGTGGTCAAACCGTGGAAACAGCCAACGGCCAGCTCTCTGCTATTGAAGGCCAAGCCTCCATTACGGGTACGCTGTGTGATCTCCCCTTAACGTTCGATGCATTGGTCTTTGACTCTAAGTTCGATGTGATCCTTGGTACCACCTGGCTTAAAGATGCTTCCCCTATTCCCGATTGGACTGATCAGACTTGGACTGTTCAGACGGACGCTCGCTCCTATATTCTTCGCCCTAGTACCCATTCCGAATCCACTGATGGTGCCCATTTGCTCCTTTCTGCCAAGCAAGTCGCCAACCTTCTCCGTCGTAATGAAGCCCGCTGTTTCTTATTGCATCTCAAGCATGACCCTCCGCCGAACGACGACAATTCCGCCTGGATACAGCAACTGACGAACGAATTCACCGAAGTCTTTAGCAACGATATCACTGGGCTACCCCCAGATCGCAACGTGGAGCATATGATCGAAACTGGTGATTCCAAGCCTGTCCATCGATCTCCCTACAAAATGAGCCCACTTGAACTCGATGAACTCCAACGACAACTTAAGGATCTTCTGGCAAAAGGACATATTCAGCCGAGCTCATCACCATGGGGTGCTCCTGTCTTGTTTGTCAAAAAGAAGAATGGCGAGATGCGTATGTGCATCGATTATCGTGCCTTGAACAAACTGACGATTCGCAATAGTTATCCTTTGCCTCGCATTGATGAATGCCTAGATCGACTCCGCGATGCCCGTTTTTTCACTTCCCTCGATCTCAAGTCTGGATACCATCAAGTTCGTATTCGCCCTGAAGACGTTCCAAAAACGGCATTCAACACTCGCTATGGCCAATTCGAGTTTCTGGTCCTTCCATTCGGCCTCACCAATGCCCCTCCTACTTTCCAACGCCTCATGAATTCCGTGCTCAAGGATTGCCTAGACAAGTTTGCCATGGTCTATCTCGACGACATCCTCATTTTTAGTCCGACCATCGAGGATCACCGCGCCCATGTACACACCGTTTTGGAAAAGCTCCGCGAAGCTCAGCTCGTCGTTAACCCGAAGAAATGCCATTTTGCCCAAACCCAGCTCTCGTTCCTAGGTTTCGACATCTCCGCAAATGGAATTCTCCCCTCGCGTGACAAGGTGAAAGCCGTTCAAGACTGGCCGGTACCCACCAACGTACAAGAAGTACGCCAATTCATCGGTCTCGCCCAACATTATCGTCGCTTCATCCCCGGTTTCGCCCACATTGCCGCTCCGATCACCGATCTCACTCGAGGCACTGGTGCCAAACAACGTTCGATCACTTGGACGCAAGAGTGCCAGCATAGTTTCGATCTCCTGAAGAGTAAACTCACTGAAGCGCCTCTCCTTCATTCGCCCGATATGACTCGTCCGTTCCGCATCGAAACTGACGCTTCCGATTATGGCGTGGGTGCTGTTCTGCTACAACAGGATGACACTGGTGATTGGCGCCCCTTGGCCTACGAATCGAAGAAACTGTCCCTTGCCGAACGACGTTTTCCCGCTCAAGAACGCGAACTAATCGGTGTTCTTCACGCTCTCCGTACCTGGCGCTGCTTCATCGATAGTCGAGAACGAAACTACTCCGTATTTGTTGATCATCTTTCCCTCAAGTCGCTTCGCTCTCAGAAGAACCCTACGGCCCGCCTGATCCGCTATCTCAACGAATTGGAATCTTACGACCCGGATATCCAGTACAAGCCTGGTGCTGACAACACGATCCCGGATTTGCTTTCGCGTGTCGGTGGCCCAAATTGTGAGCCAGCTCAAGACGATATCGAACCCAAGTACCTGTACACTATTGAGGCCGAAGACCCCCATGTCGACCCACAAAACGACTGGCCTCGTTTCTACACGCTCGATCCTTCCAACTGGCCCCGCCTAATCAAAGAAAAAATGGAAAAGAACAAAGAGCATTTCACAGTTCGGGACAAAATGGTGTTCTATCGTCCTCACAAGACCGGTTCTCAAGAGTTACGTTATGTCATCTTTTCCCGCCGTGCCGATCTCGTCGAAAATTTCCACAAGAGCTTCGGTCATTCTGGTGTCCAGACGCTTTATCACATCATGAAATCTCGCTGGTGGTGGCCAGGCATGGAAGCCGATATTAGATCCTGGATCAAAACTTGCCCTCAATGTCAGATCGTCGCCAATGAAAACCGCTCGATGCACAAGGCTCCGATGCATCCTCTGGATGTCCCTAGTGCTTTTTCCCGATGGCACCTCGACTTTATTGGGGAATTACCCACAACTAGTGATGGTAACCGATGGATTCTCGTTGCGGTGGATTACTCCACCAACTGGCCTATTGCCCGCGCTGTTCCGGACGCCACAGGTGAGGCCATCGTCAAGTTCATCTACGAAGAAATTGTGCTTCGCTTTGGTTGTCCGGATGAAATCCTCACGGATCGTGGCGCGAACTTTATGTCCAACGTTGTCTCCCGTTATGTTCGATTACTCCGTACTCACCACACGTTGACTTCGGCATTCCACCCGCGAACGAACGGTAAATGCGAACGATTGAACCAGACCTTGAAGAACATGCTCAAGAAATATATCAATGGTAACGTCTACGTGTGGGACCAACACTTGAACCAAGCACTGTGGGCTTGCCGCGTACGAAAACATCGGACGACAGGGTATAGTCCCTTTTACTTAACTTACGGCCGACATCCCCGACTGCCAGGCGACACTGCATGCCCTTGGATCCAACCGACCGAAACGGAACTAGCTCCGGAACTATTGGCCGACGATGCATTCACTTACCTCCGAAAGTTGCGTGAAGCCCGCGAGAAAGCCGAAATTCGAATGAAACGTAATGCGGAAGCGGACAAGAAAAAATGGGATGATGCCATGAGGACCGAAACCCAAATTTTCGAACTTGGTGACCTTGTTCTACTACGCCACGAAAATCGCAAGACCCTAGAACCCTCCTGGATGGGCCCGTATATTGTCATCGGCCGGAACCTGGACACCGACACCTATCAGATCCACGAAATCCAAGGAAAACAATATGCATCCTGGGTACATACCGACCGTCTTCGCCCCGCTCATACGACTGACACCACGGCCAACCAATCTTGGTACATCCCTCGAACGGCTCGTGCACAAACCCAAACCTCAACCTAGTCGGCTCTCCAATTTTTTTTCTCTCCTTCTCTTTTCCGTCTCGATCTCCTCATGGTTGTTCGCTGCCTTCTGTTTCTTCTTCTTTATCTTGCTCGAGGACGATCAAGCGTTTGGGAAGGGGATAATGTCGGACCTGTTAGCGGTCCTCTAAACGTTTTGTCTTAATGACTCACGGTTCGTAAATATCAACAACAAAGCTCAGTATGAGTAATAGTCGATATATCATGAATAGATAGCATTGTCATAATAGAATATAAAAAGAAACCCCAAAACATTGAATAAACATCATCATTCGTTTTATTGTCAATCCTCGTCTATTTACTTTGGTGATCGTGCAGTTTATCAGATCCAGTAAATACGACAAATGAACCAAAAAAAAAAAAAAAAAATAATACGTAGGCTCAGTAACATGTGGTTATCGCCATCGAGCGGGGTCTTACTTCCGCCTCAGCAACACGGACCATGTTAAACAATCATCAACACCTCAGTCGAAACCTCCACCTTCTTCTTTTCTCGTCTCCGCTTTATCTAGAGCGACAAAATGGTAGAAATTTTTTTGAAAATTTGAAAAAAATCCATCAATAGAAACCGAAAAATAAAATCACGTGATATAATTTACGCGGCTAAGTTTTCATCCGATAGTTTTTTCAAATTCGGGCCATTGAAAAGGGGGGAAAGCCTCAATGACTCTTACAATCCTGCGGATATGGTCGATGTGAAGTTGCTGTTGCATTAAAATCAACTTGGGTATATTAATAAGTAATTTTATGGAAAAATTGCTGCTATCTTAAATAGCAAAAGTGACCTTCCTCTTCTTTTTTGGTTTCTCTTGTTTGGCGTCTTCTTCCACAAGTTCAACGTCCAGCGTCTCGTGGTCCAGTACCGGTGGGGTTTCGGTCGCAGGCACTTTGCCAATTTCCTGATCCTGTTTTCTGGAAGGCATAAAGTAGAGGGGTGCTTTCAGCAAAGTGATCTTTTGATGAAACGCTTGATCGGTTGGTGAATACGTGATGTGGTTAGGCAAGGGAACAAATCTAGCGTGGTTCAGGATTCCCCGTAGTTTGGTGTCACTGTAAAATTCAGTGGTCTTTGCATAGTCACTGGATTCCTCTTTTTCATTTTAAAGAAGCAGTGAGTGTCGCGTAATTTCATGTTGTTCGTCTGCTGGCTTACCTTGCTGTGTCTGTGATACAACCTCGCGCCGCTTGAGCAGCTCATCTTCGATGGTATCTCGAATAATCAGGGTCTCGATATACACAGGTTTCGTTTGACCGATACGATGGGCACGTTTGATCGCCTGTTGTTCCATTGCCAGCTGCCATACTGGACTCACAAAATACACGCGCGTAGCCGACGATAGATCAATACCAAAAGCGGCCCGCTGAACGGCCATAATAATGACATTAGCATTCTCAGACGTATTAAACGTCAAAATAGCCTGCGATCGCGCAGCATTGGACTTTGAGGTTCCGAAACGTTGGGTGACGAACGAAAAAAAAAAAAAAAAAAAAAAAAAATGAATTCGCTTGATTTGCATGCCATGGAGAATGGATAAATTTAGGCTTACCATACGACTGTCGAGATACATGAGAGTGCGAATTTTGGCCAGTTTCAGGGCGAGATATATTTCCTGAATTTCATTGTAGTGTTGCGAAAAGACGATGCATTTCTCTTGAGCTTGGTATTTGCATATTTCATTCACCAAATAGTTGATCTTGCTACTGGTGCTGCAGAGTACACGCGCGTCCGAAAAGGCATTGCCCGTGTAGAACGTCAGCTGCTGTTCAACCGGTTCCTCGGTTTCCTTGGCTCCCTTGGGTTCGGACAGATCCAGAGATAGCGGCTTTTTATTTTGTTCAGCGGCGGCCTTTTTCTCCTTTTTGTAGAACGTCTGGGTGCTTTCCAGTGTATCGGTCGTGCCATTGTACACATACAGGTTTTTGAACTCGTCCTTGGCTTCCAACACGTCGTGCATGAGATCAATGACAATGTCGCCGTTCACGATACAGTGATCCTCCCAAGGCATGGTTCCCAGAGGTTCGTAAGCGCCATGGTCCCCGTGTACCCATCCCCACTTTTGTTTCATCAGGTTCGGAAGCCCCTGAACCACAAAGGAAGGCGAATGTTGGGTCATCATCTGCATAAACATTTTATCGTCTAAAGCCCGCTTCAGGACCTGTTGAATTTGTCGAAGCACGGTATCATCATCGCCATAATCTTCACGTCCGCAATCGACATCATGGATTTTTTCGATACAATTCTCGTACGAAGCCTGCAACCATCGGAGATCAATGGAATGCCACAAGCAGCTCTGCCACAAATTATGCACCGTTTCACGCAACGCTTTGGTATTGTTTTTCGAAAACAGATAATCCGGACCTTCACGTTTGGATAAAATCGCATTCAGTCCAATCATCGCAATCTGACAATTGTGAGCCTATAATCATCGACGTATTAAAAACAAAAATGTGAACAAACGATAGGATCATGCATCATCATTACCAGCCATTGATAATAATCAAAATCGAGAAAGACTTTTCTCTGATGCAACGGCGGCAGCTTGACTTCAGCTTCGATATCTTGTCGGCGGTTGCGGATCATGCATCGACTCATGACATTTTGCATCTTGCTGGCGGCCCACGGTTTGCCAGACATGAAAGGCTTTGTGACCATAATATTCCACAACTTTCGATCTGAATAAAATGGCTCCATCTGCAGAACCGGACCAAGCAATAACCCCAGTCTGTCAAACGAGAAAGCAAACAATGAGCAACATGTTTCGTAGGAACCTTACTTTTCGGTTATTGGTTACCGATTTAAATCATCCACTTGGCCTTCTTGTCTTCGATTGTAGACCGCGGCCGATTCGGTGAGGTTCTGGGTCGGAGTACCAGTACATATCCATTTCCACGTTGAGAACAGTTTCGCTGACAATTCGGATTGCTTATTTTTGGTAGACAATCGATGGCCCTCATCTGCAATTTCACTTTAGTGAGTCCCTGCGCATAGAGGAAAAGAGTCTCATACAATAACACTTTACCAACAATCATTCGCTTCCAATGCACCTGTAACAATGGCGAAATGTAGGCTTGTTCTGCCGTCAGCGGCGGACAATGGCAATCACGGATACGGGTCGCACCAATATAAGGGCATTGACATATCCGCGGAATGCCTGTTTTGCGTAAGCTTAATTTCAGTTGAAACGATCACTCGCCACAATTCTTTTTTCCTACCTTCAAAATCAAACCCTCCGGCAGCGTGTTCACGTGAAAATCGAGTTTGGCTTATCAAAACCATGTCGTAACCGATCAGAGAGGTGGCTTCGGGGACCTTCTTTTTGGGATCGTCCAATATAAGAAAATCCATCTGGGTATCTTGAATATGCTAAGGTAGGAGGTGTGAGCAATTACAGCCGATAATGTTCATCTGCAGTCTTATAATTTTACCTTGTAAACTTCGCCTGTCCATTGCGCCACCAAATTATCGGGTACTGTGGATAATAGATAAATTGCCATTCCACTTTCTAGTTTTGTTCTTGTGGACTATATGTATTGGCAGATACGTACCGACAACGAGCGTAGCGTGCGAACCGTAAACACGCATGACGGGTATTTCAATTTCTCGACGACGTGGACGATCGTAGAACGAGTAAGGAACATCGGTCCATTCATAATAGGCAGGATGTTGTTTCATCAAATCAATAGCATCAAACGGCAGTGGATTTCCATACCCTCGCCAGGATACGCCGTGGCGCAGTATCTGATCGGCGGCAATGTTGCGTAGCGATGTTTTGGGAATATCCGTCTTCATAATGTGATCTCGTTGCAATGAATGAGATAAATCCTTGGTAGCCATGATCACAGCTAAGCATATACATGTCTTGCCAGTCCCCTATATTTTTCAGAATTCAGTGACTTGTGTGCAACAGAATCTTGATCTCTCTTCTCTTGTTACCATGTCTTCACAAATGATCCCACCCTGGATATCGCGTTCCAATGGAGGATGCGCAGTGAGAGTGAATAATAGCTGATCGAAGTAATACGGTGTATTGTCGACGGAAACCATGGGGATGTTGGCTGCATCAACCACCTTTTGAGGCGCCAGCTCTCGCTGCAATATTTTCCAAACAGCGTTCTGATAGGGTCACAAATCAATAAGGAGATGCAAAAAAACTGCACAAGGACAAGGATCTCTTACTTTTTGGTATCTGTACAAGGATGTTTTCATGCCGTCAGGACAATCCTTGACCGTACAATCATGAAGAAAATGCAAAAGGTTCGGCTCATCACAGTCTGGTAACGGCTTTTCACACGGAGAGGGGATCTCAATAAACATGTCCAACAGTGTTTTCTTGGACTAGTAGAGAAATCAGCTGCGCTCAAATCTATTAGTTTGACGATTCTACTTACTTCAGTAGGGAAGACGCTCTGATGGCTATGTTGATCTGTCAAGATTCCGTCAAAGTGGTGTGGATCGCGATTCAAGCGTTGCATAAATTCGAGAAAGACCCGACCGTACGACCCCATGGGAGGCACATAACCGGATTCATCAATAATATAGAGAAAGATCTGTACGCGCAGAATGTTAGAACGGATGCATCGGCCCATGGCTCGCATGCGTCGTCGCTTTTGCAGTCGGTCGATCAAGGTAACATATGTTTGGTACTCTGGCAATACCGTCCATTGATCCGCACGAAACGGCTGCCATTCAAGCGTGGGTGTATGGCCCGCGTGTGACAGCTCAAGATCAACGGCCCCCGCCGGAATCTCCATGGCAAACGTTCAAGTGACATCTCCACCGGATCGCGCTAGCGTCAATAGGATATTTTTTTTTTTTTTTTCATTTACCTGACACTAATGTTTCAGTTGGAAAATTGACACTATTTTTTTGATGGAAATGCTTGTCAAAAAATTGGACAACTCTAATTGACCGATATTCTGTGTGACAATTGTATACAATAGTAATGTATGCATAGAAACATGATACAGTATAATGATATCACGCGATGAACTGGCTGATGGCGGGTCTGGCTGTTTATTGGGGTATGAGAGTCGGAATGATGCAAAACAGAGTGTGAGAGTTGAGTCATGGAAAATCATTATACATCTATAACCATCTGCACTCTCAATACGACTAGAAATTTGCAAGACGCCAAGTATAATCATGAATTAAAGGGCGATTCAAAACAATATTGAAAAAGGAATTTGTATTTGGATATTGATGAGGATATGTACAAAAAAGAGGAATCTATAAGTTTTATAAATAGATAGAGTCGCAGAGCATAAAAACAATAACAGGGAGGATAAGTCAGGGAATACGTTAGAGCAGTTTATGCGGCAGTTATGATGTCTGGTGGAAGGTCAAAATAGTCAATGATGTTTCTCATTTGGCCTTGACGGTCGATACTGTAGTCGCTCCATGTTGCATTTACTGCTTCGCCGGATTCTTCCGCCTGACGTCGCAAACGTTCATGAATAATAAGGCTCGTGAAGCTGCTCTTGCGTCCACAGACACCGGGTTTTCCAGCCAAAAATACATCCGCACGGATGGCGAGGAGCTTGTCAAGAATCCCAAGGAACCCGGTATCTTCCGCAGCAATGGAAGCGGGAATGGGCAGCATGGTCCAGTTGGCGGGCGTGTGCACGGGTGGCGTCTCTTTTTGTTGCTCAAGGTGGGTGAGCTGGATTTGCATATGCTTGTAAAGATAATGTATCGCCGCATGATGATATCGCGTGAGTGAGTTTTGCGAGAAACTGGAAGAAGCAGGCATAAAGTCCGAGCTGGTGTTGGCTTCCGTGGGTTTTTCGGGGATTATGTGAGGATAATCGGTGAGCAAGAAAAAGTTGGGCTTGACACCATCGATGGCTTTCACGGATTCCAGTCGATCCGATACCATCGAGACCAAGGATTCGGCGCAAAACACAAGATTTTCAGGCGGATCCACGCGCTCTGTCCGCCAATGCACGGCACAGTAAGGAGCGAGTTTGGCCGATAAAGCATCAGCTAAGGCAACGAGTTGGGTGCTGTAGGCGATGGGAACCGCCGCATCTGGATGATGCACAAATGGGAACCTCCGATCGTAGAACACGCTCAGTACTTCAATGTGTTGATAGCGATCCACGTCGGTCTCTCGACTCGGCTTGGGATTCCCAAGCAAGAAGGCTTTAACCTGTCGCTCAAACTGGGCACGTTTGGCGGTATTGGAAGTCTCATGAAGGTATAATCGCTGCTCGGAACCTGGGGCAATATCGAGTTGGGAAGCGAAACAATTGTCCACTTCCGGCATTTGCACGCGTCCTTGATCCAAATGGATATACATGTGCTGGGAACGTGGTTTTGCTTCTTGTCGTTCAGCGAGCCACGCTCGGAAATCGGTCATGGTGATATATTTGAAATGCTCCCCATTCTTCCGAGCCCACTCCTCGGAATAGTAAAAGGAAAAATCATGCTCTAGGCATGCTCCTAATCGAGATCGTCCCACATTGGGCAACACAATCGTACGGTTGGCCATGCCCGCCATAAAAGCCAGCTGGCGAAAATGCATCTGTGCCTTGGATTCTGTTTCCGTCATCAAAAATTTGAAATGAAGGATGGATGAGTTGAACCGAGTTTTGGGAATTTAAAGTGGAAATCTCACCTTGTTCCATCAGAAAGATGGGCAGTACAAAACGGCACGGTCCACCACAGTATTTGCGGTCAATAGCGGCCACATTGGCATCCGTTTCGGCCAAGGGAGGCATCAAAACGACTTTACTCATACGCCAATGAAGGATGAGTATCATCGAAAGGACCAGCGTTCCCCATAGGCAATGATATTTTCGTAGTGACATCAAATAGAATTACAAAAGGAATGAAGCAAAGGATAAAAAAACAATAAACAAGGGAAAAAGGATGAGAAAGGAACACGACCCAAAAAAAACATTGATTCCTATTAATGAAATCCACGGCGATCCAAAGGGAAAGCCGATCGTTAGAAATGCGCTGTTTTTCCATGTTAGCTATTTATGGCCTAGACCGGTTTCAAAACAATATAAAAAAACACGCATCTGTATTTTTCTTACTCAGTGTGCTATTTTGCGCAGCGCTTTATATGTGAGTCTAGTTTCGCAAAAGTGCATGCTATTGTGTTTGCTGTAAACGATATCACCATGGTGTTGTTATTGTATTATTGGGGGTTGGGTGGTACATATTTGGAAAAGGATCGTCATGAAGAAGGACAAGCGTGCACCCCGAGGGCCTGTATCACGGTGCCAAGATAACTCCAAAAAAAGTAAAGATCGTCGGTGGTTGGGACGTGGTTGTTGATTTTCCCACTATGCAGATTAAAAATACAATAACTTTATTCATTCGTTCCTCATCTATGACATTTGATTTTTTTCGTTTTCTTATTAGTGACCGGCAAACTTTTCCTGGGCCTTGTTCACTTTCTCTCTGAATGTGCTGATGACCTCCGCGGGGTTCTCAGCCTTGAAAATGCCCGTTCCCGCCACGATCACATTGGCACCTGCCTCAGCAGACACATCAATGGTGTCCATGGACAAGCCGCCGTCAACTTCAATATCCAATTTAGGATATAAACGACGCAACTGCTCGACCTAACAGAAATTTCTCTCGAGTTAATCCAGAGGGTTCCTCCTCTTTTCCCTATGTCAATGTTCCTTGGCCTCTTTTTGTTTGTTTGTTTCTATTTGCACCCCACTTCACTCCAAACCGCTCCGTTACCCTTTATTGTGTCATTTACCTTGGGCATGCACTTTTCCATGAAACGCTGGCCACCAAATCCCGGTTCGACGGTCATAACCAAAATCATATCGGCCTCCTCGGCAACCTGACCAATCACGGCTTCAGCGGGGGTGTTGGGCTTAATGGCGACACCGGCTTGCATGCCAGCGTCCTTAATTTGACGAATAAGAGCCAAAGGATCCTCGGTGGCTTCAATATGGAAGGTGTACATCTGACCGCCGGCCTTCTTGATATCGTCGACCCATTGGGAAGGGTTGGAAACCATCATGTGGCAGTCTAAATGAATCTCTTAATATACCATAGTCTGAGTCACCTTTTCACCTTTGTTTTCCACGTACCAAAATAAGCCTCGGTGTGGGGACGAAGAGCAGAGATAATGGGAGCGCCCAAGGTAATATTAGGCACAAAGTGGCTAATAACAGCAAGCATTGTCAGTACAGAATGGAACAGGCATTTTGCATTACGGGTCATGCTTACCCATCCATGACGTCTATTTGGAATGGGGCGTTAGTTAGGCATGGGCAGGACGTGGTGAATGACAAAAAAAAAAAATACATTACCGAGATGAAGCCAGTCGGCGCCGTTCTTGGTCATGCGCTTGGCTTCAGCGGCCAAGTTGGCAAAGTCCGAAGACAGCATGGAAGGAGAAATCTTGGCACTAGGCATGGTGTTGACAGTGAGACAGTGGGAAAAAGAATACCTTTTGTCTTTTATCCCGCGCTCGGGACGTGGTTGCATGATGAGCGAAAAAAATTTTCGGACGTCAAATGATTGGCTGACATCAAAAGCAGGGAGTGAGCCGAACCAGAGATATACCTTCATCTCAGCCAATCGGAACATGCAAATCAAATAGATTTTGACTCACGCCTTTGGCCCACATTTTTTGATAAAACTTGTTACTGATGTTTAGTATGAAGCGGCAACAATGGTTAAAAGCAAATAGATGGAACAACGTAGTATCTACTATAATTGTGTATCAAATACACCTAATAAAGCAGTCGTGATGGTAATACCAGTGTCCCCCATGTTCGGGATTGACAATATCAGTGGAATCAGTATGAGCAGTCATATACCAAAGCCAAGTGTTATGTCCAAATGCAATTGGTACTTGCAGACAAGGGTGAGGGAAAGGAAAATATGGCGCATAATGAACTGGATTATATAAGATATTGCTCGTTGATAAGCATTAATATTTCCACCACGCGACATAAGGGTAAAGACAAGATACGCGGAGGCGAATTCATTATTCGGAACTATAGCGAGCTGGGAGGAAATAAAGAGGGTTTTTTGAGCAGTAGTTTATACAAAGATGTAACGAGCCTTCGTTCCCAAAATCCACCACGCGAGCAGCAGCCTCTTTCCCCAACAACTCTACCAGAGGTAAACATATTTCGGATAAGATCCAGCTTCCAGATTATGGATCGGCCAACTCTTGACGACGGATTGCGCCGCAACTCCTACGACAGCTAGAAATTCGGCGACAACTCAGCCACCTCTCAATTAGTAAACCGTGTGCACAACACAATCATCATTCCAACGGCAATACTCTTCCCTGGTACAACATACCAAGGGCCCAAGCAGCAAAACCTTCGTATTTGTTGTATTTCAACTAGTCGATACGAATTCACCAATCAGACCTTATTTGACATGCAATATCCGCCTTTCCTTACGTACGGAAATTATTCTATCTATCATCATCATCTCCTTCTCAGAAGGAGACATCGTTGTTTATGTCGGAAATCCCACCTTTAAGAGACGATAACTTAGGAATCATATAAATATTCATCAAGTTTATTGTGTAATAAGCCACCCATATTTTTCAAGCTGGTTGACAACTTGGTCTCCTTATATTCAATGGTAACGGATATATCATTAAAATCACCATGGAGGCCAAGTCGTAAACGGTTGACTTGGCGATCAAGTGTAAAACTTTAGTTTCGGAGCTTTGATGGTTATTCATGACTCTTCGAATCTTTGGATGCTGAATATAATCTCTATCAGACGCATCCATAATATATAATTCGACATATATTGATTTAGATCGTTTCATATAGCACATACACCATGGATACAGTATAAATCTTTAAAGTTGCTGAACCAAAAAGGATCCACCAGGGGTTCGGGGTTCCTGTCGCCTGTGAAACGATAGCTCAGAAGTGATACAAAAGCCCAAGAGCAGCGAAAGGCGCATTTTTGGTCACAGATCAATGTATATTAAAGTAAAGAGGCATGCGTGCTCTACATAAACGAGTTACGTCGAAGGCTAGCAATAAATTGTAGGGCGGTCATTCAATTGCGAAACGCGTCACGCGTTACGCGTCAATTATAAATTTTTTAAAAAAGGACCCTGCATGTCTCCTTTTCTCTTTATTGATTACAGTATTTTCCACACAATGTCGAGAGATTACACGAACTTACGAAGAGACATTGTAAAGTCTAATCATTTGCGTCGTAGTTACTCTTTACCGCGATTTCTGTAATCAGTAAAGGAAAAAGGAGGCGATGCAGGAGGTCTTTTTTTTATTTACAATCGACGCGCGTTTCGCGTGACGTGTTTTCGCGATTTAATGACCGACCTACAGTTTATTGCTGGTCTTTACAGTGTAGCTCATTTATATAGGGTAAATGGAGTAAGCACACCTCTTTACTTCAATATACATTGATCTGTGACCAAAAAAGCGGGTTGCTGCTCTTGGGCTTTTTGTATCACTTCTGAGTTATCGTTTCACAGGCGACAGGAACCCCGAACCCCTGATGGATCCTTTTTGTTTTTCGATATTTATGTTTTATTCATAGTACATGTACAATAGAAAACGATCTAATGAATATTAATGGAACTTTATAATGGATCTATTACTAATTTATAGGAATTTTTTCTGTTCAACAACCAGTAAGCCTCTAACCTACAGCCTTTGGTTCACTTTGTCATGATATCACTGTTGCGGTCAATGAATCGCCATACATATTCTTCGATCAGCGTCAGCAAGCCATGGATGCTTGTTTAGCAAAAATATAATAAATCACTGATTGGCGCGCGCTTCGTTAGGTATTCGACAAGGAAAATAACTAGCTGGTGAGCGATCCAAGCAAATTTCATAAATTGACATGGTGATCCTTTTCGGATGATGAATAACTTGCTGCCATGACCTTCTCTTAGCCAACCAACGCCTCACTCTGTTATAGCATACTCATAGTTAAGTCATATCTTCTAGAAACTGGATAAATTATCTCGATCCAACGACAGCTCCACTTTGTCTTTTTCTTTTAGACAACAACAAATTTAGCCAGGTCATCAGTTTAGGACAATCGGATCGATCACACGCACTTCACAGATATTCGTTCCTGACAGCTAGGACCGTCCAAGAATCTGGCGAGCATGCCGAATGCTTAAATTATAGTCATATAATTCTTCTATTTAACGTGTTAAGATACGTACCCAACACAAAGATCACCAATCTAAACTCACCATTGAGCTGCAATATTTGTCTTTCCATACTCCCGGAATTTTATTTATCTGTCATGATCCGACATGGTTTTTCTGTCGGAAACACACTTTGAAGAGGCGATCACTCAGAAATCATATTAATATTCATCAGTGTTCTCATTGCATAATAGCTCATCCATATTTTCAGTATAGTTGATGTCTCATATTAGAGATACTTAACGATAACGGATCTGTCATAAAGGTCACCGTGGAGGCCAAGGCGGAAGCGGTCGGTTCGGCAGTTGAGTGTAACCGTTAGGATGATATCAGTTGCTCTCAGAATCCCTAATACGAGTATAACCTCTATCAAATACATCCAGAATAAAGTAGCATCAATATCTATTTAGATCGTTTTACATTGCACATGCACCATGGATACAATATGAATTCTCAAAGTTGCTGGAACAAAAAGGATCGTGAGGGCTTCGGGGTTCCTGTCGCCTGTGAAACGTAACTCAGAAGTGATACAGAAGCCCAAGAGCAGCAACCCGCTTTTTTGGTTACAGATCAATGCATGTTGAAGTAAAGAGGTATGCATACTTCCATTACTCCATACAAATGAACTACACTGTAATGACCAGCAATAAATTGTAGGTCGGCCATTCAATCGCGAAAACACGTCACGCGAAACGCGCGTCGATTGTAAATAAAAAAGGACCTCCTGCATCGCCTCCTTTTTTCTTTACTGATTACAGTATTTAAAATGCCTTCTCGTAAGTTCATGTGACCTCTTGACATTGTGTGGAGAAAGACTAATCGTTTTGCGTTGTAGTAACTCCTTACCGCGATTCTAAAAGTGCTCTTTCCCAACTTTCTTCCTTTGTTCCTGATGTGCCACCCACTGTGGCTTTCGTTAAGCGCCAGCGTGACGATGGCGAGGTTGACCGTGATGAGATGCTGTACCGACGTTTGAAGAAGCGGAAGACGTTCCATCAAGTGGTGTTTCTCAACCTGTTGCAGAGAATTCACTTCAATTTCACGAATGAACGCAAGCGCGAATGCGAATGTCCAGAGCCCATCTCCGTGAAGCGACAGCGACATGAAGACCCATCCGTCATTGGTCAGTCAATAATCGTACTGCGTTTTCTCAAATAACAAATAGCTTACATTTTGTATGGCTGAATAGAAGAAGATATTGAAATGCCGCTTTGCCGACGCGAAGAAGGTGAAGCCACTGTGCCGCCAGCCTGGCCGGTTCCGGCCATCGCCCAAGCCCAGCCGCAAACGGTGTTGAACGACGTGGCCTTGGTGGGCCATTTGCCAGAAGAAGCTCAGGTTGAGGTGACCATCCAGGTGGTGAAAGAAGCACAAGAAAAACCTCACCAAGAAGCACGCGAAGAAGGAGAAGACGAAGAGGCAGATGAATTTTTCGATGCCATGAGCTTCGAAGACGAACCGTTCTTCGAAGAAGGACAAACCGAGGAGGAGCCTTTTGTGGACGCTCCCTGTTTCGAGGAATGGATGGTGATGGACACCGTTGAAGAAATGTAAGTATATCAACGGGTGACATGTGACATGTGACCTCAAGCAATGCTAATGAACAATCATAAACCAGGTCCACACCTTCCGTGGAAGTTGTCGCTTCTGACACTTTGGCGCCCATCTCTTGTCCGTCGTCCGTGGAGGCAATGGATTACATCCTGGAAGAATATTGGTAAGTAAAATCAGACAACCTAAGCTCAAGCCACGGGCCTAATGAAGGGGTTTTAGCCTCCCGGAACCCAGCCCAGATGACATGGAGCTGGGCTTTCAGCTCGCCGAGCTATTGTATGGCCTCACTCTCGTGGAGCCGCGCGACCAGGAGGAGGTCGTCATTGAAAGTGACATCCAGGAGGAACGGTAAGTGAAAACAGTTTAAGATAAGCTAAAATGCCGGATCTAACCAAAGAATATTTAGAAGTTCCGCTCCGCCTTCCCCAGCTTCTGATCCTCAACCCGCCGAATCTGAACCAGAGGATCAGAACATGATCTCCCTGAATCACCGCCGACCAATGCGGTTCAGGGAGATCTGCGGAGCGGGATCATCAAAGAAGCAAACCGCGCAACCGCCAGCGCAACCGCCAGCGCAACCACCAGCGCAACCACGAGCGCAACCACGAGCGCAACCACGAGCGCAATCACCAGCGCAACCACCAGCGCAACCACGAGCGCAGGAACCGGCGCAATCCCCTGCGCAACCATCTGTGCGCAAGGCACGTCAGCCGGCGCCACGCCAATCTGCGCGTGCAGCGCAACAAACCGCGAAACCACCTGCGGACCGCAAGTCGGTCCTCCGCGTGATGCGTTAGGTGACTAAGTCACCATCGCTCATCCGCACGAGATGAATATTTAATTCAAAAAGTAAGTCTATTTGCCGTTTTTGTTTTTATCTTCCGTGCTATTATTAATATGCTTCAGCTATAGTATGGTGACTGAATCAACCAGAAACGAAAAGCCAAACAGTATAGCCGATCTGGCGACAGCGTTGCAGCTAGGTTGCCTTCCAATACCGCAAGCCGGCGGAAAACAAGGCACGGAACCATCAAGTAAAAACAAGGAAACAAGCTGCCGCCCCATAGACGCTCTGTGCCCGATGCGTTCTGTCTGCATCTTCTAAAAGGTAAGCTGATTGTAATGTATGCGTTATTCAATTAGGTTTCTGACCTTGTTTATCTTTTATAGCCGAGACAATACGTCAAGATCACAACGAAGTAAAACGATTGCTAAGAAAATCAAGGAAGCCTTCAGCATACGAACGTCACTGGTATCCATCAATCGTCCTGATACCAGCCGAAACTCGACCAGCACATATCGATCACGGTCGAGTCATTCCATGAATAACGGAGACTCGCCAAAATGTCTCCGGGTTGACAGGATAGGGTAAAAATTAACTTTTGCACTAACCCCCCCCCCACGCACACACGCTTGGGCGCTGCTAGGTCCGATGATGTCTGGAGTCGGCCTCCTCTGCCACATACGTCGTTGCTACTGGGATGACCCTGGTGCGAACCTCACTGAGCCTTGCCTTCCACGCCTTGCGGTACAGCATTCAAGAACCATCTCTCAGTCCGAATGAGATGATTGCCAAAGGAAAGTACATGCCCATAGTGATAAGATAATGTTTGTTTGATACGGGTGACTAACTGGTTGAGCGTAGATGAAATTCCCGTTACCGCAAGTCCCCGACGGTCAAGGCAAAGAGAGATGGATGCAGCAAGAGTACAATGCAAGAAAAGGCGAAGAAGTGGGTAATAGGCGAGGCAATATGTGAGACGTATCAGGTGAGTCTTGGTGGTAGCGCGTATGTGGTTGGCTGACGAAGGGCGGAGGATCTAGTATGCGTCCACCTTCTTCCCCTTTGTGAACAAAACAAATATGATTCTTGCAATGAACCATGTATTATCTTTTCGGATACAATGGTAAAAAAAAAAAAAAGAAAAGAAAAGAGCAAGGGCGATGTTTTCCCGCCACAAAAAAAAAAAAAAAAAAACAAAAAACAAAACAATTAGTTAGACTTACCTTACTCTATTTTCCCCTCTGGCAAACAAACAAAAACAAAACTATCTTTTACCTAATGTAAGATAATGTACTTACCCTATCCTGTCAACCCCACAAATAATAAAATGTCATTCATCAAAAAACAATATTCAATCGTCGGATCATTCACATCTATTTTTGTGATTCCATTTTTGATACTTGTATCCTTCGACTTTCTTTCTTCACTTGATGGACCTCGCAGTTGCACAGCATGGATGATTTTGAGGGACTGTCGTGATGCGTATCCTTTTCCCTTTCTTTATTGTTACATCTTTGATTTATGAATTACACGTTGCAGCCAAGTATACAAAGCGATGCGCTTATGATTATTTAATTCGGCTCTTCCTCTCTAATATTCAGTAAATGTTGAATCTGCTTTTCATACAAGGGAACGGGAGCTTGGTTTAGATCATTTCGAGGCACGTTAGTTTTAGCCGCTGATGTTGTCCGAATTTGTGGATGATGTAAAGCAGCTCGTTGAAATTATAGTAACTATGCGCTAAAGTTATTGCATTGACCCTATTCTGTCAAGATGTTTTTCGGAGGTCGTGTCACAGTGAGCCATTAATTGAAGATTGTTGAAGCCTACAGTATGGGATTCCCCGGTCAGTAGCTTTTGTTGATTAGATTCTTAACGTCCTGGTCTACAAGCCTGTTTCTACGAATCAAATAATACAATCTCAAGAATGGCAAACGTACAGTCTACAATGATGGAGGGTTGTTTATCATGTCACATAAAGACATTTTTGTTCCCTTGCGGTGCTTGTGAATAAAATACTTTGATGATATTATAATTCGACAAAATGAGTGTATGCATTCAAACATTTGGAAACGTGCTCATATATGTTTTGAAAATTGTGCTTCGACAAAAGAGATAGCCACTGCTAACTAGTCATTGACAAAAAGAATGTATAGCACTGCATATATGTAGCAGGGTCCAAGGTGCCTTTTTTTTTTCTACAAATGACCTAACCCGAGGATAAAGGTGAAGGTAATCGAGGCATGGTCAGGTGCAATCCGGTACGGAAAAGAACATCGGTTCGAATCGGAAAAATCTATGCATGGTGACGACCGACGGATCACACTCATGTTTGTTCATTCGCATATACAAGTGTTGGGTCCACTGACACACGTTCCAGCCATCTTTTTTTATTTCTTTATTTTGGCCCCCTTTTTTCTTTCTTTCTTTTCTGGGCTTCTTTCCTTCGAATCTTTCGTTTCAGCGTTTTCATTCGTTCATTCTTATACCATTTGTAATGTATGCGCAGGAAGATCAAGTTCAATCAAGCAGAGACGACGACACAGTAAGAACGGATCATCTACTGGTGCGGTCTCCTATCGAACGTTCAACGTCACCGTCAGAGAACATACAGCACGGTCCATGTGAATCGTCAGCGTGGCTGCTCAAGGACGCATCCAGTCCATTAGCCCATGTGAAATTAGAAGTAAGCTCATTGTCTGCTCACTTACACCAGCCTAGGCTGAACTAATGAGGCGGGTATAGTCAATTTTAAACTTTGCGGCGTTTGAACTCTTGTCCTCGGAGACCAAGACGCAGCTAATGCAGTTGTTGCCGTATCCAGATAAATCATCCGGTACGCTGTCACCGGCCTTTTTCACGCGCAAGGACAACCCAGTGTTTTGGCAAGCAGTGGATATCTGGCAGCAACAGTTAGCTTCCGGTCAAAGGGCGGATTCCAATGAATCGACAAGATACCGTGAGCCATCGTGGAAAGAATCGGCTTACGAAGCGTACTGGGGCGAACTATGCAATCGAGAGAAAACAACCAATGTAGCAGGGTAATTGTACCCCATCAAAAATATAGACCTTGATTTCATGCTTTTAACCAAGGATTCTTTGCTTTTTTTCATTTTAATCTAGGGATTCCAAAAATATCACTTTGAAGGACATGTGCAGCAAGGGGCTGATCCGCGAAAACGATGTTATGGTGTATAAACGCAATTTTAGCGCCTATAAAGTTGTGGTATCCAAAACAATGAAGGTAAGTGGAGAAGGGGACTGTTCTCTGATCTGGATTTTGTTCCTGAAGCCTGCCTTTGAGTAGGTGGTAAAGGCGAGTGGGTCTTTGGGGGTGTCAATTCAGCTGGACAACCAAGTGTTTGATGGATTCGAAACGCCAACAGCTTTGGAAACAAAGATACTGGATGAACACGGTAGAATTAGTAAAGATAGACGCCCCAACGGAAATGCTTTCAAAAGTATTCGATTGTATCGAGACGGCAAAGACTTGGGCCGCTTGTTCGACATCCGCAAAGATGGGCTGTAAAATTGACAAGGACAGTGGCTTAGCCTTAATACGTGACTCGTTGTTCTCGTATTCCATTTCCATCTTCATACTGCTATTTTTTCAACCCAGTTTTGGCTTTTTTTTTTTTCGACACTTTAATAATCCCCCATTTCCTCGTCATGCCCTCCAAACACAAGAAATTAAAGGTCGCAGAACCCAACATTACCAAAGATAAAGAAGAGAAGGATTTAGAAGAGTTTCTCTTTGGCAATCTTGACAGTGATGTGTGGCAAAAAGCAGGTCACGAATTAGACGAGGAGACAAAAGCATCTACTGTTCAAGAGGGCCAAGATGCCGAGACCGAGGAAGAATCGGCCAGCGACGAACCCGTAAGCTTACAACACCAACATACTAATAAGTCATCGGTAACTGATGATCCCGGGCTACTGTAGGTGTTCTTTTTCGATAACGGACCCGGTTTTGTGATCGATGCTGAACCCACGCCGGTGACTGCAGAAGACGAGGCTGATTCGGACGAAGATATGGCGGAAGGATCGGACGACGAGAATGCAAAGGAAGGCGAAGACGACGAGGAACACAATCAAGAGGAAATGCAAAAAGAGAAATTTCTCGGTTACCTTCAAGCCCCGGCATGGACCGATGACGATGACGGTCGTTTACAGATCTCCCTTCAAGGTGCACAGCGATTAAAAAAGTTACGGAAATCCGAAGAGGAAGACATTGTCAGCGGTCAAGAATATGAACGCCGATTACGCCAACAGTATGTTTTCGCACCCAAGCTTCATTTTTACAATGACACGCTGACAGAGAGAATTTCAATTATTTAGGTTTGCTCGCATTTATCCACGTCCCGCTTGGGCCAAACTTCCTTCAGAAAAGAAGCTCGAATCGAAAAAACGCAAAGCAGAGGCAGGCGAGTATGAAGATTCAGATGCTTCGGACCAGTCGGACGACGATCAGTTGGACGAGGAGGAACGAATCGATTTGTTAAAGAGCACTTATGGTATCTTGGAACGACGAGGCACCCGACAATTGCTGTCGTCGAAACATATTGATATGATCCGAATGAAAAATGCAAATCAAATGGCACCTACAAAGGTAAGAGAATGGCGTGGACGGTCGATGCAGGGACAAAAAAGGTTGATATTGTCGGATTTAGGGTCCAATTATGAGTCTTGGTTTCCATCCCAACGCTCAAGTGATGATGACGGGTGGTCTCGACAAGACATTACGATTATTCCAGGTCGATGGTCGTGTGAATCCGAAAATTCAATCGATGCGCTTCAAAGATTTACCCATCTATACGGCTGCGTTTCACACCAGTGGCGATCAGATCGTATTATCAGGACGACGAAAACATTACTACATATATGATGTCCAATCGGGAGCGGTGGACAAGTGTCCCGGTATCTGGGGACGCGACGAGAAGTCACTGGAGAAATTCTCTATCAGTCCGTGTGGCAAATACATTGCTTTCCTGGGTAACAGTGGACACATCATTCTGGTCAGCTACCTTACGAAACAATGGATCGCCAATCTTAAGATGAATGGAACCGTTGTGAGTGCTGACTGGTCGTCGGACGGACGTTATTTATTCGGTATTGGATCGCTCGGTGAAGTATATCAGTGGGATGTCGGTCAACGTGAATGTGTCAAACGATGGCAAGATGACGGTAGTCTTCGACCCCACATCATCCGCGTGAGCCGGAATGACAAGTTCTTCGCCACAGGGTAAGGTTTTATCTTTTTAAATCCAAGAGCGACAGAGGTTTAACTTGCTTGGTTTAGATCTCCTTCGGGTATTGTGAATTTATACGATCAATCAGTATTACAAAGTGACATTACACGGCCGAAGCCGATCAAGGCGATCGGCAACTTGACCACGACCGTCTCCGATATCCAGTTCAATCACGATTCTCAACTAATGGCTATATCAAGTGCGCGCAAGAGGAATTCATTCAAACTTGTTCATCTACCCTCTGCCACCGTCTTTTCCAACTGGCCTACCGACCGCACTCCTCTGGGCGCGGTCACCGCCTCTGCATTTTCTCCCAACAGTGATTATCTGGCCCTTGGCAATCGTCAGGGACGTGTCGTGCTTTATGGCATCAAACATTACACATTGCAACAATAAACTCATTTTTCTACATTGGCTTTCTTGCCGCCCCACCATCCTCCAAATTGACTGTGTCCCTCGCTTGTATGCCCCGATTACTTTCTTTTTGTCAGATGCTTAACAAAAGGTTCAACAAATGACGTGAAAGAAAGCAATGAAGCTTTTATTGCTTCCCTTTTTTTTTAATCTTTGCCAATAATTGGCCTGTAATACATAGTCGTGACATACTAGAATGGATGAAAAAAGATTAGCCCCATGTTTTTCACAGATCAATCTCGAAACTCACCTTTTTCCGGTATCGTGTGGTTGTGGAAAGCGCCATGACATTATCTTTGATGGAGCATGCATAGAGATGGTTGAGGGTGACATGATTCGGCTCGGGTAAAACCGAGTTGTCTTCTTCACTGAGGGCTTGGGAGTTGAGTAATACTTTTTCCAGGTGCGGTGGGAGCGCAGGCGGTTGAGCATGACGTCGATCCCATTCCATGGCAGCGCGCTGGGCAGCATTGACGCTGTCGGCGGACGACATGGTAGAGGCAAATGCTAACAGCTCATCGGGGATTCGTGATGTGTATTCTTCAGTTGGTGTAGAAGCGCCAGATCCTATTCGAAAATTCATATGTTAAAAGTCTTGCAATTTTGGGGTTCCAGCACAATACTATTGTCTTACCAGACCCTTCTTCTGTCGCGTTGCAAAGATCTCCGTCCACCTCTTCATCTTCCACTTGAAGATAGTTGACCAAATTGCCTTCCGGATCCGTTGCCGTTTCCATATCGTTGGAACATTTCCATTCATCATCCACAATAAACTTTAACCGATGAGTCCCTGGTGGCAGATCCAGCACCGCACTAAAATCCTGCGTGCTACACAATATCCATGTTAATCTTCCTGAACCTCTGTTGCATGATTTCCAACGTTTGGTTTTTTTTATACCTTTTAACAAGCTTGATCTTGTGCTTCCAACCATTGAATGTTCCCGTTACGTATACATTTTGTCCTCCTTGTGTCCAAGTAATAATAGTCGGTACGCCTATTTCATCATGAGGGTCGGATGGATTTTTTTTTAGGAGTGAGCCGTGTGTATTGCTTCACAAAGATTCCAAGCCGATCACTGTACCTTTATTTTCAGGCTGTAGAATGCTTCTCCTCCGTGAAGAATAGGAAGACTGTGGCTGCGATAACTGGGACTGGGCCATATCATCGTCAATATCGTCTCGATTGATGCTCATGCCTCGTGTGCGATAATACGGTCCGCTAATGGAAGCTCGATGCTGTGAGGATGCAGAAGACGATAGTGAGCCCACCCATGGACTGGAACTGCCTGTACCGGAAACCCAACCGGACCGTCCGGTGGCCATGGGAACGGCCCTGGTCACAGTAGGCGCCGATGGAGCCATGGCATCGGCTTGTGAAGATGCGGGAGTGGGGGCTGAGTTGGCGATCGGCGGTGGCGAAGCCCATGATGTGGACGGTGGTGCAGAGATGGAGTTGAGATCGGAAGGTGGCATCATACCGTGACGACCACTAGCGGTACTGTCGACGGATTGGCCGTAGGCAGAAGGATCGGGCGAGGCATGCACACTGCTCGGTGAAGGTGCTTCGGCGTCGATGGGTTCGGTGACGGAGAATTGGAAAGGTTGACGTGCGCCTGCGTTCTTGTGAGGAGTAGAGGAAGTGGTTGCTGTCACGACCGTCGGTGCTGCCGTCTTTTTTTCTGGATGCGGAAGTGTGTAGTGAAAGTTGAGACTACTACTTCTACTTCGACGACGTTGACTTGACGCAGAAGCATGAGCATGATGATTATCGCTCGACGTCGTATTGCCCATAAAAGTCTGTGATTGCGGGTGAATAAAAGGTATTTTTAACAAAAAAGTCTCAAGTGCCCAGTTATTGAAAGAAGAAAGAAGAAGAAAAAAAAGCTACACTGTATTTTTTTCTTTTTCTGTTGGACTTGTTCCGTGCGAGCGTATGTGTGGAATGGGGTTTTCTTTTCGGAAAAGCGCTCAATGAAAATCATAATTGCCTTTTTTGGTAACGAGATAAAAAAAAATGACGCGCAATGTGACAAAAAAAATCATGGTTCCGTATATGTAGAATACAATAAAAAGGAGATGGAAAACAAACAGAAAGACAGGACATAAAAGAAAGAAATAAGAAGAAGAAGAAGACAAAAAGACAACTTTTTAGAGAGAGAAACATGGAGGCGTCCCTTTACTGGTGGAAATTAGTTAGTCAAAGGGCGAATCATACGGTGGGTTCGACGCCATTCATGGTCGAGTTGCCTGCCTGGGCCTTGGATTCTTTCTCCTTTTGGCTTTCCTGCTTGAGCTTCTCTTCGTACTGTAAACGAGCTTGATTTTGCCATCTGTGCTGTTCGGCAATCTCGTGTACTTTGAATCCAAAAATGCGCGGGACATAACGTTCCATGCTTTTGCTGGGAAGATAGGAAGGATGAACTTGGAACAGCATGTGCGGCATGGAGGTACCGAAATAAGCACCATCGATGGCGGCGTGTCGTGATGATTTGGGGTTATAGATATCCTCACAGCGTGGACAGTACAGTTTCACGCTTTTGGTCATTGGTATGTCGGACAGACCTACAGGTAATAATGGCTGCAGATTGCATAATACGCGTGGACACCGTCCGAATTCGGCCTTTCTAAACTTTTCCAACTAGATATCATTCAACAAAAAAGAAAAACGTTGAATATGACTTGCGTCATTTCATCCTTGCATAAGATATCATTTACCATTTTGGCCAATCCTCGAGTGGTGATGATAAATCGTGCGTGTATTAATCCGTAAAGATGACGAGCCGCTTTTTCAATCTGCTCTCGTACACGATCATCAAAGCTTTCCTCATCTTTTGGTCGTCAAAAAAAAAGAGATGAAACCAATATCAGTAACGAGAAGAAGCGACGGATGTAGTGAATAAAGCAACGCACCCAGGTTATCGGTAATCATATCCAATGCTTCTGCGTAGTATTGTTGAACTTCGCTGTTTAAGCCTGTCAAGTTGAAACGATCCAAGATATACTCTTCGTCGACTTCGCAAAAGTATTCGTTGCCTTTGATCCCCAAGAACCAGTCAATCCAGTACTTTGCGTATTCACTATCCGATCCGCTGCTCATGTCGTCCACTAAGAGAGAAAAAATAGCCGTTTCGAACAATCAGAAAAAAAAAAACCGTCGCTCTTTTTGCACCAGCAAGCTCGATAATGTACTTTTAATCCTTTTATCGCTTGCGTCAAAGATCCCGTCTTGCTGTGTTTCTTCCGTAGTTCTAAATACAAGATAAGTTTTGTTAGGGTTAAATCACTTTCCATCCGAAACCGGAACTCGTCATCAAAGCTGCTAGACCACCACTATCCCATCTTCACATTCGCTCCACCAAAAATTAGTGCCAACTTACCGCTTCACTGTGCCAAATAAAAATAAAAAAACAGATCCTCAAAAGAAGAGTGAGGAATGCTTCAGTATAGCAAGTAAGGGACGGAAAAAGGAAACTCAACCAAAAAGAAATCTGGGTGACAACCCGGAAGCCCTACACAACAGCCAAAGCCACTCGGTCACGTGAATCCCACTGTTTCCCGCTGGTCCGCTCCATGAATCCGATGGCCGCCCTTTGCCCACTGTCGATCTCCTATTTTCCCTTTTTTATTTTACTATTTATTCTACATTTTGGTAGATCGATCATCAAAAGTATTATCTCATCAACTCTTTAACTTTTGTATTCACGGACTTCAAACTTATTTTATGGAGAGCGCTTCCGGAGCCATTGTACTTCTGTTAAGGTGCCTCTTTATTTAATTTTTTAAATATGTCTAAACGAATCCATATTAGGAAATCATCAGAATGGCTCATGTGTGTCTGTTCCATCAAGTGTTGAAAACATAATAGAGGCCTACAAAATGGAGCTCCTATGATGTATCTAGAATTGTTTTATTTTTCCTTCGCGGGCGAGAAATTTACTTTCTACATGAGAATTTCACTGTGGAACGATGACTTGAGTTCTTTGTGAGGAAGAACAATGCAGTTGCGGATAATGGATTCGTCCATCACAGATACTTCTTTGCCTAGAGAATCAATTCTTTGTGAGGAACGAGTTCATCAGTCTAAATTTGGCTTTTTCGTCAAATTTACCTAAAATGGTGATGCTCTGGCTTTTAACTCCGTTCATCATCATGGCAACATTGTGATCGGCAACAGGGCTGCCCTCGACGCGTGCCCAGGCGCCGATCTTGCTATTCCATCCAATGACCGAATGAAGAATACAGCTAGCATTCTATCCATCGCAGTGTTAGGCTTTCTTTTTCACCCACCGTCGATATAAAGTATATAATCACTTACGCCAATGTGGACGTTGTCAAGAATGATGGAATTCTTGATGCGCACGCCTTTGCCAATGGTTACACGAGGACCAATGGACACATTGGGTCCGATCTTGGCCGTAGGATCGACATGGGCCGAAGGATGAATATACACTGCACCAATGATCTCGGGACCGTCGTCCTTTTGTTGAGCAAGACGATCGCTGTGCTCCTGTGCTTGCTTTTCCAAATAAGCCGCATTGGCGGGGATGGCCGAACTAAAAAAATCTACTCGTCAGTACAGAGAGGCGGCGCGCTGTCTTCCCACTTGATTCCCACTTACCCAGCTGTCTTGATCTGACGCCAGAATTTTTCAGTGACATAGACATACAATTTTCGACCTTCCGACAAGGGTCGCAAAAGATCTTGTTCCAAACGCAGACGATCATCGGACACAGTCCACAAATAATCGCTTTCTTCATGCTGACTGTCCTTTTTTCGATCAATAGCCTTCTTCATCTCACCAAAGATGGCAATGTCGAACAAATAGACACCGCACGAGATAAGATCGGAAATGAATGTCTCTGGCTTTTCCACATAATGCAGCACTTCATGTGTATCGGGCTTGGCAACCAGACAACCATATTTGGTAGCTTGTTCGCGCGGTACCTAGCATGATTTCGCAATCAACATCATCGTTCCTTGTATCCAGTGACAACCGCTCAGTGACCACTGCCACCCAAACCCACCACGGACTTACCTTGGTACTCAACATGGTGCACAGACCACGATGCTTCATGTGAGCCTCCATCATTTCATTCAAGGGGAAATTGCAAGCAATATCCACGTGCATCACAAAGATCTGTTGAGGATTGCCACGCAAAATCTCATCACGGAAATGGTACAGACCACCTGCTGTGCCAAGCGACTGATATTCACGAAGGTAACTAAAACCCAAGGAAAAGGAAAGACACAGACAAGAAACAAAACAATAAAAAAAACCATTAATAACAAAGCACACGTCATTCCGTTCTTCTTCACGCTGCATTGGGCGATGCGTCAGGCTTACCGAATGTGAAGATGAGGGAATTCGTTCGAAGCTTCGTCAATGAAACGAGAGAAAACATGGTCTTCGAAAAAGCCAATAATGAGGACTTCCTTGAGGCCGTTGACTTTTGACAGAGCGGCTAAATGGTGGGAGATGATGGGCGCGCCAGCCACAGGGAAGAGGGGTTTAGGTACATCGAGGGACAAGGGTCTGAAACGGGTGGCTCTGGAAGGCCCACCCACGAGAATAATAGCTTTGTATTGAGACATGATGGCGATGACAGAAGAGAAAAAGAAACTAAAGTAAAATAGTGTCGCTCGAGTCTGGCTGAACCTCATTAATCGAAACTGAGCCAGGCCCCGCTTCAGGCTTCCTGATTGGACCAAAAAAAGTTGGTGCTTTTCCCAATATGGTGGTTTTCCCTGATTTTTGCTGTGAAAAACGGATGGCCAGTTGCTGAAATGAAAAACAATGCATAAGTTGGTGGAACGCTTATTCTTCTCTTTCACTTCTTCATCACAATGAGCAGAGTAGAGAACGAACCACGCATTTCTCAAATCCTTCCTACCGTCAAATGCAGTGATTGTGGTCGTGACGTCCACATTCATCGTCTAGGTGATCATCTCTGCAGCAGCATGCCACCCGTGCCTGCTCTTCCTATCTTACCAGGTGAGCGCCCTTTTTTTTTCTTCTCCACCTGTTTTCACACCAATCCAATCCATTGCAATATGTACCTATCCATGTTGGCTATTTTTTTATTCCATCAATTCATGGTAAGCCGCAATTTTCTGGAGGAAATGGAAAAATAGGTTCACGTAGTCTAACCCTTTTTGTTTTGCTCTGTCTTTCCAGAGACCTACTTATTTCATGACGACTGTTGGAAGCTTTTTGAATTTTATTATCTCACGCTTTGATTTCCCTCCTTCTTTTTTATATGTCCCTACTTACACCTATTTTTTGGATTTTTTTTTTGGATGGCCTTTCGATTCTGCCGCCGCCATTATCGATATTGTTCAATGATCGTTCCCAGACAAATATAAAGCTTTACCACCGAAATCTAAATCGCCATTAACACCGCTGCAGAGTCCTGGAGAGTATGATCTCAAAACTTCAGGCCCCATCCCGTCTCCTTATTACAGTCCTACACGCGATCTCCGACGACCGTCAATTAATGACGAGGAGCGGTCTCCATTCAGCAGCTATCGTGACGATACGCGTAAACCGTATGGATCGCATTACGACGAAGACGACGATGGATTCTATGATCGTTCCTACCCTCCTTCTCGTCGACCGCAAACCCCAAACTCCCTCAACCCATCCACCCAATACCCTCGTAAAAACAGTACCTCACCTGCCCCGTCCGACTCGAGGTTCGACGATTACGCTCCTTCGAGCCCACTACGGTAAATGAACAGACTAAAATCCATCCATGATGCCTTCTGCTTTACTCAAATGAAAAATGTCAGCTTCTTACTCTTTGTTTTCCATCTTCTAGCAACAGTCCTGGACGCACGTACTTTTCTTCCAATAGAGGTAACCAAAAAAAAAAGAAGCTTTTTTTTTCCACTTTAGCCAATGAGCGGTGAAAAAAAAAGAAAAATGATGAGTGATGATAAAAAAAAAAAGGGTTTCACTGGAATATTGCCATATAAAGACACGATGCTGAGCTCAGGGACCAAATACATCTTCTTGACATCTCTAATATGCCCTCTTATTATTATTGTTATTGCCATGATCACCAGATTTCCAGCCACGAAAAGATTCCCTGGGGAATGCGACGAAACCTAAAACAGATGCCTTGGATACGTTGATGGCGGATCTGATGGTGAGTATGAACGAAGAAGATTACATCTCCCCACGTCCCATGGACCATGAATGCGCGGCCTGTGGAGAAGAATTCGATTACCGAGACGATGTAACCAAAGCGGGTCAAAAGGTAAGGGGGAAAATTACCATTTGTGTTCAAATAGAACTGAATTTTTGATCATGGATCCAGTGCTACCACAAATCATGTTTTGTCTGTCGCTTGTGTCGCGTTCCATTGGATCCTCGTCGTGGTTCGTACCACGAACACCAAGGCAAATTATATTGTGAGGCGGATTATAACGTTGTCACCCATCGTGTTTCATGTGCTTCTTGGTAGGTTTGGTGTTCCATTTTTTTTTCTCAAAAAAAAAAAAGGTTATATTTTCCGTCTCCTTTTTTATGCTCATTGTCTGAGTGATTTTCTATTTTTATACCTATTTACGGTGATGATCGGGGTCTCAACTTGTCTTTATTGAACCTTACTTAGTGATCGCCCTATTTTGCCGAACACCGTCCCTCTGAAAGCCCTCGGCAAAGTTTACCATCCCGGCCATCTGCAGTGTTCCCACTGCCTGGAACCAGTACTTGAAGATGGGTTCAAAGAACATCGGGGTCGCGTTTACTGCCGCAGCGACTTTAAAAAGCTATTTTTGCCAAAATGTCGAGGTTGTCACTTGCCAGTGGAAAAAGAAGCCGTCTCTGCCATGGACGGCAAATTGCAAGGAAAGTGGCACCTGGAGTGTTTTGGATGCCACGTAAGTTGCACTTAATATACACGTGAAACAGGCGGTACTGATCTGGATGGCGTTCTTCTTATTAGACGTGTCGGCAACCGTTCCCGGACAACACATTTTACGTGTTTGACAATGCGCCCTATTGCAAGCGGCATTACCATCAGTTAAATAATTCACTGTGTAGGACATGTGATGAGCCAATTGAGGGTCCTTGTGCACAAACCATTGAAGGTTGGCGATTCCATCCTGCCTGTTTCCGATGTTATGTAAGTTTTTGTTTCGGCCAACGGTGAGCTTTTTTGATTGGCGATCATTGATCCAATCGTGTTTTAGGTCTGCCGATGTGCGATCAGCGATATTTACTACATGTTTGAACGCCACATTTACTGTGAAGTCCACATCCGACAATTACAACAGCGACAGCATAACATCCGTGCTGAAAAGCGACGAACTCAATTTGGCCAAATTTGATCATGAATTGGACGTCCAAAAAAGAAAAATGTATCTCCCCCTCCCCCGCAAAACAAAAAGAAGATAATGTCATGTCTTGTTTATTCGAAATGATTTCGTTTCATTTATCTATTAGCCTAATGTAAAATCTATATAAAATAGAAAACGTAGTATTATTTGACTTGGTATTCAGTGGTTTTATATCCAAGGGGAGAATGATGCGGTGGTGGACATGGGTGACTATGGCCAAAAAAAAAGTTGAATGATTGGAGGATCCACCGTTTTTTAATTGACGCCAACGTGATCGAATGCGAACCACCATACGAAGAAGGCAATGAGGATGGCAAGAATGATGGCAATGCCCAAACAGCACCATTTTTTCTACAAGATGATATAAGGATCAAAGTCAAGCATATAAAGAGGTGGACTCAAAACAACTTACGGCACGTGTTTTCTTTGCGCTCACAATAGCGTGCGCAATATCCTTATTGCCTTGTTCTAAATCGACAACGGCGCTTTCGGTATGCATTTCAATCTGTTTGATGGTTTCACCTTGACTCTCGACGAGCATTTGCATATCAACGAACAGTTGATGCAGTTCCTAAAAATGAGGGTTTCACAAAATGAACTAAGATGGTTGATTTGCATATACAACAGCCCATGCAGATCCTTACAAGAATGGTTTTCTCAATCTTTTTGATATCATCATGTCGCGATTGCACTTCACTGAGAACAGCACGTGCCTGCCCCGACCGATTTGAGTGCATCAACTAAACCCATGGTGGCATTCAGTTAGCCCATTTTTATCACGCCGTGAAGTATGATGAAATGATTTACCGATTGAGCGAAAATTTGTGGCGCTTCATCACTGTCAAGGGTTCTTTCTATTTCGTCTGATGTAGCATCTGGTTTCACTAGACGAAAGAAAACAAAAGAACAATCACAATATCGGATCAGTCAAGGTATGATATTGAATTAAATAATAAGAGAAAGAAAAAAAGGGGGAGGGAAGGGAGGGGAATTGCATTCGATGGTTTACCGATACGAATTTGACGTTCCACACGTTGTCTGTATTTCTGTTGATAGGTACGTTCAATGTCTTGGTAATGTTGAATGGTTTCCATGAAGCGTTTTTTCAGGGCGGCATGTTGTGTTTTTCGCATAGGCAAATCGCCTGTGGTGGAGGGCAAACGAGCATTGCTTAGCTCCATTGCCTTGATCCGTTTTTTCGCTTCGTTATTAAGCTTAGCGGTTTGACTCACGAGTAGTTCCAGCCGTCGTGAGTTTTCGGCCGTCTGCTCCTCACTAAAATTGGTCAGTGAAATACTGTGCAATTCCTCGATATCCGAGATATTCTGATTGATTCTTTTGTTCAATTCTTTGATCTCCTCCACCTGCAAGGTTTGGCAGAGACAAGGAATAAGTAACCTATCATGCAATCTGGTTGCTCGGGTGTTTGGGTGCTCTGATATTACCTCGGTGAAAAAGGCTTCAGTGGAAACCAATCCGTCTCCGTGGATCTGCTGCATCTCGATTTGTTCTTTTCCGCTGGTATGACGATCGCCACGGACGGAGTGATTGTAGGCGGGAGACGGAGGAGCGGGTGGCCGGTAAGTGGTGTCGTCGTATCGTGCCGACCGCTGACCAGCAGAAGGTGAAGCACGATAGGATGAAGGCGCATTAGGAAGAGGAGGCGGCATATCATAATCGTCACTAAGCAGGATTTTCATTTTTTTTAACTGTCTTGAGAAATCCGTCATACGATATTTTTTTTCGTGTGGATCTACCTCAAACGACTGTATATATTTAGTACTTTATCGATTTGATCAATATTAAATGAACAAGAGAACTATCTACTTACTCATAACCTTTCTCGTTATTGACACCCTGATATCATTCAAAGGACAAAGACCCATAACAAGACCCACAAAAACCGCAATGATAAATGATCGGCTTTTCAATGCATTATATTTTTTTTTTCCGGCTTACCCGCAGTTCCGCCAGACGATCGCGGCTCATAGTGAATCGTGAATTGGCCATTGTGAAAGGAGAGGACTGGAAATGGAGATGATGAAAGGAATGAAGCGAGATGAAAGGAGGGTGCGGAAATGAAAAATGGCTAGAAGAGAAAAGAAAATAAAAATAAAGGAACGGATAGCTGATTTAGTGAATGATTTTCGGTTCTTGTGTTGCATTGGATGGATTAGGTTGCACAACCATAATTAACGTAGTCTGCTGTGAACCGAGGAGAATGGCCCGTCGCACATGCTCCTTGTTGACATGTTTGGGTAATGATACCGCGATCCTAAAAGCGCTAAAAAAGCTTACTGCTCAGAATGACCATGATGACGATAATAAATGGTGGTGTCAAAAAAAATACAAGAATAAAGGGATTCGCGGGTCTCCCTGAAAACCACTTGTGCACATTGCACGTCTATTAACATAAGGAGACCAGCTATTTTCGACCGCCAAATTAGGGAGAAGGAGAAAACAACAACAAGCACCTTGATACATGGATCAGTTGGTCATCTTTTTATTAATTGCCACCCTTCTTCTTCTTTTCCTCTACGATATCAATGTTATCCTCGGGTACCTATATCGACCGTCCAATCAGTTTCCTAGGCTATTCCCATATCGATGCATTTGGATGACTTACCTGAGACCAGTTGGCAAGAATAAGATCGAATAACTCGTCCGAGAAATCACCCTGAACAACAATTTCATCCTGATTCTGGTTGTTCTTGGCGACTGAGGAACCACATGCAAATTTGTTGGCAAACATTTTTGCCGCCTTTTTCAAATCGACATCTAAAAGCAACATTATTTGCGTCAGTTAACCTTGATCGGCAGAACAAAAAAGAGTGGCAGGCCATCCCCAATCGTACCGAAAATATCCAAACCGTGAATGGTGGTAACACATTTTCTCTTTGTTCTTTCCACGCGCTTGATAATCACACGAGATGACTAGACAACAACATCAGTGATTTCCCTGTCAACCGCTTCACCACTGTATATTTGGTTTTTTTTGTACCATCTTTTTCTTATTTTCACGTTCCAGTTTAGCTTCCAATTTGGCCGACTTGTCCTTGACCAGTGTACGGTCCGATCGCTTTTCACCGGACGCATCCTCCAGAGAAACTTTTTCGACGCCTTGGCCGACATCTATCACAATCAAAATACTTGTTTAGGATTCGATTCTCCTCTCACTGTCCACTGGAATCTCAATTGAACTGCATCATGTCACCTTGCACGCTGTACATGTCATCGTACACGTCTTCATGGTGGAGTTTAAGCCACTCTTTGCATTTTTCTTGTGTGCCGCTAAATTCGCAGTACTATGGAAGAGTTAGATGCAATGATTTGCCTGTTTTCACTAGATTCAAACTGCACCTCTGGGGGCATTGAGCAAACTATGTGTAAAAAAAGAACCCAAGTCATTGAGTGATTCAAGTCGGAAGAGTGTATTATCACGTGAAAACTTACTGCCACAATATAACATTTTTCGTGGTTCCATGGCGCTGCTGTCTCAATGGAGTTATTGATTGATTGTCAAGAATCAATAAATAAAAATATGGAGCCAACGTAGGGTTAGTGCAAAAATGCCAATACCCACCGTGCTCGAAAAAGAAACCTCAATTTCCACGACGAATCAGCAGTCATGCCCGCCCTCTCTTTTTTTTGTTTTGGAACTCCCTCTGTCATGCCACTGCCTGCATTTCCTTTTTTTCTTCTTTTCACTTTGTAATATTCTCATTAGGAACACGTATCTTTTATATCGGTGTGCTTTGTGCGTTGTGCGGGTGTGTATATATTTATATATTAGTATTATGGTGGGAGTGTTCAGTAGCGGATCCATTTAAGCTTTCATGGGTGTTTCTGCTGCTACAGGTAAACCAAACTCATCCAATTGCACGTCCTGTTGCTGTAAAGTAGAATAACACTTAGTTACACGTCACTGACCAACGCAGATTACTAGAGGATTATGCTTACTTGTTTGGGATCTGTCTCTGCGGCCTTGGGTAAAGCCTCGGTATCGTCTTGTAAGTAAGAGGGCATTTCCTCCTCCTCGAACGCCAACTCGTCACCCAAAGCGTCCAGTTCTATTATCAATGGGTGAGTCACTATTCGTATCATACCACATCATTATTTTCCAGGTATACCAGCTTCCAGATCTTCTTCGTCCACATCATCAGGCAAATTATACGATCGTCCTAGCGTCTCCTGCACTTCGTTGGCCTGCTCCAGCAGATCTTCCATTTCATCCTGTAGTTGCTGTGAAAGAATTGTCAGATATCATTAAAATGAAAAAAAAAATTGCAAGTCGGAGGAGCCTTACGTCAATCTTGTCCAAGTTGACATTCTTGTACTGTTTCTTCAATTCCTTGTTCGCAACCTGCATAGCATCCACGGTCGCCATCACATTGCGGAGATTCTCGGTTGTCATTTGCGCTTGTTCCATATTGAATGACTGTTGCTGGAGGTTGTCCCGTTGAGCTTCGCAGCTAAATTGAAAACACCCGTCAATTCCATGGCAAAACTCCTTGGCTGAAAAAAAAAGTCAGTCGCTTACAGTTTTCGCTGCTTCAGAATCCGTAACGCTTTTTGCTGCACCGCTTTCTAATATGAGACTCAGCAGTGAGTGACCAAAATCCACTTCACGGCAGGGCTCCCGAAAATAAAAGTATTTGACGAGTCTACCTTGGCAGGCCCTTCTCTCATTTTCTTCATTTGATCACGGTATCGTGTTAGCTCTGCATCGTACTTTCGAATTTTGACTTCGATAGCGTCGGTCCGCAGATCGGTCTATGGGAAGCGACCGGGTTGAGTCTCGATGAGTATGGTTCACTTGACTGGTTCCCTACAGTATATTATATCTAGATTAAAGATATGCTTACCGACGAAATAGCGTCATTGAGTGTAGGTTTGGCGGTCTTTTTTCCAGAACCAAAGAGCCTGTTCATTATAAAAAGAGAGTGGTTGGGAATAGGTTCGCTTGGTCAAGCCAAAAGAAGAGCTGCAACAGCTGGCGGAGTTCAAGATGCTTGGCATGCCCCGCCGCATTTCGTAGTCACGCGCACAACTGCACTGCGGCAGATTCAGTCAAATATGATTCGTGCCATATGAACGCACTTCTTTTTTTTCCCTCTTACTTCTTGTGCAAGAAAAAAAGGGTTTATTTTAGCACTTGTTCTCGCTGCCTTTTTCCCGCTTTCTTTAGTTCATGTCTTTCGATTCTGATTCTTATCTCCTCGAGCATACGCAGTACACACAATCACCAGAAGCAGCACAACACTCTATTGATTCCCAGTCTAATAATTCTTCTACTTCTCACCAATATGGCGCTCACAACCACGCTTCCTCTCTCGAGCTTTCATCGTCGCAAGTCAACCTTGCTTCCAGAAAAGGCAAAAAGAGACATCTCCCCAAAGTGGATCCAACGTAAGTTGTGATTGTGGCCAAACCGATGAACCAGGATCTCTATGCTCACATTACGCTTGAAATTTTCATAAAACAGATTACCATGCTACGTTAATCAGCTCTCGGTAGAACTGATCACGCATATCTTTGCTCTTCTCGATCCAATGACATTGACCGAGATTGCAAGAGTGTGTCACTACTGGCGTCGCGTGGTCACCGACGAAAGCTGCTGTAAGTATTTGTATTTGTATTTGTGAGCGTTTGGACCCATCCACTGAATACCGTCCTTAGGGAGAGACGCATTTCTGGCGTACTTTGGCATGCTTCCTTACAAACGCTCCATGCTCAACAGCTGGAAATCCGAATACATTTTCCGTAGTCATCTCATTCGGTAGGTTATGCCGCAGCAACCTGGGTTTCACTGAAACAGGATTACCAACGCATTTGGCATGGCATTAGGAAATGGGAGAAAGGAAGAGGCGCTATCCTTCGATTCAGCCCAAAGATCGGTTCCTTGGATACCATGTTTGTTGATTTCGATCATGCTTCCATGGTGGCCGCCAGTGCGGAACAGGGATTAGCTGTACGGTGCAATCCTACCACAGGAAAATTGGACAAACAATTGCTTTTCAGCACCGATGATAATGTTCCTCTAGGCGTTAATGCGCTGAAAATGAACAGGTAAGCTATTGATCGACGACTCGGGAATTTTGTGTCAGTGATTGACGGAGGCATTGCGTGTAGTCACCGTATCTTGTGGGGTTTCAATGCTGGATTCATCACCATGTCCACTTGCCGAAAAATGTATACCGGAAGGCAGCTAAGGGTGTTTTCTCAGTTTCATCATGGCCCAGTCACCGCGCTTGCTCTTCCTTCATTTTCCGATCATTCGATCCTTAGTGCTGGTGAGGACAGCGTCATCAAGATCTGGGACACTCGCACTGCCACATCCATTGTGAACTTGAACGGTAATTTGTTAATTTCAGATGGTACAAAAGAAAACAGGGTTGTCTTACGTCCTCTTTCGCATTAGGTGTTGCGTCCAAACCGGTGTGTCTAAACGTCAGTCCTACGTATGTCATTGCAGGCTATGCGAATGGGGATATTGTCGTGTGGGACATTGAATTGGAAAAGGAAGTTGAGCGATTTGCCGACCGTCTTGAAGAAGCGTACCAGGATGTTGTCACTGTTCGAGCGACACAGCAAAATCCATCGTTTGAACGCCGAGTGATTTCGGCTCCGGGAAGTCATGCCTCGGTAACCTGTATCAAGGACGATCCAGCCTCTAGCGTAGTGATTGTCAGTTATGAGAATACGCGTTCGGTTTACAAGTATGATATCAAGACGGGTCGACTCTTGGCCACTTTTGGCCACGGACACACGGTCGGGACTGTTTCATGCATGAAATGGGACATGGCACCTCCAAAGGAAACCGGTTCATTGAAGCCGTATTCGAAGCCAATGGCGGCAAGGATTAAACGTCAAGGCTCAACCTCCAGTTTTTCCGCGCCATCCATCTCGCCATCATCATCAGCAAGTAAGCCGTCCTATCGAAACAAACGATTGCTCGTGACAGGTGATACCGCTGGCACAATTTGTATGTGGGACGGCGATGCGGTGGCGGACAGAGGTGGCATCGTGAAACCACTCAAGACATTGTACGGCCACACGGCGGCCATCAGTGCCCTGTATGTGGATGCCTGCAAGATCGTTAGTGGCGCGTGAGTATAAAAGAAAATCATGGCCAGCCGTAAGTTGCTAATATGGGTGAATTTAATAGAGATGATGGCTGGATTCGTATTTGGGATCCCTTGACAGGGCTGAACATCAATACACTCGGAAACAAGTAAGCCTAATAAGGGATGCATATCAGAGATAAAGCACGGGAGAATTGACAATGGTGTTGTTTAGGATTGCCAAACATGCACCGGTTGATCGGTCCGATGTGAACATTATGCGAGTAAAGAATATCTGGTGTAATGATTTCCAAGGAGTGGCGACCATTGGTCACGATGTGAAATCGTGGGATTTCTCATCTGATAAACAACTGCTGGGTATGTATTATGCGTCTAGTCTCGAAAGGTAAAAGGAGAATGGCGGCTAAAATCGTTTGCGATGTTATTACAGCACGTCGTCAACTCCGTCCCAAATCAAAGAGTTCATCGACGTTGTCGGCCAACGTGAGCCAGTATGAACTTAGGCAGGAACTGAAGGAATCCAAAGCCACTTTGCAGGAAGAAAAACAAGAACGTGATCGTGCTGCTAAACTGCTTCACAAGTTAACCTTGGGCGGATTGTCAGACGAGGAAATGCTGGAGTATGCGCTGATGTTATCCAAAGAGGAAGCAGCAGAAACATTTTCGCCAGAGGAAGCATCGCGAACGACCCCTACGTTTACACAAGAAGATTACATTGACGAAAATGATCAAGATCTTGTAAACGCCTTGATTGCCAGTTTATCCGTGGACGATGCAACGGCAACCGAGCCATCATCCGCAAATACACCACCAGATGCGCCCCAAGCAGCCCCCTGTATGTCCCAAATTAGAGCTGAAAGTGCGAATACCGAGCTATCCGCGGCAGATGGGACGCTTCATGGCGGTCTATCGAGAGACGATTATATCGATGATGAAGATGACGAAGCACTGCAATATGTGTTGAGACTCAGTCGAGGTGATTTGTAATCTATTCCTTCCCTTTGCACTGCCTCATTTTCTTGTGTTTTTGTTTTTTTTGATACCTCAACAAGCTATATAATGTTTTTCTTTCTTGCTGTTGTTCTGCAAGTCATCTGATCTCAGGCTACGCCTTTTTGCATATCCCTGTAGTAAATACAATAAAAAGATTGGCATAATGCACGCTCTATTATCCGTACACAAAAATACAGCTTGACAAAATCACAAGGATAAAAAAAAATGACCATATTTGCCATGAAGAAAAAAAAGTGTGGACCAAGGTCAATGTCGTCGAAAATCTTGTAAAATGTATTGGAATGAATTGGTAGTTGTAACTGGATGACATTTGGCAAACAATAATGCGACGTGATTTCTGCTGTATGTACAAATTGAAGATCGCACCCATTGACTTTTTTTTTTGCAAATTAGCGAGCTTCGAATTGAACCACTACACAGATTGATTCATTCATACATTAGCCATATTGCTAACTAGATACTTATAATTGGCGATTTACTTACTTCTCTTTGTTCGTTTCTTATACATGATGCGGTGTCCACAGTCCTGACAACGAATAGGTTCTCTGGGCTTCAACTGATTCTCTGCGCCACAATCTGACCATTACAGAGTGAGTAACACTTGAGTTACAATCGAAATGAACCGTACGATCACACTTACCGGCACAAATATAAGTCATTGGGGGAGCAGGTTGACGGATAGCAGTGCCTTGATAACCTTCCATTATGGGTGTGGACGAGCAGAAAAGTGTCTAACAAAAAAAAAAAAAAAAAAAAAAAAGACCTCCAGCAATAAATTCTGAAAACGCTCGTAAGGTCAAAAAACACAGTCACACCACAGTGGGTTACCACCGACAAAAAAAAAAAAAGCTCCAAGTGCCTTGCACAGGGAAACTTTGCGACAATGTCTTCTTCTACCATGACGATCTTTAGCAGTCAACTAGAGACACAAATCGAGAACTTTATCTCACGACTCAAACGACGGTAATACTACCCTAGTTCCGTGGACTTTTTGGTGAACAGCTTGGTTCCTGATTTAAAGAGTTTATTTTTTTGGGCAGACAAGTGGTTGGATCGTACGAAGTGGCCAAGGAAACCGCGGCTATTCTTCGACAAATTGTATCTACTACGCGATGGCGCGATGTGGAAACTTTGTTGGATATCATTACAGTCACCGGTGGACGCTTGGCGGCTGCACAGCCCAAAGGTTTGTTGGATGAGTCTCGATTAGGAATGGCAAGCGCTCGTTTCACTGATGCAATAATGATAAATACAGAATTGGCGGTGGGCAACATTACCCGACGTGTGCTTAAAGTGATTCGTGAAGTGGCTCGTGGTGAATTGGAAACCCATATGATGGATCGCGAGGAGCGGGATGAGGAATCCGAGGACGATTTCGCCTTTTCTGACGATGACAGTTCGGCGGTACCAAGTCCTTCCAAGAATCTGTCGTCGACAAGCAGCCAAGTGGGATCAATTAATGAATCGCGTCCTCAGTTGGCCGCTCAGTCTTCCATGTTCCGATTGCTGGCCGATGCTTCGGCGGCCCGATCCGACGAATACATCGAAGCCCAAGAAAGGAAGGGCGCCTCTTACAATCTCAAGCCCTTGATTATTCAGGTCATCAATGAAGAAATCATTGCCGATTTGGAAGACGTCGAAAGAGCAAACGATAAAAGTATTCCCGGCGTTTACAAAGGAATCGCCGATCAAGCCCTGGATTACATTCACGCAAAGTAAGTTCCTAAACTTGGTCTCCCTCCCCCAACAACGTTGTACTGTGATTTTCTGATCCAAAATACGCTCTCGTTTTGCTTTTATAGCGAAGTGATTATGACTATTGGTATGTCACGTACAGTGAAAGAATTTTTATTCCGTGCCGCTGCCAAGCGAAAATTCCAGGTCATCGTTGCAGAAACCTCGCCTACGTGAGTAAAACAAAAATAGGGGATAAAGCAGGTTTTTTTTTTTTTTTTGGATGGGAGACTCATAGAATTTTTTATGTATTAACAATACCACAGATACCAAGGTCATGAAATGGCCGCTGCATTATCGGCGCGAGGTATCGACACCACCGTCATTGTTGACTCGGCCATTTTTGCAGCAATGCCTCGCGTCAACAAGGTCGTCCTTGGAGCTCACGCAGGTACGTAGAGATGCAGATCATTTGACGAGAGCGAAAGTGCCGTAGTGATGGGGGAATGGGAGGAGGATCAGTAATTAACCTGTACCGGTATACGTGTTTTATAGTTCTTGCGAATGGTGGATTGGTAGCAGTTACGGGTTCGCATTTGCTGGCAGCGACGGCGAAACATCATTCCACACCGGTGCTTGTATGTACCGCGCTTTATAAATTGTCGCCGCTGTATGCCTATGACGCCGACGCGTTCAATGTGACCGTGGCTCCCAATAGCGTGTTGGATTTCCAACAAGGCGACATTGTCGACAAAGTCGCCGTCTCCAACCCATACTACGATTATGTCGCGCCAGAATTAGTGAGTTTATTTATTCACAATTTGTAAGTCTTTCGCAATGTTTGCGCTATTTTTGGTTTTTTGGAAACGTTTGTTGACTTCCTTTTTTTCCTTCCTATTTACAGAGGATCGGCGCCACCAACTTATGTATACAGGTACCCTATTTTTTCTTTTTTCTGGCAGGAAATGATTCGATGGTTTTATCAGTGAGACTAATGGTGGGTGAATAGACTAATCAATGACAATTACGACCCGGAAGATACTACGTTGTAATATAATGACATTTGTTTTTTTTTTTCTCTTTTTCCCATATAAACTCATGATACATCAATATTGCAAACACCACAAGGGATGAAATACTGATGAGAAAAAATAAGGTGATTGGGCTTGGTCTGCCATCTTGTATTAATCAGTTTCAGCAAATGGCGTCAATTTCATGCATCGAATTATTCTGTCGTTGCAGGCGCGAATGGAGAACGGGTGATTATCATGACAGTTATGCTAGTTGAGAAGAGCTTTTTTTGGTTTCACGATAGCCCGGGGCTTCGGTGTATGCCAACACGGCCTTGAGAAAGGCGGCCGAGCCTGTGTACATTAGACGGCATACTTTCTGGTGGATCTGCCACTGCTGATCAATTCGGATCGCGGTGTAAACACCATACGAAGCCAGCTGCCACGAATGCTTTCGAATACGACAGGTATGATCAATGTATTGCAACATCGCGATAATATGTCCCAGGACGGCAGTGACAAGATCTATCGGTATTCATCATGTTGAGGACTTTCCTATCAGTTGACATCAGACCTGATCTTTCGCTTACGAGGGATGGGGCTCTTTTTGAGGCAGACTGCGCTGGACACGGCGGCTTTGACGAATATTTCGGAAAGGCTCATCGGATCGTCGCTGGTCCACGATTCATGGTCATCACTATCGAGGCCGTGGGCGCATGCTGATAATTTCAATTGATATTGATCAATGAACATCGACAACTTGTGTTCCACGGCGGATTTTACTGAATCATTGGTACTCACTGACAAACAAGGGTTACCCAATCCAGATCTAACAAGCGTAGATCCGCCTGTGTGACTTACAAGGCAAGGCTGACAATAGTTTTTCCAATCCAAAGAGATACAACTCGAGCGCGATGCATTGTTGATGACCTGTCTTTTCCATGTCTGCAGCAATATTCAATAACTGGAGCGCTTCTTCCACTTGCTTCTTGTCAAGCCATGGTTCCTTATCTTCTTGCAATAGCTTGGTAGGTCCGCCGTAGGACCCGTTGGATGATGAGCAGCTGTCAGAGGTCTGAGTGGATGGTGATCCTGACGTATCATTGGGAATGAGGTTTTCGTAAGGCGGAGGTATATCCGTGCTGCGTTTTTTGCAACAAGGGACGCGCATACAATCCGCTCTTTTGGCCGAACCGTGGATCCACGACAAAGGAAGCTGCACAAGATAATCGACAGCGCTAATAATCATTCAAGAAAAAACAAGCCAATGTGAAAAAGTAAAAAGAGAGAAAGCGTGCATGAAAAAAAAAACGCCCTCGACAAAAAATTTAGCGAGGTGACACACTCATAATCTATTTGCTCATTTTGTTTTTCTTACAACACATATAAAAAAGAAGGCCATTTCAGTAGATCTCACAGATAAATATTCACTTGTATTCGTAATAAGAGATGTCACGTGTCACACGACATAATATGAACGCAATCATTCTCAACGCCTTATTAAATCTCTATTTTTCTTTTGGCTGGGCACACTGTCCCAGGATCTACCCGCCTTGCAGGAGTCCCAAATTAAATAACATGTTTGTTGGAAAATTTTGGAATTCCGCGTCATGAATAAGTATAAAAGGGCGCCACCGTTACCAAGGAAAAAAAAAAAAAAAATCCAATACCTGCAGCTCAATACGCCTGTCTAAATCAAGACAATCCTGTCTTTTCTTTATAATGCCATGAAGATCAACAACTATCCACATCCAAGATCTGGTATCAAGAAGCCCTTGGACAATGTCAAGGCAAACGAGGAACGAACTCGTAGGGAAATTATGTGGACCGTGGCGTTGGGACTCTCGTGGACGGTTACACCTCGACTGAACAAGTTGCAAACGTCATCGATTACTTTTTCGGCTAAAAAGCAGACCATGGTTTGCGTAATGCTTTGGCGTTGGCGTTGTCCCGTTTCTGCGTTTGCGTGGGGAATCGGCTCGAAAGGCTGAATTACCGGATCTGCAGGGTGAACCCTGAAAGGAAAGGCTCTTCTCCCCGTCCCGCCATGGTCCTGGTTATGCGACAAGTCAAAACAACCCGCTCGGACATCTCGAGGTCAGCGCTTGCAGCCGTAATGTTCGCGTTGAGATTTGCCCCTTCATGACACTGCGTTTTTATGTCTTCTGGCGTTCCATGTGGAAAACGAGCAATTCCCAGTTTTCAGACCTCCCAAGAGTGGTACCACGTCAAGATCTTGCGAAGCGGATCCAACCCAACCAAGGAATGGGATACCAGGGGCACCGCGCAGCGATTCGATACAGCATTTCAAGGCGTGCAAAATCATTTCAAAGAAGAGCACACATGCCGCAAGAGTCTCCGCTGTGTGGATGGCCGACCTCAATGGTGTCGATGAATGCCAGATCCGGAGACTTGGAAGGTGGGCAACTCGACGATGAACGGCGCGTACCTGACAGGAAGTGCTTGTTTTTCTGCAAACCAGCCAAGACACAAGGCTGAGCAAATTTTCAAGAACTGGATGAATACTCCCTTCCAACGTACCGTCAGCAGGCCACTCGTCAACATTGTCCACATCGCCATGAAGCTTGCCAAATGGTTCCACCAGATCACTCAAATCCTCTTCACACTTCCCCGTCTGTCCCCGATTGAAGCCATTGATCGACACGGTCCAGGTTAGGTCAAAAGATCTGACCAATGCTGTTTGACAAGCCCAGCCAACTCGATCGACAATATCATGCGAATTGCTCTTCCGTTTAGTAATAGATGGCACAATTGTCTTCCTCCACCGATCTTCGTACAGGACCTGCTAATTTCTGATTCCTTGCTCCACGGACGTTCATTGCCATTGTTGCCATCTCATTGTTCAATGTTGCTTAAAGTCACTGCCTTTCAGTAGGCCGGCCATTCCTCGACATTCGTTGTCTGATGTCTCGCGGACGCCATATACAGCGTCATTCAAAGTAACGTGCGCATCCCCGTCCGCAAATTAGAACGTAGCCACAGAACCGAGCTTTCCATAGTCAGTACCAGGTTGAACTATAAGCAAAACGTATCTCTAGTATCCCCACTTACTTTTCAACATGTGCCTTTACCTTTGTTAAATTGACGTTCTTGGTATATAATTGATCCATGTGTTCCGAATGCTCGGGATAATCAACTCTAATATCCCCCAACTTCAAATCTTTCCACTAGCCATGTCCACAAGTGTCGATCAATACCATCAATTAGTACATGGATATACCTCAATCGCTGTCGATCACGATCCTGTTATCTTAACAAACTCGGCAATTGTGATGCTCACATCAAGACTTGGCTTTTTGTGTTGATGCAAATGATGACCTTTGATGGCAATTGCCACATGATGCGGCGTAAAAGGGATATTTGCCAGCACATTTCCGTTCCACTGGTATTCTGAATGAGGTCATGTCTGCTCCAATCGCGACGTCCATTAATTCAAGCCTCAACATCCGTCGCCTCGATCGTTCATCTTGTTGCTTGCCGCTGCTTCATGGCATCTGCAAGGTGCCATCCCATGATCATGTCGTCGCCCACGTTTGCTCCTGCCGCGGTGTCTTCTGGTATTCCCGTCCCCCAGGCGTTCATAGGTGAAAACAACCAGAAGGTCATGAGCACTTCTTCGACCGAGAGGAAATGCAAGACTGGATCGATGATCCAATGCAAGTGGATGATCCTGCGGAGTTAGTCGACTGGATGGACATAGTTCGTTAGATGTCCATCCATAGACGTCCATCCAGGATGCCTTACAGAACCCCTCGAAAGGTAAAAGACTTCCAATTGCACAATGAAGCTTATCATCGTTTAACCTAGTTATATTACATTAGAACAAAAAAAAAAAACCGTGAATCGTCCCCTCATCACTGACTGAAGCTTGGCAGTCGTAAGTGTTTAATCATCAGCTGAACCTATATACACATGCTAAAAATTCTCTAGACACTCACGACTGCAATATACAGCGAAACAACAGCCGTTACTCACTGCGGTCGCTTGATAACGGCGTTGCAAAAGGCGACGACAACCACTTGGTTAAATGCATTGACGCACTCAACAAGGTATGACATCCACAGCTGCGCTTCAATTCATAAATACGTTGCTGATTTTTTGCTTGGTTCCATATATTGTAGTCCAACGAACGTCTGACGAAAGCCGATAGGATGACAAAAGGTCATCCTATCGGCTGTATCCATGGCACATCGTTCTTTGTGGCCATGCAAGAGCACCGCAGGTTATGTTTTTTTTTCTTGTTGATGGGATTCTACAAGAGGGATAAAAAAAGAGGCCAAAAAAAAGAGGCGCAAGCAAAAATGAAAAAAAAAAGCTTGGACGCATATTAGTCTGAGTAGCCGCCCTGGTCCCTGTTCCGCTACTGATACAGAGTAAGCCAGTTCTTGCTTGTGCGGATCTCACCGAGTTTGGATCCTCCATGCCACCTTCCAATGCACGATCTCATCCATATGCAGCGACACGATCTACGACTCTCACGATATGGCAAACGTAAGTACAGGAGACAAAAGTCAACGGGTAAGCTTTATATTCTTTGTATTCTTTTATTCGTTCTGTTTCTTTTGAAATTCGTACATTTGCTTTTTCTGCTGGCCGACAAAGGCTGTGCATTCATCCACATGTATCCATCCACGTGGAAAAACAGATTTTATGAATTGATATTGTCTACCTGAGTATTCTTTTCTTCCGTTCTTTCCTCCTCTGTTAACAGCTTTTATAATAAAACACGGTGCTGTGCTTGCTTTCAAGTTTACTTCTGTAATTTCTTCAAACATGGATGAGTAACTGACGATCTTCCCAATTTTAGCAAAGAATGCTGTAGATTTCATGCAACAGAACCGGGCATTGCATTATGTAATATTGTTTGATTATGTCATTCGGCTGTATAGCCTACTACTATGTAGCATTTTTCGAGTTGCCGACTCGGACATGTTCGTCGGGTGCTACTCTGTTCTTCTTTACGCACCTTACAAGCTATTTGATAACTCTTACAGTAAGATCTCTCGGACGTCCAGCTAGTTTTCGGGGCCCAATACGGTGTTCGTCGTTCTCCCCACGTTAAACGTTGTGATACCGGAATGGGAGACATCCCGAGTTTCAACATAACTTCTGCCGCAACCATGGCTCCTCTGGGCATTCTACAAATATGGTCTTTTTTATGTAAAATTAAGGCTTGGCATATTCTTAACCAATACGATCAATGAAAAAGTCGAAGAGAAATAATTGTTCATATGGATTTTTTTTTACTTTGGTTATCTAATTTATCCACGGAATTTTCGTAGAAAACTCTACTTTTGGTCTGCAACAAAAAAAATACTGGCTGGGAGATCGATTTGTCCTGTAGGTCCTTTGTAAATTTTCAATCGACAAGTGCGCCTAAAGGCATACATGATGAAATTTTTGTTGTGTGTGTTATGTAATTCCGTGGCTTTTCTTTTGACGTGCGGGAGGGAAGAATGCACGACGCGCATTATTCTCCTCTTCTCCCTCGAACCCCTTTGTCCGAAAATATTTTTTTCCGAAATGCAAGGTAAGGCTCATTCCTCATGAATTGAATAAACCCTACATCGATCGATAATACAGTAACAGATCAAATCGGTATTTCTTGTTTATTCAGTTGGAAGTACAGTGAACTGTCGATGATCTTTGGTGGATCGCTGTTGATAGTATTGTATTTAGTGACTGAATCGTATTCATAAAAACTGCGGTCTGCTTGGGGGATAGTTTTGTTTCCCGTCTCTCGCATGGATAGTCCGAATGCCTCTCATAAGACGAATTCTCGCCATATTTTGATTTTCTATTCAATTCAAATGGACCCTGTATAATGCTGATCATCTGCTATGCTTTTTGCCGGGTTTGAAAAAATGAGCGCGATTCTCTATCAATCTTACAATAACGAATGACGTAAAATGACTAGGGCAAAAAAAAAATTGTTTTGCCCATCTGGTTGTATGTAACACATGTAATGAGCATGTCAGGGCTTTCATATTGTTCGGCTATTGATATGTCCAGGTACGTCTTAACTTTGAATTGCGTTGAATGAACTTTGCTCTAATAATACAAATATTTGATATGCGGCCAACATCGATATTACAGTGGATTAGTTGTTGATAGAGCAAAATGGATAAAAGAGTAAAAAAAATGGATCAACTTGGCAATCCAGATTGGCATATACGATGATCCTGTCGGTGGCAACGTTTCTTTATTGAAATCAACAAGAATGTAGGCAGTGTTGCTAAGCTGACGAGGGCCCAGTAGCGGATCATCGAGAACGCGCAACTATGGATGGAGTTGTTTCATCTAAAAGGCGAATCAGTCGTTGTTTTATCCTTTTGACTCCGTTAATTTGCATCAAACATATGGGCCTCAAGAATGACACTAATCCAAAATAATCAGTTCTTGTGAAGGAAGCGTAATTACACCTTTTCTTTATTTTATTCTCATTAAATTTGTTTTCTGGATCCACAGAAACATTTTACAAAAACAGGAGAATAACATCATCTTAGCGTTTTCGTTTCATTCAATATACGCATGTCCATCGATCATCCATCTTGCAGTTTATCACGTCTGGCGCTTGCAAAAGCGATCAAAACACCCGTTAATGATGACGAGAACAGAGACACGTGGATGCAGAGCATTATTTTCTATCAATCCCACATCCCTGCCAAAGCGCACCAAGATCGGTCTCTCGCTTCTACAAACAATGGCTCACACCTTGTTGGTGAATCTAAAAATGGATATCCACCAAGCTACCCCACCATGAACTCGTTTCTCTCACCAACCGCATGCATCATGGGTAAGTGCAACGAGTGAAACCCAATTGTCTGCAGCCATATCCGCAAATCGGCTATTAACTTGGGCCGCAAACTCACGACTCCTTTTCCTCCAAGAAACAGAGAGATCAGAATCAATGCGTCGCCATAAACAGTTACCTCAACTTGCTAAAGAGAATCATTCAGGTACTTTGAGCTATTCGTCAGCAGGCAAGGTATGAGATAATGAAGGAAAATCACTTATGACGCAATGACGATTATCCAGGTTCAAATACAAACACCGTGCAAGCGCACGCAACTCCTTGGCAGCACACAGGCAGGACCGGACTGCATCGCTCGCGATCGATTGGAGACGGTATTCGGACAAGGCGGCGTACGCAAGAAAGCGGTGATAGCTCCTCATTTGAGCATATGATGATGTTGAAACAGGAAAGGCGACGCAGTGGTGGGACGTCGTCGGATGAGTCAACGAGCAGCGGCAGCAGCACGCGTTTCGAGGATGAGCTGGAAGATGTAGTCGATTCGTTCAATACCTTTGAATTTGAAAACGCCGCGGAACCGTCGCTCATATCGCCTGCCTTTTTGCACGATGCGGATGGCGTCAAAGACGCATTCCACCGACCCAGTCTGCCAAAACGAGGCTACCTGGCCATGCCGCTATCCAAATCAACAGGGCATTATCATCGACTTACAAATAACGGATTGTTGTGGCAGCAAAATTCCTCTTACAAAACTCCTGAGCAAATCCGATGCGAATTATCCAAAGTGCAACGATCGGGTTCAAAACGTTCAGTCCACAATCTCAAAGCAAGACGGGATGGTTCTTCGCATGTTTTCAAAAGTACCAGCCGTGAAAACCAAGAAAAAAGATCCCTAAGTGACGTTCCGCAACCAAGGACAACGATGATCCAGCGATCCCAAACGATCACCATAGGAAGTCGTCAAGGAATCGATGGACGCCGAAATGCTATCGTTCTTCTCAGCCGTGCATCGACAATGAAGCAGCTTCCCAAAATACCGAATGTAGATAAACCAATGCCGGTCATTCCCAATCGTAAAGCTACAAAGCATGCTGAGAAAGTGTCAAGGTAAAATTGGACCGATCCATCCGATCGAGCTCGCAAAGAAAAGCAACGGCCTTAAACCAACCGCATCCAACAACTTCAATCTAATGCCGGCATAAGAAATACTCACATTCTGTATAATTCAGTCAAATAACATATTGTAACGTATTTTTTCCTCCATGTGCAACGTTGGATGCTTTCAGAATAAGTCAGCCCCTAAACCGGCTTCACACTTGAGAAGAGCCGGCATCAGCTGCTTTGACCGTGTTTGTCTTTTCCTTTCGAAAACCGGTTGGGAAACAAGATACCAGTTACTGCTCTGAGTGAATACGTTGTTGCTGAGAATGAGTCCATTTACGTTATAGGTCAAGTCAACGTCGCAAGCAGGGATGGCATCCGTTATACAATGGCCCTTTGCTCGACTTGTAAAAAAAGAGAGATGCTAATTTACACGAGGCCGGTGATGCGAAAATGAGAAGTTTTCAGGTGCCGCCTGAATTTGGGAAAGGGCTGTTGAGAATAGTAGATGTGGTTTTTTTCTTCAGTCATCTATGCTTCTTCTTTGAAGCAAATCACTGCTGCATTCGCGTTAGCAAGAAAACATGGAAACGACAAACGACAAACCGACGCCATTTAGTTCGCCCGGTACACCACACCTTGCAACATCATCGTCAAAAAAGCTTCTCGTCACTTCTCCTTCACGGTGGCACACGCGAGGTAATTGCGCTACACACAATAAAGACGCCCTGAGCCCTCTGAAAAAGTATCACTGACGATCGGGCATCAGAGTTCTATTTCTACTATGTATGCTTTTGTATTGTGGTGCCGTACATGTTCCTTGTCACTTATCGGCTGAGTCGAGGTAATTGGATGCCCTTGGCCATGAGTCCGGGATCAAACGCACTGGGATTGACGGCAATTGTGAACGTTAGAGGATCATCCAAACTACTCTGATTTCGCACCGCTGCTCGAAGACGGGTGGATCTTTGGTCGGAAAGTGGTATGAAAAAGAAAAAGCTCTCCTGACCTGGAATGAGGGATAAAAAGGTGAAGCAAGTGCATTCTGATCAGAATCAACTGTAGGACAATAGTGATGCGCAGTATGCTCAGTTTCGGGGTAATCTACGCAATCTCGTGCCTTTGGCTCTCGTCTACCTTTGCCTGAGTCATGTGTTTCGTCGTACCTTTGTTCCTTCCACTCCTATCAAGCACGAACATCAGGCCCTACCTCAAGCGTACTTTCAGTTGGTCGCGGCCTTGGTGATCGTCACTGTTTTCCACGGCACCAGTATCCTCAAAATTCTTGTGATCGTGTCTACGAGCTTCTGGATCGGTCGATGGACAGGAGGCTCCCGATGGAATGTGGTATTGACTTGGACGTTTAATCTGGGAGTCCTGTTTATGAATGAGTGGCACGACGGTTACACCTTTGCAGCACTTCATCCGAATTTAGCATGGATGGTAAACTCTTCAATTAGCTCTATCGAGATTCAATGAACCTAATGCTTAATATGTATGTGCTCCATAGGACCAATACAATGGCGTGCAACCGCGATGGCATATCTTGTTCAATTTCGTTATGCTCCGATTAGTCTCGTTCAACATGGATTACTATTGGCAGATCAGAAAGCCAAGAAACGAATATGACGTAAGTGCGCGCCTATGGACCATGATAAGGGTCGATGGATGAGGAATACTAAGACGGGTGTCTCTGCAACAGAAGGAAGATGACAAGCTGGGCACCCCTTTACTTACCGACAAGGCACGCATTACGGTGCCATGCTTTGCATCTGATTACAACTATTGGTATTTCCTCGCTTACGTTTTCTATATTCCCCTCTATTTATGTGGCCCCATTCTGTCCTACAATGATTTCATCTCTCAGGTAAAGGAAAAGAAAAGGACAGGTCCCATTGCTATGGTAGTGATTGGTGGTTTTATTGATCGTATCGTGTTTCAGCTCCGTTATCCATCGGCCAATGTGACGCGTCCTTTTGTTACGACGTATGCTTTACGCATGGTGATAGTGATTTTGGTGATGGAATTCATGCTACACTATCTCTATGTGGTGGCAATCAGCAAAGCCAAAGCTTGGGATGGTGATACGCCGTTGGAGCTGAGTATGATTGGGTATTTCAACTTGGTAATCATCTGGATGAAGTTGTTGATCCCATGGCGGTTTTTCCGACTTTGGGGATTGGCGGACGGGATGTGGACGGAAGAAAATATGGTCCGTTGCATGTCGAACAATTTCTCGGCCCAACGATTCTGGAAGAGCTGGCATCGTACATTCAATCGCTGGACGATTCGATATATTTATATCCCGCTGGGCGGATCCAAGTATATGATGTTTAACATCTGGATTGTATTCACGTTTGTGGCTCTATGGCACGATATCGAACTCAAACTTCTCGCTTGGGGATGGCTCATTTGCCTCTTTTTGCTACCGGAACTGATCGCTTCAGGCTTATTCAGTTATAAAAAGGTAAACTCCACCAGATGCACGGTTTTTCAAAGCGGCATTGTATAACGACTTGATAGTTTGGACACAAACCCTATTACCGATTCGTATGCGGCATTGGTGCGGTTGGCAATATTCTGATGATGATGATTGCCAATTTGATTGGCTTTTGTGTGGGGTTGGATGGAATGAAGGATATGCTAACACATATTTTTCAGACGATGGACGGTAAGCATTCTTTCAAAAGAAAAGCGACAGATGAAAAGGCGGATATTGATACATCTTTTGTAGGCATGCAATTCCTTTTATCGGTCTCCGTATGTCTATTTATTGCTGTCCAAATCATGTTTGAAATTCGCGAATCCGAAAAACGGCGAGGAGACCCTAAATGGGTCATGTAGACAACAATAAACTAATACTAATACCCTTTCTCTCATTTTTAATGACAATTGCTGAACATGGATGATGCATTAATTTCCGTATCAGTTGATTCAGCGACAAGTTGCCCATCCGTTAATTTCCTTGGTGATGTGCCTAAAATTGGTGTCGTCGCAGAATGGAAGTGGCAGTGAAGCACAGCCACAGGAGAAATAATTGATACCAACATACGACACGAAAAGAGATGCACTACTTATACGATGTATTTAGAGAATTTATCGTTTCAAGTTGGTTATTATTTGAGAGGAACTACGTAGTCGTCAGAGGGCCAACGACGGCCCCATTGGTAGTCCAAGAGCTTGACGGAATACTCGCCTCCAAGCCCAACTGTCCACTCTCGCCAGAGATCGTTCACGTTCTTGATGCTCCGACTCAACCTGTAGGCAGGTGGATGGTTGGTGGGGTCAGCTTGGTCGTGGAGGGGAAGAGTCTCCGCATCGCTCACACTTGCAGCTGACGGATCAACCTAAAAATTATGTTTTCGTAAGATTCAGTTCTTTTATACCGGATAACATCATTACTTACAACGTCGGTGGAAGGAATCTGATGCGTAGTTTCTTGTGTAACGGCCTCAGTCGTTACAATGGCAACCGGTTGTCCAGTTGTCGGCCAAGTCACTTGGATCGCCATCGGCGCGCGTCCGGTCGTCACATCCGCATTTTTTGATGCACCCATTCGAAGTTAGCTTGAACGTTCTGCGACATTGTTTCCATGTGTCTGTGAAGGCTGGCCAACTTCTGCTCGATCAGCGGCACCGTGCGTTGCAGAAGCAAATCGGAAGGATCGGTTTGGGTCGCGACTGCTTGCAACATGTCACTAAGATGAGACAATACAGTAAGTATCACGGAAATTTATATACATAGGCGCCTACGTACCTTTTGAAGCGCAAGAATAAGGTGTCCGAAAAAGGATGGTTGAGGAACCGTTGCTGCATAAATACGGCATCCTGAAGGAAAGTCACCCGTAGCATTTGTAGCAGAGACAAAAATGCGTCTGCTGCAACATTGCCTTCTACCGCACCGGAATTGATCTTCTCTGCCCAGTAGACCGCACCTGGGAAGACCTGCTTTACAAGCTCGCTTGGTGGGAGTGATAGTGGAGCGAGGGAGCAAAAAATGGCCTTGGGTATCGGGAAAACCGGTCATGGAACGCATGACTCCGCGAGGAAACCCCACACTGAGGAGCGGTAATGGAAAAGGAACCGGAACGGATATGGCGAAGATCAGGACGGGTTGGGTCCGATGCAGTGATGCTTTCTTTGGCAATAAGGTAAAAGGGCTGTTTCGGACTGGTTTGAGTGAGTGAGGCATATCCATCGATTATCGGCCTGTTCAATCGGTTGCAACGTCATGGATAAGGGGTACTTCTCGGGTTAATCCACTTGTTTTTGACGGGTGTGCTTAAAAAAATGCGGAATTCAAACATTGTGCGAGCGCCTTGTAAGAAAATGGCTATTTTAAATTCGTTTTCTGGCTATATTGAGCTTGCACTTGCTGATGTAATTTCAAAATGGTTCTCCAGAGCTGGTGTTATATGTTATTTTTGGTTCGTGGCTACATAACAGCCGTCGCCATATCTACACGTCCTTTTCGCTAACATAGTATTGTAATAACCGCTTTTTTGATTTCACGTTCCATAGCTACAGTGCTTACCAGATATAGTCTGTTACTGCGCATAGATTCAATACTGCAACCCTCTCTTCCGCAGCACGGTCACAGTGATTTTATTTGTATCAATCGGCAAGAGTTTACGACAATCAATGCGGCGACACCGCATTTCATCCTTGCTTTCTTCCTGGTTGCTCATTTAGGCTTGAAGGTATGTGTCTTTAGTTTAGACCCTTCCTGATTCCAGATGGGAGCCAATGATTGATTGGAAGTAAAGGTCTGCGCGCGATTTTCGAAAGAGTCCTGCGAAGCCGAAACTTCGGCATTGCCGAGCAGTATTACGCATACTTTCACGGGTACAAAATATTTTGTTATTTGAAGGTGACTTAAATAGTGGGCAAAAAAGGTGTCTTTATTTATTGATGCAATTGGAAGGAATTTACAAATAAAGAGGTGATACAAAAAGCGGTCTATGACTAATTGCTTTGATGTGGCCAGCGGGTAAAACAACTTGAATCGATCGTCTCTGTGGAGACCAGGGAACCAAAGCAGCACGCAGGTGGCGGTGGCGTTGATGACAGGCGATGACAGAACGAGAATGGGAAAAAAAGAAGCAAAAGAAAAAAACTACTTACCAATAAAAACCGGGATGTCGCCGTCAATCTAACCTGAAGACCCCAAAAAAACTTGAGCCAACCACTTATCTAGAGTGGTTCACACCAGGGCTCCTCCGTGACATTACAGAGAAACTTCCCTGTGGTTCGGCAGGTCGCGCTCCGCAGCATGCACCCCATGACCTCAAGGGGAGATTCCATCTCCTAGTGAGCCCACCGAATGGTGCCCCAGAGCCTCCCCGTCAAACCACAGGGACCTTCTCTGTCATACCACAGCGTCTTTTCAGGTGTGTACCTTGGTCGCTCCGTTCGTCGTTCGTCGTTCGTCGTTCGTCGTTCGTCGTTTGCCGCAGCCAGTGGACCTGTGATAGAGATAAGGAAAGACACATCAATAACTGCTCTGGGACCATGGAGATATAAAGAGACTAAAAAAAGTCTGTCATCAATCATCAACCACACGCCACGGGTGTGCCACCTTGGTAAAGAAAAGAGAGAGAAAAAAAAAAGGAAAAATAAATTGGGGCGTGTTTTTTACCCTCATTAGATAAACCCATTTGAACACCGCATTGGTTCCGTTGGCTCAAAGACCCATCGTTCGCGTCATAGAATCACGGGTTCATTCAACTGATCGAAAGAATCGCGCCTATTTGATCCTTATTTCCTTCACGGGTTGTTTAGTACACACATCATCGTCAAAGCAACGGAGGTAAAATAGTTCTAAAACCGATAGTCCAAGATAGTTTCAAAGTATATTTCCCGGAAACCTTTACCTATCATTTCGAAAAACTAGAGCAGCTATGTTTGTTTTAGGTCCCTAAACTTGTGTGCTTGCATTACAGAGACATCCTGATTTTGCTGTCCACTTGAGAGTGGCTAATGAGCGCAAGTTGGCATGTGGACTGCTGAATGAAATGTAAACTTTGAAAAAGTTTTTTAGCACGTCAGTTAATAAGTGGCTTTGCCTTTAACTCAATGAATTAACATGATTTTATTACTTACGATGAGAAAACGGAACATGCCACGATAAACGTTTTTTTTGGAGAATGACATGGCCGTTCCTGATCCACACCAATGCGTGTTTCTTTTTTAATATCAGATTGTTCGTCTCCGAATTTATTTGGGTGATACAGCTGACTATGTTTCGCTTCACGTGCATTTCATTGTATTTCGACAAAACTGTCTACATTGCTTGGCGGGCTCTCATATAGTCACTAAAAGCTTGTTGGATAAGAGTAAGCGGTTCCCAATTTGATGTCGCAATAGAGACTTGCAACCGATCGTATGACCACGTGGAAATAAAGAGGCGCTCTGATTGCGGCAACGCAAAAGGAAGAACGCTCAGATCAGTCCTGAATTCATGCGGCCAATTAGGCACACTTCAAAAGTCTTGCTTTCCAGAAACCACTTCACGTCGGTATTCACCACCTTCATATTTTTAGCTGCCTTTCAAGTCAATCGCCCAAGTTAATCCTCTGGATTGCTTGACCTGATTATGGATTCAGCGATTTAATGAAGAGCGATGGCTATTGAGATCTCGGCTTCATTGGGATCTGTCATCACGAGCGTTGGCTGCCATCAGAGTTCGCTGACTGTCACGCGCAATGGCGCGTCATAATTTTTAATGGTCGATACATCCTATACACCACCACTTTTTTTTCCTTCTTTTGAGTCTTTTCTTTACGAATCGATTGCAACTACGCATCAGTGATTGTGATTTCCAATCCGGAATCAGATTTCGAAGCTAGATATTAGCTAGCGAAAGACCTTCCAAAGTATTATTTTCTGAGTAGCTCCTTTGATTGACCTATTTATTTATTATATGCCGTGAAACTTTACCCACATGAGACCTGACGAGCTTTCATTCTGGCGTTGGCAAACTTTTCCTGAAATTGTTCATATAATAGGATATTTCATTCCTCAACATTGGTTGGTCGGCTCTTCACAGCTTCTTCAGATGTCATCCATTATTAGATCAAAAATTAACCAGTAGAGAGAGTAGGAAAATAAATTATTTTATTGGCTTTTTTTGTCATATATTTTTTACAAGATCATGTCACCAATGACTTTAGATTGGGTTTATCCAAAGCCATGGTGATAAAAAACGATCAAAATTGTTGGCCTGTCTTGTCGATGCCATGGAAACCCCCAAGCCGTTGCCCCAATCCCTACCCCCACAGCTCGCAGCCCTTCACCCGCCTGGTGACTGCACCGCACCTGGTGGTTGGATAAGGCGTCCGTACCTATAGAAAAACTAAACGGAGAAGAAAGAAGAAAAAAGAAAAGAGGGAAAAAGAGCGAGAATTCCAATCAATGGAAAAGGCTTCCTTTTAACATTTGCCAGCCGTGGCTGGGAAACTATGCAGATGTGACGGGTAAAATGCTCAAGGTTCTGGCTTTCCCGATACTTCCCGGCTGGCTAAGGCTGGAGAGCCTATGGAAAAATTTCGATTGCCGTGAGAACAAGAAAAAAATGAATCGGGGTAGAAGAAAAAAAAAAGACATCAATGATTCCTTTAATACGGCATAGATTTCCCATAATTGGCTTGGGGACTGAGCAAAAATGTCGCCATCCATGCCATCTTATTTTTGACATGCAGCCCATCCAACTTGGGTTTGCGCAACGACATTTCCGGGGATTCACCAAACTTGACAGTTTACTCTCTTTGCACCAGCGGCTCCATCCACCTTGATTACATTGGGTTTGCGACTTTCCGCGTCTTTTTTCATCGAGATGGCGACGAGTTAGAACATAGGGTTTTATCAGTCATGCCCGTTTTGGGTTACATCCACGGAGCCAGGTTTCAAATGAAAAAGACTAGTTAAACCAAATTGGGATTATTCCTGGAATCAATGACCAAAAAGTGTATGCGCCATTAAAAAGGCACTCCCAATTTGAATAGGGTAAAGGTTGCCTGGGAATGCACTTTGAAACTGTCTTGGATGATCGCTTGGGATCAATTTTGCTTCCTTTGCTTTTGGCGCTTTTTCAATGAGCTGCATGAACCCGTGATTCTATGACGCGAACGATGGGTCTTTGAGCCAATGGAACCAATGCGGTGTTCAAATGGGTTTATCTAATGAGGGTAAAAAACACGCCCCAATTTATTTTTCCTTTTTTTTTCTCTCTCTTTTCTTTACCAAGGTGGCACACCCGTGGCGTGTGGTTGATGATTGATGACAGACTTTTTTTAATCTCTTTATATCTCCATGGTCCAGAGCAGTTATTGATGTGTCTTTCCTTATCTCTATCACAGGTCCATTGGCTGCGGCAAACGACGAACGGAGCGACCAAGGTACACACTGAAAAGACGCTGTGGTATGACAGCGAAGGTCCCTGTGGTTTGACGGGGAGGCTCTGGGGCACCATTCGGTGGGCTCACTAGGAGATGGAATCTCCCCTTGAGGTCATGGGGTGCATGCTGCGGAGCGCGACCTACCGAACCACAGGGAAGTTTCTCTGTGATGTCACGGAGGAGCCCTGGTGTGAACCACTCTAGGTAAGTGGTTGGCTCAAGTTTTTTGGGGGTCTTCAGGTTAGGTTGACGGCGACATCCCGGTTTTTATTGGTAAGTAGTTTTTTTCTTTTGCTTCTTTTTTTCCCATTCTCGTTCTGTCATCGCCTGTCATCAACGCCACCGCCACCTGCTTGCTGCTTTGGTTCCCTGGTCTCCAAATCGACGCTCGATTCAAGTATATTTCTTCCGCTGGCCGCTTCAAAGTAATTACTCATAGTCCGCTTCTTGTATCATCTTTTATTTGTAAATTCCATAACCTCCAATAAAAGTTGTACACGCTTACCAATGCTCTTGTAAATATAAAAATATACATATTTGACTTCACTGTTTGATACGATATTACAGTCTTTTGATACGTTTGATAGTAAATACCAGCTACTGATGCTGAACCACTTGGAGATAACCACTA